CCCTCCACTATGCAATGCCCGCAGGGGGAATATAAATAAAAATCGCTCTATAAAACGTGTTCCATTTAGCAAAGGCAGACAAAAACCCATATTCAAACTGTCAAATCAAAACTAACAAAAAGTGTGAACGGTCGGATAATCGGCCGCAAACATCCAGTTGTGTTCCGATGACGAAACCCATCACAGAAATCAAACAACGACAGAAACCAGAGAAACTTTTGAAAATCATCACAATTCCCTTTTCATGAACGTCAGCATTCCACCGTTGTTTTGTTCGCCAAAAACAAGCAAAGAAGGGGAAAAGTATCAGTGGACAAACAGATTAGGTTACTCACTCCCTCACCGTCGACCTTCTGGAAGAGGATTATCCTTGGACTGTCTGCTTTGTTGGTTCTGTTCGCCGAACATTGTGATCTACGACGTCGTGACTTTTCCGCGCATCGGGCTGCAGTCATGATTTATAGGCGACTCGAAAATATGCATCGTTCTTTACAAATTGTTTGATGTCATCATTGATTGCGTATCAATTGTGTGATTTCGTTTCTACTTTTAAATATTCTTCCCCCCTAACTCATAACGATTATGAACTTTTGGCGGCTTTTAAAAACAAAATGGAATAGAGAATTCGGGACAAAATCCATGTCCACATGAGTACCGTAACACCCAATATAGTCCACCTCCAAGGCGATAAATCTCAGCTACATGTCAAGATATGAAAAACTAGTAAACTAATACACTTATCACTAAGAGAAGTTGTACATTTTATCAGTTGACAACTTTTTGATATCTCTACAGACAGCTGAGATACATCGATTTGAATGGACGGTATTGCAGTGTATTCTCTTACAGTTTTTACCGTACATATTCGTTTGACACAAGGGACAAACATCTAATATCATCTTCTTTGTAACCTCTCGTATCACCGGATAACTAAAGGATCTTGTTGAACTCGGCCTGTTTCGTGCGGTTTCTCCCGTTTAGTCTCCGACTGTTCTCTCACGCATTCGCCCGCCGTTCTGACTCATTCTCACACTTTGCGCCCGCCCCCATCCCCCACATTTCAATATGATTCGCAATTGTTGTTGAAAAGCCATGATAAAAAGCAAAGCAATGCCCCTGCATCAATTCAGAAGACAATGGGTGTGCTCGCCAACAAGTATCGCGTGCTCGTCGTGCTCGTCGGATTCCTCTGTCTGGTTTCTGTGTGCTCCAACTATGTCGTCATGAACTTCACGTTCATCTGCATGAAAACTGATATGAGCTTTATTCGAGAAGACATGAGTAACGAGGTATTCGGTGAGATGTTCGATTCATTTCAATTTGATCTTGTTTCAGACTGTGTCAGTCAGTCTGTTCGACTATACTCCCAACGAGAAAAAGTACATAATGTGGGCAGTGGCGGCCGGAACTATCATCGGCACTTTCCCGGTTAACTTTGTTTTTGTCCGGTTCGGTGGCAGGTTGGTCTTCCGATCTTTCCTGAAATCCAAACTAATCTCTATGCATTCCAGATGGACGTTCTTCATCGCCGGAATCATTTCGGTCGTCTCGACTTCTCTGATCCCGATGGCCGCGCAGACCTCCTTCATCGCACTTCTTGCTGGCCGATTCTGTCAGGTTTGCTTTTTGATTGATAACGGATTGAATGCAATCATTGTTGGTCAGGGTGTCGCCTTCGCAGCCGACTTCGCCGCTATCGGACTGCTGACGGTCCGATGGGCTCCGCTCTCCGAAACGGCCATCTTCTTGGGAGCTCTCACTTCGTTCACTAACTTCTCTTCGATACTAACCAATGCAGTTTCTGGAGCGGTTTGTGAAATGAAATTATATGTACAACTTGGTGGCTATTATTCAGATTTGTGAGAACTTTGGTTGGAGGACGGCCTTCTATGTCCATTCGGCGCTTGGATTGATAGTATTCGTTTTGTGGGTGCTCGTCTACTCGGATCATCCTCATAAGACAAGCAGAGTAACTGAAAAAGAACTCAAGAAGATTCAGAAAAACAAGTCGGAGCAGCACTTGGACACGAAGAATGTCAGCGTTCCTTACAAAGTAAGATCCTTTTCTTTTCAACCTGTCAGATGCATTTTCTGTCAGAAACTGCTCACATCTCCGGTTGTGCTCTGCGTGTGGTTCAACGCCTTTGCCGAGATGTCCATCGTCGTTTTCCTGCACACGTATGCTCCGATCTTCTTCAACCGTGTCCTCCGATTCAGTGTCTCTGAAACCGGATTCCTCCTCGCCCTCTCCATTTGTTTCCCTCTTCCTCTGAAACTTGTGGGTGGAATCATCAGTGACAAAGCGAAGTGCTTCTCAGAAAGAGCCAAGATGCTCTTCTTCAACACAGTTTCCGTCGGCCTTGTCGGAATCTTGATCAGTGCCCTTAGGTGGGTGGCATCAATGAAAAACGTGCAATATCTGAGTATCTTTCCAGTTTCATCCCCCAATCTCATCACTACCTCTCCGTTCTCTTATTCTCTGTAATATTCTCTTGTCTGGCGCTGAACTGTGCAGGCTTTTACAAATGTGCTACTCTTCACACCAGGTAACAGTTCGAAATGGAGAAAGATTCATAATGGTAACATTACAGACAATACGCGCACATCGTCATTTCCACAATTCAGTGGATGAAGTCAGTCGCGCTGATCACTGGCCCCGCTCTTGTTGCCGCAATCGTTAAGAACGAGGAAAGCGTCGTCCAATGGAGGATCGTTCTTTGCATCATCGGAGGCGTCCTTATACTTGTAAGTGCTTCTGAACATCTCCGCGAGCTACAAACATTCAAATTCAGGCCAATACTCTAGCTCTGTTCGTTTTCACCGACAAGCCCGCCGATTACACGATGGCAAACGAGAAGAGCGTCAAGTATGAAACAAAGACTGAAAAGGCCGAAGCTCAAACTGGAAAAGTCTAGATCTCTCCTTTATTCGTTTGTATTTGAGCTCTCCCATTCCAAATCGTTACGTGTACACCCTTTCCCCGTTCATCTCTCGCCGTTCGTTCCCCGAATAAACACATCCTCATTTCGTCGTTTTCTCTCTCTTGAGGCATAAACGTCCATCTGCGTTTGGCCCACTAAAACATCTGCCTTTTCGGTGCCCTTCATTCCCGTTCATAGAATTTGCATGTCGCTTCCTCCGTCCGTCCGTCCCCACCATTTATTCGTCCCGCACAAACTGTCACTTTCGTTGCGAGTGCGCCAGGAAAGACGCTCATAAAAGTGGAATCTCCGGCAAAAATTCGTTGGAGCGATTTCCGGTTCGGTCCGTCGTGGTTGGCACTGCCTTACAGGAACACCTGCTCGCGCTCTTGTATCACTCTCGTGTTTGACCCATAACATGACCACTTATCCGGCCATACACTTAATTACCTCACCTCTCACATAATACCCATGGGCATGGCACGAGCGAATGGGTGTAATTGGACCCCGGCCATTCAGTTCGCGCACTGTGTCCGAGCAGGTGGTGTCTTCCAATGACCCGGTCACACTTATCCCTTCCAGCTGTTTTCATTTCGTCTTGATCCCCCATTCCCTGGAATTAGGTGACAGACCGAATGACCGCCAAATGCGCGAGAAGCCGAAGAGGACCGTCTCTAATCCGCCCGACTAATTGAGTGTCTTTCAGAGAAACAGAGTACTTCATTCACGATAATTCGATTGAGAATTTTGAAATTCGGAAGGGAGGACAATGCCAGTAGATCGAGGGACAAACATTGAAAGTGAAAGACTGTAAAAGGATTAGTTAGGTCTGACACAATTCATGGAGGATCACAACAGATTTCGGAGCAATGAGCACAAAATGACAAATGCGCGTGGTCTCGTCCCGCATTCTGGCAACAGAAGGTGTGCGCGGACAGGTTGGTGGCGCGTGTAACAATATTATAAGCTAGAACATGTCACCCATATATCTCGGTCCCATTTCGCCATCTATTATTCATTGTTTGTCTATGTCCCGGTGGCAGCAGGACCAGCAGCTCTTCAATGCACAAACACACCTCACTCTCTCTCTCTCTTCCGGACGATTTTTGATTGACACTTCATTTCGGTGCTCTCTGTGCTTCCGAATGCATTTGAAATCGTTGCAGATTGTTGTTTACGTCTTCTTCGTCCACTCGACTTTACCTTATCTCCTCCCGAGCTTACGGTAATTGGATGGGGGATTGACCCGGTCAGGAGCATCTGCATCTGTCCCCACCCCGGGGGTAACCCACACTTTTGTGCCGTGTGTGGACTACTAATTGCTACGTGTGCCATCAATTCGGACTATTCCCGAACAGGTGTCGATTTCGAAGACGACCATCACGGAACGCACGACGATTTGTTATTCTTGCAACGACAGACGCACGCGACAGATGCAAGTACAGTGCGTTTATGCAAATCGGAATGATACGGCTGTTTGCTGTTTGCCAAGGGCGCGTACAGATGGCCGGCTGATTGATTATCTCTTAGGTATTCATGACTAATTGGGCCAGAAGCTGTAGGACGGTACACGAGATGTTACAGAGTTCGAGATTCAGACCCTTTAGTTACTTCACATTGAGTTTTCCCTTCCCCATTGCGACATCCATCACACACTTGCTCATCATCGTCCATCCGGTCCCTCTGATCTCCATGACAACTCTTTAGAACGGATGACCGCGCGCCTGGCACGGTCAGTCAGTGTCATCCATCCGCACGGCGCCCTAATGCACTCTTCTTCTTCGGCTTCACTTCCTAATTTATGCTCTTCGTGTTCGTTCGTCGTCGTCGCCAAACGGGCGGCACGTCCCAAGAGACACACGGCGGCACCTGCCCGGGGTTGCCACCCAATACAGGAGGATGAGATTGACTCGGCGAGCAGCAACAAGTGGTAAACAATTTCCTCAATTGGAAGAAGGAAGAGACAGCTAATTGACGCCTTCATGTTACGCGGAGAGTTATATAAGTGTCTCGCAAGACGTATTGTTCGCCAATTAGATTGGAGGAGTCGCCCACCTGGTTTACGACGAATTCATGACGGTTTGGCGCTTTGGAAAAGGGGAAAGTGAAGCAAAAGGGTTTTTCAGAAACCGAAATTGTCAGAGAAAGTACCATGCCATCTAAAGGCCCTGGATGTACCAGGGCGCCTTTGAGGTCGTAGGGTACTGCACTAGACTGAACTTAATGAAATCTTATGGTTCCGTGCAATAATAAAGCTGATTTAATAAAAGATCATGCTCTCTGACAACTTTGTTTTTTCTGTTTTGGTACCTCATTGGAAATGAATTCGTCAACCCTTCAACTCAGAAACCGTTGTCATGGGTGTAAATAACTCAATTTCGCATGAACCTCATTTCCGTGTCATTTTTCGAGAATCCCGGAATCATCAATCAATCACTTTCAGTCCGGTCCTTCTAAAAACTGACACACTTCGCACTATTTCTGACCAAATCTCGACCTAATTTCCATGTTAATTGGTGCCGTTCCACAGCCTCAAAGGTACCCTCGAAGTGGGCGGAGACTCGCCCGATCGGACCGGGAGCAGCAGCTGCCAGCCTCGTCTTCTTCGTATAAAAGGAGGCTCGTGTGTACGTGCCACGGTCAATTGAGGCCGGCAGACGGTCACCCGCACATCCGTCCTACCGTAATCCCCCCCCCCCTTTCTCTCGTTTCATTGACATGGTACCCATGAACGACTTCTGGGTCAAAGCAATACTCTCTTCCACGAATCCCAGCCCTGTACCTTCCACAACTTCGACCTTCTCTAACGATGAGAATCTGGAGAAAGGATTCGAGTCGGACTGTTCCACACAGAGTTCGTTCTCGTCGCTTCCGATGTTCTGGAACCCGGGACTTCTGCAGCAGATGCTAGCTCTCTACCAGATCCAGCAGCAACAGTTCCAGTTCACGCCGAAGCTTGTCTCTCCACCAGTGGTTAGTTCCACCACCTGCCGGAGGCTTGTCTTATATCATCCATTTTCAGATGTTCCCGGAGCCTCTGAAAGATGCGCATCCATTGCTCTCTCGCAAACGCCAACTGCTCCCGGAGGCCAAGAAATCCAAGCTGCGCAAGCTGAACGAGGATACCGTAACGAGCTCTCCAGTCAGCGGAATGTTCATTAAGGTTCGAGGATCGGTTTCTTTTGAGCTTCTCGTCCAAATCGGCACCGGTTGTCTTAATTAGATGTGATTAGCATATGAGAGCTTTTGAATAGCCGTAGAAAGAAAACGGAAGACAGAAGGGCGGAAGACGGGCGGCGCGGAAAAAAGGAGCAAAAGCTGAGCCGGCTCGGCGGGTTAATTACCACCCGCTGGCTGGCGACCGTCTGCCACTTTCGGCATTCTGTGACAATGATTTACGGCCAATGACACCAAGTGGATGTTGCAGGAAGAGACCGATGTGAAGCCAGTCGAAGAGCTGCAAAAGGAAGCGGATCTTCTGGATGAGACGGCCGCCTACGTGGAAGTGACCGAGGCGTCACGACAGAAGATCGACGAGATTCCGAATGTCATCGGAGACTGTATCTGCCGGCTGTGCAAGGTGAAATACGAGGATGTGTTCAAGCTGGCACAACACAAATGTCCCCGAATTGCGCACGAGGAGTACAAGTGTCCAGACTGCGATAAGGTTTGTTTTCGGGATTAATCGAGTGGGATCCCCGGTTCAGAAGCTTGTCTCTCACGACGTCTTCCCACCTGCCCCCTCTTTCATATCACTTACTGGCACTCTCCAGTACACAAAGACCATGCCTAATCCCCACTTGACGAATCATACAGCAAGCTCATTGTCGAGTCGGCTTCTTCTAGTCATCCTCTGTTTATTCACACCCCTGCCGAGACGGCTTCTTTTCAATCCAACCAGCTGGTGCTTCCATTCACAATCAAACAATTTGCAGGTGTTCTCGTGTCCGGCCAATTTGGCATCGCATCGCCGCTGGCACAAACCCCGTAATGAGCTCGTCAACGGAAGTGTCGTCGTCTCCGCTCCATCGGCCGTCTCCTGCTCCACCTGCTTCAATTCGTTCCAACGAAGAAGATGCTCAAGCTGCACTCGTCGACGTGCCAGAGATCTCCCCTTCAAGACCTGCTCTCGAGAGTCATTCCCTCCATGTAACCCTCTTCTTTTCCCTATTACCCCCCGGTCAATGTCCATCCAATAGTCTCTACGTATCCATCCGAGTTGACCTCGTTCCCACATAACCCTTCGGCTTTCCATCCGATCTCTCCAGGATTCTTGTCATAGATCCGCATCTCCTAATAATATTGCTGAGTGAATTCTAGTCATGCCATAAGAGCCCCCTCTTTCGCGTCATTTCGCAGTATTATCCCCTTCTCCCGCAGTCGTGCATTTCCCATACTTCGTCCCCATTCCAGAGCGTTGTTCTCACCCAATTTTTGCTGAAAGTGAATCTAGTCAGTTCGTCTCTTTCTCCCTCCCCTTTCCCTATGCATTGTCTCCTTCCACCCCTAATTTTCACCCAATAAGCTGTACAATGTGATCTCTCTAGTCTTGGTGGTTTCTCCGTAAACTGTACCAGCCCTATTCAAAACCTTATTTTTTATTCTCAATAAACAGTATGATCTCAAGACAGTTTCTTTCCGTGCACAATCTCCTGGAAGCATCTGTTCTTCTTTCTCATCTCTTCCAGAAACTTCCATCTGTCGCCGCAATACTCGTCGACCATTTCACTTTTAGGCCAGCTGATACGGAAATGTCTACCCGGACGGTTCGGATCATACTTTTCCCAGGCAGTTGATCCGATCGAATTCGGGTTTCCGTACTTGGCAAAGTTCGTAAAGATCGTTCCGGTCAGATCGAGAACTTTTAACTCTTCCTCTGTTGGCTCGAACTTGCTGATTATTCCGTCTCCGAAAAGGTAACGTAGTTCGACTCCGTGTGTTGCGCCTGGATTTACATGAGCATTGAAGCTTCCGCTGCTCGATTGAACTCACCAATATACGGAAGAACGTCTTTGAGTACACCGAAGCCATCCGGATTACAGTAATCGAACACATAGAGCCAGACATCGTCGCCGTGTTTGGCAGCACTTTCCGCTGTGGCAAGCACTCCCGTGTGGAAGATGGAGTCTCCGACGAACTCCGCTGCTCTTCTCATCATCGTATCGTCGTCTCGAGGAATGTCTTTGGTGTAGTAATCAAAGATTTCTTTGCGAACGCCCTCCACATCAGTCACGACGTCTTCTTTGTAATCTTCAGCGATCTTCTGATGCAGCAAGTCAGTGTAATCTTTAAAAGTTGGATAGTTGAACGCTGAAATGGAATAGAAGAGTTTTCATTGCAAAACTCGTTGAATGTAGTTCACCGAATAGAATGCCTTCGTTTCCCACGATTCCAGTCATCAAACTCTTCTTTTTCGCTTCATTTCTCAATTGATCAAATGGTTTCGGGAAGAAATCTCCGTCAAAGTTCGGGACCATGCTCATGAAACCAGATTGGTTATACTGGAAACCGGTCCTGGCAGTCAGTTTGTCAATCGGCAGATTTCTCATGAACTCGAGTCTTTCGACAGAACCTTAAACATGAAAAAGTTAATAGAAAAGGAAAACACAAAAAAGAACATACCATTTCCGGTAAAGCCCAGTTTTGCGACCATGTCATCAAAAACAGCAGCTTCATTCTTGGGAAGTCGGCACGCGAATTCACAAAGCGCGGAGCCGGACATTGGAATCACTTTGTGGAACAAATCTGACAAAAAGAGATACAATTGTGGCTTTCAGAGTAAGTGATACCTCTTGAATGGGGGCTCAGAGCGAGCAGATCGACACAAGCACCTCCGGCACTTTGGCCGAACAGAGTGACGTTATTCACATCTCCTCCGAAAGAAGCAATGTGCTTTTGAACCCATTTGAGAGCGAGAGTCTGATCCCAAAGCCCAAAGTTTCCACGGCACATATCGTCTCCAGTTGTGAAGAATCCGAGGATTCCGAGGCGGTAATTCAGAGTGACGAGGATGACATCTTTCAAAGGAAGAGTGCTTGACATGGAATAGTCGCAAAACTCTCTCGACGCAGAAATTTCAAAGCCACCTCCATGAACATAGACCATTACAGGCCGTCCGTTCTTCTTCTGCAAACAAATGTAATTCAATTAGGTAACTAGTTCAGAGCGCTCACGTATTCAGTGGATTCCCAGTCGGGAACGAACACGTTCACAGTCAGACATTCCGCTTCGTCGGGCACATCCGGGTTCGTGAACATGCCCCTCTCGTATCCGTACCCAGAAGGTGGACATCGGGGACCGTAACTTGTACAATCTCTCGTTTCAGTCCAGTCGTCCGCAGGCAGCGGCTTCTCGAATCGCAGCTTTCCGACTGGTGGCCGAGCATATGGGATCCCGAGGTATCCATGGACTCTCTTCTCGCCCTAAACATCAGTTCTGTACAAAGTTATTGCACTCCACTTACATGACGGTACTCGGTTCCCCGCACGGGCCCGCAAGAAGCATTCAGAACACTCGTGAGAGGCTCCGATTTCAGATGAGACAAGTAACCGCCCATTCCGAAAGTGGCAAAGAAAGGTGAATTTCAAAGATCAAAAAATTGTCGAGTCGGTTAAATAGTGGAGACGCGGTTGCCAAACATTGTGTAATACTCAGACGGCCACGCCTTTTTGTGGTTTATTGACAACCAGTTGGTCACAAAAAGAGAGGAAAATAAACACAGATTCAAAGGATCAAATGTTTTGGTTAGATTGAAGAATATTGTTCTTGTTCAACTGCACAATCAACGTCCATACAATACTGTTTCCAGATTTTGGTTGTTAGCTCGAACTTCCTCGAGAAATTTCATCTTGTCCGCGTGGAAGTCGTTGCGCATTTCTCCGTCAGGATATCCAATGTGAAAATGTCTCAACGGACGCTCCAAAGTGTACCGCTCCCAATCCGTAGAGCCGACATCATTAGGATTGCTGAAATGTATAGAACATGAAAAACGTACAGAAACCGCTTCTCAGACCCGTATTTGGCAAAGTTCGTGTACATGGTCGTCATTTTGTCGACCATCTTCAACTCATCCTCAGTTGGCTGAAAGTTATTGTACAATCCCTCTCCGAGAATATATCGCAGGTCTGTGCAGTGAGTCGGCGCCACGAACGGCATGATATCAGCAAGTTCACCGTATCCTTCCGGGTGGCAGTAGTCGAATACGTAGAACCAGACATTGCTTCCGTACTTTAGATAGGACTTGGCAGTAGCCAGAGTTCCGGCGGTGAAGAGAGCATCTCCAATAAACTGAAAATCACAATGATTCGTAGGGAATCAAATGTTTCACGCGCATCAATCACAAGAGCTTTCACTGCAACATCATCCGATTGATCGACTCCTTTCGTGTAAAATTCCAGTATTTTCTTTCTGAATTCTTTGTAATTCTTTCCAGTGTCTTCTTTGTAATAACAATCAATTCCTCTTTTCAACGCGTCTATTGGTTTCGTAGTGTCACGGCTCAAGAAGTCAAAAAAGAGCCCTTCGTGCTCGACAACTCCAATCATCACGTCCTTCTTCGCCGCTTCTTTCCTTAACTCGTCCAATGGCTTCGGAAGGAAGTCACCATCCAAATTGGGAACATATGCCAGAATCCCTGAAGCAGGCACTACAAATCCATTCATTTTCTCCATTTCCGCAATCGGTTTTGCTTTGATCCATTCAAGAAGACTCTTCGAATCATTTCCAGTGTATCCCAGATGACGTGCATATTCTCTGCAAACGTTTCCTTGGCTTTCGGCTGTTCTCACCGCGAATTCACAATATGCATTGCCAGACATGGGAACAACTCTGTGGAAGAGATCTGAAACAAAATACGGATTCCTTCTTGAATTGAAACTACAAATTGAATAACCTCTGGAGTGAGGGCTCAATGCGAGAATGTCGACGCTTCCACCGCCGGCGCTCTGCCCGAAAATGGTCACGTTCTTAGGATCTCCTCCGAACGACGCAATGTGTTTCTGGACCCATTTCAGCGCGAGAGTTTGATCCCACATTCCAAAGTTTCCTCGGCAGAGTTCGTCGCCAGTTGTAAAGAAACCGACGATTCCCAGTCGATAGTTGAGAGTCACGACGACGACGTCTTTGAGAGGAAGTGTCCTGTAATCGGAACAACTTTTTATCACTGCCACTCCTTCGGGAAGTGTACCCTGAAACGGAATAGTCACAGTATTCCTTGGAGGCGGAAAGTTCGAAGCCTCCGCCGTGAATATAGACCATCACAGGACGCCCGCTCTTCTGAAATATGTTAGACTGTACTGTTGCGACATGGGTTTGTTCTCACGAATTCATCTGATTCCCATCTGGGTGCAAACACATTCATTGTGAGGCAATTGGCCTCATCGGGAACATCGTTCTTCTGGAAATGAATAATCTCGCAGAACGGTCCGGACTGGGGGCATCTCGGTCCGTATTCGGTGCAATCCCTCGTCTCGGTCCACTTCTCCGCTTCCACCGGCTTCTTGAATCGCAACTCTCCAACTGGTGGCTTCGCAAACGGTATTCCGAGGTATCCATCCACGATTTTGTCGCCCTGCTCATTGCCACTTCTTATTGATCTGTCTCTTTTCTTGACTCACATGACGGTAGGCATTTCCTCGGATCGGACCGCACGTCGCGTTGAGAACGTGCGAGTGTTCCTCACGTTTCAGGTGCGATAAGTGACCTCCCATACTGGAAAAAGAGCTCAGTTTCGAGAAAGTATAACTGCAAATAGGTCTGAGGTGAAACGTTTTTGCGACCGACAACTCGGCGATCGCCAAATAAAACAGTTTCTCAGAAAAGCACATTTACAGTGAACTGCCTTCATTTCATTCTGGCAGATCACAGGACTTGGGAAAACGTGGAAACCACGAGTATAAAGTGATAGACAGTTGGCGTCCAATTAGACAAACAAACGTTTTCCGACCGCACTCGAAGTGAATCTTTGTTTTCAAAAGCACACTGGTTTTATACGAAAGTTTAATAAGCTTCTCAAACAGGATTAGCACGAACATTCCTCAATTGAGAAAATACTTATTTTTCAGTGCCGCCCAGCACAGGCTACACGGCACAGAATGCGTATTTTTTTATCAAACGTTGGGTTAAAGAAGAGAAAGAAATCCGATTACAACTTCTTTAGGTGTCGAAGAACAATGAACACTAAATATCGGAAGAGCTCGGAAGAACAATGGGCTTTCTTTCTCTGGATCTTCCGGAGAACTCTTCTGAAGTTGTCTCTCATTTCACTGATTGGATAGTCGATCTTGAAGTACTTGTCCGGATGATCAGTGCTGTATCGTTCCCATTTCTTTGCTCCTTTGCTCCGTTTGGATTTCTGAAAGTCAGTTCAAAATAGGGAGATATTTTGCAAAGTTTGAATACATCCTCGTCATCAAATCCATTATTTCAAGTTCTTGGTTAGTTTGTTTGAACAGCTCAACTCCGCCATCACCAAAAATATATCGGAAGTCGTTGCCGTGGCTTGAAGCTGGAGAAAATCATAGATTGAATACTTCAGAAGAAATTAGTACAAAACCTTTTAAATCTATTAGATCTTTCAGTGGCGCGTAGCCCTCGGGATTACAGTAATCGAAGGAATAGAGGAAAACGTCTTACCACTCCTGACAGTTGTCTCCGAGTTACTTCTGGATTCAGATGAGAAAGGAATCCGCCCACGATGCGGGAAACGTAGCGGAAAGACCCTTCTCTCGCCTAAATAGTTTGACAAAAACATTTATTTCGACGGAACTATGTTGATTTGGATCACAAAAAGTGATATACTTTAACAAGAGTTGAATGAGACAAAAAACAGCAGGACTTGACTTTGTTTATTTTCAATATACGACAAAAATAGGTTCATGTTTATATTTTGGAGACGTTTCTGAAATAGTTTTGAATGGGCAATGTCTTCGAATCGGTTGCCTACTTCTTTCCGAACACGAGTTCCTGGTACTTGATGCTCTCTCCGTCCAACTGCTCCAAAAACGGAATCCTTCCGCCCTGATAGACATCTCGCATTTCACAAGTCGGATACGAGATGCGGAAGTGTCTCTCCGGGAACTCGAGACTGTACTTCTCCCAGTCGCCAGGCGACTTTCCGTTCGGGTTTCTGAAATATTTCATCACTTTTTTGAAAAGCACTCTTATCAATCGTTATCAGTACCCGTATTTGGCAAAGTTGGAAAACAGAGTGGTTGTTATGTCGAGCAGTTTGAGGTCCTCATCGGATGGCTCGAACTTGCTGTAAACTCCCTCTCCGAGCAAATAACGGAGCTCCGTGCAGTGAGTGGCAGCTGGAAGTTTGCCACGTGGCATCATCAGAAGGGATCTGGGTACCTGTGAATGGAATCATTCCTTCGAACATTCCGAATCCTTTTGGATTCGCGTACTCGAAACTGTAGAAGTACACATCATTTCCGTGCTTGGCCGCTGCCTTGACCGCTTGCAGCACTCCGACGTTGAAAAACTCGTCGCCGACAGCCTCCACCAACTTCTTCTTCATTGCCTCTTCATCTGACTTATCCACTCCGTCCGTGTAGAATTCGTAGAACTTCTTCTGTGTCTCCTCTGGATTCGTGACCACATCCGGTCCGTAGATCCCGATCGGAGTGAGCTTCAATCCAGTATCGGCCGGAGAGAAAGCAGGGTTCATGAGACCTGAAAAGGAAATGATGTTTGAATTGCAAAGTGAATTTCAAGATTCTAACCCAAAATGAGTCCCTCATACTCGTCAACTCCAGTCATAATCTGTCTCTTTGGTGCCTCTTTTTCAGATCGTCGATTGGTTTCGTGAAAAAGTCTCCGTCCAAATTGGGAATGAAAGTGAGGAATCCGGAGACTGTCTTCTTGAATCCTTTCACGTCGGAGAGAACATCTGCCGACTGTTTCTGATACCACTCCAGAAGGTCGTTTGAATCTCCTCCCGTGAAACCATGATACTCTGCGAATTCTCTAGAGATTTTCGCCTGATTTGTGGCGGTTCTCAGGGCAAAATCGCAGTGCGCGGAGCCAGAAATGGGGATGAATCTTTTGAAAAGATCTGAGAGATTGGATGTTCACAAAGATGTTGAAATGCACAGTTTACCTCTTGAATGTGGGCTCAAGGACAGAAGATCCGTGCTTGCTCCGCCGGCACTTTGTCCGAAAACGGTCACGGTGTTGGCGTCTCCTCCGAACGAGGCAATGTGTTTCTGGACCCATTTGAGAGCAAGAGTTTGGTCCCAAAGACCCAGATTTCCGTGGCATACTTCATCTCCAGTCGTCATGAATCCAAAAACACCGAGACGATAGTTGATAGTCACGACGACGACGTCTTTCAGAGGAAGTGTTCTGCAAAATACATTTTTGGAATTAATTGAACTAAAAACCAACCCGGAAAGCGAGTAATCGTGGTAATCCGACGACGAAGACAATTCGAAGCCTCCGCCATGAATGAATACCATAACTGGCCTTCCATTCTTCTGAACACTTTTGATGATAGATCATCGTAGATGATACAGGAATCAATCAAACTTACAAATTCAGTAGAAGGAGTTCTCGGAGCAAATACATTCAGGGTCAAGCATCCAGCCTCTTCAGGAGTCGGGATTCGTGGCGGAGCAATCTTAAAACGTTTTCAAACTTTTCATGATGCTTTGAATTAGCTCACATCTCCGAACCCTCCAGTTTGAACACATGCCGGTCCGTATTGATAGCAATCTCTCGGTTCAGCCCACACTTCGGCCGCAACTGGCTTCTTGAAGCGAAGTTCGCCAACAGGCGGTTTGGCAAAGGGAATACCGAGGTAGCCGTCCACAGTTTCGTTCGGCTACAATGGTAGGCACATCAGCATTTCAGGCTTATCAACACTGTGAATAACTCACGTGCTTGTAGATGTTTCCTCGAATGGGTCCACACGTGGCATTGAGCACTTGGGTATTGGCCTCCGGCGTCAGATTGGACAAAAATCCTCCCATCCTTAATAATAAACTTTTCGAAAGATCAAAATGAAGTGAACACATTAGTCGGTCGGCAAACTCTCTATTTATAACCGCTTCCACTACACGTGAAAACAAAGAAGCGAGAGAAAGAGAAATGAAAAACGGTCAGTGCTGAGACGCACACTGACGCACAGTCTGGCGGGAAATACTACGCTCTTTCGATTGATCGAGAGAGAGACAGTTTGTGACGAGATTAGGTGGATACAAAGGGCACAAAATACGCGAAAAATGATGATTTTAGCGATGTATGAAGAATTTTTGAATAAACCGCGAAGCTGCCTGTCGTATAGATATTTCATAGAGCGCGTTTGCAGCATGGTACCTGCTGCTCGGAAGGCCTCAAAGACCAAAAGTTTGATTGCATAGAATTGATAAAGTAGTGCAATGGTGATTGCGCAGTCTCACGCCGCCTCTTTGTGGTTTATCGTCTAAGGCCACAATATTGAAGAATAAATAAAAGTTCTTTTTCAAAAAAAAATGCGAGTTCTCGAGAACTCCACAATATCTCGTGTCTTCTATACCCGACAAATACAAAGTGCCATTCTACTATCATTCATTCCACAAAAAGATCCGTTTTCCATTGCATTGAATTTTCTGGAATGACGTCCTTTGCTTGGGCTTGTTCGGCAAAACAACCATCACTTATTCAACGTTCTCTCTGTTTTCATCGTTTTCGAGTGTGTATTGTCAAGAAAAATATCGTTCATTTGAGAAACTAAAAACACAGAGTACAACTATTGAATGGGATAAATCTCGAATAACCGTGATGGCCCGTGACACAGAGAAAAAATGATTGACACAGTATGATTGGAAAGATTGGAAAGAATGAATTCAGGGGGGAAATGAGAAAGTGATTAGACGTTGGAAGGTCTCGAGACGAGCCGCGTGTCGGCCATCGAACGGTCCGTTTCGATGCGAGACATGCGGCTGCATCTCATGCCGGCTTGAGAAAAATACGCCTTCCGCTTCACTTGATCCGTTTGCATCACAGCCTGAAAAGGGGAATCTTCAATATTATCCGTCTGAGGAGCCAAGTTACCTTAATGTACATGACCGTCATATGCCGGAACTGATTACTGCAGAAGAGGAAAACGAAGAATGGGATGGTGGCGTTGAGAAGTGAAGCCAAATTGTTGCCGTGGTTGAGAATGCACATGAGGAAGCTGTAGTCCTCTCCCTGAAATCCCTTACACATAGATCTTCGTCCAGTCATAACCCTGCTCATTATAATGTCTACTCGCATGCGCGCAAATGTCGGAAAGCTCAGTTTTATGGGTTCTCTTCGGGATTACCTGAATGGCGCTGGCGGAGTGAGTCAGCGTGGCGGGACCTTCGAAGAAGAGATGAGTGAGCGTTGTGGCCACCGTCATGCGGATCACGCATTTCCGTCTTTGCGAGAATTGTTCGCCGAGATTCTGAAGATCAGAAATGAGTGGAATCGAGCAGATTTGTGTACCTTGAAAGTGAATTTTTTGATGATGAGAAGCGTGCAAACGAGCATGGCGATGGTGGGAATGACAATGGAAACGGCCATGGTTGTGGTTGCGTAAAAGCGACGATAAATCTCGTAGTAGGGATTGTTGCGGACACGAAACACCGACTGCAAGAACCAACACGACGCATTCTCCTTCTTGAAGTTCTGAAAGAGACGTCGATGTTCTCATGTTTTCTTGTTTGAACCTTACATGAACATATTGTCTGACTTGAACCATTTCCTGAACATCAGTCACAATAACAATAGCGGTATGGAGAAGACTGGCGGCGACGCCGGACATAATAAGAACGATCCAGGTCATTCTGAGAAGTAATGAATTGGAAAGAAGACGTTCAGTTTGACCTACTTCTTGGTGCAGTACTTGCGGAAAATGAACGGAGTCATGATGCACATGACCGTCTCCATTGTTACCATCAAAGTGAGCCACGTGGACATGGTTCCGCTCACATTCGAAACCATCATCATGTACGGACGAGACTTCCAGAAGAGCGGCTCGAGCCAAGAGACCGGCTGCACACTCGACGCGTGTAATACCTGCAACATCGGCGGCAATTAGCACGCTACGCTCCTCGTGTGTACTTTTTTGTTGTTGTTTGCCACGAGAGAGACAAAAGGAGGACTCGGTGCCCGCTAATTGAATTTCACTCTTGTTTTCTTCTCGGTTCACGTACCTCGAGAATTCGCGAGAACATGAACACCATATTGGCGATCGCTTTGGCACGAAGAAAGTGAACTGAGCTGGAGCCCTCGAAGTAGGGTAGGCCATAGATGAGCACGTTGAGCATGTTTCCCATGAAACAGAGCATCATGAGCGGGGGCACTGCATACTGTAGATAGGCTGAAATGGGCAGAGTTGGGACACAGACAGCAAAACCCTTTCCATACTGAGTTCGACGAGATCGCAGCCTGATGTAAAGTTCATAATGTGTCTGTATTCTGGAAGAGCCGACGGCATCGAGCACTTTGCGACTCCCTTCGACTCGAGATTCTCGATGGCTGCGATGGCTCTGCAAAAGAGAAGATTCAGAATTGCTAAATATAGATGTCAGTTTTTCGACTCCCGTGCGAAATTGAAGTTTCATTTAAAATGCGTTTCGGAAAAGTTTTCTTGAAATATAAATGAGAAGAGGAGACGTGGTCCTGGTCGACGACCTGAAATGCTTAAAAGACGACTCACTGGACACAATTCATCGGATCGAGCACTTTGTCGAACTGCTGCACGCACATTTGGATTATGGCCGACGGACTGATATCCATGTTGGCCAACTGAAATTAGCTGAAATGGAAGATGAAAGAGAATATGACGGAGAGAAAAAGAAGAAAAAGAAGGCACGGTGATTTCTCTTTGGGGGTCTCGCGGAGGTTTCTAGGTTCTGATCAACACGAAGGCTCAGATGCAGCGTTCCAGGGACTTTAGATGCGCGCCCCCGGAGAAATACTAATTCATTTTATTCATTGTCTTGGTGAGTGCGTTCATTATGATAAAACTAACAAAAAGCAACAAGAAACTCGCAAAATGTCTATAGGTTACTGGAAAAAGAGATTTGGAGAGCGCGCCTCCGTCGGCCGCCCGCGCGCTCCTTGGGTGTTCTGAGTTATCAGATGCGTGCCGTCGGATGAATACTGATTCATTTTACTTGATTTTTTGCGAATGAGTTCATTATGATGTAAACTAACAAAGAAACACAAAGAACACGCACGAGCAGTCATATTTTGAAAAAAGCTGTTTTGGCAGTGAACCCTAGACATTTCTGCGAGTTTCTCGTTGCTGCTGGCGAGTTTCAATCATAATAAACTCATTCTCAAAAAATTAGGAAAAATGAATCAGTACTCTTCGAACAGCATGCATCAGAAGTTTTAGCGCGCGGAAAAAGGCATGGGGGAACGTGCCGCCGGCCGGCGAAATAAGCAGCCGACAGTTCACGGGACGAGGGCCGATCTTTCTTCCTCTCTCCATTGCACCCCAGAAAGAATCACCGTGGAAGAAGAAGAAGAAGAGGAAGAAGATAGAGCTTTTGGGCGAAAAGGGGCGAAAAGGGGCGGAGCGAGACGGAGAAGAAGATGAGAAGGTGGAGAAGAGTTCAGAAAATGCACGAAGGTTGATCGACTGAAACGACGAGAAACGTTTCTTCGATAATTATTCATTTACGCATCCCCCCAGCCTAAAAGACGTCATCTGTGAGGCAGCAAGAGCAGCTGAAAGATAAAAGCGGTGGGTGGTGGGTTGATCAAATATGAATATGCAGTTGCGTGATAATTCGATGTTTGTGGAAGAGCAAATATAAAAGATCTTTGGGGAATGCTGTGATGCTCAGAAAAAGAAAGAGCATCTGGAGCCGACGACGACTGACTTATCGAATTGAATTGAAATTTTACGATTCGATTCGCCCGGGGAGGGGAGGAACGGCAAAAACATAAAGTGAGTCGACGGGGCAGAAGCGGGCCTCAACCACCAAGGAAAAAATGGTTGAGAAAACTAATTATATGGGTTAATCTATTTGCGGCATCGCTCCAACCGCACGTCTCCTTCTTCTTCTCCTGCTTCTTCTTCGCCGGGGGTAAAACCGGCAAACGAGACCGGTTGGAGAGCAAACAGAAGCGGAAATGAACATTGAGGAGTTCTCGTTGAAACTATAATTCAGGTTGAAAATCGTGCTCCGAAGGGAAACGGACGCCCCGCCCCGCCCCCTTATCCGCTGTTTTCTTCGAAAATCGAATGGAAAAACAAAAGGACAATGCCGAGTTTGATTGAGCTTTTTCTTCTTTTTTCTTCTTTTTCAAAAGTCTGATCCTATTTGATAGCAGCTCATTCCGGCCCTTTTAGTACAACTTTCCACTCCTCCTCCTCCTCCTCGGCCGGATTTCGAATTTCCTGATCATATCATTCGAGAAGGCGTGCAAACCCGAAAACACGTTTCAAGCAGATACGTCTGATTTCATCTAGACGGGTTCATCCTCAAATATTTGCGCCCGAAATGGAGAAGAAAACGGAAGAAGGATTTGCACATTTTTTGGGCAGGGTCACCGAAATCCGCGGACGTCAGCGATCATCGACTATTTCTGAGATGCCATGTTTCTACATTAGGCAACATCTATAAATGTGTCACTAATCCGGTGTAATCCCCCTTTGACGATGCACCAGCGCCACGTTTCTGGTCTTTCAGAGTTCGGAAAAATGTTTTTGTTTTGGGGAAGAAGAAGGGTCACTTAAATTTCCTTGTGACCGGTTCGTTCCCGCATTCATAGACGGAGAAGTGGGTGGTGCGGATTGGGTTGAGCGGAGCACCGGGCAGGAAATGGGAACGGAATTGAGTTGGAAAGTGGATTGATTCGATTGGCGGGCGACGGAATCCAAAAAGAACATGGAATGGACGGTGGGTGGGTCCCGAGTGGAAAGTTCGGCAAGACCTTAATGTATTCAAAGTGTCAGCTCCTCACATGAGCAACATTTAGGAGAAAGGACAAACAATCTTTGGGGGGGAAGGACCCGTCTCGAGAATGAGGTGCCCGTCGGTGACGTCAGAGCAAACAGAGCTTCCGCAGAGAAACTGCGCTCTGTTGAGAAGGAGTTCTGGGGTAGTCGGAGTCGGACAAAATGTATACAAACTTCTAATAACCCCTTTGACACGTCACGAGTGATTCGCAAAGTAAAGGAGCAATTGTGAATCGCCTTCTGGAGCACGCGGACGACAACTGCAAAATGTTTCGGGCATTTGCAAGGCTGTGATTATCTCGCGGCGCCCATCTAATCTATGGTTGTCCCTGCGGATCGTCTGGCAAAAAAAGACGAGGAGAAAAAGTCATGAAGGATGGATGCTCGTGTACTTGGACTATGAATAAGAGAGGCGGAGAGCGGCAGGACGTCTCCTGAATGCAATCTTTCCTCTCCGGCGGAAACACAATGAATTCGGACCCAGTTGCAACGAGCAAGCAAGACGCGTTTATTAATTTGAAAGAAGGAGGAGATGACGTGGCACGGAAATGCGGGGAAGTGGAAAAGGAGAAGAAGAAGAAGAAAGAGAAGAAGATGAGAAGAGGATGAGAAGAGGGGCGGCTCAAAACAGAAAGAGCATCTGGAAAGAAATTGGAGAAACCGTCCTGTAAATGGCCACTGAAATAGATATAGGAGAAACTGGAACGCACACGCGGCCTTCATTCTGTCTTTGTTCCAAAATATTTACGCACGCTCGGAAATTGTTCAAGAAAAATGAGATTCGGAAGAAAAATGAAGAGAATGCACTGAAAGATGGAACAAAAAGCGATGAATATGAAGGAAAAAGGAGCAGAAAGAGGTAGGAGTGTGTGAGCGGAACGTGTGTCAGTCCGGATGACCGCCTCCGTTCACTTACCGAGAACACATGGAACTCAATAATTTAGAGCTCAAAACAAGTCGGAGAAGCGGGCCCTGTTTCCGTGTTATTGGCGTGTTCACATGGGTAATTACTCAGAGAAGTTTGAGCAAGGGTGTGGCACGTAGCAAGCAAACTGCTGCACAGAAGAGCACGGGTGCCCACTGGAGTCGGCATCCTTGCTGTCCCGTGCAGCAGCTTGCCCATCGTGCTGCGTTCCCTGCTCGGCTTGCACTGCGCTTGCCGCCTACCGTAGTCTCATCGTTTTATTTTTCGCTTGCCGCATCCATGCTCAACCTATGCTGAGTGCATGCTGCTACTGTGCTGCTCACATGCTTGATACAGGCTCACGTTCAAACTGCTGCGCGCGTGCCGTTTTCGGCAGCAGCTTGCCTGCTACGTGCCGCACCCTTTCTCAAAATTCTCTGAGTATATCAAATGGAAGGGGGAGAAGGACAGCAAAAAACGGCGTTTTTGCACAATTGGTTCTGCAAACGGCACACATCAGCCGGCGAAACGGATGAGCTCAATAATAGCGATGATGACAGTTGATGGGGCTCGCGGAGCCAGGTACTGGCGCGGCTCAATTAGCAAAACCGTTGGGAATATATAGTGGAAAGGTGATCAACAACGAGATTTCTTTCAGTCACGGAACCAGACGGCTAATTATATTTTCACAGAAAACGGCGGCCCGTTCGTCGCGACTCGATAGACACTGCGGACTTTGGATCCAGGCGAGGGAGGAGTGAGGGCGGATTCTAATCCCTTCGAGACACTTTCCGTGTTTACAACACTTCTTGTTGTCGCCTACTCTACTCTCATAATCCGTTTAATCACAAGACAATAAAGGATCCAAGTATCACACGAGAGCCACCGATCTTTCACCCCATTTTTTGTTCCTAGCGAGAACTGATTTTTGAAATGAAATAAGACGGACAAGATTGAGAAAGAGAGAGAGAGAGAGAGAGAGAGAGAGAGAGAAAGAGAGAGAGAGAGAGGGTGGCATTTTGTGTGAAAAACAAGCCAAAGTGCTTTTGAGGATACGTGAATATTAGTGGGACCTTGGCCAAACACAGATAGACCACCGCTTCATTATTACGAGAGATGTATCTTTGGGCATGTCTCCTGCGGGACTGTCCTAGGTACCATTCGTCTACCCGCTCCTGTGCACTCATAACCTCTGCTGAATTATCTCAATAAAGAAATGCAAACCAAAATGAGATCCACTCAAAAAGTGACGAAGAAGGAGAGGGATCATTAGGTGGATTGGCTTTGAATCGTATAGAAATGAACCTCGCGCACACGTATTGTCGTTGGCCTCCCGAGCACTTTGAATCCGGTGATCAGCTAGTAATGGACGTGTTTTCAAATTTGAACAAAAGGAGCAAACTACAATGCGTTTCCGGTTGGGTCCATCATCGCCCGGTGATCACTTCCCTGGGGAATTGGAATTCTAGTTAACGAACACTTTTTGGACTTTGTCCACTTGTAAAAGGATCATGAAGCATCACGTTTTTATTTCGAACACTTGTTTACAAGAATTTGAGATTACAGCCTTCTTCTAGCTTCTATTGTCCTATCGAAAAAAGTGAAGAACTAAAAAAGACCAGAGCAAATCGAGTTTGCCTCGTCATTGGCCAATGATTACAAATTTGAAACGGAAGGGGAAACCCTTAAATTATGTGGGTTGGATATGTTAATTCAAGCTATTTCTGCCATTTTTCCGAAATATTTGACCGATGAACTGCTATTTTCGGGGAGGAAGCAAGTATTTGGGGGTGGAATAGACGGAGGCATTGGAAAACCCCAAAAGGATTTCATTCTGATTCATCAAGAAACCTTTTCGTTAGGCAAACAAAACATTTGGGTGCTGCTGGTCAAGGAGTACAAAACAAAGAAAATGAGTTTTTCAGTGGCGATGGATGCGATGATTCGAAATTGAATCGGTTTGAGAGAAGGAAGCGGGTCGATGAGCCACTAAAGTACGGAGGAGGGATGCCACGTCACACGGGGGAATACGGATGTAATGAGGAAGAGTGGGACGGGGAGACAGACGAGACGAGGTGCTGAATAATGAATCAGTCCGGGCGGGGGATCCATCCGGTGACTTCTGGACCCCAACCCGGAATTCCTGAATGAAGTCAAAACAATCAAGACAAAACGAAAATGCTTTTCATATAAATAATGGGGCCAAATCGAATCAGGTACCGAGCGATACCATAGGAACTCTTCGTTGTTTTGACGCGCCGTTCAGACGTAACACTTGGAAAAAGGCAAATATTGAAGAGCAGGAAGAAAGAAAGACATGTACTCGAAACACGAAACAAACACATTCGAGTCGAGGTGGTTGATAACCGAAGATCGGACGGAGGGAAGCAGACGAATGAAATATGAATGGGTTTCGGAATGAGAACGGGCTAGCCCGGTCCGCGCTTGTCTCAACCCGGTTAATCTCGGCAGAAAGAAATTAGATGCGGAACAGAATTGAACGGATTCGATATTTTGAAAAGGGCTGTGTATTCTTACGGTGAACTTTCTGATTTCCGAGTTTTTGGCGGGAACCGGAAAGCGGAATTCCGCTCAACTCTGGTGAGGAATTCGAAAACAAGAGGACAAAGAGAGGCGTAATTATGCGAATATCTGATTCATATTTGATTGCCGTTTTCGAACGGAAATGCCAACTTTTTGGCATTTCACTGAGAACGCGAGCGAAGCCTGAGAAAAAAGGCATGGGAGAAAATTTGTCATTCAAGAGAAGAGGATGTGATCTGTGCAGAAACAACTCGCAACACGGACGAAATTAGTGGGAATTGCTCGCGGATTCCGAATGATTTATTCATCGGAACCCTATTTTTGCTGAAAACATTTTCATAAATCATCCGGAATCTGGAAATGAACAACGTGCCACGTCGGACACCATTCGGGGAGCGAACGATTGTCGAAAAGTCGTCCGGAAGAATCAACACTCGGAATGTGTGATGGTGTCGAATTACCTGGAGATGCGAAAACAAAAACATGAGAGTGTCTCGACCCGAGATGTATGATGATGACGTGGCGACCGGATACGTTGCACCACACATCGGAACCGTGTGAGTAATCACGGTTAATTGGACTCGTGACCCGTGTGCAGCACACCCGCACCAATTAAAAAGAATAAAGAAGCGGAGGAGAGTGGAAATGAAATGCAAAGTATGACGAAAATTGGCATGCGCGGGGCGGAATCGAGTCGTCGGGTGCACGGGAGGCCCCTCGCTCCGCTGCAAATTCTTCCTGGAACGACTGGGAACAGAAATGCTCAATGTTCATTCAATGCGGCCATAAGTACAGACACAAGACGAGACAATCCTCAAAAAGATTATTTTGTCCGGGTGGCAATGGCGACTCCTTTGCCATTGAGCGAAGCACGGAGCTGAGCCGGTCCGGAGTGCGAACGATGAGCCAGGGGACCGGAATGATGGACGACGTTGGCGACGACGTGGTTGGTGCGGAGGAATACGGTCGGCGGATCGGTCACTTTGTAGAGTTCGACGTACTCGTCCTCGTGGAGAGCCGGTCTGGCGAGGGAAACCGAGATGAGGGCACAGAAGAAGACGAGCAGGAGAGTCTTCATTACGATCAAATGGTAGGGAACCACACCACGGGCGGCGTTTTATACGTGTAGACTGTGCGGTTAGAGATTGCGCTTGCAGACAGTGTTTTGATCGAAAGCGTCTGTTTTTTATGATGATAAGAGATAGGAAGAGCGTTGTGTTCGCCACGTCAACATACAATATGGCTTCAAGTGTTGGGCTCACGTTGGGTGTAAAGAGTGAAGAACAAAAAAAGAAAGAAAGAAGGCAATGACAGCACAAAATACGCGAAGGACGTCAATTGAGGGCGAACTTGCAGAGGAGGGTGCAATTTGATTTGCAGCCGACTTCCAGGCAGAACAAATCATGTTTCCATGTCACTTACGAGTTCCTGATCTATGTCAGGTTTCAGATAGACGTTCAGCAAAGTCAAGCAAGTTTTCATTTCATTATGAACTAAATTTTGGGGAAATTTTTCCATAGGATGTTGTGTCCCTAAAAGTTTTTTCTTAGTCTTATATTGACACACTTTCGAACAAAAAACTGTCTGCAAGCGATTCCTGAAAAATGCTGGAAAAGTTCGTGCCATCGTTTCAGGTAGATTTCCTTGTTGTGCATCTCAATTGTGTGATTTCCGACTTCTCCCGATACTTTCATCTTTGCTCCTCGTTTCTCAAGTCACACAAAACAACATTCTCATCTTCCGATCCAATTAACTTATTTACAAAGTTCACATGTCAGCTGAGGAGGTCCGCACAAACAATTGGGTGCAACCTTTGCCCCTGTTTACGAGAAAGCAGGTTTAGCACGTGCGCACTAGTATAAAAAGACGGTGTGACTCTTTTTATCTCAATCCTGAAGCAATGTCTTTAGAAAACATTGAGATCAGTTTTGGATTGGACACCCTCAGAAACGTGGATATTCACAGCTCCATAGTTTTCTCTCCGATTACGATTTTGCTATCGCTGGTGGCTCTGCAAAATGCAACTCTGAATAAGGAGGTATTTCGTGGAGTTGAAAGTGATAACATCGAGGAACATTTCAAAAAATGGCAGTACTTGAAGGATGGAATGAAAACGAAGCAAATGGAGATCAAAGTAGAAGCTGTAAGTGATACATTTTTATGAATTAGTGAAATACGTCATTCAGAATAATTCGTCCAGTTCCATAACTTTCAAGGCCGATTGGATGTACTTGTTTCGAGATGACGCATTGATGGATTTTCACTCCAAAGAAGGGCATTCCGAAAGCGTCCGTTCCCTGCCAAAAGAAGGTATCGATGAATACAAATTCACTCGAGACGATGTGTTCAAGGTGGGTTTCCTGGATCTCATTGTCTTTTGATGAGTTTACCGCCCAGGTATTGGCCATTCCATACGCGCAAGACCCCTACTGGTTTCTGATCTTTCTTCCTCTCAATCGATTTGGTCTCGAACAAGCTCTCCAGAAGCTGGACACTACGCGATTTGAAAGTCTCATTGACGACTTGAACGTTGACTACGTGGACCTGAAAATGCCCAAATTTATCGTTAAATCGAGCATGGAGCTCGGGAAGCAGTTGTCCGTGCCGTGGTCTCTCTCCCATGAATCTCGATTGCAGGTAAATTACCTTTTGCATCAACTTTCACAGTGAAACTCAAGCTATTTCAGGTAGATGATTGGGGAACGTATCCGGCCAAAACGGCTCGAAGGTGGCCTTCTTTCCTGGAAAGACCTGACAACAGATTTCCCGTCGTTTTCAATGCCGATCAGCCGTTCGTTTTCGCCGTCGTCAAAGACAAGTATCCACTCTTCCTGGGCGTTTACAGTGGCACAAACCCTTGATGACTTAATTCAATACTAGTCTACGAATCCGTTTTTCTCCAAATAAACTTTTTTGTTACACGTTTCTGAAATGTTTATAGGAGAGCCTACATCCGATCTTCTTCACCACCGACCGCCCGTTCATATTTGCAGTTGCTCTCTCTTTCTTGGTATTTCCAATGAAATATAACACACTCTTACTATACTTCTCATTTTGAATTGCTCGGAAAACATCAATGATGCAAAATAAATGATGATTTAGATTGATTTCATTCTTCCAGAAACCCTCTTAATCGCTGTTTCCCTACGTCATTTCGTGCAGTGTGTCGCACGTGTTTTCTGCCATTCTCTGCGTCTCTATTATCTCTCCACATTTCTCGCTGCCTCGCCATGTTTAGTGTGCTGTCTTACCGATTCGCACGTACTATTTTTGTGATCGAAATGTGACCGAGCGGGTATATAAAGTCTAGCGGCGGCCAAGTGTTTTCATCATCAATCATGACCAAGTACCGTCTTCACTACTTCAACGCTCGCGGATATGCAGAGGCCACCCGAATTGTGAGTGTTCAATAAGTTCATGACTTTTGTACAGATATTCTTCAGATGTTCCACATGGCTGGAGTTGAATTCGAGGATGTAAGAATCGAATTGGAAGACTGGATCAAGCCGGACAGCACTCTGAAGGAGCAGCAGCCGTTCGGACAGATGCCAGTGCTCGAAGTCGACGGCGAGAAGATTCCGCAGTCGTTCGCTATCGCCAGATTCATCGGAAAAGAGCTCGGATTCGCTGGAAAGACACACATCGAGCAGGCGTGGGTGGACGCATTCGGAGATCTCTACAAGGACTTCCTAAACGAGATGAAGCCGTGGGCGATGATCGCGTTCGGATACCCAGGACAATCCGGAAACCGTGAGGACCTGAAGAAGAGCGCTTTGGACCCAGCCAGGGAGAAATACTTTAAGATTCTGAGCAAACGATTGGAAAAGAGCAAGTCGGGTATGTTTAAGAGTGATTGGAGTTGGGGAACATTCTGGAATTGCAGGTTTCATTGCGGATAGCGGAGTCACTTGGGCCGACCTTTTCTTCTTTGAAACCACGACTACGCTGATTGGATTCGAGCCGGAATATCTGGGAACGGACTTCCCGGAGGTCACCGCCTACTACAATCGCATCCAGAATCACGAGAAGATCAAGCCGTACCTTGAGACGAGACCAGTTCAACCAAAATAAACTTATATTACACTTTCTTATCACCGAAACTTTTTTTGATAAATGCAATGAACTGTTTGAATTGAATGTACATAAATACAGCTATGAAGGGATTCGGAAACACGTCGAATCGCGCTTCCATCGTTGCAGATAACGGGATTTGATATCAGAATCCCTGAAATATGATGTAATCCCTGGAACATTATATTCTCACCTGCAACCGTGGCATTCATAAAACATGCGATGGCTCCGGCACAAAGAGCCCTGAGCATCATATCGGCGAGAGCTGCCTTCCTGCTTGGAGCCATCCCGCCAATGATTTCGATTTGGATTCCCATTGATCCGAAATTTGAGAAACCACAAAGAGCATACGTGGCAATGAGCACAGACTTCGGATCGAGTTTGTTGTTCTTCTGTAGTTGACCAAGTTTATCGTAAGCAACGAACTCGTTGACGGCAGTCTTGGAGCCCATTAATTGAGCAACTCTGAAGCAATTCAAAGAATAATCAAAAGATAGACAACTGATTCGTGGACTCACAAAAGAGTCTGATCAGAATTGTCGGTCACTCCCATCATGTAGGCCAATGGGAAGAATGCGTATCCGAACAACATCTGGAAGCTCCATCCGTCGTATCCGAGCAAGTCTCCGATGTAGAAGAAAACTTCATCTAGAAGGGCCAGAAGACTCATGACAACCACGAGCGTCGCTCCGATTGCGAAGACTGTTGGAACGAGGGCGACTCCCGCCGAACAGACCGTGTCAAAAAATCCTTTTTTCGCTTCCAATTCGTGATCCAAATTGAAATCCTCATCACTGATTCTCGTTTCTTCCACCTCTGGAAACATGATTTTGGCACATGCCAAAGACATTGGAGCCGAAAGAAGACTGGCCGTCAAAATGGATTCGGGACATGCTCCGAGAGCCACGTAGGCGGCGAACACAGTGCCTCCTGTGCAGGAGAAGCCGCTGGTGAGCACGGCAAACAGCTCCGAGTCGGTCATTCTCTCGAGATACGGCCGGATGACAAGAGGCGCTTCCGACATTCCCAGAAAGGTGCACGCCCATGAGTAGACGGATTCCACGGGCGTCGTTCCGATGAGCACCTTCATGAACCACGTGCTCTTTTTGAGGGCCACTTGAATGATTCCGAAATAGAATAAGAGAGAGACGACAGCAGAGAAATAGATTAGAGTTTGAAGGGAAGTGAATATGAATACAGAAGAGAGATCACAAATATTCGGCGGATCCGCGATGAATCCGAATACGAACTTGGCACCGACTTGCGCGTATTCCAAAAGGCCAACTATCAACTGGGATAGCTTTTCGAAAAACCATCGGCCTGTCGACCACTGTAGAATGATGATAGCAATGCAATAATGGAGGATCAGAGCACTTGAGACGATATTCCAGTTTATCTAAATGCTAAACATTGGAGCATATTATATAGGGGCACCTCACAGAAATGGCGCTCTGTTGAGAAACTCTTTTTGCAGTCCAAACTGAGTGACCTCGAAAAATTCGGCCAGATTGCGAACAGCGCGCCATTTCTGTGAGATGCCCCTATAACAGTCTCTGTATCTGTAAACTAACTTTTCGAGGTCTCCTTGAGAAAACAACCATGAAAAGTATAAAGAATGCATAACCGCCGAAACCTGTGAGTCTGGAAGGCTGCGAAAGAGCCTCGATTATAGTGTAAGCTAGGAGAGCTCCAGCGAAGGCCAACTTTAGGCCGCTGAAATGAGATGCTGTAAAAATAGAACTTCTATCAAAGTTTTACATAGGAACGTATTTCCTTCTCTTTGCAAACTCTTCCAATCTCACTGCAACATCGACATAAACTTTTCGGAACAGTTCAGTCCCCACGAGACAGTTGATGATGAAGCAGAACCAGAAGAAAAGAGTCACATAGATGAGCGGCGCCGCTTTTTGATAGTTGTGGATTCCAGCTGCTGCTGAAAACACTTACGTGATTTTGATAACATGTAATTGAACGAACTGAGGAATCCATGATAAATTAGAAGAAAGATAACTATTGTGATTGGTCCGAAGTACGGCCTGATCTTCTGAATTGCATCGTGAACGAAGCTTGCATTGTGTTCAAGTGATTTTTGGGTAACTGCAATTGAAGTTATCTTTAGAGACATTCTATTTACAAACCAGATATGCTTCTCTCCCAGACTCCATCTTCTTTGGAATCCATTTACGGTACGGAACCTTCTGATCGAACGAAACTGTCTAAAGAATGCAGCAAGTGACGAAGAGGTTCAAAGATAACACGTAAACGCATAAAAAGCACATACCAATTGAAGTGACCGACATGGTTTTATAGGTTAGAGCACGTGGCGACGGAAATAAAGAACATGGTTAGATATGAAAATGTAGCAGCAGTGAAAGGAAGGAATGAAGTCAAGACATTTACAGACATTGATAATGAAGTGATTAGTTGGTAGGAATCCGGAAACACTCTGATGTGTCATGAGTTGGGGAACAAATGGCGGGCGAAGAGACGAGGATGCCTGAAGGATTAGAGAGAAACGCGACAAACAAGTACTCACCTGCCACCGTCGCATTCATAAAACACGCAATCGAACCGGCGCACAGAGCTCGGAGGACCAGATTGGAGATGGTCGACCGCTTTCCGGGAGCCATCCCTCCCAGGAATTCGATCTGCATTCCCATCGACGAAAAGTTTGAGAAACCGCACAGAGCGTACGTGGCAATGAGCACGGATTTAGGCTGAAAACTTTGAATTCTCGAAATCCACGTGTCTTCTGGCTCACATGCAGTTTGCCCTCTTTCTGAAGATTTCCCAAGTTGTTATAAGCGACGAACTCGTTCACAGCAGTCTTGGTCCCCATTAATTGAGCAACTCTGAAAGCTTCTTCTTTGCTGTGGTCGGACTAATCTCTCAACTTACAAAAGTGTCTGATGTACGTCGTCAGTGACGCCCATCATGTATGACAATGGAAAGAATGCGTAACCGAATAGCATTTGGAACGTCCATCCTTCGTACCCAATCAGATCTCCGATGTAGTTCATGACAGTGTCCAATAGAGCCAACAAGGACATGATGACGACGAGTGTGGCTCCGATGGCAAAGACGGTCGGAACGAGAGCCACTCCTGCGGAACAGAGGGTATCGAAGAAGCCTTTCTCGGAGTTGTGTGCAAGTTTGAAGTCCTCTTCCTTGATGCTGGGCTCTTCGGTCTCAGGGAACATGATTTTGGAGCAGGCAAGAGACATGGGAGCAGAGAGTAAGCTGGCTGTGAGCAGATAAATCGGGCACGCTCCGAGAGCCACGTACGCAGCGAAAACGGTGCCGGCGACGCATGCGAACCCAGAAGTGATGACAGCGAATATCTCAGAATCGGTTAGTTTGTCAAGGTAGGGAGCAATCATAAGAGGAGCCTCGGTCATTCCCAGGAAAGTGCACGCCCACGCATTCACAGATTCTACAGTTGTTGTCCCGATTAACACTCGCATGAACCACGTGGTCTTGATGAGAACCACTTGAATTATTCCGAAATAGAAAAGAAGAGCGACTACGGAAGCAAAGTAGATCAAAGTTTGAAGGGACGTAAAGATGAAGACAGGACGCAGGTCACAGATGTTCGGAGGGCTGGCGATGAATCCGAACACGAACTGGGCTCCGACCTGCGCATACTCGAGAAAACCGACAATGAGCTGAGCAAGTTGCTGGAAGAACCACTGCCCGGTCGACCACTTCAGAATGATCAAAGCGAGACAGTAGTGCATTATGAGGGCGGAGGAGACCACGTTCCAGTTGATCTGCAAAAGAAGAACGTTGAACTTGAAGAACTAATGAAGTTCACTTACTTTCATCCGATTATTCGACAAGGCAAACATGAAGAGAACAAAGAAAATGTAGGCGAAGAAGCCCGTCAAACGTGAGAAGTCATGAATTGAGTCAATTACGGTGAATGCGAGAAGAGCAAGGATGAATGCAACTTTCAAACTTCTGCAATTGACACAATAAGAGAAGTTCTTCAAATAATTACTTACATGGGTACAAATCTCCGTTGCTTTGCAAATTCCTCCAATTTCTCTGCTAAGTCATTGTAGAAAACTCGAAACTTTTCAGTGCCAACCACGAAGTTAATCAAAAAACACAACCAGCAAAACAGAGTGATATAGATGAGTGGTGCCGCTTTTTGGTAGTTGTGGATGCCAGCAGCGACTGAAAAAGAATAAGCTATGTTTTAAAAGAAAGACTCACTCAAAAATCCATGATAAGCTAACAAGAATACAATCAGAGCGCCAACCCCGAAGAATGGTTTAATCTTCCGAACCAGTTTGTCGAGTAGATTCAGATTGTTGTCCAAGCTCTTCGAAGTCACTGTAAAGCATCAGATGTACATATTTGAAAGGTTCCGGAAGGTGCTCACATGAGTAACCTTTCTGGAAGACGCCTTCCTCGTCGCTGACCTTCATGCTTCTGAAACAAGAGAAAATAAAGGGGGAGACTCGTGATAAGAATGAGTTCGCAACAGTCCATTTTTATAGTCGGGAGGGCGGTTTGAATGAACTCGAAAGGTGACAAAGTACTTTTCTGCATACATTAAATTCCGAAAAGGAAACCATTTCAATGACAGTTATGCAAAAGTAGCAACGCCTTCGAAGCTTATCATCGGGCACCTGATCGATGAGAATTGGAGACACGGAAGTGATAAGAGAGATAAGGAGACAAAGTTTTGAGAATGAGTGTTTGCGTAAACAACACATGAACAGTAATCGGTGACAAGAAAAGCTTATTTTACCTGTTTAAAATGCAAAGAGTGTTCGCAAACAAACAAACAAATGGAAACACTTACAACTGAAATTGGACGGAATCACACTGGTCTTTTTCTGGTCTGAAGTGGTTTCACATTGTTTCTCTTTTGTCCGTTTGTCTGCGTCTATTCGGAACTGTATCAGCTATGGTTTTCATTTGTATTAATACGTATTCAAAGTGTAGCGGGTCGCGCTGGAGGAGGAGAACACTGTCTGAAATCGTCTGAAACATGAGTTAGATGAGATTCGCTTTTTCTTTTCCAAGCTCTCCCAAAAAAGATCAGATTACTCACTAGGCGCCACACTTAAAATTTTTCTGTGACAGCTTCCGTTTTCTTCGAAGAACCCCTTCTGCAAGGCTTCAATTCTACAACCAAGTTTACACATCCTCCAATTAAAACCTTTCCGTCTTTGCTTTTGATTGAGCACATCCGCTTTCAGAATGCGTCACCCGGCAGAACTCGGTAAACCTCTGCAACTTTTGAGCAGAACTTCACAACTTTTGGCCAGAAGTAGATTGGAACTGAAAGTGACATCTGTTTTCGATGTGCGAAAAATTTGCAGTAGTACTCGGATCCTGGTCATGGTCAGCCTAAAATATAGCATTTAAAGTTTATTCCAACCGTCCCCCTAGAGAGAAGCAAGCAAAAATCTTCTCCGCAAGCGAATCAGACGCGTTTTTTTGTGGCCCAGTGGAACCATTATAATGTTGGGTAAGTTGTCGAAATCAAACGTTCGATAAAAACGTAATGTTGGTTTCAGACATTCAAAGCCTCGGTCACTGTGTGTGGATCGTGAACTCCATCGCCGTGATAATCGGTCAGTGCTTTAAGTTTAACAGTGATATTTCATGTTCCTTGAGAATATTTACCCGATGCCCCTCCGAAACATGTCTGAAATTGCTCTTCTGAACATTCTCCCTCTATTCAAGTTCCCAATTTGTTCTAACGTTCTATCTTTACAGGCACTGTGCACATGTGTGGTGGTAAGAAGAAGCCGGCACCGATAGCCAAGGCTCGCACCTCAAACTACACGACGATGGCCGCAACGACCACGACCGGAATGAACAAGTCACAGCAGCAGGCTCCCATTCTCCCGTCCGCGCCGCTAGCAACGAAGGATGAGAAAAAGGAAGAGAAGAAGGAGGATAAAAGGGAAGAGGAAAAAAAGGATGAAGAGAAGAAGGATGAGAAAAAGGATGAGAAAAAAGATGAGGCGGAGAAGAAGAAGGAAGGCGGCGAGAAGAAAGATGAGGAGAAAAAAGAAAAGGAAGAGGAACCGAAGAAGGAAGAGAAAGAGAAGAAACTCAAGAGCGAGAAAAAGGAGAAAAAAGAGAAGGAACCGTCGCTGAAGCCCAAAGCTCAGAAGTACACGGAGAAGGAGCAAGCGATCGCTGACGGACAGAAGAAGAAAAAAACAGACTACCAGACGATGGACGATGTTGCCAGTGATTGGGAGGATGAGGTGAAGAAGAATAGGAAGAATAAGGCGAACGAAGAAGAGAAAGAGAAGACGGAAAAGAAAGAGGTAGACGAGGAAAAGAAGGAGGATGGAGAAGAAGAGAAGAAGGACGAGTAAGTTTATTGAACTCTTATTGCTGAAGAATCGCTAATGAAGGGTTTTTTTTTGTATTTTTTTCAGAACTTTCTAAACCTTTTCCGTTCAAATATAAATAATGTCTTTATAGTTTTTACTAATCATAAATATCCCTAAGAAATATAGATCACAACAAAGCTCTTTCCGAGTTCGTTGTTGTCTCCACTCCACGACTCGTACCGTAACTTGCACTTGTACTTGTTCCTCCGAGAGATATCAAAAATAGAAAAATGTAAACATTTCGTGTGAACGCGGTAAATGCCGACATCTTCTGAGCAAACTTTGACGTGATAGCAGCTTTTCAACATCATTTCAGTAACTTCTGATAGTGAGCAGATTCTAGGCAACAGTTGCTGAAGTTCTGCTTAAAAGATGAAGAGGTTTACCGAGAAGCTACAAAAAGAGAGCCCCCATTTGATTGTCTCGTGACGTGAAACCATAAAATAAAAGCGAATGGGATTCGTACTCGTCGTTTCGATTCTGAAATTGAGCGCTGCCGCCAATTATTCGACGGAAAGGATTACTGTATTCATGCGAACACACATATCATTGAGATCGGAAATTTGAGCAGACAGCCGAAGAGCCAAATAGCTCCCGAAAGATTGCATTGCATCGGGAAGTTGTTATTATTATTGGTTTTTGGCAGGACAGATTTGGACCTTTGGGGAAACTTTAGTATGTTCTTGTACAGATTCGGATTGTTCTTTGTTCCAGACAGAATTGTACAATCAGAGACTTTCGCGGAATTGCTTGTCTCGACAATGACAAACATAAAATGAGTTTGGTTTTGTGCTCGCTCCAATTGTCTGCAATCTTTGAGCACAACCGATTGCTCTTTTCAAGTGCAATTCTTTTATTTTTACTTTTTGATGATAACCAAAACTAATCAGCATTGTGTGCTGCACTATAATATCAGCATTGTGTTATAAATCTTTAGCTATCGTACTCGGCTTGTCACCGCCTTCTAAGCTCCGCCCCTTTCCAGCTCCTCGAGCTCGAGCTCACGAGCCTCATTTCCATTCAATCTCACCGCCGCGTCTTCTCTCCATTGCTTCTTCCTTTTTTGTGCTCCAAAGTGTGCATTTCTAGAACCAACCATGATCATCGTGTCGATGTTCCGTATCCTGTTCGACGTCGGAATCCTCTTCCTGTTCGCCTCGCTGACTAACCCCCGCCAGGACCACCGTAATCCGTACTGTCTGATGCTACAGTACACCGCCGTCCCGTTCGCCGCTCGTCTCTTCCCCGATTTCATCACTCTCGGCACGGCGAAGCTCATCGAGAAACCCTCTGCCGCCGTTCTTTCGTCTGACGTCAATACTGAACCGAAAGCAATCCTTCCGCTTCGAGTCTCGTATCAAGAGATCAAGTTCGAGATGAGAAATGCCACCTCTGAAGAGAACTTGTGAGTAAATAGTCTGTATGTCCCCTTTGGTCATTTCTTATTCTTCTAGCCTTGTCATGCGCGACAGTTCGTTCAAGTACTTCCTGAACATGTCTGTGCTCGTCTTCATGTACCTCGGAACACTTCTCACTTGGGCAGCCGTCCGGAAGGCTCAAGTCAGCGGGCAGAAAGTGGATATGGGCAGAATGAGAAAGACATTTTCTCTTCTTTTGTACCTGTGTATCTGCGCGGTTTGGATGTGCTGCAATACGGATTATATGAAGGTATAGCGAGAAAAAGATGGAGAAATTGAAAGAGAGATTCAGGCGAATTGGAGTCACTTGCGAGACAGTCGGTACGGCACTGCGATCGTTACCAACTTCATGGCTTGGAGCTTTTTGGCTGTCTCGGTCAGAAATCTTCCGAGTCTTCTTTCTCATTCTCATCTAATTTCAGATCCGTGTGTGCTACCACTGCATTCAAGTGGTCCCACCCAAAACGAGTGCTCAATGTGGTTTCCTGCAACAATACCTGGCCATCCTCAACATCTCCGTCTGGTACTCGTTCGTCGCCCTCTACTTTGCCTGTGAGTCCCTTCACTCATCCATCTCTCGCTCATCCGTTTTGCTCAGATGACTTCTACAATCCGTGCACATCCTCCTCAAAAGATCTCCACGTCTTCATGCCGTTCGACGAGAACGTCCTCGTCTCGCTGATCTTCCTCGCCTCTTTCCTCTTTGCTCCGCCGTTCCGCTATCGCTTCCCGCTTCCCAGCTTCTTTGTGATGCGCCACATTGGAGGAGGTCTTCCGCGTCTCCAGGAGCACCTTCGCAACCAGGAAAGGGCGGCGGCGAAGAAGGCTGCGACAGAAGAGCACGTGAAGCTTCACATGGAATCCGACGAGCAAAAGGACGCCCCGCCAGCCTATGAGTCTGCTTGATTGGAAATAAAAAAGAAACACCGTTCCGCATTACCCAATTATAATCCTTCTTGTTAACCTCAAAATCAGAAAAAGGAATGTCTGTAATCCTCCTGTTAATAAAACATTCTGTGAATTATGAGGAAAAGAGAGAAAAGTGTTTCTGGCAAACATTTTCCTTTCTTCCGGAGAGACTAGCATAATAAGCTCAAAGATGATGAGGAGAGAAGAGCCATAAGTTGTCAGTTGGCTCCAACTCAAAGATTATGACAGCCCGCGGCGAGCCCCGGGTCCGATTTTTGAGATGCACCCGCCAGATATTGCACAAGTCCGCCCGCCTGCCAACCCACTCTCGGACCCCATCAATCTTGCATTATACTAACTTTTATTTTCGCACTTTGTTGTGTGACAAATTCGTTCTCTGCCGTTCTCTGTCCTGCGTCATCTCGACAAACACACTTGTTCGAGCATCCGAGCATGCCGCCTCGGATCAAAGACTGATTGGTACTTGACCGCAAGGGAGGTGAACATGATGTTGGATCGGGTTGGATATCCCTTCTGTTCTGCTGTTATTACTATTGTGTCATACGGTCCCGACTGTCACTAACCTTTTCCATTTCTTCTGCCATTCCTTTATCTCTTCTCCTAATTTTCCGCTTAATTGCATCCTTCTGAGGGCGCCCATTCCGATGAACAGATTAGAATCTCTCTGCCCGGCGGGGGAACACTTTCCACACCTTTTTTCCACTCTCACATGATTTATTGCTTTGCTTGCGTGTTCATTTTCCAAGTCTGGTAATTCTAGAAAGCGATTATTATGACGTGGCAAAAGGAAGAACATCCCTTCTCACCCCCCTTCCCATACCCCGCCAATTCTAGGAGCCCACATCCAAAAGTGCTTGATTGCAAGACGCTATGGTGCATCGGCCGTCCGTCGCATCCCCCAATAGTGCTCCTCGTTAGTGGAAATTGTGTTAAGCATCGCTAATAATGGAAGACGAACACATGCGTGTGCAAGTGCCTTCCCGGACGGACAAAACACTCGAAAACTCAGTGCCGGCTGCCAGATTACGATGCACACAATATCACCCGAAACGTATTCTTCGAGCCCTCTCCCTTTTTGCAGTGAGTTTCCACAATCAAATGTCATCTGTGCCCCAAAACACTTGACGATTGCGTTTAGTGAAGTGATTGCAATTCTGAATTCTGAATTCCACTTCACGACGGAGCGTCCTATTGTTTTGAGGTGAAGACTCCATCTGTCCCTTCAACCGTACGCATTTCGCGCGCGCGCACCCTCATCCCGATCCTCATCATTGTCATCTGGCAATAACACAATGTGCGCGAGTTGTCTTCATCACAACTGACTTGTTTTTCGTGCTCCGACCTTCGGCTTCTTCTCGTCGCAAGATAGATTCATCAATTTATCTGCTCATTACTCTTTGCCACCCGTCAACTTGTCATGTCCGACCACAAAAGAGAACAAGTCCCGCCGAGACTTGCTAATGAAAATGTTTTTATATTTTTATATGTGTCAACGTCAAAAGGAAGAAGAAGACTCTTCCCTCTCTTCTCTTCCAGCAGCTCCATTTTTTTCTCCGTTTCCGTCGAGCTCCTCTCCTCCATTTCCGCGTTTCATTAGCGTTTTATAGGCGTGTTTCCGACCGCCCTCACCTCTTTTTTCCCCTCGTTTTTGCATCGCTTCCCACCAAATGCAGCCTCCCACTCATCAAAAAGTGTTGGATTAATCCCCTGCCAGTTGAAAATTTCAAACTTTTCCGTCCGTTGGGTGGAACGAGGAGAGACGGACGAAATCGGTGTGGCTGTCACAACGATTATCGCCGAAATGGTTAGGTGAGGAGGGGAGAGGAATGAGAAGACGTGGAAGAAAGAGACGAAACACGGGCAACACGCATATCAACTTAGGGAGAGGGTTCTCCTCGTGTTGGTTGTAATACCGTACAGGTAACAATGTTTATCATCGTGCCACGTCACACTACACCCACCCGATTCGAAGCCGTCGATTTGCATTCAACTATCATAATCCGGTGGCATGTTCACTCCGCGCAGCTCATCCTTTCGAATATTTGCGGAAACAATAACAGGGCGAGAAGAACGAGGTCTTTTGCTCCGTGCTCTTTCTTTCTCTCTGTACATATCCTCTGCTCGTTAGACACTACTTCTCGGGGGGCCCTGTTTGCTCACTTCTTATTAATATCTCCTTCTTGTTCTAGGGGGGCTACGGCCCCTCTCTATTTACCTTGTTTTAGTATTCAATTGGCTCCTTCGTCTTCTTCTTCTTCTTCTTCTTCTGTTGCTTCCTTCCTTTCGCAGAACCTTCATTGTTGGAAATCCCGCCGCCAAAATTTCATAATCTTTTCGTTCTGCGTATGATTGAATCACACTTACAAGATTCGCGTACTTGTTCCGCCAACTAGACTCCCCACTACTACTACATTACGCATTCAGTCATCTTCTGCTCATTTCTACTACATTCGAGACATTAATTTTTCATCGTTATCGTTCTAGAGTGCCTTTCAGACAGCTTCAAATGAATTCCGAGCGGCTTTCAAGGCCTTTCAAGGTTCCCCAAACGAAAACGAATAAAAGATAACGTGCTCCAGTCACGAAACGTTTCTCTTTTTTGGCGCGTTTCCTTTGGCATTCGAACCGCCCTTTCGCTCTTCCCAGATACCGACTAATCTATGTGAGCTCTGAGAAAACCCTCACCGCTTCGTTTAATATATTCCGTCGTGCCTCACGCAATTTCGCACTTCTATTTATAAGCAGATTCCCTCTTCGTCTAAGCACCCGCTTTTCATTTCACAATTTGCTAATCAAATGCTCTTCACACTTTACTCGTTCTCGCGTGCCCCGCCCTCCTTATGCTCACTTATTCGCTGAGCTTCAAGGTCCATTAGTCAGAGAAGGTACATGCGTCCTCGCCTTCCGAGGGACACAGGCAGATCCTTTGAATGTGCCGCTAATGGAAAATGGCTAATTTCGGAAGGCTCGTTGCATAATATTGACCCAGACGACAGTGTCTTCTTTGTTGCGTCGAAAAAGATCAAATTTTGTGTCATCTTCGGTACTCTTTTGAACATTTTCTTGGCGAGTATCAGAGATGTATCCCGGGAAACCCTAGCCATATTTGTGCTCGTTTGTTCCTTTCGCTCCTTTTTTGACCGCTCTGCCCTGCGGACAGATGCTCCCCCCTTTCTCACTAATTACCTCTACCTGCTCATCCAATTTCCTTTGTCCCACTTCCCTTTTTCCTTTCTGTACTCTAATTATTCTGTGCAACATTCCCAGCGGAACGCTCATTTTTCACAGCCAGCCGCCAACCGCCTCGTAAAATTCACACTCAATTATATTTTTCGTTGAGAACCAACGTCTGGTTGCCACAACTAGTCAAGTCGATCTCTTTTTTAAAATTCATTGACATCACGCCATGGCATTTCCCCTCTAAACTTGTTGGCCGAGAAGGAGGGAGGGAGACGGAAAGCTTGTCCAAAAAACTTTGTTAGTAAAAGTTGTCTATTTTCCGTCGCCCGTCTCATACCTTTCCTTCGTGTTATTTCCGGATTCTCTGCAGCCGTTTGGCTTCAAAATCAAATTTTACACCTCATTAGTTGGCGAAATGACGTGGCAAACACTCCCACTGCGATAATTATGCTTGTTGTAGTAATCCCTGCTAATAATCCATGTTTAGTTGCATAAGAGATCGAGAGCCACCTGCTCGGCGAGAAATAATTGAGGGAATTCCGGGATGGTACATCTTCTGACAGGTGTACCTCAGATAGTTTGTTTTGATAGGAGATGACGTGGCGAGGATTAGGATTAGCAGTGCAATTTTGGCAGCAGACAACGGTCGAGGAGAGTGAGAAAGTTCCGGTGTCCAGTTCTCGATGGACCTATATGGCTCACCGTCACCCGTCTGCAATTGGACGCTTTCTTACGGTCAGGTGTCTCCATTTACTGCCCCGTAACCTACTGCCTCCACTCCATTCTTATGCTCACAGCGTGACGCCTTCTGCTCTTTTCCTCACTCGCTCACTAGAATTCCTCTCCGCTGTGTTGCTTCTTCTTCTTCTTCACGCTCCACTGCTCGTTACACACATTCTTGTGCTCCTTCTTTTCATCATAATTTCACCTTGCCACCTTTTTTCTTACCACACTTTTTGAGTAGTACGAATTGCTGCTGCTGCTGCTCAACGAATTGCGAAACGAAGCAAAGCAAGGCACATAATTGTTGTCGGGCCCAAAGTACGAGTTTGCCCATCTTTTATGCAAATTAGCGCGACAAAGTTCCCCCACACCTTTTGTTCGTTTCGCTCTCTCTCTCTCTTCTCGAGCTCCGCCTAGCATCTGCTGCTTCTTATTATGTAACACAACTGTTTAGACTGTGGATTACATCCTATGGCACCTCTGCCCAGAAGCAGAATAAGAAGAAGAAGAAGGAAGATACACTGTGCAAGAAATTAGTTAGTTTATACTGCCGACACTAAGTGTATCTCCTTCTTGCTTCTAAATGTAAACACTCCCATTTCGCTTCTCCCAGCTCACTTTCATTTTTGACCTCAACCTCAACCTCATCAGTGTTTGTTATGGCCACATAGAAGGTGTCATAATGTACTTCCGTTCCATTTCGGCAAACATGACGTGGCTACCGTACTTGGAGACCGTTAGTCAACAAGTCCATTCTTTTCCGATGACCACTGAGGCGGACACACAATTGTTGTGAATTCCGTTGTGTGGAACGTGAACGTGAACGTGCGAAGGTCAATCCCTCACCTCGATAATATTATAGTAATCCTATTTCATATTTAAAACTGGCGTCGTTATTCCCACCACAATTTCATAACCAATCTTCTTGCCTCCTTGAGAGATTTGCACCTGTCCCTTCCACGTGGCACCTGCTGCTCACACCTTTCGCTGCCTTTTAACACCTTCAACCCATTCTCTCCGCCTTCCTATTTGCCCACTCTACTTCCAATGTATGTGCATAACTTCAGTACGTCCGTAGTAAGTCAAAACATAGCTCTTCGAGTCCGTATGCTCTCTCTCTCTCTCTCTTCCTCCCTTCTTGTGCAACCTGACACTCCTTGAATTCCTCTCGTGTTCCTTTCGTTTCCCCTGCTTCCTTCAGCATTACGCAACAAAGTGTGTGTTTCCCCCATTACTCCCCGCCCATTTACTACATCACCATCGCACAGTACACGCACACACACACACACTGACCCGTCTTCTGTTCCGATCAGAAATAAGGATACCCAAAGAGCAGTTTTTCATCTGCTGCACACCAAAAAACTCCTCACTGCTCGCTGAATAGCATGTGAAATCGAGAGGGTAAGCTGTTTGCAAGCACTCGAATCAGGGCCAAGCCAAGAGAGATTTGTTACCATTATCATCCGCTCGTTTTCTTTTCCTCCCCTCCTCCCATTTTCTGTCCTTCCACTTTTGATCATCGTGTTCATCGAAACGAAAACCTCTATTGATCTTGTGTTTGGGATCAGGATCAGCTGAATCAGTCGCTCTCTCCCCCGGGTAACTTGACACCCGTGCACAGCAGTCGGGAGCCTCATCCTTTGTACTTCTTCGCCCCGTCCGACTCCATTTCTTTTCCTCATATTTCGTTCACCTTCCCTTTTCTCTTCTGTTCTTTATCTTTCTTTCCTGTGTGTTTATTTTTCTTATCTCCTCATAAATACCTCTTTGAAACTCCATTCTAATGTTCTATTTTCAGAAATGTTACCTCGGATTCTACTGATGCTACTATGCCTCCTACACGTATGTCACAGCTTCGGGAAGTTCAAAAAATGTGAACCGATAACAATTCCACTGTGCAAAGGAATCGGCTACAACATGACGTCGTATCCGAACAGTTATGGCCACGAGAAACAAGAGGAAGCCGGTCTGGAAGTGCATCAATTCTTCCCGTTGGTCGAGGTACGATTTGCTTTACTTTTCGCATGATTCTTCTAACTTTTCCATATTTTCCTTTCAGTACGGATGTTTCGAGCATTTGAAGTTCTTCCTCTGCACAATGTACACTCCAATCTGCCAGGACAACTACGACAAACCGATTCTACCGTGCATGGAACTGTGTCTGGAAGCTCAGACCAAATGCAGTCCGATCATGAACAAGTACGGATTCCGATGGCCCGAGACCCTTTCCTGTGATGCTTTGCCCAAAATGTCGGACCAAATGACTACCGGGAACATTTGTGCGGCACCGCCAGACACGCCGAAAAAGCACAAGAGCGGACATCATCATCAGAAACAGCAGCAATCCGAACTCCGTCCTCAAGTGGGAATCTCAAAGATCGACAATGAAGTGCTGGTGCCCAATTCGGAGTGTCAATGCACTTGCAATCAACCATTCCAGTTTGTCACTTCGGAGAAGGCAAAAGTGGGCAACGTTTCCAATTGTGCCTACTCGTGCCACGCCCCGGCTCTCACTGAAAACAAGGCTCTCGTGAGCAACTGGTTGGCCTTCTGGAGCATTACTTGCGCAGTGCTCGCCGCCTTCACCTTCCTCACGTTCCTTATCGAGACGGACCGATTCCAATACCCGGAGAGACCAATCTTCATGCTCGCCTTCTGCCAGCTCATGGTCGCCGTCGGATTCATGATTCGTTACTTTGTGGGACACGAGGAGATCGCTTGCGATTCCATGAGAATCAAGGGAGCCGACGATAATTCGGGCTCCCTTTGCTTCGTCGTCTTCCTGCTCACTTACTTCTTCGGAATGGCTGCCTTCGTCTGGTGGGTCATCCTCTCGCTTACTTGGGTACTTGCCGCCGCTTCCAAATGGTCCCCCGAAGCCATCGCCTCGTTCTCCTTCCACTTCCACGTCGTCGGATGGTGTCTTCCTGCGGCTCAGACTGTACTTGTTATCATTTTCAACGCCATCGACGGAGATCCCATCACCGGAATCTGCTACGTCGGAAACACGGACATCCATTTCCAACGGGTATTCGTTCTGGCGCCTCTTCTCGTCTACTTCCTCGTCGGCGTTTTCTTCCTCATCATCGGATTCTTCAACCTTTGGAGCATCCGGAATGAAGTTCAAAAACAGCATCCGTCGTTGGAAAGTGCTCACAAAATCACTCAACTGATGTCAAAGATCGGAATATTCTCACTTCTCTACACAATTCCCTCTCTTCTCATCATTTCTGTTCTCTTCTACGAACAGAATCATCGGCCTCTCTGGGAGCAGTCTCAGTTGTGCTCATGCTCTCCGAAACAACCACTAGGTAAGACAAAAATGCAAAGAGCAACAGTTGACTAACAGCGAATGTTTCCAGGAGATTCTTCGCTCGTCATCGCCCTACTCAAGACCTGTTGTATGTGCATTCTCGGCTGGACTTCTGGATTCTGGGTGTGCAGTACGAAGACGTTATCCTCCTGGAAGAATGCCATCTGCTGTTTGGGTAAGAGCTCTTCCACTCGTTTCCTTCTCATCAACTCCTAATTTGCAGGCGGATCCCGATCGTTGCCCAAATACCAGCCAGCAGACATTCTGTACGCCAAGTCAGACATGTCTTCTCCGCAATTCTATAACACAAACCTTCGTCACAACCACATTTACGGTGGAATCCCTGACAAACTCTAATAGTCTTCTCTTGTGATCTTTCAAAGTGACCTCTTCAGGACCAATCACCTCCTCTCAAATACTTGTAGCAACCTTCTTCGATTCGAGCTTTTATTCCCTCTTCTCTCGTCCCAATGATCTCACAATCCCGGCATCTTTCCCACCTTTTATTTATAGCCTTTTTTTCATCGCCCAATCTCAAGGATTCCATCATTTCATTGTCATTTTACTGCCTGTCCAACGAGCTTTCTGAATGTAAATATTGTAATGTATTCGTTCTCATAAACTAAACTGAATCAATAGTCAATAGCTCTTTTCAAGAAAGCATTAAACTTCTGATAACCCGTTTGGAAGTCAAAGAACCGAAGATCAGAGCAGCAAAGAGCGGCAGACTCTCCGCGCGGCTCATTCCCGTTCGAGCGGCGAGTCATGGAATGACCGGACTACAACTTTTCCGATTTCAGACAAAATTACTCTTATTTTGGCTCGGCGGACTATCTGAGGACCGCCTATCACTGCACTGCCTCCCTGATCGTTCCTCTTTCTCTGTTCACTTTCTATGCAATCCTAAACGCTACCCCAAAACGAATGAAGAGTATGATAGTACCTCTGCTGATTGCTCATGCATGGAGCACAAATCTGGACCTCGTGCTCACTATATTCTCTGCTCCGTACATTTTCTTTCCAAATGCTTCTGGAGTCCCGCTTGGAATTCTGGGGTTAATTGGCATCGGAGTGACTCTACAACTAGTGTCTCTACAACAAAAGGCTGGGTGCTGCAATCTGGTCATTTCTGACTTTACCAGGACTGTAATAGGTTTTTAGGTTGCTCTAACTGTCTCAATTACTTCCTTTGGTCATATTCATTCAGTTTTCACCCAATTGGACCCACCGTAATATCTGATTAGGTGCAAGTAGCCTAGTATTAGGTGTTCTAGTGATTTTCAAAGCCACGTGGCATCTTCGGTGATCCGCTCATTCTGTCAATCCCTCCAGTTCCAATTATGGCACTGCCGAACCCCTTGCCACCTTTTTGCAATGTATTTTCTCTTCCCCACTTCTTTCCCATTCCACTATTTGTCGTTATTTACAGTCATCCCCATAAATGCTGTCATCTTCTCAGTGTGCAAACACTCGCCTTCCCTTCTTTTCTAGAAAGCGTTGCCAAAAAAACGAATGAAATGTTGCGAAGAAAAGGGAATTAGTGTAAATAGTGTTATCTAAACATTGAAATCGAAATGATTCGAAACTTTTTCGAGTGAAGTGATAAAATGAGCGGGGGCGGCAGGTCACAGACCTCCCTGATCACGTATAAAAGGACATCTCGAGTCGATCCAAATCACCGTGCAATGGCCAGATTCCTCTACCTCCTCCTGATCTCCCTGCTCCCTGTCTCTGTTTCCGGATGTGCTCCGGGTACTGGATCTCTCGGCACAAAAGGAACTTTCGAGTACGATCTGATTCCTCCGATTCTGTACACCTACTCGTCCAACGACATTTCGCACGGACAGATATCCGCAGAGTACGCCACTCGAGTCTTGACTTCGGACCTTCAGAATGCGGTGAGAATTGGCAAATGAAGCTTGAGTATTCTGACTGTTTTCAGATCGACGAGGTGCTCCTGGCGAACAGCATTCCCTCGAACGACGTCTCGCCCCCTGTCACCACATTCACTCCACCAGACGTCGATATCATTGACGGCTCGGCCTGTACCGAGTCGACGAGTATCCTCTATCTTCTGTACAACAACGTCGTCTACTACAAGTGCGAAAACAGCAAAAAGACAGTGTTCTCTGTGGCGCTGAAAGTGCAGATCACAGCCGTTCAGGCGATTTACGAGAGTCAGTGGGAAGCGTTGGCGGACCAAGTTGCCGATAAACTGACGACCAAGAGGAACGCCCAGTTCAACGGCCCGACCATCGTGACAGTCACATAATTGTTGCGTTTTTGAATAAACTTTCTACATTTTCCTCATTATTTGCGCATTTTACAACAGAGAAAGATCGAGAGCAATAAAGGAGTGCCATTCAGAGGAAAAGGAGAGAAAAAGATGACGTGTTTGTACAATTTACAACTTCTTTTTGTCTGAAGATTCCTTATAAAAAGCTTATGAAAACTTATAAAAAAGAGAGTCTCCATCCTTCTTCTGGTCGTCAAGATATGATTTCTGCTCAGTTACTCATCTTCTTTTTTGAATTCCCTCTTCTGATTTCCTCGTGTGGATCCGACATATCTGGTATCAAGAAGCATAGAGTTCCTCCCGAATCTTCTGGAGACTTTAGGTACATCCTCAACGTCTGCCGAGTTCGACATTTCTTTCTTTGCCCCACTAGCCTACACGTATCCTCCAGATGACGCCGATCTCGTTCCCGGACAGTCTCTCACTCTCGCCCTCGCCAACAGCAGAGTCAAGACTGATTTAGATTTGGCGGTACGTTATAGAGAATCGGTTTGGGTTGAGGACTTTCCCCTTCAGATTTCGAAAGCACTGAGTGATAACCGATTGTATCTGCCTTCTGCCCCGACGGTGAATTTCACTTTCACCCCACAAAAAGTTATGATCGCCGACGGAGAAGTTTGCCAAACCGAAGGAACGTACATCGCTGTTTCTGGCACCGTCGTCTACAAATGCACTTCTGCAGCGAGCGGATCGACGGTTTCCCCAGGGACCGGAAGCACTCAGGTTCCGACACGACCGTTCTGATCTGTGCTGACTTTTCTCTAATTCAGGCGACTTCCGACTCGACGGCCACCACCACTCAAGTTGACACGACGACGAGCGACGATAAAGTGAGAGAAGATGTTCGTCACTTTGATGATTGTGTTTATTGGGGCGTACTCGAACACTATGATTTCAGATGGATCTGATGAGAGCTCTGCCACGTCAGAGGGCAGTTTCGGGGGTCAAGGCAGCGCCGTTCGTGCAGACTATGACCGTAACCGCCTCAATCTCCCAATCTCTTTTTGAAAGTCAATGGAAACAAATCGGAAGATCCGTTCAGACGGCGCTCGAATCCAAGAAACTTCTGTTCAATGACGAGATCACTGTCAATCTTCTCTAACCTTTTCTATTGTTCCATCATACAGCCCTTAGATTTTTGAACTTTTTTATCTTTCCAGAAGTATGTACAAAACAAAAATGAAATGTGTCTATCCGCTGCTTCCTTTCGTCTTCGCGTTGTCCGTGAATCGGTCGCCGAACTTAGCGTGAACGATCTCGTGGAACATTTCATAACACGGCCCACTGAATCCCTTGACCTTCTGTCGGAAGTTTCCAGACGCGCACATCTGATTGAACACTCTGAATTGACAATGTGGCATGAAGAAATTGAAATGCAAATTGTTACCTGGTAATAAAACCGGAGCACTTTGGACAGGATCCATCAAAGCAATGGAAGGCACAGTCCTGTCTCAAACACTTGTTGATTTGAAATATGTCCTGATTCGAGTCGGCGACGCACTTCAACGCACAATCCAACAGAGTCGGACAATCTTCAAAATGTCATCATTCTGTCCAATTCCCAAACGAGAGCCCCCACCATTCGACGACTTCTCTCCAGACAAAATGTCGACAATTTGAAGTTTAGAGGAGAGACACAACGGGCAATCGTTGCACTCGTCCTGGCAACCGGTGGTGAAAATGCAGCCGTAGTCGGTGTACTGAAAGTAAGTGTTTTGATGGCCGATGGAGAGGGGAAAGGGGGCGGATGGTGATTGATACCTTATCGATATCGTCGTACATTTGCGCAGATATGTTCTTGTTTTCCACCAGTTTTGAAAGGACCGGCAACTGAAATTTTATAGGATTTGTACTTTTTCTGAATTCAATAATCTTCGAGAACACACCAGTTTTAGGCTTACTTTTTAATAACAAAAAGCGCGAACATCCGTCTGAAAACTCACATTGACGCATTTTTTCTGAATGGAGCACTGGAGGAGATCTCTGCACTGTCGGTTGATGTTCGAAACAGCGTCACCGGCGGCGGCCAGGAAGGAAAGTGCCAACACCCAAGAGGTTATCATTCCCGCTCCTGCAACCGGCTGATAACGAGCTACAATGAAGTCGGGAACAAATCGAAAAGTTCGGAGATGGAAAAGATGACAAACATTTACAAAACAGCTGTTCTTTATGGAAAACGATAAGAGAGCTACAATGAAGTCTGAAAACGAATGGAAGACGTCGACGGAGACGTGTGTGTCCTATGCGGTTCTCGGGTTCTCCTATTACACTTAGAAGACGGAAAAGGAAAAAACAGTGAAAAGATACTCGTCAAGGTTCTCGATGCCCACTTCTTCGGGACTAATTTGATACCAGAATCTCTCGATGCCGTGTTCTTCTTCCTCTCTCTCCCTCTCTCTCTCTCTCTCTCTCTCTCTCTCTCTCGCATAGACTGGTAAAGCGGAATACGAGATGAAGAACTTATGGAAGAACTGCCGCCGGGATCGCCATAAACAAGTGTGGACACAGCTAGCCGGCGCGATTTTTGTACGATGGCGGGGCAAACGAGAAATTGCATAACAAGAGGGTGGTGTTATGGCAGAGAGGAAGAAGACGATTCCCGGATCCTGTCTGCTGGTGATCGCATCATCAGAGAGGAGACGCCGCCCGATTTTCACGCGTTTTGGAAACGAGAAAAGAAGCGACTTCCTGTGCACTTCACGGAGAACTGCAGTAGGCTGCACTTGCAGAACTTATCTTCCAATGAATCTTGAAGTCTTTGGAAAACATTCCCAAAAGTATTCAGTTCGTAGCCTAGAAATTACACCGTAATTCTAAAGAACCGATTCGAATATTTGGTGACGAGATGCAACTGTTCTTCTGAATATTTTCTCTAGTTTGGTGGTGACAAAGTGTGTAGGGTTTGACTGAGACAGTCTGAAGACTAATTGTAGAACTACTCGGTAAAGCTCTGAGACTTACGAGCAGCTTTTGGGCTCATATCAACTTTTGAGCAACACATCAGCAGCCAAGATACTTTGGTTTTAGCGAGAGGATTCTTAATATGTATTTTCTCGAGCTTCACAGATCGTCGACAGAATCGAAGCGCAGATCGTTCGACCCGTGTATACAAAACCATTTCTGTGGACCGTTCCCTAGTCAAATGTTATCCAGAATCCCTTCCGCACTACAATTTAGTCTTCTCCCATTTCATTCCAGACACGAGAGCAACAATCACGCTCTCGACACTCGTCACCGCGCGTTTCCCCCCAATTATCATCTAAAATGTGCTTCGCGTTGATAAGAAAGAGGAGGAATCGGGCAGGCGAAAAAGTATAAAATCGGCAAGGTTCCCAGTGCACTCTACTCTCGAATCATGCTCCGTTTCGTGGCTCTCGTTCTGCTCATCTCCGTCTCGTCGGCCCAGTTCACCGATTCGTGCACTTCGGACGTGTACACCACCATCAAACAGTGCTACGTGAAATACATGGCCGGATACAACATCTCGATGACTGACACGATTCCCGAGTATTGGGACTTCCACTACACCCGCAGACAGCTTCTCGACGACGACGGCCTTCACATTCAGCCCTACGTTTGCCAGTGAGCATTTCTTTCCTGAAGAACATCTCTCATTTTGTGCTCTTTCAGACTCGGAAACGCGCTCAGCGACTGTCTGGCCCCTTATTCGTGCATGGGACCGAATGCGTACCTCCAGATGAACGCCGCCAACGCCACCGAAGCCACCGACTACTGGATCGATCTGGCAGTCACTCAATATCAGTGCGGAACCGGATACAACCGTAATTAGCATTCCCCGCAACCTTTTTCATGCTCGTTTTCAGTGACAATGACCGAGTTCTACTGCATTGCATTCTGCCGGGATCGCTACCAGCCAGACGTCGATCAATGCGATGCTCAGGCTGCCATCGACATCCAGAATGGAATGGATCCGTGCGCGTGAGTTATCCGGCTTCTCCGAAACTTCTGAAATTGCCTTTTTTTAGTGCCCAGCAGAAGGATTTCAACTGCCAAGCTGCCATTTACCGAAACTGCTGCGATTGGAATGCCGGAGTGTACATCTGCAACGTCGATCTAGCAGGATCGAAGGCCGTCAACCCGGCCTGTGTGAACGCCGGTCTCATTACTTGTCCGGCTCCACGATAAATGAACCAAGAAAGATTTTTAATGAGGTTTTTGATAAATTGAAATAAAAACACAACAACAATTATTGTAACAAGATAACAAAAAGAGGAAAAGAGGAACAACCGATCAGTTATCGTCGCTGTAGTTTCCGGTGTCGATTTCGTCTTCTTGAATGTCCATGCCTTCGTCTTCTTCTTCATCCTCTTCCCCTTTCACCTCTTTCTTCGCTCCATATCCATAATCTGCGTACTTGTCCGAATCGAAGTTCTTTCCGTCGAACCGTTCGCGTGCTTCTTTCCGATCTCTGGCAGTCATCTTGTCTCTCACCGCGTCCGACATTGTCGTTTGGCGATCGGAGACAGCGTTGAATAGTTGCACGACACCCCTGAAGAAATCAAAGTATCAGAAGACGTCCAGCGACGACCTTTAGCCGTCTGCAAAGCTCACTTTGTAGCGACGCGTCTCAGATTTCGTTCCTTTTCCCGGTCGGTCGTGATATCCGGCTTGACAAGGGCCAACTTGATGCGGTACTCCTTCAGACTCTTCTTCAAGCTCTGCTCTTTTCGTGTCAGCTTCTTTATCACCTTCTTCTTTCTCTGAAATCAGATTATGTGTCAGTTAGTCAATGAACAGACAAATTACCTTCTGAATTGCAGGAAATGCGACAGTATCTTCTGTATCTCTCTCTGGAGCATCAAGAGACGATGGTCCTTCCTCGCCGCTTTCGCCTAAACAAGAAAACCAACTTCTCTTATTAATTTTTAGTTTAAAAATACCTGATGATAATTCCTCTCTTTCGTTGTCGTCGTCTGAATCTTCGGTGACAACCAACCGATCGCGAGTTTTCGCAGACATTTTCCGCAGACGGGAACCTTAAAAGAAAAAGTTTTTTTGACAAAACGATGAAAAAACGAAGAATAAATGAGCGCGGAGGGCGCTACAACGAAGTAGAACTCGCACGGAATGGAACTGTTACGATTTGGAACTCGCAATTGTATTTTAACGTTGCGAGTTTCAAATCGTAACAGTTCCATTCCGTGTGTACTTCGTTGTAGCGTCGCTCGGAAATGCGAAAATTTACAATGGAAGAGGAGATGCCTCGCCTCGGCCAGCAAACCTAGGCCACGGCCCCGCTGTGAAAGCGCGGCTGTTCAAATTTGAATTTTTTATGAAAACGTGCATTTCCGTAAATTCTTGGAATGCAGAAGAAAAAATATGATTTTCGTTGACTTCTCGAATGTTTATCTTGACTTTTAATGTCTAAAGCCGCCTACTCGGTGAGAAAATGAGAAAACTTCGTTAAAAAATTGAAAACCCGACGTAAACGTGTCGTCTTCAGAAGCGGCTCAAGTGTCTTCTCAACGATGCCATCCTTTTCACGTTTCGCTTCGAAAGATAGCATTTACTCGAGGCAAGAGCAAAGAATGGTTCCCACCCACACCATTTCGTCACCCGATAGTGTCGCCCGTGCTTCCGATTTCTCAAAAGAAAATGGAACAATTCTTTTGCAGATATTCTTCGTCTTCTGGCTTTTTCGAAGAATATCATCTATCGGAAAGTCGAAAGTTTGCTTCCGTGGCGAAAAAGCACAAAAACGGAGAAGCGATGAAAAAACGAGCATTGTTCTCGAAAGTCACTTATCGCTCGGTTAACCCTATTTGCGGACGCTTTTTGTTTTACGACTCCTTCTTTTTCTTCTTGTTCTTGGTTATGTAACACTTTGGTTTGATGCCTTCCGTTTTCGAAAAAAGACGTGAGATAGATGCTTGGTCCGTAGGTTTCCCTTTAATTTAACCAATTAAAGTGACACTTGCCAGGAAGCACTTGCTCGATATTTCAGTCGACAATGAGCAGTATTTAGCCTATTTCAAGCCGAATTAACATCTTTAAAGACGAAAAATGCAGACTCCAGAGATTGTTTACCTCTCGCCCTGACCCCCCACATCGGCTCACGGTTTTTCGTCTCATGTCGCCTGCTCCGAACACAATTTCCGTGTTTCCTTTTGGCGGATCTTTTGTGCACCACACCCATCCCGTTTTCTCCTGCGAAATCCTCCATTTTTCTTCTATTCGCCATTCTTTTCGTTTGCAAGCAAACCCGAAGATTCGTTTTTTTTCTGACGTCTTCCATGGTTGCAATGTCTGCGTATGTACTTTATGAGTGAGTAGTGCGATGGAACAAATTCTTCTGAAAATCAAAAATCTCTCGCATAATCTCACTAGTCAGTCGTTTTTCTCGTCAACCTAGCAATTATCAATCGGCCCATTTCCTGCTCAATTCGTTTCCCTTCCAAATATTGCGCATCCTTTGCTCTCGCGTCACCCTCAGTCAGATGATCATTTCCATTCAAAAAAGCGCTTCGGCGGGGGTTTAGGTCCACCCGAAATCGGTCGTTTCTCTTCTTTCAGACGATTTTTTCGCACGCCGAGATTTACTGCATTCTCGATTAGTCGCCAGGACTCCGCCCATCGCCGCCAGGCTCTCCTTCCATGAATATTTCTCATTTCCTGGGAGCCGGTCCCATTATTCGTTTGCCTTTTCCTTCCGTTTTAACTCTTGCTCGTAAATACTGAAAGTGACGTGGCAGCCTCGAACATTCTTGACAAATTGCCCCTCTGGCGACACATTTTTGATATGTTCTCTCTCCTCAAACGTTTTCGACGCGTCTCGCTTTTTTGTTGCCAACTCGAACTTTTCTTGAAGACCTTCCTTCTTTCGAAATGAAACGAAACTACCTTAAACTCGCAGTCTTACAATTTTTTATAGTAAGTTTATGAACTTAACGGTTTCTCGTGTGAACAAAAGCGAGTTTAGGCGATGGGATTGGCTCAGCAGAAGCAGTTGCTCAAGTATTTGTTCAGAGATTATCACAAAGAATTGAGGTGAACGTTTCAATTACCAGAATACCGTAATCTATGAATTGCAGGCCGGTGAAAGATGAGTCGAGTGGCCCCACAAATGTGACAGTTCAATTGTACTTCAAACAAATACAAAAGGTCCACGAGAACGATCAGATTATCACTCTGTACTGTTGGATTGAAGAGGTATACTTCCTCCATTCCCTAAAGTGTACGGGTTTCTTTGCAGTACTGGTACGATGAGTTCTTGACATGGAACCCTGAAGACTTTAACAACATCAAATCACTTCATGTTCCGTCGGATATGATTTGGAAACCGGACTTGTTGGTTTATAACAAGTACGTGTAATTTATGCCTCTCCCTACTGAAAATAAGGTTTCCAGTGCTAACATGAACATTAAAGAGAACGAAATGCAGACGAATGTGCAGATCGAGCACAGCGGAAAGATCTCGCTCTTCCGGTAAGCTCGCGCCTCTTCATTTCCCATTCCAGCACGCGTGGGAACTTCCTTCAGTTATTGACGACTGATTGTTTTCAGGGCTATTATAACCGACATCACTTGTGACTTGCAAATGGAAAAGTTTCCGTATGATCAGGTTTGAGAAGAAGAATCACTACATGTTAATTTGAGTTTTAGCAAATCTGCTACATAATGCTTGCTTCGTGGTCTTACGACGGCTCCCAAATCATGTTGAACACTGCCGAACAACCGACGGAGACGCCATTGGACATCAAGAACAGAACAAATCTTGCCGTTCTCAACCACTACATTCCCAATATGGAATGGAAGCTCGTCGACTTTCAATACCGCAACAACCTCAAATACTATGACTGCTGCCCGAACCCTTATCCCGACATATCCTACTTCTTCGCCATCAAACGGAACCCCAGCTACTATCTGTTCACTCTCATCATTCCCTCCGCTTTCATCACCATCGTCACTGTCATCGGCTTCTTACTCCGCACTCTTCAACTGGAGAGAATACGGAGAAAGTCAGTCTGGGAGTCACTGCCCTCCTGTCTCTGGCCATTATTTGTGAGTGTCCGTGTCCGAACTAACATCCGTCTTTTCTTTCAGTGATGATGGTGTCGGACAAGCTTCCGGCTACTTCCAACTCTGTTCCGTTGCTCGGTCAATACTACATCGGACTCATTTTCATCATGTTCCTCGCCACCTATTGTACCACATTCACGCTGGGAATTCAGATGCAAGGAAACGCGGTAGATCATGCATTCATGCTCATGAAGTTGAAGTGAGAAATGATGTTTCAGGGTCGGCCAATCACTCGGAGACTCCGATCGTTCCTTCTTTCCATCCGAATGAACCGCAACTCTTTTGTGCAGTGGTTCTTCGGCCGAGAGCTGATGAACACTCAGGAGAGCATCAAAATGAGACTGAAGAAATACGTGAGTCCTCGTTTCTGTACTCCCCCCGTCCTTTGTCACTTGTCTTTGTCATTTCGCTCCCCTCAATCTGCTTCATCACCCTGTGACATAGCATGTGCCCATCGTGCTCTCCAATTCTACAGGACAAACTGTCGGAGCTGAAAAAGACGTTCGCCAAGGGTTTTGTGCAGTTTCAGCAAAAGTTACTCAAGACCGACGAGCCAAAGGTATTGTTCGTTTTCATTGAATTTGCCGCACTGCTTGGAATGCGTCTTTTTTTGAGTTTAATGTAGGGATGCAGAACAGGCGCATGCGCCCAAAATCGCCTATTTTGCATCCCTAGTTTAATGCATGATTTGAGTTGTTTTCTCACGCAATCCTCCGTTCCCTACGTTTCCTGCCATTTCGACTGACATTTCACGAACAACGATTTTCGTTCAGCACAACAAGACGTCGCTGGTCGAGCAGGAGTCCGTCGACAGTTCGAAACTTCTGGATCCGGCAATGTACAACGTGGTGGTCGATGTGCTCAGTTCCGTGCAGTCAATCAGACAAGATCTCACATCTCAGGAGCATTTGAAGAGGATCAGAAAGGAATGGCAGATGCTGGCGAGGTTTCTTTGAATGTCTGAAGCCTTGCAGTTCATAAATACTCTCAGAATGCTCGAGAAGATCATCATGTGGGTGTTCATCCTTTCCACAGTCGTCTTCGCCTCTTTCATGCTCTATGATACCCAGGATCCTCCATATATCACAAATGAAGTTATGCGCTCAAAATCAACGTGATGGTCAGATCTCCGATTTATCATCACTCTTCAGAAAAGACAAGACCTGTCTTCATTTATATAATTCTGTAAATAAAGTATCTAAAATGAACATTTTTCCAAAGAAACAGTCCAATAGAGCACAAGGGGCCACGCCGAACCAGAACTGTCCCGAATCAAACCAATTAGCACTGAAAATAGTTCTGATTCGGCGTACCCTCGAGCACAATTGTCTCGACACGACAACAAATTACAATTTTGTGACGTCGTGCCTTTTCGTTTCCAAATTGACCAGAGACTCGTTTGGCAAGAGACACAGACGCGAAAAAAGTAGATAAGACGGTCAGCAGGTTCTTTTGTGTTTTCCCCCATTCCGTTCGTCTTGTGACGTGGTTTTCAATTGAATACAACGCTATTTTTCGGTTGTTTGCAAAACATGCTCGAGTTGGACAAGGACAAAAAGTTTTGATTGGATGCATTGCGAGTTCGTTCATCTTCTATCATGTACGGTATAGCAACCCGATCTCAACTTGAGCCCTTTCCGTTCGTTTCAGACAGCCCGTCAAGTTTATTCGTACATCAATGCGAAATCCCAGGAATGGGTGCCGATTGGGCTTGTTAAAAGTCTTCACATCTACCCGATGAAATCCTGTAAACCAGTTGATGTGAGTGTCAAGAATTCTCCGAATATTTAAATGCCTTACTTTTCAGTTATTTGCGTTCAAATGCACAAAAACTGGCCCCGTGTTCGGCGAACTCGAAGATCGCGCATTCCTTTTGGTGGATGAGAACACGGGAAAGTGAGTGCCTGCATTATTGATCATTTAGGTTAATTTTCATGCTCAGGTTCATAACTGCTCGCCAGAAACCGAAGCTTGTACACGTGGAATGTCACGTGCAAGACGGTCACTTGCAGATCACGGTCCCCGGTCAGCCGACGTTGAGTGTCGACCTGAAGAAAGCAGAAGCGAGCGGAAGACTCATCCGTGCCTCGTCAGTTTCTGACTCCCACGCATTTCGAGCACTTATTTTGCAGCCTTTTCGACAATCTCAAACAGGACGGGTACGACTGCGGAGACGAGGTGGCCGCCCTGCTCTCCGAGTACATCGAAGAGCCCGACTATCGTCTAATATTTTACAAAGAGGGTCTTTACACGGAGAGAACATGCGTGCCGGATGACGAATGGTGGAATAGTCCCGTGCCGAGGAGAAAGGATGATGTGGGTGAACCGAGAAGCCCAAATTAAATTATCATTTCAGTCTGGATTCACCGATCTGGCTCCGTTCTTGATCGCCACAGAAGCGTCCCTCAACGCGTTGAATGATCGCTTGGAGAAGAAGGTAATCATCGGATGCAGCGGAAAATGTCGAAGACGTGCTTGCAGGTTACTTCTCGAAACTTCCGTCCGTCCATTTACATCGAGGGCTGCCTTCCGTGGGACGAGGACAAGTGGGCGCAAGTGCGCATCGGAGACGCCGTTCTCGAGTGCTTCGCCCCGTGCACCCGATGCGTCCTCACCACCGTCGACCCGGAAAAGGGCGAAATGAGCAAGGAGAACCAGCCGTTGAAGAAGCTTCGAGAGTTCCGATTAGTGCCGGAGGGCAAGATGCGGAAGGCGCACAAGGACAGTCCGGTGTTCGGAGTGTACGCGGGCATCCAGAACGAGGCGTATATCCACGTGGGACAGACCGCCTACGTCAGATACAAACCCACTGCGTTTTGAAATGATATCAATAAACCTTTTCATGAATGGGCTGTTTTTTCATGCTACAAGTGACGAGGAGTTATCACGTACAAATACGATAAAAGGAAAGTTGCTACAGCGTCAGTAAGATTCTGATAGAAAAAGGGAAGTGAAGAGAGAGAAAGACCCGGGCGAGAGTGAAATGACAAGGAAAGTGTATACAGATGGACCCCTAACCGAGAAAATTATTTAAAATTGTTCACATGACTGTTCAGAAGCATTGGTACAATCGGAATTTGGCCATAATCGGGATATGGTCGCTCGGAACACTCTTATTCGGCCACGGAACCGTGTTCTGCAGACTTTCAAAGGTGGGAAGAGTGTATCGTTCGAGGAGTTGGAGTCTTTCGACGCCCTGCAATCGGAAATTGTGCATGTTTTGATGGGGACGATACAGACCATGTTCGAAGTATCCGGTGTGTAGAAGATGAAGTCGGGCGAAGCGGAATCCTTGTGATACGTCGAGATAGGACGCCTCTTCTCTGTGCTCCTGGGAACATTGTGGTGATAAGCGGAAACGAACTGGAACTGATGACGGAGGTACCCGTCATTACGAGGAATCGGTGCGCCTAAAACTCGAAAGAGATGAAGAGCGGAAGTATGTGGATGGCATCCTACCCATTATACGGATCCTCGAATCCAAATCGATCATAGTATCGCAGAGCAGTTTGTCCGCACAGCATAACATTCCGTCGGTTCTCTTGCTCTGCCCACTCATCGAACGCACCAGCTCACCGTGTACTAACAGCCTGAAACATTGTGTGCTCAGTTTTTGAATGGACTATGTCTCGGCCTTCTTTCGATCTCAGCTGTTTTGCTGATCAAACTCACTGTCCGGTGACGATGAAATCGTAAATTTTCGAGTACGGCTCAATGTTGAAGTCTCCAAGAACGATGACTGCCGGATTGAACATTAAAAAGTTTTTGTGCATTTGGTGAATGTTCGCGAAAAGTATGGCAAGCTGTGCTAATTTCACGTCTCCACGCTCCTGATTGAAAATGAGATGCGTGTTGGCGACTATCACGCATTGGCACGTCCTGTGGCACTGAAGAACCATTAATTGGGCAATGTTCTCGCGGTTCGACGTGGCGTTGGGCGACACGAAGAAGTTCACTTCTTCGTAACCGATTTGTTTGAACTTATCCGGACGGTAGAAGATGGCGCATCCGTCGTCTTTCTGCGTAGTTCCGAACTTTCTTTTGTATGCTCCCGTATATCCAACTGAAATGATACGGTTCAAGACAGACCACTACATAGAAAACTTACGGCCATTCATGAATGGGGCAAAATCATCAGTAAAGTGATCTGCCTGCACTTCCTGAAGACCGACAATATCCGCCTTGAAATTGCGCAGTTCGGTCCTCAGACCTTTCCAACGATAATCCCACTCGAGCAGTCCGGGTGTGTTTCTCAGATGTTTATAGAGGTAACTGGTGCGAGCGATGGTCTTCTGACAGAGAACATTATACGAGCAGATTGTGAACTCAGTCGACGGTATGCTATTGATAAGTGGCTGCACTCCCTTCACTTGATTCCATGTTCGAAACAGTTGCTGTGCAGCGTCGACATTCGCAGTCAGCACACTCTTCGACTCTATGCTGTCTTTCTTCAGGGTCTGTGTCCAGAACGTCTCGGCCTGCAACTTAATCTCTTCCTTGTTTTCTTTTCTAGTAAATTATTCTTACCGTAGCTGCTTCATACTGTGTCATTTTCTTTAGTGGTGGCGAATTGAGCACGATGATATCGTCGTCGTCTTCGTCGTCGTCGATCTCAATCACGTTGATGGGTTTGACGGACAAACCTGAAAACAGAAAACGGCGCGTTGAGAAGTAAGATAAGCAGAACGTCAGAGAAACGACGGGAGAAAAACGATGTAAGGGCAGTTGTTATCAGTCACTCAAGGCGGCGAAGACCAAGGCGTTTGCAAGCGTGCCCTATCGCACCGCACATATTTGTCGTGTAAACAGTGGGAGGCGCCAAGATTCTGGTGTGCTACTGGAGTAGCGGGCAAAGGACAGACGTTTGAAGAGGAACGAGAGATTAGCGAGGAGGGTGTGTCCGACAACTGTTTGGCTCCGCTCAGCACAAACGCGAACAGCAAGAAAACAGGGAACTTAGTGATTCGGACAGTTCAAACAAGCTCTGATCGACGGAAACTAATTATTACCTCCAGCCACAGCCTCCTCTTTTCCAACGAGCTCTTTTCGATCCAGCACGTTCTTCATCTCATCGTTCTTGTCGGCAGAATCCTCAGTATCATCAATATCAATAATGTCACGTTTCGGTTTTTGCATAAAACGATTCTTTGCGACTATAAACGTATTTTTTTTTAGGAAGAACACAAAAATTCCATACATACTCCAACTGGAAACGATGTTTGTTCCTGTGCTGCCTTCAGATTCATCAATGACAATAGTCTTGATCGGTTTTGGCGGTCTAATGTTCATTGGAGGTATCATAGGTCTCTGAAAAGCACGAAGTTCAGATGGGGAGCACTGAGCTTTCGGCTAACGGACAGAAGGTCGGCTTCTCGCTTCCCGACGTTGTTCTTCCTGGAACTGGGTCCAAGAGAACGTGTTGATGCGGCTCTCATACTCTATTCTGTTCCGATTCATGATGGCCCTGCCTCTACCTCGGCCTCTCCGCCCTGCCATAGGATACGGTGTGTATCTAGACATCGGGTGCTCAAAATAGAGTAGATCAAAGTCTGACTGTTCTGAAATGGTTAGATATTTTAGTATCACGAGTATTCCTGAGCGCCGAGGAGTGTGCGAACTTTATCTCCGTTTTTCCGATCAATGAACATTAATTACAATTTTATTGACCAACTATCTTATCATCTGTTTTGCAATGACGACAACCACTCAACTTTAAAAAAATCATTTTACGTCGCTATTTTTTCGACGTGTTTCCAAATTTTGCCAAAACACAATTAATTAATTTTCGCTCGAAAAAATGTCGAAAAAATTTGTGAATCGAATCGAGGAAACTGTCGACGACGCGCTTTATGGCCTTGTACTCTCCAATTCATCACTCAAATTTCATGAGGTGAGCAAGCAGACACCGCATTATGACACTAAGACGGTCATTCTCAGAGTTGCGAGAGAGTTGTTCTACGTTCCGATCTCGACACTTCAAAAGTTTCGCTGATCGCTGGTGGTGGCTCCGGACACGAGCCGTACGCAGCCGGCTACATTGGAAAAGGTCTTCTGACTGCTGCTGTTGCTGGAAATGTCTTTGCTTCTCCACCATCTCGAAATGTGCAAGCGGCTTTGGAGGGAACGAAAGGAAATGGTAAAAATGCTCCTAATTTTATGCAAAAGCGTTTGCTTTCCAGCTGGAGCTATCCTTTTCGTGATCAACTATACAGGCGATCGCCTCAATTTTGGATTGGCTGCCGAGCGCTTCAACGCGTCCGGAGGAAATGCGAAAGTGGTGACTATCGCCGATGACGTGGCAATCGACAGTCCGAGCAACAGAGTTGGCAAACGAGGTCTAGCTGGAGCAGTTCTCACGATAAAGATTGCTGGAGCCATGTCGGAGCAAGGAAAGCCACTCGATGAGATCCACGCCATGTCTCAGAAAGTTGTGGGCTCTCTCGGAACTTTGGGTGTATCTCTTTATCCCGGCAGTCTACCAGGAAAGGAACGAGAAGCAGGACTTCCGGAAGATCAAATCGAGGTCGGACTGGGCATCCACGGAGAGCCGGGCAAGTTCCGTGAACCTTTCTCGTTGGCTGAAAAGATAATCGGAAACTTGATGGAAACCCTTCGCACGAAAATGGAGATGGTCGACGGCGAGCAGTTTGTCGTTCTCGTCAACAATCTTGGCAGCGTCTCACAGCTCGAAATGAGCATCGTCAATGGCGAAGTTCTCGAATGGTTCAGTGAGTGGCTCTCTTTTTTTTGAACAAAATGAATAAAACATTAAGAGAATCACAACATGTCTGTGAAGCGATTCTTCAGTGGCGCCTACATGACTTCTTTGGACGGCCACGGAATAAGTGTGACTGTTCTGCGAGCCGACGACGCAATGCTTCTGTATCTCGACTATCCGTGCTCGGCTCCTGGTTGGATTCCTTCTCGTTCTACGCCCGGAACAGCCAACCGCGGAACTTCGAAGAAACCTAGAGTCAGTGATGTGGATGAGTCCGGAGCAACTTTTAACGAAAAACGTGTCAAAAGTATTCTCGAAGCGGTCGTGAAAGCAATGAGCGATTCCGAGAAACGACTAAATCACTTAGACGCGGTTGCTGGAGACGGCGACTGCGGAAGCACATTCGCAGGAGCCGCCTCTGCCATTCGAAAAGCCCTAAACGATTTGAACAAGAGCCGTCCGCAGACGTTGTTCAAGCAACTTTCAATAATTTTTGAGCAGACTGTCGGGGGAACGAGTGGTGCTCTGTACGCATTGATGCTCAGCGCGGCGGCGGCGTGTTTCTCCGATTCGACCGGACTGGAAACTTGTGTGGAGGCGCTGGACCGTGCGAATCAAGCGGTACAGACATATGGCGGAGCGCGCGTGGGCGATCGGACAATGGTCGACGCACTGAATGCAGCTGTGGAGCACTTGAAATCAGCGACGAAACGGGAGGGCGGCAAGAATTTTGAGGAAATTTGTGAGAATGCCGTGAAGGTTAGTGATTGACATTCTTTTTTTTCGATAAAATCCCGATTTGTAGGCAAGTGAACGCGCCGCCGAAGAGACAGCCCATCAAAAAGCCGCCGTGGGCCGTGCCAGTTACACCTCTTCGGAAGCACAAACACTACCTGATGCTGGTGCCACGGCAATTTCAATATGGCTTCGTGCTGCCTGGACAGCGATTCACGGCAGCGTTGGGAACGAATAAGAACAGAAACTCTGGAAACTCGATTGCAATCTAATTAGAAGAGTTTGCAATCTAATAAGAAAAAGCTATATTTCGCAATCTAATCAGATTTAATTGAAGTTCCAGTAAAATCGTACTAGATTACAATATATTTTTCCTGAATTGCAATCTAATAAGAAAAAATTGCAATCTAATTAGAAAACATTGCAATCTAATTAGAAAAATTGCAGTGATTGTAATCTAATTAGACGATTTTGCAATCTAATTGAAGCAAATTCTATTTCAAACGAGTTCGTATTAGATTGCAAAGTGTTCTAATTAGATTGCGATCGAGTTCCCAGAGAAACAAGGAATCGAGATAAATTAACGGAATTCAAAACCATCTGATAATTCAACATTGAAATATGACTTCTAGTGCAAATGCTTTTCATTGAAATAAATGTTATTTTGAATAGAACTAGATGAAAAAATGAATGGAATGTGAAAATATAGACGAAGTTACTTGAAGACGCGTGGCTGCGGCGACGCCAGATTCTTGTTAGTCGCACGGAAAAAGGCTGGCTGGCCCCGATTGTCGCCGGCCACGAGTGGAGACTGCGGGTGCGACTCGTGAGATGTTGTCGCCCGAGGTGACGTCGACTTCGGAGAAAGAGCATCCAAAGGACCGTCCTGATAGTAGAGATCAGTGGTGGCAACGTCGAGTTGGCGGAGACGAGACGAAGAGCCATTCGAGGATCCAGAAACCGACAGGGTTGCTCCGCGCGATGCGTGATCTCGGAGTTCCTTCGCACCGGTGGTTCCTCTCCGGCGATCCATCCGTTCCTCGTCGTCGGAGCATCGATAAGTGAGCTGCGAGACAGTAGATCCGAGTCTCGGACGCAACATATCCGCAGCCGCCTGAATAGATTCGAGAGAGAAACGACGGAGATCGGCTTTGCTGAAATCGTCCGCTTTTCCAGGATTTTTGATCAGAAGCAGATTCTGATATCTCTCCAGCCAATGGGCGGCAAACTTTCCCAGCCGGCGTTTGCCACGAATGTTCTCGCGCAGCACGAACAACCCGAACGGAGTGACGGCTGAGATTTCATTGAAACCGGTTTGCTGAAACGAGAAGTAGAATACATTGGATTAGGGTTGCAGAACAGGCGCCTGTTTTCGCCTGTTTTGCAAAATCTCCACATTAAAATTGCAAAACAAGTAAAAACAGGCGCCTGTTCGAAAAAATAAGAAAGACTACTTTGATGAAGTAGATTGCGTTGTTGATGAGACAGTTGATCGGCCTCCCATATTTTGGCACCAGAAACAGTGACTTGCGAACTTCCTTCGTGGGCGGCGGCAACTCGTACTGCAGAATGCGTCCCGAGTAAGTTCCAAGATGTAGAACCGGTGGGGATCCGTGATAGAAACGGTAAATGCAGGCGCAGAGGATTGAGTCGTAGTACTGGGACCTCTCGAATTGGCACTCAGTCTCCCACGTTAATTTGTCGTCGGCAAACTTGAGACGCCATATTCCAGCCGGGCCGATGAACGAGGAAAGAAGAAGACGTTGCACATTATCAGAAACTTGCGGCAGAAACTCGACGATACTTAGCGGGCCGGCAAAACGGAGACGGGCGCTGGAAAGAATGAGATTGGGACAGAAGAACACACGCGGAAATGTACCTGTCAAGAATGACGTTTCCCTCTATCATGCACACAGAAACAATCAGAACACCAGTGTCCAATCCAACTGCACTGTACCGATACTTTTTGCAAATTTTGCAGTCAGTGCGCAGAGCGCCGCCAGGAAGATTGGTCAGCGCCAACGATGGGAACCATTCGAAGACATCCTCGATCTTCCTGATGAACGTCGGCTCGACTCGATAAGCGGACACTTGAGCCTCCTTCGAGAAGACGAGAAGACAGTGCTGATGACCGGTGAACTTCTTCCGGTCGGTCAAACGACAACACGCGACCATTGATGGAGAGGGAATAAGATCGCAGAAGATCACATTCAGATGTTCCGTGATGCGGAAGACAGAGCCAAAGCACTTGAATGGTGTGTTGTCTTTCGAAAGCTCAATCCAGAAAACGGCGAGAATGGCGAGACAGTCTCCGGATTTTTCTAGACTCAGATCGCAGCATCCCAGCTCGAAAAGCCCTCCATGAAGTTCCGATTGCACGGGCAGAAGGCTCACCAGATTGACCGTTTTCCACTTGCTCTTTCGACACTTTTTGTCCGTTGTCATGGCAATGTTACCGTCGAAGGAAAGGACGGCAGTGATCTGATCGATGCTCGAGAATCCTGTTTTCTCCCAGACGTTGAGCGGTAGCACGTGAGCTCGCAGACACTTATCGATTGAGCTGCTCGTTCCTCTCTTCGTTTTCAGAAACCATTTTGTCTTTTTCGCATCGTGCGCTCTTTTCAAGCAGGAGAACGCGTGATTTCTCTTAAAAATTTTCAGAGCCCTTTTCGACCGCTTCGCCACCACCCTCACGTTCATCCCCATCTTTCTCTTCTTCTTCTTCTTCATCTCCGGCATCTTCTTCTCCGGTGAGCTTTTGTCGTTCAAGTTCATTGGCAAGTTCCCGTAATTCCTCAAAGATCTGAATTGATTCCTGCTTGTCTGCGACCGATTCGTCCAATTGCCCGTAAAACTCGTGCAGCTTTTGAGTCAAATCGTATTTCACAATCGACGCGAGCTCGTTTTTGTTGATGGCGCACGTCTGCGGAGCAATCTTCTTCCGGATGAGACTCGGTTCGATTGGCTTATCGAGTCTCGCCTGTTCGTCGACAAAATCGTTTTCAAACTTTCGTTCTTCGATTGGAAGTGATGGCGTCGGTTCTGAGAGAAGCTTGAACAGCTGGTCGTTTTTCAGTGATTCGATATCTTTGAGAATCGACTTTGAATCGATTTTCTGTTTATCTTTCACGGCTTTCAGACGTTTTTCTGAATCACGTATTCCAGTTATTCATCAATGTGATAGGGTCATTACCTAAAGCTGCTAAGTAGTTGGAGTCCGGCTGCCGTTCGTTCGCTCTCGCGGCGAACGCATCCGACATCAAAATTAGGCAGGCCGAGGAGCTTTAGATGGAACGGAAAACAGCTGAAAACATCACTTCTGAATACTTGGCGATTAGAGAGTCTTCAAAAAAGTAATGATTGTCGAGTTATAAGAATAAAATTGGAAAATCGATTAAACGAAAAGTCGACTTTCTAAAGGAAAAAAATCGGGAGAACGGAGCTTCGTTCGCGCCCGTGTTTTAGCAGAATTTATAAATTTTAGAGAATGCTGAACAAAATGTGTTGATTTCGTTGTGAATTCAAAAATTTATAAAACGACTGACAGAACTTAACGTGTTTTTCTCAGAAACAAGAAAATGATGAGTGGCTGTCCACTAGAAATACATAGCGTTTGAAGTTTTTCGGCCACGGCCACCGCGGAATTTTGAAACAAATTCGACTGATTCCGAGGATTTTAAAGTTGATTCCGAGGATTTTAAAGAAAGACATAATAGAACCGCGACATAATAGAACCGCGACATAATAGAACTACGCATAATAGAACTGCGCAGAATAGAACCGCGACGTAATAGAACTGCGCTGAAGAGAACCGCGACACAATAGTCGCGGTTCTATTCTGCTCAGTTCTATTATGTCGAAAGTTGAAAATACGACAAAAATGAAACACTTAAAGACTGTAATTCCAAGAGAGTAAGAATTAAAAATTAACTCCGAGATCATTAATAAGTGTTACGTCCTCGTGCCTGCACACATTTTCCCATTTTCCTACTATAAACTGCAAAGCTCACGGGAGAAATAGAATTTTCGGTCAAAGTGAGAGGAAAAGAAAATAGAAGGGAATTTAGTTTCGTGGTTTGTGATTCCTGAGTCCAGCTGCTGCACATGTAATTAGCTAAACTGGCACCTACATTCATTCATTTTCTTTTCGATCGGTAAATGTCTCAGCCGTCTTGCTCCTATTTTCTCGTGGAGAATCCCAACAAGCCTGCAGTAATCCCGGTATCTCTAGCCATTACTGTCATCTCAACATTGCTCAACTTCATCGGATTCTATGTGATTCTGAGGCAATCAAAGAAAGAAACGAAACTTTTCCGTTTCGTTTTATTTGGCAGTCAACTCTTTCTCTGGCTGGCACAATCCTACTGGGCGATCGCTCTGAACACTACGAGTTTGTTCCCATTTCCAGCCATTTACAGCACGAGCATCCTCAATGAGCTCACCTCAACACACAACCTTTTTGTGAGTGAACTCGTCTCAATTTTACTTCACAATCATCTCAACTTCAGTATGTTTGGCTGGTATTTCTAAGCTTATTCTCCGTTTTCATGGTGGCCATTCTGGTGGTTCGCCATCGAATGGTGGTCAGATCGGACAGCATATTCCATGTAAAATAATCGGATAAACTTTGAAAGATCGGTTGAGAATTAGTTGCTTTTAGTTCCCGGAATGGTTTTACGTGGGCGGACTTGTCGGCGGTTGGATACTCGGATTAGCAATATTGCTCTTGATTTGGAGCATTTGCAACTCGACAGAGCTGGAGAAGTACGAATACGTTCGACAGGTTCGAACAGTTCCGTGTCACCGCAGTCCCGAAACTCTTCAGTTTTTCCCTAATTGTCTGAAAGTGTTCGATTTGCCCGGTGTGCTCGTCATCACAAACGTGTACGGTCTCTATTCACTGCTCGGTCTCATTGCTATGATCGGAGCAGCTGCTGAGGGCGTAAGTTGGCTTTACGGTGATCAGAGAAAAAAAGGAGAGTTGAGATGTACATAATTGCCAGTTGCATCGTGCTTTTCGAGCTGTCGAAACAAACGAGCCGAATGAGCATCAGCACGTTGAATCATCACAAAAAGATCGTCATCGACACGGCTGTGCAGGTGAGACAGAACATATCATTTTAGAATGAATGAAATCACCTGCTCGAGTACATTCACAGAATTCGCGTTCAAATTGTCTAAAGATCCAATGTCCGGCCAGGACCCCCACCGTTCCGCCATAGTTTATTATCTATTTCGGGAATAGGAAATCGGAATAAGAAAAACCGAGAGAAACTTTCAGATTGTGATCAAGTCAATATTCCTTTCGACGTGGGCATTCTGGCTGGTGACTTCTTACTTCATTGCATCAGACGTTGATACAAGAGGTTTGAGAAAACGAAAATCATTCGAAAAAGTATTTTTCAGTAATTTCGATCGTTATGAATTCGTTGTTTGTGTTTGCGCCGATTCCGGGAACCATCTCGATGCTCATTCAGAATACCACTTATCGAAAGTTCGTGCTCGACAAAATACTGCTGCGGAGACAATCGGTCGTCAGTCCAGACATGTATGTTTTGCATTGATGAATACATGACGTTACATAAATTACAATTTAAAAGAACGCCTCTGTTTTATTAGTGCATACTGTTGGTCACCTCATGAATGGGTTAGTTAGACAAATGAAAATGATCGGGGTGATGAACCGAATGAAAGGGAGAAAAGAGAGATTTGGAACACGGAATGGAATTATGTGAGAGTGGCAAAGTGGACGCCCATTGCGTACGCGAGAAGAGACGATTCGACGACGACGGACGAGTCGAGAGCGTCGATGTAGGACATCAGCCGGGACTGTTCCACAAGGAGGACTTCGATCGATTCCGTGCTATCGAGCATTTGCACCGGATTGCGGTTCTCCGGAGCGTCTCCGTCGACGTCAACGACCACAAGACACTGCGAGTCGTCGGTTAGTCCGGGGTCCAGAAAGCAGAGTTTTGACCTGGAATGATGGCGCATCAGACTAAGTTATCAAAGTTCAGAGCACTTACTCATTGACGACCTTTCCACTCGTGTACCCGGTCTCTTCCTTGAGTTCTCGGATCGCCGCCTGCTGAGCAGTCTCTCCATGATCGATGAGTCCGGCCGGCAGCTCGAGACACAGTTTTCCGGTCGGAATACGGAACTGCTTCACGAGCACTATAAACACTTTTCCGTCTTTTTTTACTCGCGCAATGATAGAGACTCCGTCGGCGGGTGCTCCAACTGGCTTTGTGTTCCGATGCACCGATTGCCAGACCTGAAATAATTCAAAATTTTTCGAATGAAAGTGAAAACGCGTACTCCTTCTTGTCCGTTCTGAGTGCGGAATCCTACTTGTCTCGTCTGAATCCATTTTCCATTCCAGACGACTTCCTGGTTGAAGAGTTGGAACGGGCAGTTGACGGGAGTGACGGTGGTGTCCTGGGCGACGATGGCGACGGTCGGAGCAGCGGATGGAGCTGGCGACAGAGACTCCATGGCCGCTTAAGGAATGGAGTATGAATGAGGAAGGGTCGTGGTGCCACTCGATACGTGAAGATCGTCAAACGTGAAAGAAACAAATGCACTTTCCAATCAGTTTGGGACTTGTGTACACATTGGTGACTGGTACGGGGCACTCTGAACGATTAGTGCATTACAATAAAATGCAAAAAAAGCAGAGCGCTGTTGGAAAATGTACGATCTGTTCAATTCGATAGAAAACTGTTCCGGTCACACTCATAGACATAAACAAATTTGAATTTGCAGATTGCTGAACATCTGTTGCAGACGTTTCAAAATTCACTCCACCCATAATCTTCAAACTTCAGTGCACCCGATGCGGTTCTGTGCTCTCGTAGGAGAAGCGGAAACAAGAAGTCTCGTGATTCATCCACACCCTGCTTATCATCAGAAATGCAAGACATTTTAATCCGGAACACACAACTGTAACTCTTGAATTTCGTAAAAACACACTAGAAACGTCAAGAGTTTATCACAGAAGAGTGGGGCGGCTTAACACCCTTTAGCGTCCTTTCCCCGGTTCGCGTCGGTGAAACGACTGATAGCGAGGCAAAAATTCCTGGTTTTCTTGTGCCTTCCTCTCCGCCTCGATCAGGGCCTCAGACCTAAGGTCAAAATATTTGTAAAAGAGGCTTTTCTTGTTCTCTCTTTCCGGAAACGGTTTACATACATAAAGTGTGGTCTGATTCTCCGGCTCTTCCCTCAATATTTGACCAGCTGTGTCCGTTTTTTACGAGAGTTCACACCTTTCTTTCCTTCCACAAATAGCCCAAAACTTTTCAGTTTTGAACCGCCACAGCCATGAAGCTCCTATTTCTTCCCTTTTTGGCTCTTCTGAAAGTTCTAGTTTCTGGGCAAAACTTGAATTATGACGGTATCACTGGCCTGATCTACTCGCCCAACTATCCGAAAGACTACGATAACAGCGCCAACGTAGTATTCACTATCACAGTTCCTTCCGGTCATTACATTCATCTTACATTCCTCGATTTCCTGACAGAGGATTCCTATGACTACTTGGCAGTTCAGCAAGGAACAGGTGATGAAGCGGAGCCTATTCAAAAGTAGGAATTTCGGGATCACATCAATCAAACATTAACTTTCTCAGCTACTCCTCCATTTCCGGAGATCGTACCGGACTTTCCATTGACATCACCTCATCGGAAGCCACGCTTGTATTCACCAGCGACCTGACTACAACATTCCGAGGATTCGCCATCAGATTCGACAGTGTTTTGACTGGTTCCGAATACATGCCAACCAACACGTGCTCCAGTCCTTTGCACAGCAGCGAATTTGGCATTGTGACCTCTCCCAGCTTCCCCGACAACTATCCGAACAATATCTCCTGCTCATATTTACTTATCGCCCCTGCATCCCATGTGTAAGCGTTTGTAATATGACGAAATTCGAATTAGCTCGCGGAGAAGCATGACAAATGGTGCGTCTCTGTGACCTATTCTGACTTGAATTTTCTTTATAGAACTGTGACTGGATCCGGTTATCATTTCAGAATCACTCTTCAATTCGTGGCATTCAACACAGAAGATGGCTACGATATCGTGTACGTCTATGACGGATCCAACAACTCTTACCCCCTAGTTGGAAAGTGAGTTCTTGCGTCAGAGCGTTGAATCTAGTTCGTTCGAATTGGCCAGGTACTCTGGCAAGAAGGTTCCAGCAACAATCTATTCAACCGGAAACACCCTGTACCTTTTCTTCCAATCCGATCTTGTCAACAACTTTTCCGGCTTCTCGGCCCTTTACACAAGCGCGGCAGCGAGCAATGAGTTCAGAAGAGGAGTTCTTCCACAGGTACAGTACACCCAACCAATCAGTCTCCCAACAGATATTCAGTCCTACACGGCGGACCCAACACCCCGTCGCGATGCGAATATTTTGAAGTGGCTGAAGGACAAGAAGGGAGCAGCAAGTGTTGGAGGAGCCAACAGTATTTAGTAGTCAACTGAGTCCCTCGCTCTTATATAAATTATCATTGTTGAACTGATTACAAAAAGCATTTTTGAAAAAAAACGAAAGTGAAATTATGCGGAGATGGTGATAAGGGAAAGTGCGTTAGCAGGGCAAAAAAGTGAATTTTATGTGGGAGGAGAAGCTGGTTTTGAATTGAAGAAAACGAAAGAATGTGTGGGAAACATCTTTTCAAAACATTGTCCACGGTTTTTGTGTGCTTTAGCCCAGCTATGGCACAATAGTCTCAGCTGATCAGAAACCGCACAATCACAAACATTTCCCCAGAAGAATTCTACCGTAGTCCTCGGAATGCAAATAATTTTTCCTGCACAAATGTACAGATTCCGAAAAGTTCCCGTACATATCGCCTAACACAACAAAAAATCGCCAATTGCAAGCTTCGTTTGCCACCCGACAAACCTGTCAAATAATTGTCTGTGCGTCTGTGATAATCGTAAATTGGTTCTTCCCCCCGCCAATCAAATGACTGCCTGGCTTCTGGTATATTTAGACAGATATTTATACCAGACGCTGTTTGGAGGAGGGGCCAGGGGAGGCGGAGAAAGAAAACGAGTGTGTGGCAGCAGCTATTGGCAACGAACGAAGACTAGACGACGAGGCGACGGCATTGTGAAGCACGTCTTCGAGATGTGGACCTTTAACCGGTCAACCACCCCACCACCTATCGGTTATTCTTCCGGAGTCAGAAGAGCGACAGAGGCGAACCCCACGTGGATTACTGTGAATTCCAGTGCAGTTCCGGCGGAAGAGGTAATTTTCTATTGACTCATTGCAAACATTGAAAACCTTTTTTCTGAAGCTCATTCTAAGTGCAAGCCTACCCTGTCTTTACTGTTTTTTTCTAACCCCGATCTGATGGGAGTAGCGGATCTCACGACTCAGCGAAACACTAATTTTTTGCCAACGGTAACCCTCGAAGGTTTTGTGCGGAACTCGTTTGATGATGGCGCAACAAGTCAGATAATGATCTTGAGGTGGCGTATTATACTTTGAGTGCGACACGCAAACGCAGAGCGCTCGTACTTTTTCGGCCGAAAGTGAATTCGCTTTGAAATCGAAGTGGCACTCATCAAGATGGGGGTGAGAAGCGATGTGAACTGGAAAATAAGACAAGCAAGCAGTAATTTGAGATAATTGAAAAGATTGGGAACAAATTGAAAAGAAAATTAAGGGACTTTTTGGCTGAAAAGTGAAAATGGCCGCCATTTTGGGGAGATGGCCTAGCAACTGCTCCTTGCGTTTTGTTCGTCCGCGTGAATTTTTTCGTTTTGTCCGGTTTTTTGCTTTTTTTTGCGGCGCTACAACGAAGTAGAACTGGCACGGAATGGAACTGTTACGATTTGGAACTCGCAGTTATAGTTTAACGTTGCGAGTTCCAAATCGTAACAGTTCCATTCCGTGCCAGTTCTACTTCGTTGTACCGCCATTTTTGCTTTTTTCTTGTTAAAATACTTGATTTTTCTTACTTTTAACTTGCTGAGAGCAGTTTTCATTACAAAATCTTAGAAAAATGAGCAAGGATGATCGAAAACGAAAGCACTGGAATCAAAAGTGAGTAAATTCGAGAAGGTAATTATTTTCCAGCAGCCTTGCAGGGTCAAACAAAAGTCCGTGGAAGCAGGAGTCACTGGACTGTTCTTCTCGTGCGAGGGACACGAGAAACAAGCGCTCCAGGAAGCGTACATCATCATTGAAGAGCTTCTCGCAGACACCTCCAACGGTGTGTCAATGGAAATACCTGTCGTGGAGAGTGCAGCAGCCGAAGAAAAGAAGGAGGACAAGGAGGGTTACGATTCCGATGAAGACATAGCTGACGCTCTGAAAAGAGCCTGCGACAACCAACGTCAGCCGAAGCCTGGAAGCTGTGGCAAAATGAAAGAGCGACGACTGCTTCAAAGGCCGACTGGAGTCAAGAACTGCATCTTTGTCAGTGTGAAAAACGCAGATATTGCTATTTTGGCTGAAAAAATGGTCGAATTGACTCAAAAAGAACCCCGATGCCGATTCCTGCAACGAGTGTACCCTGTAGAGCACACACTGCCTGTGGACCTTGGAAAGCTGAACGAAGTGCTCATGAAGGTATCAGTTTTCTGTTTTTTAATCATATGATTAACTTTTAAGGTAATTTCGGAAAATCTGAGTGCTAGCAAAGCAAGGGTTCCTTCGTACTCTGTCGAATTCAAAGCTCGCAACAACAATTCCGTTTCGAAGAGCGCCGTCCTCCAGATGGTCGATGATGCGGTGGGCGCGCTTGCCCCGACCGCCCGAGTCAGCCTGAATCGTGAGTAATTCAGTTATCGGCGCACTAAATGCGTTCATTCTTCAGACGCCGACATCACATTCTTTGTTCAAGTCTCGCGAACAACAATTATGGTCGGAGTTTGCCACAAATTTTACGATAGTCGAAAGTACAGCCTCCGTCCTGTCAAGAACACGGAACCTGCCGCAGTCGCCGCCGCCGAATAACTCTCGCTTCCCTCCGTCTCCTCTATACACTTTCCGATCGCTGTTCCCGTCGCCTCATTGGCTCAGTGGCAGAGCGTCTGTCTAGTAAACAGAAGGTCGCTGGTTCGATTCCAGCATGAGGCACCGAAACTTTTTGTTGTTTTCTCCTCTGCATTGTTTTTTTTCTAAATATTTGAGTATCTAAATTTCTTTCACCATCTTCGCATCCATCGTTTGTTTCACACCTCACTTCCCAAGAGAGCCTGTAAATTTAAAATAATTTCATGTATCATTGACAATCTGGTAGTGACGTTCCCTCCGTTTCTGTATCGGGTCGACCCTTGCTCATGCTCTACCAGCCAGAAATCCAGCTCTTTTTGCGTGAACTCTCTCGCCAACGCGCGCTCTTTCGCTCTCACCAAACAAACCGAGTAGTACAGGCTCGGGGAGCACACTCTCCCCCAACTCAAGCAACTCGACGCGTCGGGGGGTGTGAGAGTCGAGAGCTCCGACGGTTCCTGAACTTGTTTTCAGCCACTCACAAACTGTCATTTCTCATTCTGACATGCCCTCTTTCACGGTTTCGATTCCAGTTTCACCCGCATCACTGCCTTGACCGACACTCACTTTCTTCTCCTCACTCGCTTTTTTAATACGGAAAGGGGAAGATGAAGAAGAAGGGAAAAGGGGAAGAAGCATTGATTGATGATCACCCTGCAGTCGTTTTTTCGGCGTGTTTTCCTTGGCTTCTTCCTCTTCCTCTCCCCCCATCATCATCTCTTTATTTCTTTTCGCCGACGGCCACCGGCACCTAGTATTTACGCTACTAAGCAGTGGCATTTAGTTGTTGCAGTCGTAAATATTCCCCTCTTTTCGCTTTTTTACCCTCATTATATCTGATCTAGATCCCATGAGAACATCTAAATACGCTCGCCTCTTCCTCTTTTCCTTTTCCAATTCAAGTGTTGACAGAGCTTTGTCATGGAAACCGGCGGGACTCACGAGGTGTCTTCTCGCCCGAGCATTGATACCCTTTCAGAGGGAAACAAAGTGAATCTTGATGAGTTTCAAGTCACTACGAAAAACTTGCATGCGAACAACAATTCTCCGCCCGCTTTTTCGCTGCGGAAAAAATGCGACAAATTTGTTTGTTTTTTGTTTCTTGTAGCCATGACTCGTCAAATGAAAGCGTTGTCGAACACAAGTTCTATCTATACAACTAAAAATCAGAAGAAGCGCCCTTCTCCATTCAAATGCCATTCCACCCATCCATCTTCCATTCCAGCACCTTCCTAATCCCGCCCGAAGCGTGCTTGTGAACCCTCTATTATTCTTTCCTCACTCTTCCGCGCACTCTCTCTCTCTCTCTTCTTCTTCTCTTCTTTCTCCCTTCTTTCACTTCTTCTTCGTTTTTCCATGCTCCTATATGCGAGTACTCTGCGGACCAATTGCTTCCTCCTCTCCGTTTTTTGTCGCTCTCTCTCTCTCTCCCTCTCTCTCTCTCCATTTTGTCTACTAGTTAGTTAGCCCCCTTCGGCTAGTTAGTCCCCTCCTCTATGATATCTTCGTGTCTTTCTCTCTCTCTCTCTCTTCATGTCTTTTTTGTATTACGCACCGACACGCATAATTCTGTGCGTTTGCATGTGTCCCCCGTCCCTCCGCTCGCATTTCTTTTTGCTTTTCCCTCCCCCATCCCACATTTTCCTCCTTTTCTGCTTCTGTTCCATTGTTTATCATTAGGTCCCAAAAAGGCTTTTTCGAAAGCTTTCGGAAAGCAGATTAGGTTACGGTGGAAGGAACGTTCCAATTGTATGCGCAACAAGAGTGTAAAAACGATTACCGTCAGATTAGTTCTGCTCGGATTAAAAATGCCAGTGTCGATTTGGGTATCCAAACTGTGATCGCTTCAAAGTGGCACGCCTGTTAACCGTTCAACTTTTCCGTTTGAATTGCAAGTTCACGCGCTCAATGTGACTAGTTTTTCTGTGAAAATTTGAAATTCGCGCGCTCTGTCGAAAGATTGAACCTACTGCTTTGACAGAGCGTTGAACAGTCTTGGCTCTTTGCGATTTTTTATAAAACATGCTCAACTGCATGGAGCATAGATCAAATTTCACGGAAAGCGCCCATAACGGAGCTTGACGGGTAAAAACGCAAACTCAAACTCATTGCGCATTCCTCGCGAAAGCCTTCTCACTCTCGCTCCCATGACATTCCGGGCAGGGATTCCCATTCCATTCACCCACTTTTTCGGTTCAAAACGACTCGAATAATGTATTCTCGATTGGCTTTCCACCACTCTCATTTGTTTGTTGGGGCGAAGAAAAAGCACTGCCGTTTTTGTCTTTGACTGCCTATTTCTCATTCTCTCTCTCTCTCTCTCTCTTGCCCCCCCCATCTAGTACTTAATTTGGCGGCGCTCGAAACAGTACAACAACTGTCTCTGCCAGTTTCCACTGCATTCTTCATGCCATTTCGCTCGTTTTCTTGCCATTGTTCGGGCGGGCCGGCTGTGTTCGTAGGGTCGCCGCAGAAATGATGATGATGAGGAGGAGGAGGGGGAAGGGACGGTTCAAGGTTGCACAAGACATGAATTTGAGTAAGCAAGCGTTTCCCTCTTCCTCCTCTCGTCCGTCTTTGCCCTTTGAGCTCCGATTTTCACTTTGCCCTATCCGCGGAGAATCGTCTGAAAGTGTTGGGGCATCACGCGATCTGCTGGGGAACAATGTCCAACTGTGCCCCCCCCGCGCCTCTCCCCAGTCCAAACTGACCCTCTCTTATCAGTTCATTTGTGTTGAAACCGGAGCCGCCGAGCGGCTAGAGCTTCTTGTTTCGATTTGTCTAATTCTCTTCGGTTTTCAGCCGCCATTCCATCATATGCCCGTCTACGCGAGGGCCATATTTGGTACGCAACTCTGAGTTCTGAGTCTTCCGCAACTACAGTACTCTTTCAGGATCGTTCCCGAGTGTACAACAGGTAAAAGTAGATCACGGAGAGCAGTTTTTGATGGATTCGCTGAGCAACAATGAGGAAGGAAAGACGAAGGCTAAAAAAGTGCAAGTGATTCCGTTCGATGAGTTTGAATGTGAGTCGTCAGAATGAAAACTGATTGGAGCGAAAACTTTTTCAGTGGTCTCAAACAGTGTGGGAAGCCGTGTGGAGTACGTGAACCCGGAACAGTCTGGAGAGATCATGAGACAAATGCGAGCGTTGCGGGATGACGAACAGCTGTGTGATGTGGAACTCATTGTGGAAGGCACTGTTATCAGGGCTCATCGGTACATTCTGGCGGCGGCGAGCCCGTACTTTAGAGCAATGTTCACAAACGGAATGGTCGAGATGAAGAAGATGACGATCGAGGTGCAGGACGTGCCGCGGGAGTCCATGAAGATCCTCATCGACTACATTTACACCGACAAGATCGCAATCACAATCACAAACGTGCATCAGCTCATTTTCACCGCCACAGTTCTTCAGGTGAGTGCAAAGTGCGAACCATGATAATGCTCTTATCAGTCACAACATGTTCTAGCCAAAAAAACGTTTTACTTTCAGATGGACGTGGTCGTGTGTGCGTGCCAAGAGTTCCTGGGCACAATGATCACATCGCAGAACTGTCTGGCACTGCACGAGTTCGCCGAAACGTACAATTGCACGCACCTCATCTCCTCCACCGACGACTTTGCCGCCGATCAATTCGAGTGCATCCGGAAGCGAGCCGAGTTCAGATCCATTTCATTTCCCCATCTGAAACGTCTTCTCGGCCGATGCGATCTGAATGTGAACGAAGAGCAGGAAGTAATCGAGACGATCGTCACGTGGATCGACGTGGACCCGAAGGACCGTCTCAGACACCTGCCCGATCTGTTCGACACTGTCCGTCTGCACCTTGTCGGATGGAACTACCTGTGTCAAGTAGTAAAGCATCAGAAGTACATCAAGGAGTGCGGCGAGTGCCGCGAAATGATCTCTTCGGCTCTCTTCGACGCGATGGCTCCGCATCAGAAGACTCCGATTCCTTCAGAATACGTCGAGAACACTGCACAGTACTCAGCTTCGATGACGGATTCCGTCCAGTCAATCTGCTCCTCGAATGCTTCTTTTCCGAGTTCAACCAGTCGGATCACTCTGCTGAAGCCCCGTAAGTCGGTGGCCGGAATCATTTTCTGTGCGGGCGGAAGAGGCACAGCAGGAGGACCGTTCAGCAGTGTAGAGGCCTATGACTGGAGGACCAACAGCTGGTTCCCAGTGCCGGATATGATGTCCCAGAGGAGACACGTCGGAGTGGTGAGTGCCAATGGAAACCTGTACGCAATCGGAGGTCACGATGGAGTCGCCCATCTGGCCACCGCCGAAGTGTTCGTTCCGTCGAGGACACAGTGGAAGAAGATCGCTTCGATGCGGACGGCGAGACGAGGAATCGCCGTCGCTTCTATGGATTCTGCCATCTACGCAGTCGGCGGACTCGACGACACCACTTGCTACAAGACCGTCGAAAGGTACAACATCGAGGCGGACCAGTGGAGTACGGTGGCGGATATGGATGTGCAGAGAGGCGGTGTCGGGGTGGCCGTCCTCGGAAAGTATCTGTTCGCCATCGGAGGCAACGACGGAGCATCTTCACTAAACACTTGCGAACGTTTCGATCCGCTCGTCGATAAGTGGAAGCGAATCGCAAATATGCAGAACAGAAGAGCCGGCTCCGGAGTGTGTGTGCTAGACGGATACGTGTACGCGATCGGAGGATTCGACGATAACGCTCCGTTGGCGACGTGCGAGCGATACGATATGGAGACGGACAAATGGGAGAAACTGGCAAACATGTCGAGTCCGAGGGGAGGAGTCGGAGTGGCCGCGATGGGCGGAAAAGTGTACGCGATCGGAGGACACGACGGTGCGAGGTGAGGCAGCTGAATGACAAAACATTGAAAAAGTAATGGATTTCAGATACTTGAACACGGTGGAAAGTTACGATCCGATCACAGATTGCTGGAGGGAAGCGGCCGATATTCATGAGTGCCGTGCGGGAGCCGGAGTCGCGTGGGCCAACGTCCGAGTGAATCAGCTGGGCAGAGCGAACAAGTGCGACTCGGGATGCGCTCCTTCCGGTGGATCCTATTGTATTTGAGTTGCTTGTAAACACTTTCAGGAGGAGACAACAGGGTTTTCTTTTCGTCCAGTTCCCATTGAGTGTATCACGCAGGTGTTGTTCCCATTCTCTTTCTTCTTCCCTTCACTTTTCTTCTTTTTCTGAACATGATTGTATGTATAAATCAGTTTCATAATATGCTTTCTATCTTCTATTATACATATTTACATAAATAACCGGCAGCGGAATGGCAATACTACAAAATTGACGGAAAATGGGTTCAAAGTGCGAAGCGCTTCACTGCCTCACTCGTGATCATCTTGGCGATGGCCAGAGAGCTCGTTGCAGCCGGGGAGGGGGCATTGCGGACGTGCATAATCGAAGAGGAGAGCTTTCCGGTGCCGCTGTCGAAGACAAAGTCATCGACCAGGTTGCCGGCGCTGTCCATTGCTTGAGCACGAACTCCGGAAGGCCCTCTGAAATGTCATTTTAAAATTTATTAAACGTGCTTCACATTCAAACCTAGTGACGTCACTGAGTTTCAGCTCAGGAATGAATCTCTGAAGTTGCTTCACTTGAGCCTTAATCCAGATTCCTCGGTACAACTCCTTGATACCGAATGTGAAGTGCTTTTTAACGAGTTTTTGCATTCCTCTGAAGAAAAAACAATCGAAATATGATTCAGAATGTAGCACAAACTTTACCTATAGGAGAGAGATTCTAGTAGATCACTGGGAGAGATGCTGAAGTACGAGTACCCTTCTCTTTTGTAGGCAAGAACCGCGTTCGGTCCCAGCCAGATGTCTCCGTTCATTCTGGGCGTGAAATGAACACCAAGAACGGGAACCTCGGGTCTGGCACCGGATAGATGTTCGTCTTTACGAGATGCCGTTTCTCCGGCTTGAGAAGAAGATATTCGCCACGGAACGGCACAATCTTCGGATCACTGGAGCACCCGGAAAGGGCGGCAACTCGATCAGAATGGAGACCAGCACACGTGATCAGGTTTTTCGTTTCGAATTCGGCGAAGGAAGAATCACTGGACACTCGGATCGGGTACGAGGGATCGTGGTTATCCGAAATGTTCTTGAGCGGATAACTCGTGAAGATCTGTCCTCCTCTCTTCTCAAAGTCCTCTCCGAATTTCTTCGTCACAAATCCCCAGTCGACGATTCCAGTGTGCGGACTCCAAAGTGCTTTAAGTCCCTTGCAATGAGGCTCAATTTCTGTTATCTTCGCAGAATCGATCATTTCGATGTCACGGCATCCGTTTGTTTTGGCCCGTTCGAAAAGAGCCTGGAAATGAGGACTATAGACAATTGACAGTGAACAGATCTAACGATTTACTTACATCTAGCCTTGGAATCTCTTCCTGCTCGACAGCCACGATCAGCTTTCCTGTCTTCTTGTACGGCACATTGTTCTCATCAAAGAACTTGTAAGAGAGATCGAGTCCTTCCACACACAGTTTCGCTTTCAAACTGCCCGGAGTGTAATAGATTCCAGCATGGATTACTCCGCTGTTGTGTCCACTTTGATGAGCTGCCAACTCTTTCTCCTTTTCAATCAGAGCAATTTTCAGATTGGGTCTCTCGATGAGCAGTTGGCGTGCGGTCGCACATCCAACAATTCCGCCACCGACAATCACCAGATCGTACTTTGCAAGTGCTCTGAATTTATTGACCTTTTTGAACTTTATTATTTTGGAAACTTTTAAGTATAGACTTACGCCGATTTCAATGGTGGCCCAGAAATGCAACGGAGCACCTGGATCGTCTGTCGACTGAGCATGTTTATGCTGTAAAAGTAACCATAAGTAAAGTTTTTAAACAAGTTCAGTAGAAAAAAGAGACAAATAAGAAGTTGTTGGCTGTTTTGGGCGTCTTCTTATCGTTCATCTTCTTGTTTCGGCGAAAACGTTCAATGGTTTCCTCTTTCCCGGTGGAGACGGATAGGAAGCGCTAGGCATACGGTAAGCAAATGTACGTGATGCGACTGCGTACAATGCATCAGATTTTGGTGCGACAGCCCGACAAATAAATTCCACGGATCCGGCAACTTTTCCTCGATTCTTGCTTATTCTTGTTTTCTTGATGTTTTCCAAAACACTTTTTAATATTTTTTTTATAATTCGAGTACGTTTTCAGTATGGGACTTTGCAAATGTCCGAAACGAAAAGTTACCAACTTATTCTGCTATGAGCATCGTGTCAACGTCTGCGACTTTTGCCTTGTCGATAACCATCCAAATGTAAGTTTCACGCAACCTCATGCTTCCCAACATTATTGATTCTCAGTGCGTCGTGCAAAGTTACTTGAGTTGGCTCACAGACCAGGATTACGACCCAAACTGTGCCATCTGCAAAACCTCTCTTTCCGAAGGTGAAACCATTCGCCTGAATTGTTTGCGTAAGTTTTTTCTCTTCTTCCAATGATTTCAACAAGAAATAGTTAATTTTCTCAGATCTCTTGCATTGGAGATGCTTCGATGACTGGGCTGCCAGTTTTCCGGCGACCACTGCACCGGCCGGCTACCGCTGTCCGTGCTGCAATCATGAGGTGTTCCCGGCTCTCAACGAAGTTTCTCCACTCATTGAAAAGCTTCGCGAGCAGCTAAAGCAGTCGAATTGGGCTCGTTCCGCTCTCGGCCTTCCGGTTCTTCCTGAGCTAAACAGACCCGTTTCGGCCGTCAAGCCAATTGTTCCACAACCGCCTCCATCTCATGCTGCTTATGACAATCCGAATTCCGCCAAAGACATTCCGGTGACTCATAATAGGTAATTTTTTAGGTTTAAAAGAATAAAATGAGCAATATCTTCCAGATCAGCAACTCCAGCAACACATTTGGAAATGGAGGACACCGCCTCTTATTCTGTCTCTAACAACGATGTGACATTTGCGAGAAAGAAGAATTATGCTCCTGAGACTTCGAGTGACACTCACCCATTGCTGAAACGTGATCGAGATGCTGATAACGAGGAAAACAAATACAAAAGACGGCCGACGATGGACTGGATGCGCGGCCTTTGGAGAGCCAAACACGGCTCCGGAGTTCCCCAGGAAAAGACATCGGCTCGCAAAGTTGCCCTTTTTGTCATTTTCCTGGCAATTCTGGCATTGATCACGGTGAGTTTCAGCGAATCAAGAATGTAGATTAGAAATTTCGTTCCAGATTATCGCAGTCCTAAAGCGAGCCGGCTACAACGGAGAGCACTCTGATCCGATGTTCGATCCGATGTCCAATCCGAACATTCGTGTTGCGGTCGATGATTCCCGTCTTCCGCACCTTTAGACTGTGCTGGATTCAATTTCTCATTCGTCATTTGTGCATATCCTTTTTGTGTAATATTCTCCTTTTTCTGATGTTACCCCTGGGCGCGACTTGATAGTCAACTAACTAGAACTTCCAAACTGTGAACATGCCTGCTAATTTTAACACACGGGACTAAATTATCCGACTTTTCTGAATTCTATTTATCTGTTTTCTCTTGGTTGTAATTTTAATTCACTCGGTTTTTGTCGGTGTTTTCTTCGCTTATTGACTTTAACAAATCGGTAATTATTGTTGTCGTTTCGAATCGGTTCCATCAACGGTTGATTTATCGCCGATTCTCTACTTCTTTTCCCTTTGTGTGTCTGGAAATACTTAGTTCGTCTCAATTTCAGTTGTCATAGGGTCACCATGCATCGCGTCGGTGGACAACTTGTCCGCGGAGTGACGAAAGCTCAGCAGAAAAGATCCCTTTCGGCAGCCGCGCCACCGAAGAAGGTTACTGCTTTGATTTTTCAGTATATTTGATGTATGCTGTGTTTCTTACAGGTCGAGGTGTTCATTGATGACAAGAAGGTGCTCGTCGACCCGGGCATGACTATCCTGCAGGCGTGCGCCCTCGTCGGAGTCGACATCCCCCGCTTCTGCTACCACGATCGTCTCTCGATTGCCGGAAACTGCAGAATGTGTCTTGTGGAGGTGGAGAAGAGCGTGAAACCGGTAGCATCTTGCGCGATGCCGGTAATGAACGGAATGAAGGTGAAGACCAATTCGGATTTCGTGCGCAAAGCTCGTGAAGGAGTCATGGAGTTGATGCTCAACAACCATCCACTCGACTGCCCGATTTGTGACCAGGGAGGAGAGTGTGATCTTCAAGATCAGGCCGTGGCCTTTGGATCCGATCGTGGACGTCTTCAGTCGGGATTCGACGGAAAGAGAGCAATTGAGGACAAGAACATCGGACCACTAGTGAAGACCGTCATGACTCGTTGCATTCAGTGCACTCGCTGTGTTCGTTTCGCTAACGAAGTCGCTGCCTTCCCAGATTTCGGAACGACCGGACGTGGATCTGACCTCCAAATCGGAACCTACGTCGAGAAGTTCTTCGCTTCCGAGCTCTCTGGAAACATCATCGATATCTGCCCGGTCGGAGCCCTCACCAGCAAGCAATACGCCTTCACTGCTCGCCCATGGGAGACCCGCAAAACGGAAAGTGTTGACGTCATGGATGCCACCGGATCGAACATTGTTCTTACGCACAGAACCGGAGAGCTCCTCAGAGTTATCCCGAAGGTCAACGATGTGAGTTGAAGAAAAACAACTAGTAAAATTGTTGCCAAATTGCAGGATATCAATGAGGAATGGCTTGGCGACCAGTCTCGTTTCGCCGTCGATGGACTCAAGGTGCAACGTCTACTGACGCCAATGGTCCGTGGTACCGACGGACAACTGAAGCCGGCCACTTGGGAAGAGGCTCTGTTCACTGTCGCCGCCAAACTGCGCGAGACTGGAGCCGAGCAGAAGGCTGCTGTCGTCGGAGGACTCAATGATGTCGAGTCTCTCGTCGCCCTCAAGGATCTTTTCAACCGATTCAACAGCGAGAACGTGATGACCGAGGAGGAGTTCCCAGAGACCAGCGGAGGTTCTGATCTCCGTTCAAACTACGTTTTCAACGACGGAATTGCTGGAGTTGAGAGCGCCGATGCTATTCTCCTCGTCGGAACAAACCCACGTTTCGAGGCTCCGACTTTGAACGCCAGAATCCGTAAATCGTTCCTCTACACCGATGTTCAGATTGGTGTGATCGGAGCGGAAACCGAATTGACCTACGAGTACGATTACCTCGGCGCCTCTGCCAAGGCCATCGATGATGTATTGGCTGGAAAAGGAGACTTTGCGAAGACCCTCGCGTCTGCTAAAACTCCACTTATCATCGTCGGAGCTCAGGCTTTGAAGGGGGAAGCTGGAGTCGCTCTTCTCGGAAAGCTTCAGCAGTTGGCCGACAAATTGTCCGCTGGAAAGCAAGTTAAGGTACTCAATGTTCTGCAGAGATGGGCTGGTCAGACCGGAGCTCTCGACGTCGGATACAAGACCGGAACCTCTTCGCTCAGAAAAACCCCTATCAAGTTCCTGTATCTGCTCGGTGCCGACGAAGGAAAGGTCACAAAGGCCAACCTCGACCCGTCCGCATTTGTCGTCTATCAAGGACATCACGGAGATGTTGGAGCTGAGATCGCTGATGTCATTCTCCCAGGAGCTGCGTATACTGAGAAGGACGGAACTTATGTGAACACAGAGGGACGATCACAGAGGTAATCAGATTCAGATGAACAGATCAACTAGTCTTTTTTCAGAGCCTACCCGGCTATCTCTCCCCCAGGAGAAGCCCGTGTCGACTGGAAGATCATCCGTGCCGTCTCTGAAGTTGCTGGAAAGTCGCTGCCATACAGTGATTTGAAGGAGATCCGACAGAGACTCAATGAGGTAACACTGACAACACGCCTACTGTCGTGCATTGTTTGTTTCAGATTGCTCCTCACCTTCTCCGGTACCGCGACCTCGAAGCTTCTCCGTTCGTAAAGCAAGCTCTCCAACTCGCCCAAACCTCCGGAAGCGTCGACGTTGACGTGTCTCCGGCTCTTCGCGAGCTTGCCGATTACTACCAGACGAATGTGATTGCCCGCAACTCACGCAGCATGGCGCAGGCCAAGAGAGCTGCCATTGAGAACAAGACGAACCCGTACGCTGAGGAGCCGATTCACGCACGACTCTAAGCTCGATTCATAGACCGTTTATCAGTAGTCTCCAATTCTCCCAGTCATTCTTCTTCGACTTTCAGACCGTTTGGTTTCTTTTTCGTCTCGCTTTGAACGATAAAATCTCCGAAAAATACCAAAATAACACAGAAACCAGGTCTGAAAATCTGTAGATTTGCTGTTTTTCTAGTAGCAGAACGTAGACCCATTCTCTTTTCTCTCTTGTTTTCTCATTTTTCGAGCACATGCGGAAGGTGCAAGAATGTGTATTGTATGAGCGTGAACATTGAATATCAATACTCTTTATTTACAAATTATCAGAAAACCTCCGCCTCACGACTTACCCGATCAAGGAAGGAGTTGCACCAGTTGGTGGTGCTCCGCTCGTCGGAACTTGTACCTGTAAAAAAGACAGTTCCAATGCCTCGTCGTCGTCATGGTACGAACCTCGGTATACTCGCACAGAAGATTCTAATACATTCTCAGTTTCTCCTGTCTCTTGGAAACATTTCTGGCAAATGGTGGGGTGTGTCTGAGCATGAGGGGGTTTAGATTCCAGCTCGAGAAGTTACTTGCTTGTAGTGAACTTGGTGACAGCTTTGGCTCCCTCAGAGACGGCAAATTTCGCAAAAACTTGGCCTTTCGACCACGTTAATCCGATCTGTTTGGTCTGAAGCTTGGACTCAAGATACCTCAATCCAATTTCAGCAAAGTTTGAAAAAATTTCGACTGGCCAGTAGGTACAGCACATCTGTAAATTTGCTGTCGGCTTAGTAGGAAAACGCATTCTCTAGTCTCTCTCGTTTTCTCATTTCTATCGAACACTCGCGAAAGGTGCGATGGAATAGCAAAATTATCTTTATTTGCACAAAATTAACAGAAAACCTTCGAGCACATCTTATTCTGGAGCCATTGTGGCGTGGCGTCCTTGTTGGAAACCACGTTGACACAGCTGGATCCACCGACGAGACTGGTCAGATCAGAGATGGCGGCCGAGGATCCCCACTGAACCGCGAGCGGACTCAACGAGTACTTGGACTTGAGGGAGCTCATTGTGCCAGTTGGGCTCACGTCCCAGGCGCTGGTACTGGTAAAGTAGACGAGGATCTTATTAGAGGCGTTGGTCGACTGGCCGAGGTAGCCCTGAATGGCATTTAGTGCCAAATTGAGAGTTTGGCCGGGAACGTCGTCTTGAAGAAGGCCGTCGACTGCTGTGAGCACGTCACTTCTGAATGAGAATGTTCATTTGGAAGGAGAATCGGTCCCACCTGGATTGTCCGTTGTGGAACGAAGTGTAAAAGAGTTGAGAGTCGATTCCAGTGGTGACGAGGGCGAACGAAGTGCCGCTGTCTCCGATCGAAAACGGGGCGACAAAGTTGTGAATGGCGGTTTTCATTGCGGCAAAATCGGCAGCGGAAGCCTTGTTCGAGACATCGACGATCAGATAAACATCGTAGGAAAGGCTGGCAAGCGGGCACGTGACGGAGGGCGCCTGCGTGGGGACCGTGGTCGGTCCGGGGGATACCGTGCTGAACTGAACTCCCGGGCACGAGAGGGAGGCCACCCACGCCGAGACGAAGGAAAGCTGATCGGGAGTGACTGCGAAGAAGGTGTTTCGTGGTGGCGGTGGAGAGCTGCGGCAGCTGAGAGTTCAGGTTGGCGACTGCTTTCGCGCCGAAGCCCACGGACAGAATCACGTTGAACTTCTGCTGGATTTGCGTGAGAATCGGACTTCCGATCACGGCGTTTCCTGTCCATCTGAAAACAAACTTGGCAATGCCGAAAACAGTTGGAATCTTTCTCACGAATCTCCCGAAATCACAACAAGAACTTTCTTGTAATCGGCGCTTCTGAGCCCGGAGTTGGAGCTCACTTCAGCCTGAACCTTTGTCAGTGCCTGATAGAGATTCCGTTCCGCAGATCCCTGATACTTCAAAGTCGTGTTGATTTTCGACTGAAGGGACCCGAGAGCACTTCCGTCACTCAAAGAAGCGACCCGATCGGCGGTGGTCCCGTAGGCATAAATGGCCACTTGACTGTCCAACGGAGAGATGGTCAGGGAGCTAACAAAGTTGAGAAGGAACGAGCGGATCTGAAAATGGACGGGTCAAACTAGACACTGATAAGAAAGATGGAGAAATGGAGAATAGACTAGAAAATGACAAAAAGAGAGCACGTGGAGGAGAAGGAGATACGATCGGAAAGTACTGAGGAAGCGGGGGACTCACACTTTCGAATGTGGTCTGATCGTAGGCGTTGGAAGCATCCACCACAATGACGATGTCGGCTTCGACGTTCTGAAAAGCAATTATTCGTTTCTCATCAAACCTTTCAGAACACTCACGAAAGAGGAGCATGCCGTTTCCAAACAGATGTGACTGGCGAAGACTGACGCAGAGAGGAGCGAAAAGAGAAGGAATAACCGGCGCATTCTGGAGTCGAACACTCTCTTCGGCAACTGAGAATTGGGCAGCAAGTCGCTTCTTTTCTGTGTTTGTGGGAAACGGCCGGCACTCGTTATCAGTGATCGGCATATCAGCAGTTGAAACGTGCTTCTCGCGATGACTAGAGATCAAACCTAACCAAGTTTAGTCACTTTACGACAATTTTTGTATTCTGGTTCGACCACAGCTCCTCGAACTATTCGGTGCAAAAATACATCTGAAACGGAAAGACTGAAAGATTAAAAAAATTCAACTTTGGTGATCTCTTCAACGAAGGATTTGCTTACGCTTCATGATTCTCATGAACTTGCAAGTAATTCTTTTTAATCCTATTATTGCCATTTTTCATTTGTCAGGTATGCTTTTCATTTGTCAGGTATGCTTTTCATTTGTCAGGTATGCTAACACATCAAGAAGCAACATTGGTTGTGATCAGGGCAGGGCAATTGACCGGCACGGGCTTTTTCGTTGGCCGGCCCTTGACCTAGACCTTTGAAACACTTGCAATGCTCCGATCGGACCCAAACTTTGCAGGCTTCTTGGACATGGGTTTGGATCCTGCAAAGTTTGTGTCTGATCGGAATATTGCAAGTCGTTCAAAAGTCCAGGTCAAGGGTCCGCCAACGAAAAGCCCGGGCCGGCTAATTGCCCAGTCCTGTTTGTGATACTCTGACTGCCGAACTCGCGATGAATTCCTCCGACTCTGGTCACTTTCCGGAATGCCAATCTCTTCAAAATACCATTTCGGAGAGTACGATTGAGAGCCAAATAGATGACGACGGGCGCTCCGTGGCCGAATTGCCAGAGAATGTGGCCGAGCATTACGAGCCAGAGGGCACTTCGATGAAATTCATGATGACGTAGATGACAGAAGCGATCTGGTTGATGGCACAGATCAAAGAGGATTGGAAGAAGATTTGGAAACTCTTAACACAAACTGTTTGGTTGTAACTGAGTTAGATTCACCAGATTCTTGGCCTTCGAGTTAGTGACATCCTCAATCATATTGAACTTTTCTCCGAGAACACAACAGAGGGAAGTGTACAGAAGACAGGTAACACCGACCACAAGAAGATTGTTGAAGCCGTGAGGGATGTTGACGTACTGGAAGCTGCATTTAAAAGCAGCCTGACACCAATCTGCCTCACCTCTTCAGTTTGATTCTCAAAGATTTGCGGATCAAAAAACCAAGTGAGGTATTTGGAGGAAAACATGATGGGCGGAGTGAAGAAAACAAAGTAGAGACCGTAAATGACGGGAAGTGTGAGCACAAGAAAGGTTTTGTTGCCTTCGAAGAACATCTTGCAGATTCGGGGTCTGGTCAAATCGAGAAGTCGGTTGATGACCAGACTCATTGCGATGATGCACGAGCAGCACCAGAGACCCAAGCCGGCCATTCCGACGATGTAAATCAGATTGGGATAGGTGCAGAAGACTGCGCCTTGGATTGCCAGCCAACCGGTTATAATGGAGTTGATCCAGATGGCAAGCATGTCGACGATACCGAGAAAGATCATGATTTTGAAGCAGGACATTTTGAAGTGCTCTTTTTCGAACATCACTGCCAATATTGGAATGTACATCATCTAAAAGCAATGATGAATTGTGCACAAAAATGACATTTTTACGTTTATGAATATTCCATAAATTATTCCCAATGCGCCCGCAACTGGCCGCCGAACTCCAAGTTTTCGGACCATTCCTCTGGAGTCAACCCACTGAAATCACAGTAATTTAATGAATACCCGAGGAGTTAGGTACCTGCAGTTGTAGAGGGGAATCTCCGAGATGGAGCCGTACTTGAAGATGTTGTTCATATTTGAAGCACTCATGAAAACTTACTTATTTTTATAGAACTCCTAATCTGCTGATAATGACCGGATTACTACGTCACGGTTGTAAAGAAATGACGAACCCAGGAATGATCACATTCAAAGTTTTATTCAGACTTTATAAGATTAAAAGAATATCCAATGGTCCGATCCGAAACGATCAGTTGGTTCTGGTGAAAGCAGTGACCGAAGCGTCTCGAGAAGTGACTCTGGCTACATTCTTCTGAAACTTTATTTTTGAGTACTCAAACTCTCGAGTGCGCTCACCTTCAATCCAAACTTTCTCTTGACGCCATTCCTGATTGTCCGGTTGAGGCACAGATAAATGAGAGCAGGGGCGCCGTGTCCGAACTGCCACATGCTGTGACCGACAATAATCAGCCAGAAGGGCACTTCGATAAAGTTCATGGCGACGTAAATGATAGAAGCGATCTGGTTGATGGCACAGATCATGGCCGATTGCAAAAAGATCTGAATGCTCATTCGGTGCGATTTCGAGCCTCCGACTGCCTGTTTGAACTTCTTGCCAAGCACAACACAGAAGGAAACGTAGAGGAGACAGGTCACACTGACGACCAGAATGTTGTTGAAACCATGGGGAATGTTTTCGTACTGAAAGGGTACTTACTTATAACTGAGAACAGTAGAGACTATACCTCTTGTGTCATATTTTCAAAAATCAGTGGGTCAAAGAACCAAGCGTGATATTTTGAAGAAAATGCGACTGGAGCGGTAAAGAAAACGAAATAAAGACCGTAGATAATGGATACACTCAGCACCAGGTACGTCCGTTTTCCTTCGAAAAACACGTTTCCGAGCTCTGGTTTTGTCAGATCAATGAGTCGATTTATGACGAGACTCATAGCTATCACACACGAACAGCACCAGAGACCCAACCCGGTCATTCCGACGATGTAAATCAGATTGGGATAAGTACAATAGACGGCGCCGTTGAAGGCGAGGAAGCCGGTGATGATAGAGTTGACCCAGAGAGCGAGCATGTCGACGATTGCGAGAAAGATCATGATTTTAAAGCAAGACATTTTCACGTTCTCCTTCTCGAACAGAACGGACAGAATAGGAATGTAGAGGATCTGGAAAGTGAGGGTGAGGAAAGGACTTCCATTCTTCTTTCTTTGCCTACATTGAAAATAACCCCATAGGTCATATCAGCCAAACCGTATAAAGGACGACGAACGCCGTCTTTCTCGGCCCACTCTTCAGGTGTATGAGCACTGTAAATAAGCATAAAATCTGCAGTACTTGCGGTAAAAACAGTAATTGGAATCATCCCAATACCGTTCATTCAAGTAGATATTTCTCATCTGCCGGCAGAGATATCAAAAAATTGCCAACTAATCAATTGCTCATTAACCTATTTTATACATGTTTTCTTCTGATAACTTTTAGATCTCTCTACCGACAGCTCAGATACATCGTTTGTGGGGATAACATTCTATTACATATTTTACGTTAGCCTACCTGCAATTGTAGAGTGGAATTCCTGTGATTGAGCCGTACTTGAAAATGTTGTTCATGACGAATTTGAGTCGATTAATTTGACTTACATTTTATTATATAGCTGCGGATTTGCGAAAAAAAACTAATCCCTCAATTGTTTAACGTCGTTCAATAGGTGTCAAAACAACCAAGACGTCTTCTTCCTCACCGTTCATCTGAGGGGTTCGTGGATGCGTCACAGTTACGTACACAATCTATTGTTTTTTCTTCAAGTTGGGCGAAGAAATCACAAGTTTTATTCATATGCTTATTCACAAGAGATTAATGAGTCGTATGACTGACTGTGCGTCGTTCGATTCCGAGCTCTCGCTTCAAGTTGACCACTCTCAGCTTCTGCAAACACGTTCGTTTCACTCGAGTTTTTGGGAAGTACATACACCTTTCTTTTTGCTTTGATAACTGGTTATTGATAGAAAATCACATAAAATATATTACTATAGTCGACGAGCATGTTATTTCCGTTCGTGTCAAAAGCATGTTACTCACACGGAGCGACCGAATTATCTCTGTCTACTACCTTGAATCCGAGCCTACGTAACACTCCATTTCTGATTGTGCGGTTCAGGCACAGATAAATGAAGACAGGGGCGCCGTGTCCGCACTGCCAGAGAATGTGGCCAAGCATTATGAGCCAGAGGGGCACTTCGATGAAATTCATGATGACGTAGATGACAGAAGCGATCTGGTTGACTGCACAAATGAGCGCGGATTGGAAGAAAATTTGAGTACTCTGAGAGGAACTGTGCTGTTTGTGAAGGACATCGACGATCCTACCAAGGTCTGGGACTTAGTCGGTCCCTCCATTTCTCGGAACTTTTCTCCAAGAACACAGCAAAGTGATGCGTAGAGGAGGCAAGTGACAGCCACGACCAGGAGGTTGTTGAAGCCGTGTGGGAGGTTGGTGTACTGGAAGACAAGAGCGTGTTCAGAAGAAAAGCACAGTAAGACTAACCTCATGGGTTTTGTTTTCAAAGATGAGTGGATCGAAAAACCAAGTGAGGTACTTTGAAGAAAACGCGATTGGAGTGGTGAAGAACACAAAGTAAGAGCCGTAAACGATGGGGAGAGTGAGTACGAGATAGGTTCTGTTTCCTTCGAATAAGAACTTGCATAAGGATTCTCTGGACAGATCAAGAAGTCGGTTGATGACCAGACTCATTGCGATGATGCACGAGCAGCACCAAAGACCCAATCCGGCCATTCCGACGATGTAGATAAAGTAGGGATACGAGCAGAAGACGGCGCCTTGATAGGCCAACCAGCCAGTGATGATGGAGTTGACCCCGAGTGCGAGCATGTCCACGATTCCGAGGAATATCATGATTTTGAAGCAGGACATTTTGAAGTTCTCCTTCTCAAACATCACCGCCAATATTGGAAGGTACATGGTCTGGATATGATTAGAACGTTTTTCAACGAGTCTTTGAATAGCTTACATTCATAATAATTCCGTACGCCATGTCAATGGATCCGGCGATCGGACGACGAACTCCATCCTTTGCGGACCATTCTTCGGGGGTATGAGCGCTGGAAAACGACTCACAAAGCGCTTTTCTTTTTGCATTCTCACCTGCAATCGTACAGCGGTATCGCTCCTATTGATCCGTACTTGATGATATTGTTCATTTCGGCAGAAACTTACTTGTGCCTGAGAAATATTTGAAATCTTGATCTTGAAATTTCGTCTGGATTTCGTGTCAGTGACGAAAAACTGCTCTTTAAAAGTGAATTGAGTTTGCAGCCACGAACAGCGCTTCCCAGAAAGCAATTGTATCTGTTGTTCACTGAAATAAAGCAGTCTACAAAAGTGATAAATGGAAAACGCAGTGCGACGTACCTGAGCAATTGTGAGCACATTGGGCGTTCCGACATGATGGAAATATAACGGAAATTAGACGACGGTTTCCTGATCAGCGGAGCGTCTAGTTCCTGTTTTCGGTACCGTAAATTATGGCGGAAGGTGGCAGGATGTGATTGTTTGGAGCATTTCTGTAGATGTGCCAGGTTGTACGAGATTCTCCCAAAGAGTATTGATAATTACTCTTCGTTGATAACCAGGTAAAAACTGTTGACATCTGGTAACCATCAGCTGGACGAGTCAAATTCTTCTTCGTGGATGTTAGTTTATCATACTCTTGAGATTTTGAAGCGATTAATAAAAAACTCATTTTCATTGAAGCTCAGAGAAAAGAGACCACACTTTCAAGCTCCATAAGCTTCTTTTTCGAATTCTTGACCCGTATATCCAGTTGCAGACGTTCTCTGAAACTGCTCGTTCAAGCTCGCTCAATGTTTTCCACTTTGAGCTCTTTTTCTTTGTTCCCATATTGAATGCTGTGCGGCTGTTTAAGAGGAAATTCAAATGTTGCTTTATTGTCATTCAAAGACGTCACTTTCTAAGTGCGTTGAGTGAATAATGATTTCGAGTTTGATGTGTTTGAGGCATTGTCGTTGACGGTGTTCTCCCTGGCGAATAGCTTTCGCCTGACGTTGGTATCAAACACCAGAAGAATGTACGGAAGAGCCAGTGTCATCTGATGAAATCGAAATTAAAATATATCGCCGTTGTGACGATTGCTCACCAGATCAGAGGCAAAAACCAAGGCAACCGTGCTGAATTTGGTGAAGAAATCCGGGAACAATTGGAAGTGAGTGTTCAGAGAGCCGACGTTGCTCCACGCCAAAATCCCCGTGTACAGAAAGCAGTAGGTCAACGAGATTTTGGTGAGTTTCTTCGAAACACGTTGATCCGGCTGATTGAAGCCTGAAGTCAAGTGTTCACCAGTAATTCGTGCATTTTTGTGTACCTTTGAACGCTTTTCGCAGAACGATATAGGTGGTGATTCCGAGAGTGATGAGTAGAACGAAATAGACGAGCGAGAAAACAGCCAGCTGATTGAGGCTGCTGTCCAGTTCTTCACGATCGAACACTTTGGTCAGAGTTCCGTTTATAAAAGAGACTCTGGTGGCCTTCCCGAAATAGTTCAGGCCCGGAATGTAGCTGTAGACGATGCAGGCGATACAGAAGGGAATGTATCCGACACGCCACTTCTGAAATGGAAACGTTCAAGAACTAATTCGAAAGAGTTTAGGGACACTCACACTTTGGTAAGTGATTGGGCAGAATAGTGCTGATATTCTATGCAGGCTCAACGCTGCGGCCGAGCAAAACTGCAAGTGGAAGAAGAGAGTTACACCGTTTTTGGTACTAGTGAGAATTCCGGGAAATGTGTTATCAAGCCATTTCAGGAGAATAACAGACTCCGGATGAGACTCCATTCGGATGGCAGGCCAAGTGTTCAAGTGACAGAAAAAGTTCTGAATGTGTTCAGTCATCAATGACATTGCAGTCATTCACTGTTTACCACGGTAAGATCGAACTGCACGAGTCGGTAGAAAGAGTTCGAGTAGGTCTTCATGCACCCGAGAGCAAAAAAAAACACGATCATGAGCAGCATGGAGGGAATTCCGTAGATCAACTGGATCAGTGTGAGTACTCGGCTGGCAGGATTGACTGTGACCGCTTCCAGATTGATGTATGTGTAGTTGGACATTGAACGGACGGAAGTCTGTGGAATGAAAGAAGACTCGAGTGAATAAATGTATGGATGGGATGAAGAGTGAGCCCGTTTCGAGCACAGGGGAATGGATGAGCGTCACTGCTTCTTCCGCTTTCTTTTTCGTGCTAATTAGTGTGCTCCGGAGACCCTCTAGACGGTGATAATTCGCGGGTTCGGAATTCCGCTTATCGCTGATTAATTTAGTCTGTGATTCATCGGATAGAGCATTTGCAACCGAATAAAAGGTCAATGGTGACTAGGTTTGCGGGAAGCAGATCATCATTCCCAATGAGATTGTCCGAAATAGAAAAGAGCTTTGATCAGATTGTACATGTACTTCAGCCGTTTTGGAATGAGTGGATTCGAAATAGCTCATTTCTTTTTTTTTCCGCATTTAAATTTGCAGTTCTGGTCCCGCTGGTCCCACTTCTCGGGGGCAAATAAGAGATCGTTTTTCCAGTGACGATGGCTCCTTTGTCAGCGAATCTGAAAAAAGTATAATGCAAGTGACTGTTTTGGGTATTCGACATAGGAACGTGACTATTTGTGTTTTTTCGTCCTTCAAGATTTTTCGTCCTTGGGGCAACGTCTGGAAGAAGAAAACGCATATCTAAAAGGTCCGTCCGTGATGCTTTTCGGTTCAGGACACAAAATGATGTGACGAATCATTGGACCACGGTTCTGTTTGTCTTGCTCTCTCCGGAAACTCGCACTCTTTCTCCCACTACGATCACTACGGCAGGTCACCGCCGATCATTATTTCAAGTAACTATTGTACGGTCGTTGGTATAAAAAGAATGAACTATTTGAGTGCCACTCGTATTTCACTTCATTCCCCCCTCCAATTTCACACTTTTCACAGTTCAACAACCTTCAAAGTCAAAAATGGCTAGATTCTCTGGAAAGACTGTCATTATCACTGGCTCTTCCAACGGAATCGGACGAACGGCTGCCGTTTTGTTCGCCCAGGATGGCGCCAACGTAACAATCACCGGAAGAAATGCTGAAAGACTTGAGGAGACGAGAAAGCAGATTCTGAAAACGGGCGTTCCGGAGCAGAAAGTGAACTCGGTTGTGGGCGATTTGACCACCGAGGCAGGCATTGACGAGCTGGTCAATTCCACTGTCACCAAGTTCGGAAAAATAGACATTCTGGTGAGCATCAGTTTCACGGAGAAAATGCCAATAATTTTATAGGTGAACAACGCTGGTGCGGCTGTTCCGGACCCTCTGGGGCGAATTGGGACCGATACCGGAATCGACGTCTACCACAGAACTCTTGAAGTCAACCTGCAGAGTGTGATCGAAATGACCAAGAAAGTGAAGCCCTTTTTGATGGCCACGAAGGGAGAAATTGTGAATGTATCGAGCATTGCTGCCGGGCCACAGGCGGTACTTTCTCTTATATTTCGAAATGTTTTCAAAAATGTGTTTGTTTCAGCAGCCAGACTTTTTGTACTACTCAATTGCCAAAGCGGCACTTGATCAGTACACCAGAAGCGTTGCAATTGACTTGATCCAATATGGAATCAGAGTCAATTCTGTCAGTCCTGGACTAGTGATCACTGGATTCTCGAATGCGATGGGATTGCCGGAGGATGCCTCAAAACAGGTGTGAATTCGAGTTCATCAAGAGTGACAGTTTAATGTTCAGTTCTACGATCGCATGAGCGCCCACAAGGAGTGCATCCCTGCACGGGTGGCCGGCCAACCGGAGGACATCGCGCACATCATTCAGTTCCTGGCCGATCGCCGACTCTCCTCCTACATCATCGGACAGTCGATTGTGGCCGACGGAGGGTCGTCGCTCGTCATGGGAGTTCACGCTCATGATTTCAAGAAGATGATTGGATTGTAGAAATATAAACTTTTATGTACCGCTATTAAAGAACCGTTCAGTAAAGACATCAGCAAACTTCACTGTTTCAAAATCTCCGCCAGATCGTGTACTTGTGCTCCCATCACGAGCGACGTTCCTCCGTCTGCCACGATTGATTGGCCAATGATGTAAGAGGAAAGTCTTCTGTCCGCCAGGAATGCAATTATGTGAGCAATGTCCATCGGCTGTCCCATTGATCTGCTCGGAATGCACTCCTTGTGGCTCTCCATGAAGCTCTCGTACTGAAAACCTATACATGTTCAATATTTATTGCTTTTCTTACTCACCTTATCCAACATAGCATCAGGCGTGCCCATCGCAGTTCCAAACCCAGTTCGTACGGCGCCGGACTGACGGAGTTCACTCTAACGCCGTGCTGAATGAGTTCGATTGCTGCACTTCTCGTGAACTGATCCAGGGATGCTTTGGACATTGCGTAGTACATGAACGTCGGTTGCTGGAAGAAAAAATGTCATTCCGACGCAGAATTCAGATAAACTTACAGCTTGAGGTCCCGCTGCAATGCTTGATACATTGATCACTTCTCCCTTCGCTTCGATCAGGAAGGGTTTGGCTTTCTGCGTCAAAGTGACCACACTTCTCAAATTTATTTGCATGATCTTGTCGTAAACTGAAACATCTTGAGAAACTCCAGTCTGGCCTTGAGCGTCATTGAAAGCTGCTCCAGCGTTGTTCACCAGGATATCGAGTCTGCCGAACTTCTTCAAAGTGGAACCGATGAGATCATCCTGTCCGGCTTCCGTTGCCAAATCAGCCACCACCGCCAGAACATCACTCTCTGCAATTCCAGCTGCCAGAATCTCTTTCCGCGTCTCTTCGAGTCTTTCGGCGTTTCTTCCAGTTATGGTCACTTTGGCGCCCTCTTGCGCGAAAATGAGCGCAGTGGCACGGCCGATTCCATTAGAAGAGCCTGTAAATGAGAGTGATAAACAAAAAGGAAAATCGATTTTGATGTTCACACCTGTGACGAGAGCAACTTTGCCGGAGAAGCGAGCCATTCTGAATGATTTGATGATAAGTTTGATTGTTTAGTTCAGTGTTTATATAGTCTGCACTAACCGTGGTCTGTGACCTTCCACGTGCTTTGTGTCTTGTAGATTGCGCGTATAAGAATCTTATGTTTTTTGTGACAATCATGACAGCTTCGGGAGAATTGTTTATTAGTTAACTAGTTTAAAACTTTGGACAGATCACGCGATGTCATTGCCAAAACGAGAGATAGACTGTCCGATTATGAAAGAAGAGAACTTTCTGTCAGCGACGAAGGCAATCAGAAGAGCCACGTCTTCCGGAGTTCCCGCTGCTCCGACGGGGATGCAGTCTCTGTGCTCCACGTAGTATTTCTCAACCTTCGTTGACATCTCCTTCGCCATTCCCACATCATTCAAAAATCCGGTTTCGATGAGGGCAGGGCTCACCGAGTTGACTCCCACGCCATGCTCAATGAGCTCTATTGCCACGCATCGGGTCAGTTGATCGAATCCCGCCTTGGCGGCTCCGTATTGCTATGCAAGAAGTCGGGCTGTTTCAAAGGTCACTTGGGAGGTTCACGAAATTCAGGTGACATCAGTTTGAACTTGTTAACATAGGATACAGAGTGGCCAGAGTGTTCATTGGTCAATTCAGAGAGTTTTGTGAGTTGACGAACGAGGTCAAGAGCCAAAACGAGAACAACACGATAGTTCTCGTAACTACGAATCCATTCAAATCTCACTTGGATCATCCTGTTCCAGAAACAGTTATCAATAAATGTTAGCACCGCACAGTAAGCTCGCAGGTTTCAGTGTGGTATTGCGGTAGATCACGATAGCCGGTCTTCTGCGGCACCAATTCATGTCCACAAATGTCGTTCCCTTCCTCAGAACCCGATCAATATAGGTGTCCCCGCTGTAATTCGCACCTTGGCCCCCCGTCCGCTCATGCGTCCCACTGGCCCACAGGTCACTCATTCGCGCACAACCACTCTGCTAACACGTCATTCTCGCACATCTTCTTCGATTTTTGAGTTCTTTCTCTCATAAACGTATTTCTTCCAGCGCTCACGTATGCAAAAACTATCGAAACGACTGGTTCACGCGACCACGTCGTCGCCATACATCCCGTTGTCATGGGTTCAACGCCATTTTTTAGTTTTGGAAACAATGGATAAGCTGGCGGTAAGCTTGAAGAGTCAACAATTACCCAACTGGGATTGGAATGTTCAGGAAGAGATTCGTAGAGAGAAAAAGATCCTGGATCGATGCAAACGGTCAATCGACCTCCGCGAACCGTACGATTTGCAATCATTGAGACAACAAGTTGATGTAAATTGGAAAGTAGTGTAGGATTGCTTGAAGTTCAGAATTTCAGATATCCACGTCAAAGATAGAAGCAATGACGCAGAGGCTGTCGCATATGCAAAACCGGAATGTCGACGCGATGGGCTCTCCAGCGAGCAACATCAAGCAGCAGATTCTGAACACACAGTTACTGTGTCATGGAGCACAGAAAGTGCGCGCAAGTCTGATAAAAGACGAGTGTGTGAACGAGAAAGTACTCCGAGAAACGGAGCAAACGATTCTGGTGCTTGGGGAGAAGTTGGGGTTGCTTCTGGAGTGTGCGAACAGGAAAGAGTGAGTTTAAAGCAGTGTTATAGGTCCGTAATACCAACTTTAGGTCTCCGGGCACTCCGATCACAGTCCGCCGATCAAGAGATGCATCGATAAAACGGAATCTTCCTGTACAGGTCTCCGGTCTACTCAAGATCAGAGTAACGGGACTGTCCGACCTTCCCGTCGACACACGAGGCCGTGAAGGACGGTACGCATCCGAATACCTCACGCAGATGATCAAGAAGAAGAAGTCGTCGGTGTTCGGACGGCACGGGTTCCGTCGGAATCTTCGCGAGCTCGCCTGCGACAACTATATTGTGGTGCTCCACGTGAGCGGAAAGGAAGTTGCGATGATGGTGTGGAATGAGAAGAAGACGATGGTCGGAGGCGACGAAGAGACGATTCAACTGCATAAGTCACGACAGTTGGACTTTGAAGTGTATCACACGGACAGCCGATCAATGTGTGCCATAGGTACGATGCAGTTGGAGTCCCTTCTTGATGAGCACGATGCAAAGTGCTCGTTCGCCAGTTTCGCTCATCGGACTGTCAATTTGATGCCGGCTGGAACAATCCATTTTCAAGTGAGTCGTTCATTATGAGAATTCCTGTCATTTTCCAATTTCAGACAACCTATTCTGATCCGGAGCAGTCGATGGGAAGGAAGTTGGGGGAGAACTACGAGGACGGAATGAAGAGTTCACTGACATTCCGGAAGAGTGGCACAGTGCTGGCACGTGGCACCCAACGGCACTTCCGACCGAGGACCGCCCTTTCCGTCGGCCAATTCGTCCCTTCTTCCCCTTCCATTCAGTCCCGACCCCGAAGAATTAATTCCCTCGAGAGCTACCGTCTGCTTTCGGTCATAGGGGTCGGAGCATTCGGAACTGTGCAATTGGGGCAACGGATCGATGACGACATGTACTGCGCCATCAAGATCATCGAGAGAGACCCGAGGACACGGTCTTTTGACACTCCGGAACTGCAGATCCTCAACCACATCCATCATCCGTTCATCTGCCAATTGATGGCCAGTTTCATCGAGAACGACGCTCTCCATTTGGTGCTCGAGTTCTGCGAAGCCGGAGACCTCCACACTCACTTATCGCGGACTGTTCATGGATTCGCAAAAGCGCAAGTGACTTTCTTTGCCGCGTCGATTGTGTTGGCAGTCGAGTATCTGCACAAGAAGCTGTACGTGCATCGCGATTTGAAGACGGAGAATATGATGTTGACGCGAGAAGGCGTCCTCAAACTGATTGACTTTGGACTGTGCAAAAGGTTGTTGAATAGAACCGAGAAGATGTGTGACATCGTCGGAACGACAACTCATTTGGCAGCGGAGATTCACAGAAGAGAACCGTACGGTATAGAAATGGATTGGTGGGCGGTCGGAGTGTCGCTTTACCAGCTGAGGGTGAGTTTTGAGTGACAACCGTAACATGAAAACTGATCAAATGCGTTTCAGACTCGTGAGCAGCCATTCTACGGGACCCGTGAAGTGGAAATGCAGCCGAACTCCCGAATCAACAATTGGCATTCGTTCCACGATTTGCTCATCGGACTGATGGCCATCCATCCAGAAGCACGTCTCGGATACTACTCCACTGAAGAGATCAAGAACCATCCGTTCTTCATGGAAACCGACTTCGCCGCCGTGCTCAACTCAACAGTCCGACCACCGTACGCGCCTTTCATGGTAATTCATGCCGCTGTTAGTTACGTACTCAAACTTTCATTTCAGAGAGACGGACTGGACCTCGAGTACTTTGATCATCCGTATCACAGCGAACTGGACACCTCTTCTTCCACGTTCTCTTCAATTGGCTCCTCGTTCGCTAACCGTAGCTCTTTGATGATCTGAACTGACTTTAACTCAAGTTTTGTGCCTTATCATTCTTATTAATAAAAGTCTTGAGGAGTCTGTCCCTCTGTTTATTCACTTACTTTTAGCGGCAAAGCCGCTTCCGAGCGTTAGCTCGGCCCGCGTGACGGGCCCAGGTTCTAAAAGTCTTGTGTAGTATAGTTTTCTGTCAAATAAGTTGACGGGTTAAAGGCTTCAAGGATTTCCCAGAGAAGAACACGCTCTTGCTGCGATTAACAAGCATGTTTCTGTATGCGTTTCAATCCGAGCGGACTAAGACAAGAAAGTGTTTACTAAACCACACACTCTCTCTCTCGAGTCGGGAGCTCTCTCCTCCCGGCTGTCGGCTCCCGTCGGCTGTCTCCGAGCATTACAGCGGTGCAGCTCCCGTCGAGAGAGAGAGCATCGAGCGAGAGACGCACAGAGGGTCAGCATGACGATGGCACCTCTCCTACACTTTGCCTTTGTCATCGAGTATCACTGCTACTCTCGACTAGTTTTCGAATTGTGCTCTTTGCGCTCTTGAATCCATATCGAGCAACAACATCATTCTCAAGGTCACCTTTGATCTGTTGCCCAAGAATTTCTGAGAGCTCGGTAAACATAGTAGCAACAGTTAGTGTGTGGCAGCTAAAAAGTGACAGCAGTTGCTTTCGCTATCCATCAACACGTGGCAAAAAGATCGTCATAATTTGTAATATTTCGAGTTGCTTTGTCTTTGGGAAGATGCTGACCGGCTCCCTCCTCTCTATTTATTTTCGCCTTTTCGAGTGACTCTGTATCTCCGCCGAGCCTGGGCTCTCTCGTCGAGTAGCAGCTTTCCCGCGGGAGGATGTATTTTTCTTTTTCGGTTGCCTAATGTTCAGCGAATATTCATATCTTGACTCGAGAGACTCCTCTTCCCTTTGTTTTCTTTTCTTCACTTTAACTTATCGTTTACAGCGCATGGGCGAACGTTTCTTTCTGTAATCTCTGAATCGACTGAACACTAGTTGAGTATGCCGTTCAAGCAACCGCTAGGCGAGCGAGACGCCGCCAACCGGGTTGCACCGACTTTTATTAGAGTGAGCGTCAGAAAAACAGTTTGTGAAGAGAATCGGTGAAATTTTCAGCCGCTAGCCGATAAACGAGCTGTAGTTGGCGAGACGATCATTCTGGAATGCCAACTCGAAGGTCATCCGGATCCGGCAATCAAATGGCTGAAGGACGGACACAATGTTTCCATGTGCCCAGATTATAGGGTCAGTAACTTCAGATTGGGATTCATTCTAGTATTCTCCTTCAGATCGAAGAGGACGGTTTGAAGCACCGTCTTGTGATTCCCCAGGTGCAAGCTGCTGATAGTGGTCGGTTCACTGCACAGGCTTCCAACGCCGTCGGTACAAAACAATCCACGTGCATTCTGATTGTGGCTCCAGCTCCGACTCCAGTTCCTGGCGCCAAATCGGCTGTGGCGTGAGTTATTTCAGCTCCAGGACAATACGATCGAGAGGTTTTAGATCGCCGGCTCCTCCACAAACCCCCGTCGGACCATCTGCTCCCATTTTTCTGAAAGAGCTGAGACACCAGCCATTGAAACCGGGAGCGGGAGTGACATTCGAGGGAAGAGTCATCGCAGTGCCTCCCCCGAACATCGAGTGGATGAAGAACGGAAAACCGCTGCAGAACTACCGTGCTAAGATTGAGCATGATGCGAAAACGGGAATCATTTCACTCATTATCCCGCAAATGTTCAACGACGATGCCGGAGAGTACACGATCCGCGCGACGAATGTGCACGGAGAAGCTATCAGTGGGGCGCAGTTGCTGCCGAGAGAACAGTATGATAGATGGTTTTCGAACGAGCAGTCGAGACTGACGAAGGACAGGAAGCAGGGGTTGCTTTCGCAGACTCTGCGGCCGAGCAGTGTGGCCCAGAAGCAGATGCAGAAGCAGGGATACGACACTGACCAGGGAAGCATTGACATGGTGAGCACGCATTCGGTGACGTAACTTTTCTATTTATTGTTCCAGCACTGGACAATTTCCGAATCTGAAACTGAGCCGGAGCTCTCTGCCCTCGACGCCAGGGGCGTTGGCACTAAACCGATCGTGCGGACGCCTCTCCGAGGACTCAGACTGACGGAGGGAACAGACGCCATCTTGCAAGCCAACATTGTGGGAAACCCGAAACCGCGGGTGAGCAACAAGTGGGGCCAGGCAGAACATTTCATGTTCTTCCAGATTCAATGGCTCTTCAACGGACGACCACTGCAAGTCTCAGGGCCACGAATGCAAATGACATATAAAGGCTCGTTGGCAGTGCTGAAGATCTCGATGGTAAACCCGGAAGAGGCCGGAGAATACACCGTCGTCTCGGAGAATCGCTTCGGAAAGGCAAGAATCTGTGTCCCAAAAAGTGCACGTAGAGCAGTTAGTGTGATGATGGATTGAGACGTACTGTTTGCCAGAGCCACTTGAGTATGAATGTGGAAGCGAAAAAGAGGGAGGGAGGGGGATGAAACAGTTTTTGTGTGGACGAGTAGGAGGAGAAACTGCACTCACGACGAACGGGGTTCACTGTCACTTTTCGCGCTTTTGTCCCCCACTATTATCATCCCCCTTTGTGACGTGGCACATTCCCAGCATCTCGTCGCTTCAAAGCTTCGCTCCCCTCACTTCTATTGCAACTCATCTCAATGGCTCTTCCTCTTTCTCTTCTTCAAGTTCCTACGGTAGTTTGTTCGCCCGTTCCTCCTCGTCATTGCCAGAGAGCACATGTGAGAAGCCCTCGGGAGCCCGTGTGTGTGTGTGTTGCAAATCCCTCGCAGAGATATCCTCTCTCTCTGCTTGAGAACCAATAGACATTGTGCTAATTGGCGCATACGCAGAGGGCGCTAGCTCCCGCGAGAGTTCAGAAAAAAGCGAGTGGAAGGAGGTAGGTGCGGGGGAAGATAAACAGCCCCGGCGCCCCGTCCTAGCCCTCAGCGGCGCCGTGAAATAGGCAAGAGAAGATGAGGAAGAATGCGAGGACTGAGAGAGAGAGAGAGAGGTCTGATCATCTCCCGGGATGCAGTGATATTTTGTTGTTGCTCCCTCCGGCTGGTGCCATCATCATCACCGATCCCAATCGGCAGCGGAGCAGTGGGCCCGACCAGCATGCAACCCTCCTTCCTCACTCACTTTCACACCTTTTCTCCATCTCCAACTTACCTGGATCCATTTCTCAGCTCCGCCTCCGTTCAGCTCAATAACACTTCCATTGGTCTATTAGTTTTTGAATCATATTCTCCTGGTCTGATGCCTTACTAGTTTCACTGGGATATCACATAAGCGTTCGTTCCTTTGCAACTTTTCGTCTGATCGGTTCATCCTCCCATCGATTGAGCTATCCATTGTTTCACTGCTCGTATTTGCTCACAATCAGCTATGATCAGAAATCTTGCGCTCATTCCCTTCACTGATCATTCAAATGTGTCCTTTTTTCAGGTCGAGAGTTCAGCGCGCATCGAGGTTTATCCGCTGAGCGTGCCGGACGAACGACGCAAGGAAAATCAACTTCGCGAGCAACGAGAAGAGGTGAGCCTGAAAGCCTGAAAGCCTAAAAGTTTGCAATTGTTGTTGTCTTCTTTCCTCAACAACACACCTGGCAGGGTCCCGACGGTCATTGGATAACAATTGTGTGATCCGGGGCTGGGGGAAGTGTGTAATGTTACGAAATGAAATGATCGGTGCAAATTGGCACACTTGGCTCGGCTCAACTGCGTTTTTTATTGGTGATTGGCAGAAAGAAAAGAGGATGTGGTGGTATCAAAAGATTGAAGACTGAAAACAAAAGAACTGTGAAGTTGGAGAAAACGACGAAGGGAAAAATGATCTATTGAGCTCTAAAGAGGCACTCAATCTTCCACTTATCGCCTTTTTATCATCTGTTCCTCCAACTTCTTTCTGCAATATCAATCACCTTCAACGACTCTCCGATTCTTGAGCGCCGAGATCTCAGTGCTGCGAGCCGTCTGTTTTTTTTCCGCGTTCCCCGAGCAGCCATCGATCACCGGGACTCCCCCGCAATTTGGGAGCAGCCCCAATGACTTCACACTTTACACCCACCCGGATGAGAAAAAAAAACAACAAAACGAAGCAATTATGAAACCAGCGGAAATTTTCTTTTCTTTCAGCGTGATCGCCAACAACAGGCGCTTGTCGAGGCGACTCTCGCGCGAGAGAGACAACGCGACGCCGAGAACCGACGCATCCGCGAAGAGCAGGACCGTCTACGTGCGCTTTTCGAACGTGAAAAAGCGGAACGCGAACGATTGGAAGAGGAGCGTCGGCAGTTGGAGCACGAGAAGCGATTGCGGCATCAGCAGGTGGGGAGCCGCCATACATAGACGGACAATAGTTTGTCTTTGTTTTCAGCAGCAGCAGCTTTTCGAACGCGAAAAGGCAGAGAAGGAAGAAAGAGCTCGGCTTGAAGAAGAGCGGCGACGGCTGGAACACGAGAAGCGGATAAGGCAACAGCAGCAAACTCAGCCTTATCAGCTTCAGTACGACCATCCGCCTGTCCAGCAGCAGCAGCAACAGCAACAGCAGCCACATCAAGCCTGGCACGATTTCGAGCTCGTTCGTCGACCTCAATACGTTTCTGACGAATATCAAGAACCGCATTACGCGCAAATCAGACCACAACATCAACAACATAAGCAGCAACAAGAAGCTTCCCACCAACAGCTTTACGAACAATATCGCAGACAACAACAGCTGAATAGAGTAAGTGTTCGATCATAAAGTGAAATGAATTTCGAGATTTCAGGAGCAGCAACTCTATCAACCGCATCACCAACAGCAGCAGCAATCACAGGAACAGTCACAGTTCCACCACTTTAACCAATATCAGCAGCATATTCGAGATCATCATCAGAACACAATGCCAGTTTTCAGACAGCAGCAGCCAACACAGGTCACGGTTAGTTGCTAACCGAATTGGCAACTGAAATGTACCTGAGTTACAGAACGGAGGAGCCAGAGCAGCAAATGGTTCCGCCAAGACGGCCAACGGATCGGCAGCCAACGGTTCCGTCCAACACGCAGCAAGCGGCGGAGCGGTACAAGGACAGGCACGCGGGCACGAGCACGGAGCAGCACTCGTGAATGCCCGTCCGCCACAGTTTCTCGTCCATCCGCAGTCCGTGGCGGCGAAGGCGCTCGAGACGGTCACTTTCAGTGCGAAGGTCGTCGGAACGCCCGCGCCAACTCTCACGTGGCAGAAGGCGGACGGAACAGTTATTCAGTCCGGCGGCAAATTCAAAGTCGAAACTGGGCCCGACGGCAGCGGTCGGCTCATTATCGAAAAAGTGGACGCCCATGACGCCGACATGTACATGCTTGTCGCCAGAAATGACGGAGGATCGTTCCAGAGCAGGTTCTCATTGAACGTCCTTCGTGAGTTTCAGCGTTTATCTAATCAATTGAAAACATCTCATTTGCAGAAGCCAAGTCACCAGAGGCTCCAGAATTTACTGGAAAATTCCAGTCAACAACTCTTTATGACGGGGATTCCGTGAAGCTTTACTGTAAGGCAGCAGGAGAAGGAGTGAGCTTCAAGTGGTTCAAAGACAATGAACCGATCTCATCAGGTGGCAACTACAAGTACGTTTGACTCAGCTGACTTCAGTTTGACATTGAGTTTTGTAGTGTGGAGAACAAAGGAAACGAGACCACATTGCACATCAACAACGCCTCGCTCAACGAAGGAGGATGGTACCGGTGCGATGCGACGAACAAGCACGGAACGACGACTTTGAAGGGACGAGTTGTGGTGAACTCGCGTCAGAAGTTCACAGGACCCGCCCACAGAGAACTTATCACTCTTCGCAAGGTGGACAAGGTGGAGAGATCGAGGACGCCAGTCAACCAGTTGCAAGACGTGTCCGCATCCAAATCCGCCCCGAAGTTCGATGGAAGTTTGCAATCACAGCAGTTGATCGAGGGACAATCCGCAAGACTCGAGGTCAAATACACGCCCGTCGATGATCCGAACCTCAGAATCGCCTGGCTTCTCAACGGAAAGGCCATTCTGGCCTCATCGAGAACCACCACTCTCACAGACTTTGGAATCGCCGCTCTTGAAATCAACCCAGTGACGGTGTTCGACCAAGGAGAGTACACAGTCGTAGCTGTGAACCCTCTTGGCGAAGATCGTCTCTCTGCCAACATTGCCGTCATCGGACACGGATCGTTCATCCAACAACAGCAGCAAGGAACGCAGTTCGGAGGCACTGCCTACCAATCGAAGGGCTCACAACCACCAGCAGGAGTCCAACTCGATCTGCCAAACTTCCATTCGGACCTCCGATCTCAAGAGATCTTCGAGGGACAACCAATCCATCTGGAAGTGAAGCTCACTCCTATCAATGATCCGGATCTCCGAGTAGTCTGGTTCTTGAACGGAAAGGAACTCGTTAAGAGTAAGTTATCACTCAAAACTCTGGTCAATCCCCTTTTGTTTTGCAGATGACAAGTATCGTCAGTCCCTTTCCCACGGCTTTGCCACTCTGGACATCCCTCAAACATCGCAGGACGACAGTGGATACTATTCATGTCGCGCCTTCAACAAACTCGGAGAAGCCGAGAACCAAGCCACCATCATTGTTCATCCGAAGGTGGAACTTCATCAGTTTGATCAGAATCGGCAACTGGACGTGGACGATGTTCGCGAGATTCAGTTCGCTCACTCGTCTCAAGACCTCACACCGAAGTTCTTGACTCAACTGAAGCCATTCCATTGCGAACAGGAACTCGGCCGCTCCATCTTCGAGGCTCGCATTCAGCCAATCAATGACCCGACTCTAAGAGTCTCCTGGCTTAAGGACGGTCAGCCGCTTCCGAACGCCAATCGCATCCAGACATTCCAAAACTTTGGAGTGGTTTCTCTGTCTCTGCATCCAACTTATCCGGAGGACAACGGAGTCTACACCTGTGTTCTGTTCAACTCTCACGGACAGGCCCAGTCGTCGGCTGAGCTGACCACTGTCTGGATCGACACTCTCCAACTCGACTCCAAGCACACCGACAGCCTTCCGATCATCGGTTATCTGGACAGCCATCAAATTCACATCGGACCACAGTCAGTCGACCGACCGGAAGAGTTCAACTCGCTGGAAGCACCGAAGTTTGCTCGTGAACTGGCCACGAAGATCGAGGTGATGGAGAACGAGCCAGTGCACTTCGAGGCAAGAATCCAGCCGGCTAATGACGTCAAGATGACCGTCGAGTGGTACCATAACGGAAAACCACTGCCCGCCGCCCATCGTTTCCGTCCGATGTTCGACTTCGGATACGTGGCTCTGGATCTGCTCTACGCGTATCCACAAGACTCGGGAACGTACACTCTGGTCGCCAGAAACGAGTTGGGAGAAGCTCAGAGCAGCGTTGAATTGGTGGTCGGAAGTGAGAAGGTGCTCTATCTGGAACCCCATCATCCGGAAGGACTCGAAAGAATCAAGGTGAGTGCGATTTATTGAAAATACAATGTGTACCAGTAGAATACAGCGATGGCGACTTATCAGACACAAACATTATAGTCGCATCCAGTGGGGCAACACTTTTTCCCTTTGCAATCCTGATCAGTAGTGCACCAGCTGATCGGAGTGTAGACCATGCACTTATAGCCGAGCTGAGTGGGTGTGGGACAGGTGCCGGGCATTGGATGGCAGCAGCGTTGAGTCGAGAAATCAAGACACACCTGAGAACGATTTATGACTTGGCATAGGTGGAATGGAATGACTTACGGTTCCGGAGGGGCATTTCGCTGATTTAACACATGAAGCGGTTAGGAATTTGAGACGGCAAACGGGTAGTCCTACTGAAATGACTTGACGTCTCTCACTGAATGTGTTCTGCTGTTTAGCTTACTTTCAAAAGATTCATATTGTTTGTTCGGTTCGTAGTCATCCATCTGAGCTTCTTCTTCGCATTCTTCTCTGTAGACTCCCAAGATTTTCCAATATTCACAAAGAGGAATAGTTTTCTCTAAACCAAAAAGCCATCAGAACACCGATTACTTATACCCCTTACGCTTCTGAATCCTTTCCGGCGCATAGAAACGAGGCTCATCAGTGAAAGGAAGGTTGAGTCTTGGAATCTTGTACTCATTGAAAGATTGATAGCAAGTTAGCAGAGAGCAAAAGAGCAAAAGTAAGACGATCGAGCGATGCATAGTTAAGAATGATTTGCCGCATTAGAGAAGCCCTCGATAGTGTGTCAATAGGTGGCCGAAAAAGGAAGGAGCGGCTTGTTTGCCTACTGTATATTTTGACCCAATGTTGATTGTTTACTGCTTACCAACTCAACTGATGATAATCAATTTCAGGAGCTCGAGCAGGATCGTCGCCAAGGTATCGCCGAAGTGGAGGATCGCTCTTGCGATGCCGCGCCGAAGTTCCTCAACGACCTGCCGGATCTTCAGCTCAACGAGCACGATAACATCCACGTGGATCTTCGTGTCACTCCAGTAAATGACCCGACCATGGTCATTGAATGGTTCGTCAACGGGCGACCACTTCTGACTGGAAGTCGTGTCAAGACCCTGAACGAGTTTGGATTCATTGCTCTCGATATCAAGGGAGCAATTGCTGAGGACTCGGGAACTTACTCGGTCCGCGCGAGCAACCTCCTCGGAGAGGCCATCAGACAGTGTCTGATCACAGTGACACGTAAGTCGTTGAAAACGAAAGCAGCATATTGATTTTATTGTTTTTCAGCTGCCGGACAGATTCTTTCGGACACTCAACATCAGGAGTCTCTCGGAAAGATCAACTATCTGGAGAACTTGAACAAGTACGGAAGAGTTGAGATTGAAGACAAAGGGCCAGAAGGACCACCAGTCTTCGTTGTGCCCCTCCAATCTGACTTTGGAGATGTGAGTGATTGCCCAAACATTCCGATGACAACCGAATTCTTTCAGATCGAAGAAGGCGAACCGATTCATCTCGAGTGTCAAGTAACCCAATAAACGATAACACCTTGAGAATCACCTGGCTCCGTGACGGTCACCCACTTCCTCATGGACACCGTTTCCGTACTTTCTACGACTTCGGCTTCGTTTCCCTGGACATTCTCGGATTCTACGCTCAGGACGCTGGAACTTATACGTGTCGGGCCGAGAACTCTCTCGGACAGGCTGAAACAGTGGCCACCATCAGATGCGCACGTGAGTCATTCTTCCCCATTTTCCGCCCCCGCGTTCCGAGGAGCCTCGTCAAGCTCCCGAGAAGCAAGTGCGCACAACTATGTTGAACTTTTAGCTTATTCGATTCCTACCGCCCGCCGCGTAACCCAATAGGTGCCTTCTTTTCTTCCCCTCCCGTCTCCTGCTTTCCCATTCGCAACGTTCCCTATTTCTACTACTATTAGGCAGTCCCAATGAGCAACAACTACGTGTTTGGGGTCAACTATGGCCCCAAACCCACAGTTCCACCCGCATCTTCTAGTCTCAGCGGAATGGGTCACATTTTGAACAGAAAAAACACAAAGCCAGCAGCAAGCAAGACCACTGGAATGGGCTTACTAAATCTTTCGAATTCAGCGAAAGATGCCATTCTCGGAGCAGTCCAACATCCGAGAAGTTACGCCAGAATCCAAGAGATCGAGGCTCCGAAGCCCCCACCACAGGAAGTGCCGGACCTCCCGCAACAGGTGAACCATTCACAAGTGTTCTCTCATTCAATCGCCCTGATTCCAGGTGCCCGTGTTTGTGAAGCAGTTGGGACCAGCCATCCAGTGCATGGAGGGAGACAACGTCTATCTGGAGGCGCAAGTCACTCCGACCGACGACAATTCGTTGACTGTGAGTTAATTGGTGGTCAATGATTTGAGTGTTCAAGGTTAAACAAAAGGAGAAACATGATGAACACAAAAAGCAAATATTTGAAGTTGAGCTGACGGAGAAGAAGACTTGCTTCTCTTAATGATGGAAAAATGTTGTGTTTGTATCAAAAAGAATATGACTTAATGGCTATGAACACATACTTTTCAGTACGAATGGCTCGTCAATGGTCAGCCGTTGATGAAGGCGCACAGATTCGTTCTGTCGCAAGACTTCGGATACATTGCTCTGAACATCCTCTACTGCTATCCAGAAGACAACGGAACATACACTCTTGTGGTCAGAAACCGTGCCGGAGAGGCTCAATCTTCAGTCGATATCAACTGCGGACACGTGGGAGGCAACGTGAGTTTCTTTTTCAGATCCTTCAGAATTGTTCAATATTTACACCTGAGCAAACTGTAATCTGATCCTTTCTAAATGTTCCGACCGTCACCAATTGCTTGCAGTTCACCGACTCGTTCCATCCGAACTCTCTTCATCGCATTGCTGAGCTTGAGGCTCCGATTCAACGGGCCGAGCCAGCCGCCGACAAAGAGAAGGAAGTGCCGAAGATTGTCAAGGCTCTTCCACCGACCATCGACTCGGTTCACGAGTCTCAGACACTTCATTTGGAGGCACAGGTCACTCCGATTGACGACAATACTTTGAGAGTAAGTCTCAAATTGCAAAACCCAATAAAATTATGTCACTTTCAGTATGAATGGCTCTTCAACGGTCAGCCACTCAAGGCTTCCAGCAGATACCGCGTCCTCAACGACTTCGGATTCGTTTCCCTCGACATTGATTACATCATTGCGGAAGACAGTGGAAAGTACACTCTGGTCGTCTACAACTCGGCCGGACGTGCCGAAACTTCCTGCGAGTTCCAAGTCGACAGACTCAAATCCATTCTCTCGGACACTGCTCATCCCGAATCGCTCCGTAGAATCCGCGAGATGGAACAATTGCAGCCAGCCAAGCCGTCCGACGACGATGCACCACTTCAAGCTCCCACGTTCACGCAGCAACTCACGGGACCAACAGAGCCACTCAAAGAGGGTCAGTCCGTGCACATGGACTGTGTCGTCCAACCGATCAACGACCCGAGTCTCAAGATCGAATGGTTCCATGATGGCAGACCACTCATGTTCGGTTCCCGCATCCGAACCATCCACGATTTCGGCTACGTCGGCCTCGAGTTCCTGCACATTCATCCGGAGGACACTGGAACTTACACGTGCAAGGCTACCAATCTCATCGGAGAGGCCACCACCGACATCTATTTGGAGTGCAAGTCCCGCCGTAACATCTACCTGGATACTCACCACGAGTCATCCTGGCAGAAAATTCAAGAGATCGAGAACAGAGTCGACGAGCGCGAGCCAACTCCAGAGATCACCTTCCAGCCACCGACTTTCACCGAAGTCCTCACTGACAAGACTGATGCTCAAGAAGGACAGGCAATCCGTTTGGAGTGCCGTTTGATCCCAGTCAACGATCCGACGATGAGAGTGACCTGGACCAGAGACGGGCAATCTCTTCCAGAGGCTTCCCGCTTCATGCCTGCCAGAAACTTCGACTATGTCAACCTCGACATTCTGGCTCTTTACGGAGAGGATTCCGGAGTCTACACTTGCACAGCCGTCTCTGCGTTTGGAGAAGCTGCTACTTCGTGCACTGTCAAGTGCGCCGCCACCAAGTCTCTCCTTCTCGATACCATGCACGATGCCTCCTGGAAACGCGTGCAAGAGATTGAGAACCGTGAGAAGCTGGAAGCAATCGATGCGGAGCCAGAGAAACCGCGCCGAACTTCGTCGTTCCATTGAACGCTTCCCTTGGAGAGCTCCAGGAAGGAGTTCCAATTCACTTGGAATGCCAGGTGGAGCCAACGAACGACAATCAGTTGACTGTGCAATGGTATCATAATGGCCAGCCACTTGCCAACGGACATCGCTTCCGCACTCGCCACGACTTCGGATACGTTGCCCTGGATATCTTGTATGCATTCGCTCAGGATACCGGAGAGTGGGCGTGTGTGGCCAGAAACAGTCTCGGAGAGGCTCAGACTGTCGCCAACTTCACTGTTCTGCCACGTGGAACCATCTACACCGACTCGCAACATCCGGAGAGTTGGCAGAAGATTCAAGTGCTCGAGGCGCCAAGAGCCGCTGCTCCGGAGAGACCGGATGCAGAGCATGATGCTCCACAGTTTATTGAGCCGCTTGAGAGCCTTGAGAGAATCGAGTTCCAGTCAGCTCACTTCCAAACAAAGGTCACTCCGCAGACGGATCCGAACCTCAGGATTCAATGGTTCAAGGATGGACAGCCGTTGAGAAACTCCAACCGTTTCAAGCTGACCACCGACTTCGGATACATTTCTCTGGACATTGCTCACACCGTCCCTGAAGACAGCGGAGTCTACTCCGTGAAGGCTAGCAATGCGAAGGGAGAAGCTGAAGTGCAGGCTCAGTTGTCTGTCCGTGGAAACGCGGCGATCATCGGAGACACTCAGCACGAGCAGTCCTGGCAGAAGATTCAATTGATCGAGGCTCCAAGAGCGCCTGGAGAGGAGGCTCCGGATGTGAAGCACGGACCGCCGAAGTTCGTCACTCAACTGCACAGTCTCGACGGAGTGGTGGAGGGACAGCCGTCTCATTTTGAAGCTCAGTTCATTCCGTTCTCCGATCCGAAGACTTCCGTCCAATGGTTCCTCAACGGAAAGCCACTGTCTGCTTCTTCTCGCAGAATCCTCCGCAACGACTTTGGTCTTGTCTCTCTGGATCTGCAGTACACCCTTGGAGAAGATGCTGGAGAGTACAGTGTCGTCGTGAAGAATGCCGAAGGAGAGGACAGAACTTCCGGACAACTCTCGTGCACCACCAGAGCCGCCATTCTGGGAGACACTCAGCACGCTCAATCGTGGCAGAGAATCCAAGAGATCGAAGCGCCAAGGGCTCCTGGAGCCGAGCCGGAAGGACCGGTTTACGAGAAGCCATCGTTCATTCAGCCACTTCAATCGGTTGGAGATCTTCCGGAAGGATCTGTGGCTCTTCTTGAGGCCCGTCTCATTCCAGTCAACGATCCGAACCTCCGCGTGCAATGGTTCTTCAATGATCAGCCGTTGATGGAGTCCAACTGGATCTCAACCAGCAACGACTTCGGGTGCGTCTCTCTCAGAATCGCCCCAGTTTACGCAAGACACACTGGTGTTTATTCGTGCAAAGCATGGAACGACAACGGAAACGCCGTCACTTCTGCGAACGTCGGAGTTCAAGGATCCGAGGGTCTTCTCCTCGACACTGCTCACCCGGTGTCACTAAAGAAGATTCAAGAGCTTGAGGCCATCGACAAGTACGCCAGACTCGAAGCTCCGGAGAGAGAATACGACAAGCCACAGTGGGTGCAAGGGTTCGAGAACTTTGAGAACGTCGGAGAGGGACAAACTGTTACTCTTCACGGACTCGTTGAGCCATCTGGAGACCCGAATCTCCGCATCGAGTGGCTTCTCAACGGAACTCCGCTCATGAATGCGAACCGTTTCCGTCAAGAATACGAGTTCGGAAACGCCATTCTCACGATCGTCCACGTTCTGCCGCATGATTCTGGAGTCTACACGTGCCGAGCCTACAATCAGCAGGGAGAGGCTTCCACTTCTGCCACTGTCACCACCGCTGGATACGAAAGAATCTTGTATGATTCCCAACATCCAGTCTCCTGGCAACGAATTCAAGAGCTTGAAGCTCCAAAGATTGTGGAAGAAATCGAGGAAGTCGTTCAGAAGGAGAAACCGCAATTCCTCACTCAATTGGAGTCCGCTGAGAATGTGCCAGAAGGCGTGCCACTTCATCTCGAGGCCACCTTCCAGCCGGCCAGGGACTCTGATCTCAAGGCGGTCTGGCAGAAGAACGGACAGCCACTGGGCGCTTCCCAACTTGTGCAGACAAAGCACGAACTCGGATGGGCCACTCTTGACATCTCGTCGGTCAACGAGGATCACAATGGAGTGTACACCCTCACCATTTCCAACAGCGAAGGAGAAGCCGTCTCGACTGCTTCCATTCGTGTTGCCGGAACTGGTCCGATCCTCGGCGACACTCGCCACGAAGAGTCCTGGAAACGCATCCAGATCCTCGAAGCGCCAAAGGAGGCGGAGCCTGAAGCCCCTGCTCCAGTCTACGATCATCCAGCCATCACCACGCAGATTGAGGACAAAGAATGCTACGAAGGAGACCACGTGCACTTCGAGGCGCTTATTGTTCCAGTCAACGATCCACGTCTCCAAGTGCAATGGATCCGCAACGGAGTTCCCCTTGCTCACGGATCCAAGTACGCTATTCAGCAAGATTTCGGAATTTGCACTCTCGATATCGCGTACACGTATCCAGAGGATGAAGGAGTCTATCAACTGCGCATCTGGAATCCAGACGGTGAAGCTGTGTCTTCTGCCACAGTCAAGTGCCACGGAAAAGACGCCATTTTGGGAGACGTCCAGCACCAGGAAAGCTGGAAGCGCATCCAGGAGATCGAGGCACCGAAGCCGAAGTTGGAAGAGGCCGATCCGGAGCCGAAGGGACCACCGAGATTCATTCAACAGCTTTCGAGCCCTGGAGAATTGGTGGAAAATCAACCGGCTCACTTCGAGGCCACCATCGAGCCAGTCGACGATCCGACTCTTACTATCAGCTGGTTCTTGAACGGACAGCCAATCGCCGCTTCGTCTCGTGTCAAGATGATCAACGACTTCGGATGGGTCATTATGGATATTGCCCAAACCGAAACGAGAGATTCCGGAGAATGGAAATGCGTTGCCAAGAACGCCGCCGGAGAAGCCGTTTCGACGACAACTCTCGGAGTTCAGGGCAAAGACGTCATCCTTCACGATTCTCTGCAACCCCAATCTTTGGATCGCATTCGTCAGATCGAAGCCGGAAAGCCAGCTCCAGAAGAGCGTCCAGACCAGCAATTCGACGCCCCAGTCATTGTTTCCGCACTTCAAGTGCAAGGATCCCTGGAGGAAGGCGGAAGTGCTCATCTGCAGACGCAGTTCACTCCCGTGGCCGATCCATCGATCAAGGTTGAATGGCTCAAGGACGGACAACCGATCTTCCACTCCAATAGATACAAGATGGTCCACGACTTTGGATTCGCTGTTCTGGACATTCTGCATCTTCTGAGACACGATGCCGGAGAGTACACCTTCCGCGTTTCCAACAGATCCGGTGACGCCTCCACTTCCACCAACTTTACAGTCTCGGAAAGCAGCGGTCTCATTCTCCAGCCACAAAACGAGCAAAAGGCCAAGGCTGTTGAGATTCTTGAGGATCACTTAAGAAGAAGACCAGAAGAGATTGAGCTGGAGATCAAGGAAGCCACGCCCGTTTTCATCGAGCCACTCTCTGCTCCAGTCGACACCGAAGAAGGAGGTCGTGCTCATTTCACTGCTCGTTACGAGCCAGTCAATGACAATCAGTTGCAAGTGCAATGGTACCACGACGGAAGGCCACTCAAGAACGGAAGCCGTATCAAGACCATCAACAGCTTCGGATATGTGGTTTTGGAGATCAGTCCGACTTATCCGGAAGACAACGGAGAGTACACTTGCCGTGCGATCAACCGAGTCGGAGAGGCTGTCACTTCCACGAGACTCACCTGCTCGCCTAAGGAAGGAATCATCAGCTCCACCCAGTTGCCGGATCGAATGGCCAATGCTGGAAAAAGAATTGCTGAGATCGAAGCCCCAAGACCGGCTCGCGAGGATGCTCCAGATGTTGATCACGGAGCGCCAAAGTTCACATCTGCTTTGGCAGGACCACCGGAATTGCAGGAGGGACAACAGGCTCACCTCGAGTGCCAGGTCACTCCGGTTGCCGACCCGAAGCTCAAGATCGAGTGGTTCCACGAGGGACAGCCAGTGAAGCACACGAACAGAATGAAGGTCATTCACGACTTTGGATTCGTTGTCCTTCAGTTGTCGCCCGCCGAGCCGCAAGACTCGGGAACTTGGACTTGCCGTGCAACTAATCAGCACGGATCCGATGAAGTTTCCACTGAGATCAAGGTCGTCGGAGGAGGCGGAGTCTCTTACGAGTGGCAGAGCCCAGCCCAACGCAAAGAGCGTATTACTGAGCTCGAGGACTGGATCCACCGTCCGAAGGAGGACCTCAACCTTCCACCTGTTGAATATCCAGAACCGTCCTTCTCACAGGAGCTCACTGACCTCGGCCAGTTGAACGAGGCAGACGCCACCGCCTTCGTTTGTGTCCTCGAGCCGATCGGAGATCCGACTTTGAGAGTGCAATGGGAGCACAACGGACACCCGATTCCGTACTCCAACCGTATCTCGTGCACCAACGAATTCGGAGTCGCCACCCTCCTCATCAAGCATCTCATTGCTGCCGACGCCGGAGAGTACAAGTGTGTGGCCACGAATGCGAAGGGAACCGCCAGCTCGGTTGGACACGTCGCCGTCGAGTCGGCCACCCAGATTGACACTCCGCAAGTTGTGCAAGCTCTCGTTGACAGTGTGGATAACACGCTCGAAGGAGATTCCATCCATCTCGAATGCCGTGTCACTCCCATCAACGACCCGCGTCTCCGTGTGAAATGGCTACGCAATGGAGAGCCACTGCCAGAAGCCAGCAGATTCCGTCCGACTTTCGAGTTCGGATTTGTCAGCTTGGATATCCTGTACGCTTATCCAGAAGACAACGGAGACTACGAACTTGTCGTGTACAACGATAAGGGAGAAGCCCGCACCAAGACGAAAATCGCTGTCGCGCCAAGGCCTTCACTCGACTACACTTCCCAAACTCACGGAAACCAGCAAGATTCTCTTGAGTCGCACTTCAAACAACACTCGCAAGCCAAGCTTCAGCTCACTGCCAGCGACATCTACAATGAGGTTGACAAGCGTGCGCCAGAATTCCGTACTCAGCTTCAAAACATCGGAGTGCTCGAGGGAGAGTTCTGTCGCTTCGAGACTCAAGTCGCACCGATCAACGATCCGTATCTCAAGGTGGAGTGGTACAAGGACAAGAAGCCAGTGCTTCTCGGACACCGCTTCCGCTCCACGCTCGATTTCGGATTCGCTTGCCTCGATCTGTTGTACGCTCTTCCGGATGACACTGGAGAGTACCACTGTGTGGCCACCAACCGTCACGGTCAGGCTATGATCAGCGCCAAATTGGCTTGCCAGGGAGCCTCGCACGTCATCACTGACAGCCAGATGCCACAAGGACTCCGTGTAAGCAATGTGAAGAAGGACAACAAGAACGTCTACTGGAGCGAGCAGGGAGGACCTATTCAGCCGAAACAGAAGCAGCCACCACAGTTCACGATTCCACTTCGAAACTTGCAAGTCACCGAGAACCAGCCAGCCAGATTCGAGTGCGCCGTCGTCGGATTCCCACGTCCGAAGGTCACCTGGTTCATCAATGGCAACCAGTGTCTCCACGGACATCGCTTTAAGTTGAACTTCGACGGTCTCCACTACCTCACCGTCAGCAAATCGAGAATCTCGGATGCCGGAGAAGTTGTCGCCATTGCCAGAAACACCGAGGGAGAGACAATCTCCACGGCCACTCTGGACATCTTCCAGAACGATGACTTCAGACAAGCCAAACTGAGACCGGCCAACTTCAAGACATCCGATGAGCTGAGAGAAAGAGAGTTGCAGTGGCAGAGAGATACGCTCGGATCACTTGGACCCGCCTTCGAGGCCGCTCCGAAGCCGGACGCCCAGAAGCTCATGCACGTTGAAAGAGCGCAGAGCCCGATCGAACCACTGGAGTCTCAGGAACTCATTCAGAAGTTCACTCGTCCACGCGACGACAGTTTCTACAACAAGTTGTCGTACGTGGAGACCCAGAAGCCGCAATTCAAGGGAATGGAACTGGAGTCGGTGAACTTAAAGGCCGGAAAGGTCGAGAAGTATCAGCCGCCCACGGAAGAGATGGAGAGGGTCAACCTGAAAGCGATCCCAGACAAGGACAGACCAGACGTAGAATGGGAACGACCGGATTGGGCGGGACAGGATGGAGGAGCCAAGCTGCCGGGTGCCGACGAAGGACGCTTCAAGAAGTTGCCGACGCCACCGCCAGAGTTGGATGTTCCGGCCAGAGACCAGGTAAAATTGAAGACTGCCAAGCCGACGAGAGGAAAGGATGTCGAGTCTGGAGAGCGAGTGAAGCTGAACACCGAGAAGGCCAAGATCAAGGAGATCCAGCAGAAGCCGGAACAGCCGAAAGAAGAGCCGGTTGTGCACAAAGACACCGTCCAACTCAAGGTAAGTGAAACCGCTTTCAGCACAACGCAACTCACCCCCACAGATCCCCGATTCCAAGTTACCCTCCCACTCTGCACTACCCCTTTTCAGCAACAACAACTGCCAAAGACCGGAGTGAAAGGAGATCATTTCACTGTGGACAGAGAGAAGGATCTCAAGGAGACGCCGGCGGTCGTGAAGCCAGTCATCGAGGAGACCCGCATCAGCAACAAGGTACGGGCACACTGTCCATTAACTTGTCCTCTTCTTTCTCTTTCTGCTTGCTCTGCTTGGTTTTTGACTCACGTTGAGTTGTTGTTTTGTTTGAAGCTAGCACAATGTTGACTGTATGTTCGTTGCAGAGTGTTACGCATGAATCTTCTTCTTCCACGTCTTCATCTTCCTTCGCACAAAGCCAGGGACGCATCACCTATCAAGCCTACCGGGAGCACAAAGAATCGACCTCCTCAGACGTGTGTCATGTGTCTTGTCTTGTCATGTCTGTGAAGTGTTCAGGTATATCTTTCCGTCGAGACTGCCGATTCGTATTCTCATGTGCAAAGGCTCGAGTACAGTCCGAGAAGTCCGCGGAGAGAGCGTGTTATCGGATTCCATATGATTCGGGTTTGGCATGACTTTTTGATTGAGTAGAATGTTATGAGTGTTCTTGTCTCATGATCGTTCTTCGACACGGAAACAAGTTGTCTTTCAGCCACAACCAACGAAGATCGGACAATCGAAACAGGCGCCGCCGACCATCTCTCAACAGCTGAAGCCACTTGAAGGCGAGCTCGGAAAAGCCGCCAAGTTTATTATCGAGTTTGCTGGAGCTGCTCCAATCAAGGTCACTTGGTTTAAGGATGGAAAGGAAATCAAGAGCACTTTCCGATCACAGGTGAGATTCAAAATGCGACAGATGCCCATCAGTGGTTCAATTACAGATAACTACGACTCCAACCAACTCAAGCCTCCACATCGGCCGTTTGGAGAATTCTCATTCTGGAGAGTACACCGTCCGATTGGAGAATGCCGCCGGAACCGTTGAATCGCTGGCCTCCCTTTCTGTTGCACCACCGAGCGCCCAAGGAAAGGCTCCGGACTTTACAGCCCGTCTAAACGATCTTCGCATCCAGCAGAACGGACCGGCCGAGTTCTCCTGCAACATCGGAGGGGAACCAAAGCCGACGATCCAATGGTTCAAGGACGGACAGCCACTGCCGAACGACGACAGATTCTCGGTGGTCGAGGAGAACGGAACGTACAAACTCAAGTTCGCCAACATTCTCTCGACTGACGCCGGAGTTTACGAGATTGTGGCCAAGAACGGAGCTGGAGAAGCCCGCTGCAAGGCCCGTCTCAACGTGAATCTCCAGAAGACTGGAAAGGGAGCCGAGGAAGGTCCGAGATACGAGGCGCCACGCTTCTCGAGCCAGATTCAGCCGATTGTGGTTGATGAGGGCAAGGGAGCGCAGTTCAGTGCCAAGTTCAACGGATTCCCGGAGCCAACCATCCGTTGGTATCGCAACAATGAACCGGTCAAACACGCAGATGGATACGAAATCTCGCAATCGAAGGGAGAAGCCGTCCTAAGGATATCGGCTGCCAGAAATGAAGACGTTGCCGAGTACAAGGTGGAAGCCAGCAACCCAGCTGGAAAGGCTTCTTCCGTCGCCAACCTGGTCCTCACTCGTAAGTCGCTTTCTTTTAGTTCCGCCTTTATCATTTCATTTCCAGCGAGATCTGGAAGAATCGCCAAGACGACCATCTCGCGTGGTGGCTCGGCTGCCTATCAATCGACCGATAAAGCCGCCGCCGACGCTCCGCACTTCCTCGCCAAGCTGTCTGACATCTCTGCCCGTCAAGGACACACTGTCAAGTTCAGCGCCGAGGTCGACGGAAACCCGGAGCCAACTGTTCAGTGGCAATTCAAGGGAAAACCACTCACTGCTTCAAATAACGTGAAGGTGAGTCACTGGGAATTGGGCTCTCGAATCATTACGGATTGTCTTCAGATCTCGCGTGACGGCAACGTGCCATTCTGGAGCTGGCCCGAGTAACCCCGGACAGCGCCGGAGAGTACCAGATCGTCATCCGAAACGACAAGGGAGCCGCCACGTCGCAAGCCAAGCTCACCCTCAGTGCGTAGAACTTCTGAGACAGACGCTGCTGAAACCTTGCCTCAAAATCTGAAAAACTGAAACAAAACAGAAACGCGCATGATTTTTGATCCACTTCTTGTGCTAAATCCACTGAAGCACGTCGACTCTCTAGCACATTCTCTTTCACTTCTCGGCTCGCCAAACCCTTCCGCCAGCTCGTCTAATTGTCCCGTTTCCCTTCTAACCCCACCTTCCCATTGCAATAATTCCATGTTATTCAGGTCGCTAAGCCGTCAAAATCACCTTCATATCTTCTCACATACGTGCCACGTCATCCAATAATCAACCACAAAAACGTGTAGTTTTTCTCTCTCTTTTCTCTATAATTTTCTACTTTTAAACTGCCGCCTCGCTCAATTTCTCTGATGTAAAATGCTTTACTTTTAGCTGATCATTTAGATTTATTTCGATTCAAACATGTTCATCAACCAATAGGGATCCCCTGATCTGATAGATTGCTGCCCTATCATTTTGGTTCAAGTTGAGTTCCCTTCGATCGCTGCCCTTAGGTTTCTCTTCAAAATACGTCATTCATCAGAAATTGCTGCCTTCTAATGTTTGACCGCAGTTTCCCTACATTAAGATCTGTTGATTGTACTGTGAATCCTTCCTTTCCTTACGCGTTTCTTTCATTTCTGCTGCTTCGTTTTTTTGTATATATGAAAGTGGTACTCTAGTCCATTTCATTTCTAGTCATAATTTTCAAATGTTCATCTTCTCATCAGATTCTTCTGCCTGTCAGTTTTTAATAATATTTTATTTTCTTTGAACAGCCGTTGCATTTGAATGAATTTTCTGAGCTTTTTGTCAGTTTTGCGTTACTGCGCCCGTTCCGAAGTGGATTGCGACTCGACGTCGAAGGGTCGGAACGAAGAGAATGCCGACGAGAGCGCAAAGAGAGGGGGACATTGAGAGGACGATCGGAGCCATCCAGTACATCCAGCTGAAATGGGAGCTGAACACAAAAAAATGTCCATGCTGCTCACTTCATAAATTCAAAACCGAACAAGCCGCCGAAGAAGACAATGCTGAACGGCGTGAAACTGCCAAAAGACAAGGCAGTTTGAACCGCAAGCACTCCGAACAGCTTCTTGTGCATTTCCGTCGTTCGGTGACTCAATGTGACCACGCCTCGATCCAAGCCCGTTCTGATCTGAAAATGTAGTGAGTTCAGGAGTATCATTCCAAGAGAGGGTTCCTTGTAGCCAAAAACGAGGAAGAAGATGTTATACGCCAAAGTGAAACACGTCAATAAACCCATTCCGACCCATGACCGAACAACGACCGAATTGGATACTTCCTGTGAAATACAAGTTCAAAGAATCGAATCCTGAAAAGGTAAACGTACTGAAGAAACCGCTAATGAATAGTTGATGTCATCGATGTTTTCGTTGAAATTTTCCATAATTGTCTTCTCTAGGTAACCGTTCGTTTCGTTTGTCGCCAAGAAACACACTTGAACAGTTACTGACCAGAAGAGCCAGGAAAAGGTGAAAATCATTAGACCGATGAGGAAACCGTACACCGTAAAGTATTCACTGACAATGTGTCCCTTTTTCAAAATCATGTATCGGTAGACGTATTGAGCACTGAGAGTTGTGTATATCCAGCACACAAGTGCCCAGCGATCGGCGATAAGTGTCTCTCCGAAAAGGGATTTCTGAAAGTTGAATTGCTTGAGCCAATTCTCTAATTACAAACCGTATAAATCAGTTGTTTGACCGCAATAATTGCAGTGGCAGAACGGTGGCGGTGAATAGTCAGAAACAGAGAAGTTAACAATAGTTGCCAAAACGATTAAATTACCATAGGAACTAACACGTCTACAATGGAAGTCACCATATTGACAAACACCAGTGTATAGAAAAGATAGCGATAGTTGCCAAGATTGATTTGATGATCATGTCTGATAAATTTTAAAAACAGTGGGTTCAGTATAAACGAAAGGACGCACAAGAGTTTCGGAGCGCAGAAGTGAATCCAGTTGACGAGCATTTCGTGTGCAACACGGACGAGTCTGAGTGTGTTGACGAGACTCAGTCACGCGGGTGCCGTCTCTCAGGACGTACTATTGTGTGCTGATTATCAGAATCTCACAGGTCCCTTGGGAAATTTATTCAGATAGAAGAAAACAAATTATGAATAATCGGTCAGGCGATGTGCTCGATATGAATATGACAAACGAGATGACGACGAAGGGCCGGAAGGAAAAAAATGATGGCGATCGGATCCAGGAAGGAAAACATTCACTCCTGGAACTCCAGTACACCCAACTGAAACAAATATCTTCAATAGCTAATGTAACGTCTCTTTTTCTCCTCACTTGACAAAGTCGATCCGGAGTGCTGCTCCGTAGAAAGAGCAGGAGCACGGAAAGAAGCTGACGCAGAGGGGGATGACTGTTTGGACGGTCAGAGACATTAACAAGTAAAGCTGCAAGATATGACATAGTTAAACTTACCTTATGGGATATTACACTTTCTGAGCTGCGTCTATGCACGTAGACACCTTGCTCGAGGTTTTTGATTGTATGAACAACTCACAGAAAACGAGAAGCATTGGAGAGAAGCGGTTCCACTTACCTTGAGTTGGAAGGTGTCTTGTGCACAACCGGCACTTCTTTCGGCTGTTCCGGCTTCTATGTACTGGATCTCCTTGATCTTGGCCTTCTCGGTGTTCAGCTTCACTCGTTCTCCGGACTTGACATCCTTTCTTCTCTTCAATCTCTTCAATTTTACCTGGTCTCTAGCCGGAACATCCAACTCTGGCGGTGGCGTCGGCAACTTCTTGAAGCGTCCTTCGGCGGCACCCGGCAGCTTGGATCCTCTATCCTGTCCCGCCCAATCCGGTCGTTCCCGGAGAGAATCTGAAAAAATGGAGGGCGGAGAAGTATTTTCATTCTGTCCAACTAACCGCCTTTCCTTCGAGTACGCGTCGCGGTATCCGCGGCGCCTTTGTGCGAATCGGCGAAATTTTCATCGATACGCTGAAAATTTGCGCTTTGTATTGCGAAGACAGCAGATAATATTGGTTTTTACGAATTTAAACAGGAACAGATATTTCAAAGCATTAAACGATTTTTCATTTAAAATTTGGGTCCGGCTTTAAAACAAATACATGAGATATTGATGCAGGATAAGAGGTATTCACTTGTAGATCACAATGTATCTGGGCAGAACACGGTGAGGGTTGCGGACGATGTATTCAGAGTAGGAGAGGGTTTGGAATCCGTAGTTGAGTCCCACGATTTCGTCCCTCTTCCGGAGCGGTAGCAACGGCATTCCGACACCATCATTCGTGAGACTTCCGGCCGGGAAACTGTCGCCAATGTAGTGGAGAGTGTCTTCTCCCTGGAACATTTGAACTGATAATTTAAAAAGAATAAAGTGAACTGACTCTCTCAGCTGGTCCTTGGTCTTGATTTGAGTAGCGGAACGGAATGGTTTTCAACTCGCGGACCTTTCCGAGCGCAGTTTGGCACACGAGCATGTACTTGACATCGTCGGCCGATGGAGCACAATAATGATTGCTTTTCTCGAAACTGTCCGCCAGATAAATTCCGGATCCAAAGAGACTTCCGTTTCTGCACGCAGCTGGCGGATCAACGAGGAAGCCGTTGCGGAGGATGCTTATCAGATTGGTCGCCTTCGTTCCGTGCCACAAGAACTTCTGGTTGTCATCGTTGATGAACGGCTCGAACTTCTCAGTCGATTCCTTCGGTCTAATCTCCAGAATCTTCTTGACCTTGGTATTTTTGTCTCCAGAATTGTGAATCCACTGAAGAATGCGCTGGCTGATATCGGAATCGGGGTTCTCGAGACTGAATTCGCACTTCATGGCGGTGCGGATGTAATCGACGCGGTCTAGATCTTTCCGGAACTCAGCTCCGCACAACAACCGGGTCGCCGTTTCAATTTCAGTGAATCTGTTCAGATTGAGACGATGACGAGCGATGTCCTCCAACTTGTCGAGTCTGGTCAGGTTGGAGTACTCAAACTCGCCCAATGGAATGAGAGAGTAGTATTCGTTCGAGAGATCGCTCTATAAAGTGTGAACATAGTGAACGTTTTCCGATCTTAACTTACTGTGGTCATATAGGCATTCAGAAGGTTGGACTCGGACAGCACGGATTGCGCTTCTGCCATCTGCTGGATTCTCTTCGCATTCTTCTCCAACTTATCCAAAACGGATTTCGCTTTCTCGATGTTCGCTTTGGTGAATCTTCCGAATGGCTGAGAGCATCTGGCCATGTTAACACCGGAGGCATATGTTTTCAGAATCTTCGGGTCACTGATATCAGCGATAATCTTGCGAATAGGATCCTTTTCCGTGTTTTTCTTCCATGTCAGTTCAACTTCAGCCAGGTCCGTCGGAGCCGAATCAGTCTCGACGAGCCGGTATTTCTTCGGTTGTTCCTGGAAATAAGCAAGCGGAGCCCACTCGTTTCCGGTCTTTGACTTGAAGATCGACTTGAACTCCTTGGCCGCCAGCTCGATACTATTGAACGGAGTGGTCTGGAACTCTCCGATTCCGTCTCCGATTCTCCCCCAATTGGTGAACAAAATGTAGAGATCAGCGTCGCGTCGCTTGATTATCTGCATGCGGTAAAAGTTGTGGAAACCGTAGCGGCCGTAGTTTAGATCGGTTTTGTTCAAGAGAACATTGAAGTACTGCTGGGTGTCCTCGCAGAATCCGACGGTTCCACTTGTCTGGTACGTCGAATTTTGGTGTGGTTTCGGCGCCTCGATCGACTTTTTCTTGTCGTTCTCCTCCGCCCATTTGGTCAGGAAGTTGTTCGAATCCTCATCCACATTGCTGATCGGTTCAATGTTCACAGGGCCCAGAGTCAACTTGGTACTGAAACGATAACTATTAGATGGCGAACATTTCACATTCAGTTTCTCACTCTTTGATGGCTCTTGGAAGCGATGCTCCTTTCAAAATTTTGATCATTTCAGTCTTCATTCTTCTATTCACTTTCTTCGCGGCCAATTCGATCGGATTTGGATTCTTCTTGTCAACAAGACACTCCACAATCACTTTTCGGTTCGAAGCAGCCAGATCGGAGAGCAACTCGACGTTTTCCCAGGCGAGAGGCTCAATCAGATAATGAAGCGCATTGTATCCATTATGATCACGAGCAGAAAATAGCTGAAATGAGATACATGGTCACAAAAAGATGAAATTAGACATACGGATGGGTCGGTGATCACCAGCATCTTCTCTTGGGTCCTGAAGATTCCTTCCCCTCCACTTTCGCCTTCTTTGCCGGTGGCGGAGACTCAGAATCATCCTCTTCGCCTTCAGATTCCTCGACCGACGACGAGCTCTCCGATTCCGATTCATTTTCAGCAGCGGCACTGGTGCTCGGGGCGTGGGTGGCAGACCTTTTCACTCCGAAGAGCAGCGGAGTTTCGTTTGTCTTCCTCCTGACCACTGGATTCTGCTTCGGCAGCACCACGTTTTCCTTCGCATCACCAATAACAGCATCGATGACTCTTCGGTTATTGGTCATGATTGCAAACATCAGCGGAGTTCTTCCGTACTTGTCTGCAGTCTTCAGATTTGCTCCAGCAACTCTCAGCGCTCTCACCAACTCGGCCTTTTCTTGGAGCACAGCCCAGGAGATCGGAGGAAGAAGATCGAAGTCGAGAAGATTCTTAAACTTTCCAGAAACTTCAAAATCGCAGAGGGCATCAATGTTGACTCCTCGAATTGATTTCAACTCATCCAAAAAGAAGATGGAATCAGTAGTGACCATTTTCTCGTTCATGTAAAGAACCAATGATCGGATCGGGCTCTCCTTCGGCGACTCCGTTTTTATTTGCTTCCAACTAGCTCCCATTTCGTTCTTTAAAAATCGGAGGAAATTCCAATTGCCAGCTTGAAGAGCAGTTAGGATTATCTTTCCGGTTTCTGGCTGATCCAGTCCGAGCCCTCTGGTCAGAAGGATTCTGTTAAGGACGGTTCTCTCGATAGTTTCCTCCTCGAGGCTGCCGAAGCACTTTTCAGCGAACGTGTTCAGGAGATCATGCGGACAGTTGAGAACTTCTCCGTCAAGAAGAGCTTCGATCGATTTGAGCAGTTGATTGGCCAAATTGAACTGTCCGCGGCGAAGGGCAGCATCGGTCAGCTGAGCCATTGATCCAGTGTTCTGTCCGAGCACATCGAGCAGCACGTAGACCATTGCTTCCCAGCTGCCTCCTTTGCTTACAACTGTTGCTGGAATTGTGGTGTTCGTGTCCTCGTTCACCTTCTTCTCCTTTCCATGCCAACGCCAGATCTCCTCCTCGTCGTCGTTCTTTCTCTTCGTCTGGAAGGGTTGGCTCGCTTTCACATAGATCTTCTCAGTGACATCGGCGTTCGCCTGGATGAGAGTGAGAGCGGAGGACTGTCTTCCATGGTAAACAGCCAAAGCCAACGGAGTGTTTCCGTCGTTGTTCTTCAGATCCACGTGGCACTTCTTTCTGATCAGAGTCATCAGACAGATGGTGGAGTTCTTGATGGCGGCCAAATGAAGAATTGTGTTTCCGTTCATATCGGCAATTTCGATTTGGTCAGGCCGAATCATAGACGACAGTAGAGACACAACAGCGATCGGATCACTCTCTCCGGACGGAACACTTCCCTCTTTGAACTCGTGCTCTGATCCGAATGCGTAATGAAGAGCAGTCCGATTGAACTTGTCGACAGCCTCAATAGAACTTCTCGTTGACAACCAGGCAATCGGCTCAAGAACCGAGTTGGCGGATCCGTCGCAAGTCATGGTTGCCACGTGGAGCACAGTCCGACCGTCCGCATTGCTCTCCCTCGGAACTCCCTTCGATTCGATCAATTTGAACAGCCACACCGTTTTATGGCAGTTCACTCTCGCCGCATAGTGCCAAACACTGTTCTCCTTGGCATCCTTCCGTTTCCAAAACTCGGACGACGCATTCAGTTTCGGAATGAGATCCCACATTCGCATCTCGATCATGTACATGATGATCGTCTTGTTGACGACTTCGTCGAGCTCTTTCTCTTTGATTGCGTTATGAATTCCATCCACCAAGTGCGCTTCCGATGCCGTATCCATCAGCAACTCGACGACACGTGGCTTGTCAAACTGAATCGCCTCGATAATAAGCAGATCGTCCTTCTCGTTTCTTTGTGTGAGGAACTCTTCAACTCGATTGAACTCTTTGCTCAGCTTGATCAGAATCTTGAAAAGAGCCAGCTGATTCTCCGGGTGTTTTCCAGCTTCCAATGGAATAGTCATCGCCAGTTTCGCCAGCGTGACGGCCGCCGCATTTTCCGCATTCACGTACTTCTGAGTCAGTTGAAATGGATCCAACCGGATGACCCATTCGAAGAGCTCGTTGACGGTGGCCAAGAATACCTGAAAAGCAACAGAATTAAAGAACGTCAGAGCAGAGATGGAGGGAAAGAATCGGATGATGTGCACTTGAGACAAGGAAGGGAACAAAAGGAGAAAGAGGAAGTTTTCAAAATTGAAACCTTTAGCTCATAAGAATCAACATGAGGACTCTTTTTGTTAGCATTGAAATGATGGCCGTATATTCTTTGACTCGCAGCCATAGGAATGTTCTAAACGCGGTTAGAATACTATGTACCGTAGGATTTGAAGGATTTTCGCTTACATGGTTAACTTCTTGTCTTAATTCAGTGCTTGGAGTTTTGCTTTGGTACTGTTTGACAGCCTCCACAATCGGAGAGTATCCTTCCTTGTTCGCCTCGCTGACCCATTTCTTGAAAAGATCCGGAAGGTTGTCTTGCAACTCTTTCAGGATTGGAAGCACGTCGTACGCTGGTTTCGTGAGTGTCTCGCCCTTCCACAGCACCTGATCACCGTACACTTTCATGGGGAGCGAGAGAATCTCGTGCAGGAAGTTCTGTTGAGGGGCCCACGTCTCAAGCAGTCTTCGTTTATCGGTGACTTTCTCGAGCAACAGAGTGAACAGAAGAAGGTTTCCGTTCGCGAGAGCAATGTGAAGAGGAGTGTTGTTCTGATTATCGTAGCTCTCCACGACGGCGCCCGCCTCAATGAGCATATCAAAGCACTTGCGGTAGGAAGGCAAGTCCATTCGGGTGGCGTCCATTTCTGGCGCCTCTCCACTTCCCTTCAAGATGATTCTCTGCTGGGCGAACAAATGAAGCGGCGTCGTTCCGGAGCTGTCAGAGATTCCCGCGTTGGCTCCACGGGAAATGAGATAATCCAGTTGAGTTGTCAACGTTTTGTGCATGCTTTCATCGGCATACGAGAGAAGATTCGCAATGAGAGTCGCTCCGTTGTTGTCCTTCGCATTGATGTTCGCTTTCTCTTTGTACGGTCCCTCGAGAAGCCACGTAACAATTCCGTAGTGACCTTTTAGATAAGCGATTGAGAGCGGGTACAGCTGCCAATCATTTCCTGTCGCAAGAATTTCGGGGTCGATGATAGCGAGCTGTCGAAGGCACTCCAAGAATCCGTATCCGGCAGCATAGTGGGCGGCAGTGTTTCCGGAAGAGTCCGCCAAGAAAATGTTTGTTCCTTTCGCCAGGAGCATGGCGGAAGTGTGTACTTGTCCGTTGAGCATCGCGTGGATCAGCGGGGTTCTCTTCTTCTTGTCTTTGCCTTCAACGAGCGCACCTTTTTCGATAAGTTTCTTGGCCATCTCCAGATGTCCGAGCGAGCAAGCGAACATGAGCGGAGTGACTCTGTTCGTGTTGGTCGAAGTTGGAATGTCCACCTGAATGGTGGGTTCTTCGAGAAGAGCATCAACGGCTTCCAAGTGATTGTTGATGACTGCCAGGTGGAGCGCAGTCTGTCCAGAACGGTTTTTCGCGTTCACGACGGATCTGTCCGGTCGGATTGTCGACTCTCCGTCTTCTCCCTTCTCCAAATTGAGCATTTCCCTTAGAAGAATCTTGATGTTGGCGGCTCTTCCTGCTCTCGCGGCGGCATGCAACGGAGTCTCTGTCTGTTTCGTTAGCATGGTAACAGAACCTCCGTTTTTGAGCATGTACTCGAGTGACGCAGTTCCAGGAGCACACGCGGCGTAGTGGATTGTGTACCAGTTGTCCTGATCCGGAATGTTGAGGGTCGGATAGACGGCTCGCATCGATTCGAGCATGTGAGTGCTGTTCGAAATGGCAGCAGTGTGCAGCGGAGTGATACTTTTGTTCATGAACATTTTCTTGGCAACCGAGACGGGAAGGATCTTGGCGGGCAGTCGCTCAGCTTTCAGTGTCTGTCGGTGCAGGTCGTTGCAGTGATTCCGGGCCGGTCCTTGGGCCAAGGAAGAGGCCAGTTCACGGTGTCCTCTTCTGACCGCATCCACCACATGACTTTCGAGCTCGTGCTCTTCGAATGCTGAAAATTAAGGATGGATGTTGAAACAAAGGACAAGAAACGTACGTCCATTCGGGATCTTGCTGAGCTGGAAGAGCTTGGTGTACGGAACATTCTCCTCGACCAAGCGGGTGAGAACATGCAGATCGCCTGCCTTACTCTTGTAGTTCAAGAGCGCATTATTTCCTTCTTTTCCGCCTCTTGACATTTCCACGTTGCGAGTGTACCGGCCGATCATGTAGAAGTTCTTTCTTCCTGTTGTCTTCTGAAAATCATTAAATTTCTCTCAAGCTTCTGCCTGAATGCTTACATATGTAAGCAAATCGGGTTCTTTCGACGGCTGGTAGTTGTTGTCGTCGTCCAGCTTCTGGTTCAACTTGAAGAAGTCCGTTGCGAACTTCACGTCTTTCAAACAAGCCTCGTACGCTGCCGAGGTATCGTACTCATAGGCGAATCCTTCGAGCGCAGCGCCTTTCTGACACTTTTTCGACTTGAAATAGTCCTTGATCTCTTTCATGTCCTCCCGACGAATGGCTCTGATCACCCATCTGTGGTAGACATGAGCACTGACGTATTCTGGCAGTTCTCTGTTCGCGAAGAACGGATTCTCGACGTATTCCGTGACAGTTCTCGGCGTTAAACGGTCATTTCCCTTCTTCGACACCTTTTTCGCTTTTTCCGTTTTCGCTGTCTTCGCTGTCTTCGCCGTCTTTACAGTGAGTTTCGTTCCCTTGACTCCCTTCTTCACAGTCTTTTTCACTATTGCCTTGGCGGTCTTTTTTCTATGGATGACAGTGGGCGCCGGGGCCTGATGGAGCACGGCTTGAGTGCGTTGGCGGGTCGATTGCAGGCGCCCTGAAAAAGTAAAAATCTCAATCGGGAAGAAGATTGGAAGCTCACCATTGAGAGATCTTCTTCCGAGGTTTCCGTCCAGCACCTTCCTCGCTGTCGTCTTTTTCGATTTTACACGAGCCATGGTCGCGAGCGCTGTAAACAAACGGAGTGTTTCGGGTGTTGTGTTGTTTGTTTCGTTCGCGAGAAGTACACGAGGAAGAAGTGAAAGAATTTGGAACTAAAAAAAAGTGGATATCTGCACTTTGTTTCGACTTTTGGTTGAAAAAGTGTATAAGCCAAGGGCAAGAATCGAAGAATAAAAAGTTGAATACTTGGCAAACACAACAACGGGCATAAAAAAGAGGAAATAGGAAGAGAAGAAATCGAGGAAACGCGGGAGAAAGGCAGAGAAGGGACGAGGGGTGCGAGAGAGCGTGCGAAGTGACGAGACGCAGACGATCAACAAGTTGCAAATGTTCAAAATCGGAGAAGGTGTTTGTCATTTGGTAAACAGACCGATTTCGAGATCACCAATGACTCACAAATCGAAGATCTCGCCGTCAAAGGCGAATAAATCAGCGACGCGCGAAGACGCCGTGAAAGTGAGGAGTGTTTGTACGTTTGAAGGACACACCGAGGTCTGAAGATCACGAAATTCCGAAACAAAAAAGCACAACGGCAGACAAATGGCCATAGCGCCGTTTCATTTGTTGTCGGTTGCCTGGAAACAGCTGCGCCCATTCATTGCCACGGGCGACGGCGGTTCCCCCAAACTTTTACGGCGCAATTCGTCACTTTGTACTCGAGAATAAACCGTCATGTGCGAGAAAAAAAACGGCAAATAGGGCGTGAATTGATAACGAATGAGAGTAAAAGTGACGGCATGCGAGTTGGTCTGAAGCCTTCAGCTGAAGTGACATCAAAAAGGCACCAAACTACGTCGAGACGGAGAAGAATGGAGAGATGGAATGACAACTTTTCGCACCGTGGCTCCCCCTATATAGCATATCGGAAAAGTTTATGATGTTGACGATGACGATGATGACGATAATGTGTATGATAGTGGAGCAAAACGATGATAATCGGAGAGTGGCGTGATGATTAGGACGATCATTATGATGTTGATCACAATTTTATGCTCCGGTTTCATATCAAATCGACATTTTCCATTGCAATTGAGGTTGACTCAGCAACCTGGAGTTTGTGTTTCGAAGATTGAGCGGTTCTAAGACCTGAACGTTTTCACACTCTACTACGGTGTTCTCAAAAAATGCAGCTTTATTTTTAAACTTGTATTCCTGTTCATGCTGAGTCTCTCAGAATGGACGGACCGTCGAGAGGAAAGACCGAAAAAATGCGAGTGAGTGTAGAGATCTTTATTGACAGCCGGCTGTGCGGTTCTCTCGCGAACATCATGACCAGGTCGGGGACCGTTCAAGAATATCACACCAAAACTCTTTTGCACCCTTCAGTAGATTTATGGGCGTCCATTCGAGAGCCCATATCCTGCCCGAGAAAAACGTCTTCATTGAAGTCGTCGAGCAGGTGAACGACAGCCAGATTGACGTCTCCGTGTCTCCGATTACCTTCCAGGCGCGGTGGTGCGACGACCTGAAATCGGATCCACGACCTCCGGAATCAACATAGAATCGGGGCTTGCGTGTATCCGGCGTGCTCCCGCATGTCATCTCCCTTGTCGTGTTGTTTTTGTGTCACCGCCAGCCAGAACAAGTGTACACGGCGCGCGTGTAGCTCTAATGGATGGATCGACCTGTTGCTCGTCATTATTTTCGGGTGACGGAAACATGTGTAATCGCACTGCGTCGGCCGAGATTCCTCCCGTTACAACACTTCCTCGCGCCGTTGATCGACGGAGGGTCCCGTCGCCGAGAAATGAAGAAGAAGAAGTCGCAGGAGCTGAGCATTTTGAACTTTTGAGACAATTGAGTGCAGTGAGTTATGGGTCAAGTTACCGAGAGACTAAGGTTTTCTCACATTCCTCTTGTTGTTTGTTAACTTTAAATTCATCTCCTGAGAACTATGTTCTTCTAGTACAGACTTGTTTTCCTTGTTATCAACTAGAATGATGTGTATATCCCTTTCCCATACAAAAATAGGGTTTCGAATGTTGTTTGAAAGTGAATTTCGATTCTCCGACTTTCGCCTGTTTTTCTGATCGAGGAAGCTTTGGGCTTCCATTCTTTCCTCCCGTCTTCCTCCCAAATTGCAATCCGCGCGGCCAGCCAGCCACCAGTTGAGCCGTCTCGAAACCAAATTAGATCGGGTAATTCGGGCAGGTGCTCTCCGTCGTCATTTCATAACCAATCGGCTTGTTCTGTCTCTGGGGAGAAAGGCTGCTGCTGCGGCGCCACTTGCCACCACCACCACCGCCTAATAATTTGTCTCTCCGGCCGTCACTCAATCCTTGTCATCCGTGCTTTTGTCGCTAGTATCAGGTGTTCTTCCTCTCTTTTCTCGACGTCTTCTTCGTCTTCTCTCATCATCATCATTCATCTTTTCCACCGTATTATTTATTATTTTCGCGCGCACAAAACTTGGCCACATGTGTCCGTTTGTCTCCCTTTTTCCGTTCGTCGACCCGTTCGCTGAATAATTCAGCGTTGGCATGAAGCTTCTAGCGTCCGTGGAGTGACTATTACAATTAATTATCGGCCGGCCGTCAAAGACCTCCTTCTCTTTCTTTTCTGCTTTTTACTGCTACACTCTGCAGCCAGAAGTCCGCCAAATGTCCATAATTCACGAGCTAAACGTGTCTTTGCATGGATAGGGCTTCACTGCACTCGAAAAGCCGCTCACTGATCAAATCGCTCCCACGGACTTATCACTTGCTTCAGTCTTTCACACTTTCAATAGCATTCGCGCGGAGGCACACAAACAAGTGCCTGTTCGCTCCTAATCATAATCCCATTCTAACTTTCTCATTTCACTCGAAATAGATCGAATGAACGGGTGCTATTCTTCTATCGGACTCGCCGAAATCATTAGGTTCGCTCGCTTCATGGACTTGCTCGCAGTCTTATCAGTCTTCTTTCTTTTCCAGTTCCTGAACAGTTTTTTTGAGAGAATCTTTTCTGGCGAGATGAGAACCCGCAATTTCGTCGTCTTGCGGACACGAGTAACACGTCGTTATCCAGTCAGTTCCGGGAAGGGAAACTGCCGACTATACTAGGGGGCGTGGCCTGTCTATTCTCCCGTCTCCCGAGATGGTCCCGAACGTCCGCCTTCTCGTTCCCTCATATTTTGTCGCTATTATTTATCTCGTTTATACACATCCTCGTCTCCAGTCCCTCTCTCTCTCTCTCTTCTTTTTCATATGATCGTCGGCATGAATAATTGATGAAAACACATTGGGTTGGCGGCTCAAAACAGCTTCTCGATAGGGCTGTTCCGTCTTTTTCAGACTGATCGCCGCCTTGTTTATGATGCCATCCGCTCTCTCTCCTTATAACTTCATCCATTTTTATATACACACATCTCGGGTTGATCAACTCCCGCGAGACCCGGGGGCCATTGGATGGCGGACGGACGGGTCCGAGGAGGAGCGACCGAATTAAAATAATTTCATATAGACTCTGAGCCGGATTTGAGAAGAAAAAGAGGAAGAAGAGCCACATTCTCGTGTCTACTATACATTTGACGAGTCGAGTTTCGCACCAACAACTACACATGTTTTCCAGTACCATCTGCCCCACTCCGGACCGCTGCGCCCCTCCACTTTTTTCCATAATCCTCCCGTTTCACCCGTAATCCTTTTGTTCTTGGGGGGGACCGGCCGGCCCTCGGCCGCTCCTCCTCTTCTTCAGATTTATCGCCGTCCAACAAATCATAAAATGTGCCGCCTTCTTTTCCTCGCCTCTTCGGCTTCAGCTGCTGCTTCTTCTTCTTCTTTTTTCTTATTCTGTGCTCCTTCCGTTTCCACAAAACTTTTGTGCTCCTCCGTGTTGCTTTTGTTAGGTCCCGTCGTTTTGTGGCGATTTGACAGGGGAGGCAGCGTTCTTGCAGAGTGGTTCCCGATGAATTATTCGAGCAGTTTTATGGTGCCCGCTCAGACAGGTGACGTTTTGAACATTCGTCTCCTCTTTTCAAAAGGTCCATTGTTGACAAACTTTTTTATAAAGTTTCCGGAGGCGTTGCTTGTTCAGAAATTTTCGTGGAGGAGTACGGTAATCCCGGTTCCGATGAACTCGGATATTCTTGGCGCTAATCCATTACATTCTTCTGCTGAAAGATCGTTTTCATTTTCACATTACTGTGGATCCCCCTTGGCTCCGATAATCCATCCTCAAAGTGTCACATATCCCGCCCGAAACGTAGAGGCTCTCTCTTTCCCTTCCTTTTCCTTTCGCTTTCCTTTTTCGTTTCGAATGGGACCCCGCAAAATCTAAAATCTCAAATTCTCTCGGACATCCGGAACGCATTTCGATGACCGCGGGCGTGTATCGGAGCCGGGGCGCTGCTCGCGTAAGCTCCCGAAAGAGTGTCCAGGATTGGAGGGGCAGGAGACGGCGAAGGGCGGCGACCTAGAAGGGACCACGGCGAGTTTCAACAGCTTTTTGCTTTAGAAACACGCGAGGGCACGAAAGGGACAACACAATCTACTCAACTCGACACCCCACCCCAACCGAATTACCGCTTCAGGCTGTCGCCAGATTTCCCTCCTTCCCTCCTTCTGAACTTTACTTGTCTTCGATGTCATCCACAGAACTCTTAATACCCACCCGCTAATAGGGTGAGTGCAAAAAGATGGAAGACACGAGGGAAATGAAAAAGACAATATGGAAGAAGGGCTCATCATAAATTCCGACAGGAGCGACATTTTACCCTTTGGATGCCGGGGAAAAGAGGGCCACACAGCGGTGTGTGTGTGATATGAAAAAGCACGCCTTTTCCATGCATTTCCGACGATTTTGACAGCTCCCACCGACACCTCCTTCTCCTTCTTTCGCTTCTTCTTCTTCTTCTTCTTCCTATTTTTGTTTTGTTTGCCTCTTCTTTTCGTTCTCTGAACTTTTCATCTCCAGAAAAGAAAACATGCTTGCCCGTCAAGAACACTTGCAAAAAAATGAAATTGAAATTAGGCGAGTGACAAGCAGCTGATTCCGAGCTGCGGATTCCGGATTCCGGATTTGGCCTTCCGCTGGGACTCTCGTCAGATCATGAGCAAATCTTTTTTGAGCCTGATACCCATCCACGTCATAAATATTAATCCCAGGGGGAGATAGGAACGTTTGGAAAGATTTGTGCAGCTCAGGAATGTAGAATCCCAGAGGGACTACAGTTTTCCTATTCTCTCCGTCTGCTCTTCTCACAAAACCCATTTTCATTTGCACTATTCCATTCATAATCCCTCACATCTTTCCGAATTCGTCGTCCTCTTCATCTCCTTCTTCTTCTTCTTCTCCTTAGTTTTCCTCTATTTGACATGGCGCTCTTTGTATCAAAACGTCACCGAACGGAGGAGTCCGTGCGTCTCCCACTCCATCTCCTTCCCCTATCATGTTCCGCTTCAAGGAGCCGGTGAGCCCATGCATTTCCCCTCATCGTCCTCCTCTTTTTGCTGGTTACACACATACTTTTACGAAGTTTCGATCATTTCGGGTTTCTCGTTCGTCACCATGTTCGTATGGCGTGTCAAGTGCACAACCTTTGAATATTCTATTCGAGTAAGTTGCGGGTGGTCCGCACCGGCTGGCCGTCGCAAAGTGTTAGACTCATGCCACGGCGCCATTCCGATTGACATAATGGGCGGCCCCTGTGTGACCTCCTGAATTGGCGCGAGATCTCCACTTCAAGTACCTATATGTCAAACCTCTTGAGCCCCTCCCCGCACATCCATCCACTTTTGGCCACCGCCTATTCCTTCTTCTTCTTCTTCTTCTGCTTCTTTTTCTTCCCGTGACGTGGCACTCGGCTGCCCGAAATCTCCGTGCTGCTCTAACGCAAAAAAGGCGCTGATGAGACGCCCAAAATGCAATTATACTCTTCTCAACCCGCGGGGCCCGACGCTCCTCAGCTCCTCTCCTACTCACTTACTTAATCGCTATGTTTTCCTTTTCCTTTCCCGCCATCTCTGTTTTTTTATATCGCTCTTTGCCTCCTTCCCTCCAACTTCTTTTCGATTCGAACCGAAAAGTATCCAAAGAAACGAGCGAGTTTGTTGTTTCAGAATTTTGCCGGCTATGCTCCAATGCTCTTTTGGAGCGAAGAATCTCCGGTGATTCGGCTGTTGCTCCTGTTTTGCCTCGTTGCCACGTGGCACACCGCCAACGCCATCAAATGCTATTCGTGCGCCAATGATTTTATTGTTTGGGTACGTGTAGGGACTATTTACGACTCCACAGCGCAGACTACTAACTAGCTCAATTCAACTTGTGTTTATTTTCCAGCAGTGGCGCCACTTCTTTCTCAAACGGAACTACGATATCTCGACAAGCGATCCGGAATGCACGAGCAGGTAAGACACCTGGGAACGCCCCCGCACGATTACCTCCTTCTCCTTTTGATAGAAGTTTCTTTCACTTCAGAGACTACATCTCGGATCTCTACCAGAACTGCCATTCCACTTGTTTTGTTTTCTATTTGAACGGGACCAACAAACAGACTGGATACACTACAGTACTCGGTGAGTTCTAAGAATCTAGCATGGATTGAACGGGGTGAAACTGTAATGTATTCAGGTGTGGGTCGAGGTTGCTCCGCCAATTTTCTGACCGATGATCAGCACCTGCACTTGGGACTCGGACCTCATTCCCGGCCTTCCCACGTCGGCGAATACCTTCCTCACGACTTTGATCAGGTACCGATCACAAAAATAACATTTCCCCTTCCAATTTGCCACTTTCCAGTTCGACATAACCGAACACTGGTGCTTCTGTGCCACCGAAAAGTGCAACAGCGAAGAGTGTTTCTCGTCGCCGTTCGGCTCGCGCGAGTACGCCTCTTCGTACATCGCCAAACGACTACAGTACTCCTCCTACTCACATAATCCCTGGAAATATCGGAATACGGGTTCCCGCCTCGCCACGACAGCCGCCACGTCATTTCTGCTGACAATGTGTCTTGTACAAATGTTCTCTGTACTATTGTTTTGAGATTTTTAATGAATTCACTTGGAGAGTCAAATAAAGAAAGATTTGTATTGCATGGAATTGCCACGTCATAAATGTTTTCACGTGAATCGGGGCCAGACATCTAAAAGTCGAGCAATTGTCGCCAAATTCGTATTGCGGGAAAGAAAAAGAAAGAGCAGAAAACAGAATGAAATTCGAATAAACAAAGACCATTAGCTTATGAAAACGGATCATCATCTGCAGGTTCTGGTCCAGGTCACAAGCTCCAAGCGGCTCAGAGCTCTCCAAACTTTCTCATTACCTCCCTAATTCGATTGTACTCCTCCTCTCCCCTTCCTTCCCCCTTTTGTCCCTAGTTTCATTGCCTCCACCTCGAAACTTGGTCCGGAAGGACCCTCTCGTTGACCTTCGAATCTCGTGCTCTGTCCTATCTCGGTGTTTTCCGTCGAAAAGAATGGCGACGGAAGTGCGGCTGGTGCCATCCTTCCAGCCGTTTGAAATCGGATAACCTCGTTTGAATCGACAAATGAAACACAAAAACACAGAGTTTTCGGCCGTCGCTCGCTTCCTTCGGGCCTTTTTTGCACACTTTCCTCCGTGTTTACCTCCAGATCGTCGCCGCGAACGCCTTCTTTCCTTCCTGAATTGCTCCCGTTTGTCTGGATTTCGTGCGGCCTTGGTTTTCTGCGAAATGTTCACTTGGCGTGTATGTTTTCGGTTTCCACTCCGTCAGTCAGGCAGCGCCCCCACTCGAAAAACTCCGATATAATTTTATTATACATCGGCGGCGGCACTGCAATTTTACGAGTTTGCCCCGCCCAGTCCGTGACGTGGCAACCACCGAAACAAGGGACTCCAGAAGCCCTGATTACATTCTGATCTCCCTTTCTCTCTCTCTCCTTCTCCCCTTCTGTTAATTATATGATGATAATGTGCAGTAAGGACAGGTGTCCTGTGCTCCGGCGAGACATGTTGCTCACAGAGTCACACTATCTCCGTGCCTCATCAGACCCCGTCCCGCTTCCCTTCCAGTCTAATGAGTTCATCAGGGCACCGCACTTTCTCTTCTCTCCTCCTCTTCCCAAACTTTTTGGCGTTTTGCCGATTTCGGAGTTGGCTCCAGCTCTAGAGATACTTATAAATAAACTCAATCTTTGACTTCATCGCTTTTTTATTGCTCAAAAAGTGAGCAGGAAGAGGAAGAAAGAAAAAGGAGAAAGCCACCTCATCTTTCTGTTCCGTCCGCGGCGACCAAAACTAATCCAAGGTGCGCGCACGCGTGTCTCGCGTACTTCTAAAGGTGTGAGAATTGCGGAATAAATGTGCACGCCGTGCTCTCGGCGGCGTCTTGTCCCGAAATCTTGCTCCTCGTTGCCAGGTGACCACAACACGGGCCCGGGCAGCCAAACACGAAGGATATCTGCCCCTCCCCCACCGCATCCGCTTCCTTCACCTCCTCCTTCGTTTTCTCCCCGCCTTGATCGTTTTGTACGCGTGCGGGAGAACTCTTCAGTGCATGCCTCCTCTGATTATCATAATGAGCGTATTGGTCATCGGCGGCTTATCCGGCTAGTTCCATATTATACTCAGTAGTCGTACGTCTAATCCCCTCCCGGCCACCTGCGGCTTTTCCCTTGTGCACTCTTTCGTTCGCCTCGAAACCAGATCAATCTGACTCGACTGCTCTCCGCCATCTCCGGGCCGTTTCAAATTTCAGGCCCGCTTCCCAATTCGACCAATTTGTCGGCGCCGCTGATTTTGTGGCCGAAAAACTAAGAACTTGTAATTTTTCGAGCTCCCCTCTTTCGCCTCTCCTTCTCGATTTCGCCTCGTTTTCCTCCATCTCCTTCTTTCTTTCCTCTCGACGAACCGGGAATTAGTTGTGCTCTTTTCTCTTTTAGTGAGTGCTCCTTCCACTTTCTCTCAATGGGGAGCGAGCCCCCGGCTACCAAAAAAGTTTGTTCCACACCATCCCCGGCACAGAAGCGCCAGAAGCAGAAACAACAGCAGCAGCAGCTGTGTCTTGTCTGTGTCTTTTTGCTTCTTCTTCTGCTACTGCTACTGCCATCGGCAATTATTTTCGACTCGGCTTCCCCTCTTTCTGGACTGGAATCTTGAGAAATTGACTGGTCGAAACGTTTTAGACTGGTCTTATTTATCGGCCACTTCTGGCTCTTTTCACGATACTTCCGTACGTCGGGGTTCCGATGTCTAAAAGGATTCGGCTGATGGCTGATTACCGTAAACTCAACTTCTAGGAACCAGCTCAAACCCGGTTCGTGGGATGCTCCTCTGTGCCGCCCGTTGGTCACTCTTTCTCTTTCTCCTTCTCCTCCTCTTTCCTCCCATTTCTTTTGCCCCCAGATCAAACTAATTAGCAGGAGACGCCTTCAACACAGATGGTTCTCCGGCTTTTTCCACCCTAGATTATAGTATTTTGTGCTTTTTTCTCTTCCGTCTTTCCCGGAATCCGTCAATGACGTGGCAACTAGTACTACTCCGAGAAACATTTAGATCCGATCACAATTATGTACTCTGAGTCTCGCCCGTCCTGCCTGTCTCTATATGAATTGGTGTCGAGTCATGTCTCAATTGGATTGGCTCTCCACTTTCCGACCAATTGGCATGAAACATTGGGCGAGATGCCGACGACTCCTCGAAAAGAACATTCCCCTCCCATCAGGTGCGGCGAGGCTTGACCTTTCCTCCTCTCAAACCTTTTTTTCTTCTTCTTCTTCTCCTTTTTCTTCTTTCATTCCCTTCAAAACTCTCTTCGTTTTTTGCTCCGTTTCATGGCCATCGAATGGGTGTTTCTGTTTCTGGTTGTGTTTTCAGTTTCCGCGAGCACCAAATACAATTAGGAAAGCACCCTGGTTCCCTTCTAGTTTCTCTGTTCCCTCCCGCTTTTGTCTTTTTGTGCTCGTTTGAGCAATTTTGACGACCCCTCCTTCGGCTTCTGAAATTTCAGTCAGTTTCGAGGCAAGTACGGAAGGGCGTGAATCGTGTCGTCAAGTGCGCTCTTGAGTTACAAGTCGAGAACAACTCGATCATCATTCCTTCCTTGTCTCTCTTCAGCTCGTCTCCTCATCTTTAATGGTTATGGAGTGTGTCACGTCAACCCGAGAAAGAGGGAGAAAAAGAGAGAAAGAGAGAGAGAGAGAGAGAGAGAGAGAGAGCACCAGCTTCTGTTCTCGCTCACCTTGCTCACCTTGTTCTTCTTTCCCGTATCTAGGTGCGAACTGCTTCACTTCATTCACTAATTTCCTGTAGTTTGCTCAACTTGACATGTATCTCCTGTTCCTGTCCGGTCTCTGTTCAAGTGGTCCATCCCATTCAATCACCCCATTGAAGCAAAAGTGTCGTCAGCTCCTCGGCAAGTGGCTCCTGAAAAAAAGAGTGCAACGTCAGAGGGCCCGATAGTCGAACATGTGGGCCTCGGCTTCCTCTCTCTCTCTCAATTGTTCGCTTCCTCCCCTGTCTTTTGACTCCCAGCCAAAAAGTGTATAATCCGAGAGAGGGACCCGCCGATTGACGCCTCGAGGATGTCCCTTCGCCCGTATCCAGATGTTTCTGCACCACCGAATGCATAAACTGACGCCGGCCCTCCTGTCGCCGTTTCCATCTTCATCGGCGAAACGAAACGAAGACGAATGAATGAGTGAGGGAGGATGAATAGGATGGAAGCGAGCACATCTTCTCCTCTCCACTTCATTTTCATTTGTCTCCCAACTTTCAGTCTGTCCGAGAGTGGTCTTCTGGTCGTTTCTCTTGTTTTTGTTCCAGTTTCGATGAAAAAAGATGGAAGAAGAGAGAGAGAGAGAGAGAGAGAGAGAGAGAGAAAGGAGGGCACCAAACAAAATCAGCCGAGTGTAGACGTGCGTGTACACGTTGTGTTGCCTGGAATTTCGAGAAGACTGATCCTTCTTTTCGTTCTTTGCTCAAAATCTTCTTTGTTAGACCTTTTTGATTCCGAAAGAAAGCGATCGATGGGGATGAGTCAGAGTAGAAGCGATCAGAAGACATCCATCGGTCCTTCAGACTCGTGTCTCGTTTTCGTCGCTCTTCGCCGCCATCTCAGAGCTCCAACTTGTCCATATTCGCCATAAATTTTTGATGTCCCTTCTCGAGCCTCCTACTCCTGCTCCTTCTCCTCCTCCTCCTTCTTCTTCTTCTTCTTCTTCTTCTTCTTCTTCTTCTCCTTTCTGTCCTGGAGCCCTGGTTGTCACTCCTTTACACGCCAATATGGATGCCCTTTTAGCTCCAGCCGCCCAGCCAACAAACTAACTAACCATCTCGTTTTTAATCCCATCCCGTTTCCTGGTTTTCGACGAGTCTTGTTTTGATGACGTCTTCGTCGGCCGTCTTTGGGAGTCGACGACGCCTCCTGGACACCAGATTAAGTGATGACAAGAAGTGTGTATGTATTGATTAGAGACGGAGCTCTCCTTCTCTCCTCTCTTCTTTTCGTCCCGGCTAACACCACATTATGCTTCGGATATTTCATCTCTTTTCCATCATAATCAGCATCATCATCGTCGTCGTCGTGTTTTTGGGGCGCGGATGGATGACCAACCGGCAAGCAAACAGGCACAAAGTTCCCCGCCTCAGAACCTACTGAATCTTTCAACATTCCGTCGAATGTACAGGTCTTCTTCTTCTTCCCGCCACGCGCGCATATTTATACATTTGTCCATTCTTTGTTGTCGCCAGGACACCCATCTGAATTATTCACCGACTGAGCCACAGGTAAACGCCGTGGCGCCCGCCCGCCCCACTCAGCCATTCCGTTTCGCTCTCGCCTTTCGCTCCCTTCCCAATCAGAAATTTCGCCCCTCTACCTGATGAAATGTCTCTCTCTCTCTCTCTCTCTCTCTCTCTCTCTCCCTCTTGCTAGCCCACTCAAGAAGAGACCAAGTTTCGTGAGCCGTCGCTTCCTCTTCCTGCTTCTTAAGCTCACATTTCGATGGTCGCCTAGCATCGTGAATATTGGATCATGTTCTGATGCATATTGCCGAAAAAAGAGCGGACCAGCTCTCGGGTTATGTTGCGTGTATGTATGTGCTCCGCTTGGAAACCAACCTGACGACGACGGCAGACACGATGGACTCTTCTATCGGATAGAGAAGAGAAGAAGGCGATTAGTCAGACGATGAATTTCTATTTCCAAAATGACTCTCTTTCTCCCTTCGCTTTCCTATCCTTCTTCTTCTACTTCTTCTCCTTCTTCTCTGCATCCTTATCACGCGATGATATTCCTCCGCCCCCGCTAACTCTTCAACCGTTTTACAGATCCGCCCCTCGACCTGAAATGTCATAGACATTGAACCGAGAGAGCGAGAGAACTACTGTGTAGGATCTTCCTCTTCCTCCCATTATTTTCCCCAACTGTAGCCGTACAACGTCTCGAGCAGCAGAATGCCGGTTGGAAAGCGCGGACTTGTAGCTCCACAAAACACATTTCTTGAAAATGTAATCCGACGGTGTAACAATGCAGGTTTGTGAATATGCAAAAGCCTTTTCGAAAACCTGTCAACTCCAGACACATCCTTTATCCTGGCGAATGCGCAAGTCGTCGACTATCCCATCGTCTACTGCAACGACGGGTTCTCGAAGCTCGTCGGGTACACGAGAGCCGAGATCATGCAGAAGCCGTGCTCGTGAGTAGCAAGTGGGTGACCGCCGGAATTGTGGGATGCTTTCAGACTTGCATTCATGCACGGAGAGCACGGAGAAGTGGGCAGTCTTCAGAAGATGCAAGAGGCTCTGGAGAATGCGAGGACCGAGCAGGCAGAAATCGGACTGTGCAAGAAGAACAGTAAGTTATTGGGGGAAAAGTTTCCAGTTGATAAATGATGTGTTCAGAAACTCCCATCTGGCTGCTTGTCCATCTGGCGCCCATCAAGAACCACAAAGATGCGGTAGTACTGTACTTGTGCCAGTTCAAAGACATTACGCCTTTGAAGCAACCTCTGGACGATGAGAATAATAAAGGTTTGTGGTAGAAGTGTTCAGGATCCGAGTATTTGAATGAATTGAAGGTTTATCACGGATTCTGCAAATAGCAAGGATCGCCAAGTCGAAGCAGCAATTCAATCAGATCGAAACGAAAGACCTGCACAAGTCGCCGGGAAACACATCCAGTAACTTCAATCAGGTTATCAAGGTTGAGAGTCTTGACGCTTCTTTCTGTTGGTATCGTGTTCCGGGAGCCGTCATCCGCGTCCCTCCTGCTCCTCGAACACGATGCGTCTCCGTTCCCTTGTTTGCTCGTAGCTGTAGCCTGTAGAGTTATGTTCCTGTTCCCGTCCATCTTCATTCGGTTTCCCTTCCTTGCCGCCAGAGCTCTTCCATTCATATTATTCCTAGTGACTTGTGTTCGCTTCCCGTCCCGCTCTCTCTCTCTCTCTCTCCCTCTTTTGTGACGTGGCTTCCCGCACCCGCATTTGCTCTCAGTTTCCACGTAGACGAGTCGGAATTAGGAAGACGAAGAAGGCGGCACACACTCGCGTCAAAGGTGTTTCCGGTTCTCCTGAAAAGAGGGAAGAGATGATGTTGTCCGTAAGCTGCGAAGAGTATCCTCTTTCCCATCATGGCTCACCATTTGACTGAGGTACTTTCACATCGTATTCTGATTATTCCGTTCGGTTTCTGGCAGTTCGTCCTAGGTTTAGAAAGTAGGAGAGTAGATTATAATAGTTCAGTTCCCTTTCTTGATATTCATATTCTCGACCAGTCAGGTTTGACGAGAGAGTTTCTTTTAGTGCAATGGCAACTGGAACGAGCATCGCTTTGTGAGTTATGGCTCCGAGATCTGATCACCACTTACTTCTCTAGATTTGCATGGCCTATACTGTCTCTGATTTAATCTCCCACCGAATGACTGTCCGTCCGTCCCTACTGTTTTTCCTTCCTTGCATGCTCACACAATAACAGAAAGAAGCACCTCCCTGTCCCCCCGGTTAACAAAGACAGCACAGTCACTAGGAATCATTTTTCGGGAACTTGTCTTTATATATGTTCTAGCTTTACGGGACTAGGTTTCAATTAGTTTTGAGTTAGGCACCACTTGGCCCGAGTTGGTCCCCGAGAACTGATAAACAAAGGGTTTCAGGTGATGAATCTAGGCGGTGATATGCTTCCGCAGTACAGGCAGGAGACTCCGAAGACGTCTCCGCACATCATCCTCCACTACTCCTCGTTCAAAACGATATGGGACTGGTCCATTCTGGCACTCACCTTCTACACGGCCTTCATGGTCCCATTCAATATCGCTTTCAAGAACAGGTGAGCAGAAAGATTGGAAATACCTTTGGAATGAGTGGAATTTGTGCAATCTCTAACCCATCGTTATTATTTTAGCCTCCGCCCCTTCTACTTGATCAGGTATGTTGCATGTCGTGTCCTTTGTTTTCACTTCTAAACACTTTTCACTTCACTTCTCACCTTTCCTATCATCGCACTTAAGTTTCAGTTCGAGGGAGAACCCGGGCGGTGGAATAGACTCGGTGGCACTCATGGACTCCATCGTCGACGTCATCTTCTTTGCCGACATCCTTCTCAACTTTCATACCACTTTTGTAGGGCCTGGAGGAGAAGTAATCACTATTTCCCTGTCTGTTATTGTTGATCCAAGTCTTCAGGTAGTGATAGAACCGTCGGTGATTAGGCAAAACTACTTCAAGTCGTGGTTTCTGATAGACCTGCTCTCCTGTCTGCCCTATGACATATTCTACATGTTCAAAAGAGACGACGAGGTGAGTGAAACCAACATCGTTTTAGTCTTTTATTGTTTTCCTTCTTTCAGAGGATAGGAAGTTTGTTCTCGGCTCTCAAAGTGGTTCGGCTGCTCAGGCTGGGCAGAGTGGCGAGGAAGCTGGACAACTACTTAGAGTACGGTGCAGCCACGTTGCTGCTCCTGCTCTGCGCCTACGTGATAGTGGCTCATTGGCTCGCGTGCGTATGGTTTTGGATTGGCGACTCGGAAGTGCGACTGAAGATGGACAACTTGGCACTGCCGGACGGATGGCTCTGGAAGCTTTCGAACGATCTGCGGCAGCCCTACAATGTGTCACTTTCCAATAAGACAACACTTGTGGGCGGTCCTTCCCGGACATCCGCCTACATTTCTTGTAAGTCTTATTCTGAGGTGACTTCAGTGCAATCATTTTTTCAGCCCTGTACTACACGATGAGTTGCATGTCAACCGTTGGTTTCGGAAACATTGCGAGCAACACGGATAATGAGAAGATCTTCGGAGTGTGTATGATGATCATTTCCGCATTACTCTATGCTGCCATCTTCGGACACATGACTACAATAATTCAGCAGATGACATCTAGTACAGTCAGGTACGTCTAACTAACATCTCTTCTCGAAAAACCTCATTTTCTAAGGTATCACGAGATGATTAGCAATGTGCGCGAATTCATAAAACTACAAGAAATACCGAAAGAGCTGGCGGAGCGGGTAATGGATTACGTGGTGTCCACATGGGCGATGACGAAGGGAATCGACACTGCGAAAGTGCTCGGATACTGTCCAAAGGACATGAAGGCCGACATCTGCGTGCACCTCAATCGGAAGGTCTTCAACGAGCACAGTTGTTTTCGGCTCGCTTCCGATGGCTGTCTCCGGTCCCTGGCCATGTTCCTGGAGCTGAACCATGCGGCTCCGGGCGACCTTCTCTACCACACGGGCGAATCCGTCGACGCCCTTTGGTTCGTTGTTTCGGGATCTCTGGAAGTGATACAGGACGATGAAGTGGTGGCGATTCTCGGGAAGGGAGATGTGTTCGGAGACGAGTTCTGGAAGAATAACGGGTCGACGGGACAGTCTGCGGCGAACGTGCGGGCGCTCACTTACTCGGATCTCCACATGATCAAGAAGGACAAGCTGATGGACGTACTCGATTTCTACAAAGGATTCGCAAACTCATTCTCTAGGACTATGACGTTGACGTACAACTTGACGCACAGAATGAAGTTCAGAAAAGTAAGTTTTCAAAGGTTGATTCTTGCAAATTCAGTTAATCAGGTTGCGGATGTGAAACGAGAAAAGGAGTTGGATGCGAAGCGAAAGAACGAGAAGCTGACACTTCCGAACGACCATCCAGTTCGGAAGTTGTTGTTCAGAATGAGAGAGCGGCACGGACCCCGCATCTTCCCGAGCCCAATGTTTGCGGACATCGAGAAGGGACTGAAGAAGTCGACGGACATCTCTCGCATCTCCTCGTTGCACTCGATGGTCGACGAGACGGGCGGCACTTCGTACATCAGGTCGCCACGCAACAAGCCAAAGAGACCTCCGCTCCTGGTAAAAACGGAAAACATAAATGGGATTGTCTTAAATACAACATCAATTCAGAAACGACAGACAGTCGATGAAGACGCACTGTCACGGACGAGCTGGGGCATAGACAAGAAGGACCGGGAGTGGAGTTCCCTGTCGAACATCAAAACAGAAATGAAGAGCAAGTTCGATATCATCGGCGAGCGGCTCGGCATCATCGAACAGATCAACAATCGGCTGGCCACTCTCGAGAGAGCCATCATCGGAGCTCACAACGGAGGAGCCAACACGCCGTCGACCATGCCCGTCGGCTCGTTCACTGCTCTCAACGAATCCCAGAATCGGCTTACTCTCGATGCTCCGCCCGTTGCCCGAAGTGTCTCCTGGAGTGAACAACATCAACCACAGTGGCAGAGGTGACCCAGAAACGTTTCTTCATTTGGTTTCATGCTATTCCTTTCAGAACGGTACCGCCGCTGAGAGAGCTAGAAGCAGGCGAATGGGAGGGTTCGACTCGCGAAGGCACTCCGAACCCGTCGACTTCCTCGCCGCCCTCAGTCCCTCACATTCAAATCGACGAAGGGGACTCGGCTCGTCCGCCCACGCGCACACGGATATGACCCCCCTAGACACCGATTTACCGCCTGAAACTTGTGATATTTCCTTCATTGTGTACTTTCCTTTCCGGGTCGTTTAACTTATTCATTTCCGTTCACACATGCAAATAAGCGTTTCGACTAGTCCTCAAGTGCTCAAAGAAAAGAAGAACTATTTCAAAGAAACCCTCTTTTTTAGAATAAAAATGTCCGTATCTTTCCAAAGTCTTTCTGGTTTGAATGCCCCCCAATCGAAGCGTATCTCTCTCACTTACCCACATCATTCGTTTCCCCGATCCTGCATTTTGTTTGCCCCCACCCCACATCAACTTTCTCTCTCCGGACCCCCAACCGTTCATTTGATCTCACTTACGATTCCCTTTATTCTTTGATATGTGCAATGATTTCTATAAAGGTTTCTCCTTTTAGGACAACTGTCTGTGCACGACTTTCCCGTCAAACAACCGCTAGTTTACTTCCTTCTCCCTCCCTCTCTCCTCCCTTTGAGCACAATTTGAGTGCGAACCGGACGACGGCTTCCAGACAGAACCAACAATAGTTGGAAGAGCGACTATTTCGGGCCGATGGACAGTAGTCATCGCCTGAATTAATAATAATAATAATAATACAAAAGAGCCCTCTGCCTCACCTCAATCGAATCGTGCTCGAGTTCAAAAAAGGACCGATTGAAGTGTGATCGGAGCGCCGAGAGAGCGGTCAGAGGGAAAGGCGCAGAGAAGGCAAACAATGGTGGAGAGTCTGTGTAGTCTACTCGGACATTCAGTTAACTTCCGATCACTCTGATAAATAGCGAGCAACTAAACCCGGATTGGTGGTGCTGATGTTCGCTGAGCAAGCTGCTTTTGTGTTTTGCGGATGCATCTTCTCACTCTCGTTCTGTCGGTTTCGCTTTCAAAAAAACGTGCGATGTTTTGCACTTTTGGAAGGACTGCTCGGGGAGGAGCTTCGGAGAAGACGATGACAGTAAACAAGCAGACGTATAAAAGGGAAGGATGAGGATGGACGGTCAGCAGCAGACATGGTCTCTTCCTCCTCCCTTTCCTTCCTGGCTATCGCTCTCATCGGAGCTGCCGTGGCTCGTCCCCAGTTCCCAGGTGGACCACCACCAGGCATGAGCGTGAGTAGCTCCTCCATCTTCTCCGAACTCAGCAACCCGATCCTTTTCAGCCGATCCCACCACCAATCGCCGCCGTTCTTCCGCGTGAAACCCTCGCCGAACTGGAAGCTGTTCACGCCGATCCAAACCTTTCCGAGTTGGAGAAGCACTCGAAGATCGACCAGATCATGGTGAACCTTCCGGAAGAGATCCACGAACGCATCCCACCACCGCCAGGATTCTCCCAACTGCCCGCGACCGTCCAGGCCTCCCTGAAGGCTCTGCATCGTGACAAGTCCCTCGATTTCCAACAGAGACAGGCCGCCATCCGCACCGTTCTCGACGGACTCGAGCCACAATACAAGCGACTTCTCCCACCACCACCACCAGGGTAACCAACCCGTTCTCCAAATGTTTCGTGCAATGTTCAATTTCAGATTCCCACAACGTCAGTAGAAAGTCAAACAACGCACTTGTGAACGTTTTGTATATAAAAAAGAAAATGAGACAGATTTTTATTATTATTTTGTAAATTGAATTTCGCAATAAATTATTGGTTCCTCGTTAATTTTCTTGTTTTTTGCGAATAAAGGAGGCTACCCGAATCAGAACTGTCCCGGATCAGAACTGATCGGCAGATGGTTCTTGTTACATGAAGTCATGTTATGACCGGTTCTGATCCGGGACAGTTTGGATTCGCAGTTCGAATTTCGAACAGTTCTGATTTGAGGCGGTTCCGGACGGACAATGCAAATGCGCTCCACCGACAATCGCCTCTGGCGGCAACGGCGAAATAATTTGAATGCTGCCACGTTTTTCCTTCACTTTTTCGCTTTCTTTTGAATTTTACAGCGACAAAAGTTGTTTTGAAATTGCTTTGTCGACAATCTTAAACTCTAGAGACATGAAAAATCCGAATTTCAATGTGCAAGGCTCAAAAAAACATGAAAAACGGCTATCAATCACGTTTCGTCGCGAGGGCGATCTCTTTGTTTTGGCCGGGGTCCGACTGCTGTGAGGAAGAACTAAAAATTCTCAAAATTCCGGGCGTCCGATAGGCCTGCAGTGCTCTGCACATGTGTCTCGACGGCGGAGAGAAGCGGCTCTCCTCGCCCACTGTGATATTTATTACAAACAAATGTGTCCGACGTTCTGCCGGATGAGTTCAGCCAATTTTTCCATCAATCGTATTCTCCTCCTCTCTCTTTCTTGTTTCCAGTAAAGAACGCCCTGGTTCTATGATTTTCATTGAGATGCTAATGCTTTGGTGGAATACCTGATAACACTTGAAACCCCATCTTCGTCACATTTTCCGTTATCGAAAAATCGTAAAAAGGTGCGAAGAACAATAAAAAAGATTCCGTGTGCGTGAGTGTTTGCGCTTAGTTTCCGCCTTTTCGATCTGCAAAGTTTTGTAAGAGAGTGTCCCAAAAACATTGTAATTCGGCAACTTATCGTCTGAAAACGCTGCGAGCGCACACAGAGAGTGCTTGAAACTTGATAGGCGTGTTTTGATGTGATTTAAGTTAAATTTCAAAGAACGGCATCCATCCTTTACGCTAGTGTCTTTTCTTTCTCTCCCTCTCTCAATTGATTTCCTCGCTTTCGCACAAAAATTTGATTATCCACGACCAGATGGGACGGGAGTCGTCATCTGTATTGATTTTGCTCTTACCATCAAATGAGTCAATGTGGAAAAATGAAGCCGCTGCGTAGGATAGGCTTCCGTATCTTCGGCGCACCAAAGTATCATATTTATTTTCGTTTTTGGTGGTTCGCAAGTGTTTTCACGCCCGAAAGCTGTATTATGTTTGTGTGTTCTTCCCAACGTGCGGTGACTAATTGTGAATCATAGTGTCCCAGCGATGCCAATTTTTTCGCCAGTTTTCTGTTTGAACACTTCATCATAGTCTGCTATCTGCCTGAAAATCATACTGGAATTCAACGTATTAACTTCACATTATTCACATTATTCAGTTCACATTATTCAGCAAGAAACACAGCTGTTATCATTGAACATTTTTTAGAAAGTGGTTGTTAGTGTGTATCATTTTCGTTAGTTTTTCCGCATTCTAATTTAATTAGGGAAACTGAGTCATCTCCTTAACGATATCCCGAGGGCTTTATTCTTCGATCGCTGACTCATTCTTTGAGTTTCCCCTTGTTTTTGGAGTAACTATTTCATCACAGTTGCTTTCGAAAATCAGTCTTCTTCTCCAAACATAGCATTTTGTTGTTTTTTCTCTGTGTGATGTGATTTTTTGAAAACCTTCAATTTTTTCAATTTCCTCTGAATCTTCCCTGTCTGGTAGCCAAGACAACGCGAGAACGCTATTATCATCTTCAAAAACTGTAATCAGCGTTCGAGATGAAGTGATAAATATGTGGGAAATCGCTGTGAATGCGATCGGCCGGCGACGTCTTCGCAACGACCATCTGATGTCTATCGTACGTTGGATGTCAATCGGCGCCCATCCGTTTTTCTGGGGCGTCCACAAAACTGTTCTTTTTGTCGCAATTATCCGTACGTCGATTCGTGGGAACTTGTTTCCGGAGGAGAAGGAACGGCGGAAGAAAGTGCCTTTCGAGAAAGTATCTTTTGAAGGCAGAAAACTCCACACCCACGCGTTCTTCGTTCTCCGTTCTCCGCTCTTTTCTTTTTTCTCTTTTTCTCTTGCATATTGGCCGCCGAATGTTTCCCCTTCTATATGCACAACAGTCTGTGGTCGATGTAGTAGTAGTCGACTGTGTTGTTGTGTTCAAACTCAGGACGTTCTCTGAAGTTATAATAACACGATCTTCTTTTTTCTTCTACATAATAACTGGACGTTTCTGGTTTAGAAAATTTCTCGTGAATTTCAAATTTGTGCGTTTCTCTTTTTACTTTTCAACAAAACGAACTGCCGATTGGAATGAATGCACTTTGAAAAAGATGAATGGGTTTCGGCGGATGGGCTGCCTTCAACCCGCGGGTCTCCTCTTGTTCTCACCCTTCCACTCATTGTTCTTCTTCTTCTTCTTCTGTCTTTTTCTCTCCAAAACAAAAAAAAATAGTTTTCTGCTCAATTTTTTTTTGCAAGATGCCCCCCTCCCTCTCTAATCAGAACAACTCATCAGTTTCGTCGACCACAAACTCCCAAGAGGAAATCTTGAGTGGAAGAAGATGCGTTGACGTCGTCTGACGCCACGAATTCAACTAAAGACAATGTTTCCTCCAGTTTTTGTCATTCATTCTCGTAAATACTACTTTCTAAGAAAAAATCGTTTTGAGTGAGGTGTCCGGAATAAAAATAAACGTGGCAAATTGCATGTTTATGTTTATTGGAACGTGATTTCGAAAGGTTCTGTGCTTTGCTGTCTGACCTTTCTTCCTTCCTAAGACGGCAACGAGCCGAGAAATGAGGTAACGAGAGGGCGGTCCCCGGTCCCCGGAATGACGTATCCTGGACGCCCACTCAATTATCCGGAAAATTCCATAGAGACATTTCCACAGGAGGTGCTTCTTCATTGTGCACTTGTGATATCATACTGATAACACATGCCGCCTGATTAAACGGGGTACTGTTTCCCTCGTTTTATTGAAAAACTGCTAGGCACTGTAAACAAGATTCGATTATATTATTATCAGTATCCATTTGCCGTCTCGTTTCCTATTTGCTACCACTCGGTTATGATTGATGTCTTTAACGTTTTTTTTTTTATTGCAGATATCTTGGAACTATCGATTTATAAGTGCATGCGTTCTTGACGCGGATAAACCATGGTTAGTTGCATTTGTGCTCAAATCGGGATAGTGGCGGTCTTGGATTACGCCTTGGATTACAATATAAACGCAGAAAATGTTCCACTAAGTCAATCTGTCCAGATGCACGCATGTGCGGGTTTCCCATCCATCTGCACACATCTGTTCTGTTATGTGACTCGGAAACGTGGGCAGACGCGGGAAACTGCTCTTCCGGAACTGAACTTCTCCAGATTTCTTCTTCTATCCACCGATTCCTTTGCAAACCGTCAGTCATCCAAGGCCGCCACTATTTATTTATGCGTCCGCATTTCCTCGCGATTATGCATGTTTTGACGGCTAACCAACCAAACCATCCGACCAGCAGACGAAGACGATGTGCAATTGCGCGTGCGCGTGTCTGCAGACATGGGAACCTTCTCGGCGCGCTGTTCCCATTTTTCAAATCTGCGGCGCTCCGAACTGCCTTCACGGCTTCATCTTGACGTCTCAAACTCATTTCTTCTTTCAGACCGATCGAGAATCAATGGAATTCAGCGATTTTCGCGTGGTCACCTCTAGCTCAGTGTACCGAAAGGGCTCGACGGCCAGCGGATTAATCTCTTCGGGTGGACAGAGCAACAGATGTCGATACACACTTGGAGAAGTATATACCCTTTCCTGCTTTTTTTTGCAAATTCGTTGTTTAGGTTTCATCAACAAACATTACTTTGGATGTGAACGTAGGCGCCGGATGGACGAGAATACGACTGAGAGAAGTGCCCAAATTCATTGTCCACGCCTTCAACATGATCACAAAGTTTGGAATGGAAGTGGACGGAATCTTTCGGAAAGAAGGCAACTCTGCTCGTTTGAACCGTGCCGAAGTGCAAAATATTTACAAAGGAGAGTGTGACATTCCGAACGACTACACAGTCATCGACGTGTGTACGCTGGTCAAAAGGTTCCTGCGCGACCTGAAACCGCCGCTGCTCGACTCGGACGAGTTCCGTCAGAGACTGCTCAAGAAGGCGTGCCAGTCAAGAATTTCCAACTGTTTTGTTCTGACTCGGGACGAAATGGCAGATATGAGCTACTCGGAACACATCTCGAGAGATTGGCAGGAATCTCTTCTCTCGGATATTCATTTTTCGACACTCGGTTACGTAATGAGACAATTGAGCAGAGTGGGTCGTCTCAATTGAAAAGTACCCTTCATACTCAAATTATAGATTGCTGCGCATTCTGATCAGCACAAGATGTCAATTGAAAATTTGGCAGTGGTGCTTGTCGGAAGTGTCTTCGGAGACGGAATTCATACTTCAAAGAAAAGTGGACAAATTAGAAGAGGGTCACAGGACGACATTTTGGCGCAGAAGAAGCAGGATATGAATGTGCACGTGGCTGCAGTCAAACTTTTGATAACCAATGTTATTCATTTTATTTTGGAATCGCAATTAAATACTTTACATTTTTCAGGCCAATCTTATTGGAATTCGTCGTGATCCATACGTGACGAGTGGTGCGGGCGGCCCAATGCCTCGAAGTTCAAGTGCCATGCCACGTTGCAGTAGTGGATACGAAACGGCCTCTTCCGACGCTGACGGCAACTCCATAAAAACCGCGTCAATACTGAAAAGCGGCGATGTGCAGGGACATTCAACGTCTTCGTCTATTTATCGAAGAGACTCGGAAGCCGCGCACAAAATAGTGACGGCTCGAAAAAAGAACGATCAGATGGCAAAGAAAAAACGATCCGCCTCCTTCCTGCCCAGCTTCCGTGATATTCGTCATCGCCTGACCAACATGAAAAGGGCAAAGAGTCCGAGTCCGGAACGATTGACGACCGGGCACACGTCCGAACAGTTCAAGACGACGGACACGACGAGCTCGTCGGATCAGAACTGCGAGCCTCAACACGATCTGCTTCATCGAAAGAAGGTGGCGCGCAATGAGTCGAGCACCATGTCGACGGGATCCACGGCATCCGGAAGACAATCCCGCAGCCAACAATCGAGGAGGGGAAATACGAATGCGGCGCCGAGAATGGGTTCGGACCACAGAAGTGCAAAGCCGACGATTGCGAAATTGTTCGAAACCTCTGATTTCGCGTCAAACGTGAGCAACGGAGCACTACGAAGGCTGTCGGCCAGCGACCAGAATGCGGATGCGATGCGATTTGCGAGATTGCGTTCGTCGAACGAACAAATAAGTGCAGCAGGTTGCGAGAGAAGGCCGAATCAAATGATTGATAAGCATTCATTTTCAGAGTTTCTGATGTCAGAACATGAAAAGGAAAAACATTCGAGACTGCAGAAGCGAAATACTATGGTTCTTGGGGAGAACGCGAAGAGCTCAAGTGTGAAGCATACGAATCGTCGGCACACCGCTCCAATCAACAACAACAGACTACGTCGGAATCGTCCGAATACTGTCGGCGCGGGACTGCCTCATCAGAAGAAGGAGACGCTGATTACGAGTTCGTCGATGGAGGAGAAAGAAAATCATGCGGATTGTGAAACTGACGACACTGTGGAGCAAGCGATACTGTTGGACCAGTCGGAGATGCTGCTCGAGCAGAAAGCGATAGAAGCTCGTTCTCGGAGAGCCGGCAGAAAACAACAGAAGACGACGGTTCGGACTGTGAGCACGGAAAGTATGATGGTGCTGAATGGGTCAATGGCGACGGAGATGGTAGCGAGCTCATCGAAGAAAGAAGTGTTGGGTGCAGTGAAGGAAGAGTCGCCGAAGAAGGCGCCAGAACAGGTGACGCTGCGAAAGGACATTGAGGAAATGAAACAGAAACATTTCTGCGACATGGCCACTTCCCCCATGGTCATTGACACTCCGAAAGTGAGTTGGAATACTTCTTTGTGCTCTTAAGAGTTTAGTTTTTTTCAGGAAATGTTGACGCACGAAAATGGTCATGTGTGGGTAGGAACGAAGCAGGTGATTACTGTGACGCCGTCGCCGAGCCTGGCCAGAAGACAGAGTCGTGCTCGTTTGTCGTATTCGAAAGCTACGGAGTCTCCGATTGACATGCCGTCTCGACCGAGAGAATCGAGCCCTTTGATGTCTCCCGTTCTGAAGCACATGACGGTGAACAATAACTCACCACCTTCGCAAATGATAACGACGTCTCCAAGGTATCTAAAATGAAATAGAAAACATAGGAAACGTAATGAATTGCAGAAACAGCCTGACTCCGAAGTCGCACGTTCTCTCTCCACTGGTCCTAAAAATGGAACACACTCCCCCACCGATCCCTCCGCATTCCCCCCCGAACTTCACTCCTCAAACTTCGAGAGTTTCGCTGGAGGCGGCTGCCGATCTGAAGAGAATCTCTCTTTCGGGTGTAGAGCAGAGGCGTCGTCCGCCCACGCCGCCATCTCATCCGAGATTGTCTAATCCGTTCTCGCCCAAATTGCCGATTCGTTCGGTCACAATCGACAATGGTTACGAGCTGCCTGTCTTGGAAGCACCTTCTGGTCTCTTCAAACTGCCTCAGTTGCCAAAAAAGATCAGTGCGACGTCAAGTGCTCAGCTTTGCCCGCCGCTGACCCGCCAGCAACAGTCTGTGTCGACGTTGTCGGTGCCGAACCGTGCAAATCTTCGTGAGACGAAGAGCATCGACACAGCTGATACGGCGCCACTCCGTTCGGCGCCTTTGACGTCTTCCTATCACGCTGGTCAAATGTCACCGCAATCGAACGATTATTTCGAGTTTGGGAAGTACACAAATATTCTACGATCATCTAAAGACGAATTTGTGAGTAAACAAACAGTCGACCTTTCGTTCATGAAATTACATAAATTTCAGGCATTGCCAAGCAGGAAGCAGTGTGTTGATATGCGGCCGTCAGTGGCCATAATCCGAAACAATAACTGTGGATTGGTCCGTTCAAGAGTGAATCATTTCCAGGTGAGAACCGTCACTTTTTTCATTTTCATAGAGTTGATGTTTTCCAGGAGATTGAACAAATGCAACGGAACGAGACGTCGATGAGTGGCAGAACTTCAGCCATGTCGCAACTATCGTTGAAAAGCAACGACACTCAGCCATCGTCGGATCGTTTCTCCGACGTCTCCGACTCTCGGAACATTCTGAATTCGTCGGAATCGATGGATTCTCCGCCGACGCCGACACTGACTTCACGAGTCTCGTACGACCCGGTGCACCATTTCTAACCGAAGTCTCCAAGATTCTTGTGTTTATGTATTATGGGTTCTCATTTTCCTTCAATTTCGATGGTATTCAATGATCTTCACCACTTGCTAGTATTCAATTATTTTTCACTCCTCTCTCCCTATATCCTTTTTCTCGTGTATGCGTGGCATTCCCCTTCCCCATAAAGAAGCGCCCCAGGCGTAGTCTAGCAGTTGCTCAAGTACTCGGCATCTCCATGGTCCCCTCTTTCTTCGCCCGTCTTCCCCAAAACCCAACCCAATTTCATTCATTCCTTTTCGCATTCTATCTGTGTGCCATCCGTTCGTCGGTGTATTCGCATTCAGAATTAGAATTAGAATTCCTTTTCTTTCTTTTCTGGTACGTCAGCTCTCGATTCATTCATCTCGTTTTGGCGGCAGCGGATGGCGCCAAAAGGCGTGCGCGGTTCCCTTCTAGCTCCCGCTTCATTTTTCCCCAATTTCTCTGTTGTGTGTTCTGTATTTTGAGAGATCCGTTCTTATAGAAACGGCGACGACGAAGGCAAACTAGGATACTCATCATCATCATCATCATCTTTTTTCATAATCTATTCTGTGCTTTACATGATGCTTTTTTTTGAAGTCACGAAATAAGATGAAGCACTTGTACCACTCTTTGATGCTTCACTTTCAGAAGCTTTCAGTGCGCCGTGCCGGAAGGAAGAGTTGCCGGAAATGAAGCTCCTTCGGGATTATCCTCAACGAAGTAGTCGGCGACTCGAAAACAAGTTGCCGATTGGCGGTATAACTGGACTATTATTTAGCTGTACATTTTCGATTCATAATTCATGAGCGCTCTTCCAATTGCCCCTTCGGAATCATTAGAAGAGTCTCGCGTGCGCGCCTCCCTTTCCAGTCGATTCCATCCATCGCGCTCTTTTCTAATTAGTGCCTAGTTATCCGGAGGAAGGTGCCGTCCGTCTCGCCGCCTTTTTTCATTACGAATTGAAAACGGCTCAGTCTTCTCCTCTCATTCACTTGTTTTTTTTGTTTCCGAATCCGACAACAATTTCCAGACATTTCAAACAACAGTGCGGAAGCGGACAAACGAATCGAGAAGCGAACAATGTTTTCGTGAGTTTTGAAAATGACATTATTGGGGTTAGCAGAGAATCGACTTAAAAAAAACACTATTCGAATAAGCGCGCTTGCAGATTTTACAGTATTTTCCGTGAAATTGAAGTTTTACGGCGCGCCGTTAAAAACTCCGTAAAACCGTAAAATTTCAATGTACACTATGTGTACATTGAATTTTGCCCAGTTGTTATCCATCCAACAAAGGTACCCAAAACGAATTTTGGCTGGGCTCCGTGAGCTGCGGGCTGAGAAAGATCGGAAAGTAGGTCTGAGGACTAAAACATTTCAAAAGATGCTAGCGACTCAACCTCAATGTCATTCGATTTCCCGCATCTTTTTGAGCGTTTCTAATGTTGGGACCAAAATTTTAGCATCCCTCCTTCATGTATTTCAGGGAATTTAAAATGTGATCGCAGTAGGGCGCGATTCTCAAATCTTAAAATAGTGATCTGAACTGAAAAATGCAATTATTCTGTCAAATTTCTGAAGCCAAATACATGTTTGAAATTTAGTGCGACTCCGCAGAAGCCCTCGCCTCTCTTCACCTCTCCAATCTCTTTTTTGGTCCTTCTCCTCAACCGAAAATGTATCGGATTTCGTGTCATTTGCCCATTTTTCACACGACCACAATCCCATTCGTCTCCACAGAAAACGAAAACGAAAACGAAAACAAAACAAAACGAAACGAATGGAGATGAGAGGGAGAATACCGAAAACAGCAATAATTTGGCTCACTTTTTCTTCTGGAAGAACGCATAATAGAGCATTTCATGACGTGGCTTTCTGGCTACACTTTAGCAACATGCATAGGGGGCGCAAAGGAGGGGGCGTGGCCTGACGAATTTTCTCTTGATTTCCGCGCGCGCATGTTTGGGGACCTGTACCGAGGTCCCCAGACCAAGTACCATACTCGTAATGTTTTACTTTACGTAATCGACCATGCTGAATCTAATGAACAACTCCGTTTCCCACGAAAACGCACCATTTTCTCAAAAAAAGGCGAAAACGAGAATGGAAGTCAGTCTGAGAGCCCGTGTGGCCACATTTATGGCTACACGCGCCTACTTTCAAGTGATTCCAACAGTTTAAGGGATGGGGAATCCGTTTTTTTAAGTCAGAATCAGACAATCTAGTTTCCGATTTTTTACAGGTCCTCAAACTGGCACAAAAAAATTGTGAAAAAAATTTCAGCGATGACCATACTTTTTTTATGTTTGGAATCCATAGATAAACTCTCTGAGAACCCAAATACAAATTTTTCAGAGCTCTAGACAGTCTAGGACCAGATTTGTGTTAATTTTTAGTAGAGCCAGTTTGGCCTAAATTGTAGTTTTTGGGGGTTTTGAGGGTCACAGGTACCTTACACGCGGCTAATTTTCCCAAAATCGGATTCAGCATCAAATTTCCGACCGATCCATGTCGAACTTTTCCATCTATCTAGTTTCCGTTTTTTGAAAAGTGACTGTAAAGTGTAACAGTTTTTGGATTTGAGCACGCAAAAAAACACTAATTTTACACCTAGAAGTGGACCGCGCGCAGCCAGCTTTTCTATGACATTGGCGGCCGGCGCGCCTTCGCCCGGCTGGCGCAGTGGGAAAGTGCTCACTCGGCAATCTAAAGGTGCCGGGTTCGAAAATTTTGACCTCGAAAATTATTTTGCTTTCTTAGAACATCATGTCTGCTCATTCAAAATGCTGACTCTTTGGTTTGGTCCACCAGACAAGGATAAAAAACGCGTGGGCAAACTTGCTAGTGAGACTCCGCCCCCTCCTCGGCCGCCGACCTGAGAGAAAACAGGGCGACTTTGGAGTGGTGTAACTCGGGATGTACCGAAAATTTTCGAAAAAAAAATTGGGAGCGTACTCATATAGAGTAGGGGAACACATTCCAACAAGAATTTTATAGAAATTCCGAGTTTCGTGAAACCCGTTGCGGTACCTAAACATGCAGTCTTTTTTGTGAATGAAGAAAGGATTCGGAGACGTACCCATGAGGGGAGCAAGTTCGCACGGATAATCCCCTCCAGATCCCCCGCATTCGCAGCCTCTTCCACTCGATTGCGCGTTCTTTGCGGAGCTCAAACGAAACCGATATATAATAGTTGTGCTCTCCGTATAATAAGCCTTTCCTGAAGATGACTGCAGCTCCAGAAGAGCGTTGCACCGCCTCGAATTTCTGCAAACGCGGTCTTTCTCTCTCTCTCACTCGCTTTTTATTAAAGTGCTCTTGGCCGAATGATTTTTCGCTTGAAACTCAGTGCGAAAGTTGAAATCACGTCATTGACTCTAGAGATCCGGCTGAGAGCGATCAACCATTATGACCTCCTTTATCCTCAAATCCTCAATGATTCCATGGCAACTCCTCCTAATTCCGTCGGTTTTTTCGAGTCGACCCACCCTCGGCTCTGCTCCGCTCCGGTCCCTTTGAGTGAATAGCACCAAAATGAGCTGACAATGAGCGGCGGGCACATCTCAATCAATGCTTCCGTCTGCCACCAAATTCAATGGCAGACAGCCCCGACGAGCGGGTGTCCCACTGAAATTCAATGAAATTTGTTTATTTGTGTATGCATGTATGAGGGCCTCGGATATTATTCCATTCTGTTTAGGACCCCGCGCCCCTCTATGTCATTTATGCACATATTTACACCGCTTTTCCCGCGATTTCGTTGTTTTGGGCGCGTGTGCACAATAAATGGAGCCGAACCGAATTATGTGACGGAAAAAGAGAGAGAAAGGAAGAAGCAAAATGAAAAAAAGTTCGAGCACTTTGTGTGTTCGCCCCCGGAAATGGCTTTTGCTCTCCGATCTTTTGAAAACCGAATTAGAAAGAGCCAAAACGAAAAATATTGGCTTTGAGATTGGCGTTTTCGAAATGGAGATTTTTGTGGTTTATGTCTATGCAATCAGCGGAGAATGTGGAAATGTAATGTCGGCTCCCGTCTAGGGCTGAGTAAATGACCTTTAAAGGACCAGGGAACCCAAAAATTTTTTGATTAATTTGTGAAATTTTTTTGTGACTGTTTGAATTGTCTCTTATTGCCTCATACATTGGTGAAATGCTGCCTCTCAAAAATGCCAATGAACGAAACGGCATGCAGTTGAAGTTGTGGTCGTGGCCTAGCGCCAATGGCCGAAAAATATATATAAATATATGCGCTTCTCGGCCATTTTATTTTTTCCGCTTTTTTACCGGTTTTTTTCCAAAAATTCACGGTTTCTCCCATTTTGGCACTTCATATCGACTGAATGAAAGCAATTTTTTAGCAGTGAAAAAATAAGTAAGTGCCGAACAAATGTCAATCAACTGAAAAAAATGGGAGAAACCGTGAATTTTTTTGGAAAAAAACCTGTAAAAAGCGGAAAAAAATAAAATGGCCGAGAAGCGCATATATTTTTTTATATATTTTTTTCGGCCATTGGCGCTAGGCCACGGCCACAACTTCAACTGCATGCCGTTTCGTTCATTGGCATTTTTGAGAGGCAGCATTTCACGAGTGTATGAGGCAATAAGAGACAATTCAAACAGTCACAAAAACATTTCACAAAAACATCAAAAAATTTTTGGGTTCCCTGGTCCTTTAAGATTTTGACCCGTTTGCACTTATCAATCTTGGTTCGGAATTCTTGAACCTTGAAAGTCTCAACCTTACAGGATCTTCGCCGCTAGAACCAGAACGTTTTGACCTTAAAGGACTAGGCTCTATCGGATAATTGAAAGTTGATTGAAAGCATACGGCTCTCGTCCAGTTATTTTAGATTCAAAGATTTCGAGGATACGGCTTGAAATAGAGTCAGACCCGAGCTCCGGATATCGATGCACTTCACCCGCACCTCGCCGGCCTAATCTCATCTGATAACACGTGCTCCTCATCCCAACGCCTTCTACTTCTTCTTCTTCTCTGCCCGCCCCTTCTGCGCCTCCGCTCCCTTTCCGCCCAACTCGTGCTTCTATCGATTCCGTCTCTCACCCTCCGCCATTCCACCCTTCTATCTCGTTTCGTTTTGTTTCCACTACATCTCGAGTCTCATGCACATGCACATGCACGTAAACCAAAAAGAGAAAGAAGCATGCAAAAAGTGGTGGAAGAGGGATGATTATTGCACGTCGCCTGTCGGCGCCACGTCACACGCTCGAGGAACTCCTAAAGTGCTCCGTGTCACTCTTCTTCCTTTTCACACTTGACAACTTGTCAAAAGAGGGAATTCTCTCCTTTTTTTGCTCCGCTTTTTCATAAAGCATTCAAGTTCTCTTTCCCCTCGCCATCTTCTCCTTTCCGTGCTCATTCCCATTCTTCACAAAGTCCTCACTGGATTATCAGGAGGCCTCTGCTGTTTTTGACAGACACGCCCTCTCTTTTCCAGTAAAACCTCCGCTTTCGTTCCCAGTTTCAAGAATTATTGTGAAGCAAACCGAATCGAGAAAGAGAGAGAAAGACAACGATTTTATGCATTTTTCGAGAAGAAATTGTTGTGCGTGGCAGCCGCGGCAGCACTCCTTCTTCTCCACTCCCATTCTTTGTTTTGTGTTCCAGCAGAATGCCCAATTTCAGCTCTTGTCAAAGGGCTTCTCGAGGCCAGTCGGACCTATCCGAGTGAGGCCCTAACTGCTCAAGATATCAGTGTTAGACCGTTTACCCTGAGAGTTTCAGACCGATGGGATTCAGTGATTTGAGGCCAAAAAGTCTTCAGTTTTTGATCCGATGATCCATTCGAGCTGAAACTTTTAGGGCCCCATTGAATAGTGACGAATATGTTCAGATTTCAAAAAGCTCCCAAAAGTTTGTTCCATTCAAAAGATGCAATTCGTCTTTTCCGATAAGTTTCCGACAAAACAAAACGTGCCTGCGTTATTTCGAGTGTCTATCGTACCCTTTTCTTTCCGGAATACGTGCCCACACGAAAGTTGGCTTGAAAGTCATGAGCAATGAGATGCACTTGAATAAATTAACTTTTAACGGGTGAATATTCTTTGAAAGACTCTTTCCCCCAGAGCTCTTATCTTCCGGTGAACTCTGATGATTCGCTTTCGAATTTTAAAAATTGCTCCTCTCACTCGCTTCTTCTTTTTTTCTGCTCATGTCGCTTCTCTTTCTGCTTCTTCTTCTTCTTCTTCTTCTTCTTTCCCTTCTGGGTCTTAACGAAGTATTTACGCCTAGCTGAGCTCACATTAGTGGTTTGAATAGATGGGAGCTCCCCGGGCGGCCCACTGCCAAACAACTCCATCTTCTGAATCCTCCGCCATCTGATAATTTTCAGAATTCGTTGTCACCCTCTCTCTCTTACACACACACACAAAACTTAGGTCTCGCACGAGCGTGCGAGCGGGCTCATTAGAAATTTCAGCGAAATACGAGTAGCTCCCCGGAGAGGAGAATGATACGGGTCTCGGAGCGGTTGAGTGTAGTGTACATCAACATGTTTTCATGTGTATTCGTGTCTCGTGGCCCCTCTTTAGACTGTCGTCCCCCTCTAATTCAATAAAAAGAGCAGGCAGGCAGCTAGGATCCAATAAAACCTTTCCTGTCGGGGGTCCCGGTTGTCTTTCTTTACGGAGAGAATGTGTGAGTGGATAAAAAGAGGGCACCCACCGAATATTTCGTGTTTGTTGATGGTGTCGCAGGAGGAGGGGTCGAGGGTGCTTCCGAAACGGAAAGAGTGCCCACCCATACATTTCTGACGTTTTCGTTTTTGTTTTCGTTTCGCATACACCAAAAATACATACATACACATGCACAAGAATAGTCCGTCTCCTGAAGCTCCTTCATAATCTTGGAGTAGCTGTGTCCAGTATTCAGACAACAATCATTTGATTTTTGCAAACTCAATCAGCCCAATCCAATTTGCAATATCTGCCCCATGAACACTTTTCAGTCCAACCTTGGCCTTTCCAGTTATTCCCAACTCGACCTCCCTCCAAATAATCCAATTTGCAGCATGTCCGTGTCTAAAAAGAAGGACGAGGACAAGGAGAAGAAGTTTCTCGGACGTCTCCAGTACAAGCTCGACTATGACTTTGATAAAAACGCGGTCAGCTCACTCACCCCGATCCCCAAAATTCACTTTTCGCTGTTTTTCAGCTCACCGTCGTTATTGTGCAGGCGGAAGAACTGCCGGCGATGGACTTGGGCGGCACTTCCGATCCCTACGTCAAACTGTTTTTGTTGCCCGAAAAGAAGAAGAAGTTCCAGACTAAAGTGCAGAGAAAGTCACTGAACCCCGTGTTCAATGAGAGCTTCACTTTCAAGGTGGGAATTCTAGAAACCGTATGTCAAGTTGAAAGAGTGACTCTTTCAGATTCCATTCAATGAAATCGGCGGGCAGACTCTGGTACTCAATGTGTTCGACTTTGATCGTTTTGGAAAACACGACCAGGTATGTCTGCGGGGGATGGGGAGGATGACAAATTATAGTCGAAAGGGGTACAGTAGTCGTCATGACATCACCTGTGGCAAATGCGAAAACAAAGAGCGTCAACTATATAATCAGTGGGGAATTTCAGATCGGACAAATCTCAATCCCGCTTGGAAAGATCGACCTAGCATCGACGATCGAAAGAACCGATCTGATCGAGAGCCCTCCGGAGAACCGGCTCGGAGAAGTGTGTCTGGCCCTCCGTTACGTTCCGAACAAGAACAAACTGTCGGTGGTGGTGATGGAGTGCAAGAATCTGAAGAAGATGGACGTGCTCGGCCTCTCCGATCCCTACGTCAAGATCTACTTGATGATGGGAACGAAACGTCTGGAGAAGAAGAAGACGACCATCAAGATGAAGACGTTGAATCCGTACTACAATGAATCGTTCAGTTTCGATGTGACTCCGGAGAAGATGATGGTAAGTATTGGGTAGAGGGGAAGGATTACTGTAACGGGGATGTTTTCCAGAGAGTCCATCTTCATGTCACCGTTTCGGATTACGATCGTGTCGGTTCGAACGAGCGTATCGGGCAGGTTCGTTTTCTAATTTTAGACGGAGACTCTCTAGTTGGTCGTTGATCGCGGGAAAGGGAAGGATATTTGAGAAGGGAGGGAAGATTTCCGGAATTTCAAATTTCCGAATTCTTAATTTCGGCACGTGAACTCGAATTCTCAGGGGGGATAAAGAGATGCCACGTCATAACGAGATGCGACTTCCAGGTTATGATCGGCACGTGCGCCACGGGCGTCGCTCTGAAACAATGGAACGACATGCTGGCGACACCTCGTCGATCGGTGGCTCAATGGCACACTCTCGTTCCGTTCAACGACGATTAGCCGACTTTTTCTTCTTCTTCTTCTTCTTCTTCCTCTTCTTTCTATTTTGTCTCTCGCTTCCAGCTTCTATTGTCTCTCCGCTAGAAAGAGCCTTCCGAACATTCCGCCCGCAACTGTGACACATTCTCATTTGTTTATGTTTATGATCATCGCTGCCCTCACTCCACCACCCTCTTCAGAATATCAAATTCCTAATAACAACTATCATTCGCCCTTTTCTCGCTTAACCATTCGCCCCTTCATTTGTGATTCTCTCACACCATTTTCCCATTCCAATCCTATCATCTCTCCGGTTTCTAGGACCCGCCCACTCTTCTTCTTCTTCTTCACAGTTCTGTGTGATCATTTTATCTTTATTTATTTCCTCTTATTTTCTCCCTCAAACTCTTGCAGTAACTCTATAATAAACAATTATATTTCGGTTCCATCAATGCTTTTTCTGTTCTCAATCTTCGGGTTAGTCCATGGCAATCATTTCACTTTTGACCCGACCAGCCGAGTGAGCACAACTGAAAACTGGCTCAACGACGATATTCCGTGCATTGGTAAGGAATAGAGAAAGACTAGAGCGTACTGGTTAACTTAAGGCGACAGGATTCGTTTCGATGATACTCTTCCGATAGTCGCTTTTATGGATCACAATCTTAATGTGAGAATGTGTGCTCTAAGAAGAGGGAAAGTAAAATTGTTTTTAGGCGGAATCGATCACACTTCCGGAGAACGGAATGATTGTATTCAGTGACAACGGAGTGGAGTTTGGCGGAAATGCACATTGGCAATGTAGGAGAACGAGCGACGGCCCTAAAGGTGATGAAAACGAATAGGAAAAGGGTTTTCACTTTTGACCCACCTGGAATTGTCCAGTTTCCGATTGGAGTACCTTGAAAGTTTTCTTGGACTTGTCTAGAGATACTCTGAAACTATGCCATGAAACCTTTTACTTTGCCAGGGATTTTGAACTAAAATATCTCCAAATCTGATGATTCATTAGAGCTGAAACTTTCTAGGTAGCGGCTCCAACCCAAGCGCAAAATGGACCAAAAGCTCAGTCTTCCTAAAATCCTAAAAACCTCTTTGCCTGGCCCAAAATGACAGTTTCAGACGCGTTCTTTTCTCGCGACGAAAGCAGCGACACATCATTCTACAACCCAAAGAACTGGATTCCCGACGACGATAAGTTCCTTCACATGAACCAAGTCCCCTCTGAACATGTGCTTCATCTCCAATCTCACCTTCCCATTTACCTCAATGTTTTCAGGATGACGTGACAATTTCCTCACTGGCAAGCGCCCAAATCTACCTGGATCGACCGGTTGTTGTCAACAATTTCCAGTTCTACAAGCGTCAAGTCAGTCTAGTTTCTGTGTGTGTGTGTGCGGGTCTTCTTCAAAAGGTCTTCTTCAAATGATTCATTATGGCGTGTTTGGGAGGAGATGGCACATACTCGTACGGAAGGGATCAGTGGTGTTCGGTTGGAATAGAAATGAATTGCAGTCGGGGAGCGGCGGCGGAGCAGAAGCGGGAGGAACGGAAGCAAAATACAATTTAAGCAGCGCAGAAATTACAATGTACACGAGGAATAAGGGTAATTGATATAAAAAGAGGAGTCACGGCATCTGACCGATGGTGTCCCCGATCGCCCAGATTCCCATCTTCATCTCTCGAATGATGAACGAGATGAAGATGTTCCACGCGTCGAGGGCCGCTTCTCGCTCCTAAAATATTAGAACTTCACTTTGAGATTGATAGTAACTAAACAAACCTGTGGCGATGAAAACTGAACTTCTGATATGATTGCTAGAATTGTGTGCTTGAACTCCTTCCACACTGACGATGTGAACACAATTCCTTTGTCATAATGAACGGCGCCAACTCGTCGCACACGCATCACTATGTACTGAAACCAAAGGCATTACATCTACTCCCCAACTCGATTTCACTTACGCTCTCAGCTTGATTATTCTGCATGAGCTCGAGGAGCTCCGATATGAAAGAAGATATCCGTCCGCCAATCTCTTGGAACTTGGCATGGTCGATACTTCGTTTGCAAGAACCGTTTAGAAGTGAAACTTTCTCCGGCTCCTAAACCGATTCAATTATTGTCTGAGAGAGAAAGTGGGCAAGACTCACGTCATTCTTGCACATGGTCGGATGCTTTCTGATCATGTTCCACGCGACTCTCACTCCGATCTCGCCGTTCGTCATCTCGTTCGCTTTCTCCCACGACGAGACAAGGATGGAGAGACGGTCCCCCAGCAGTTGGCTGCAACTAGATTTTCTCAGTAAACAGACTGCACGTATCGGAATGACTCACCCGGAATCGCAGATCGTCTTCTTCCTCTTGATCGTCTTCCTCTCCACCAATTTTGTGCTCAACCATTCGGTCGCCTTTAAGTAGATCAGACAGTTCGTCGCCGAGTTGATCATCACCAGAAGATTGCTGATGTCGATGACGTAGTAGTTTGGCACTCCGACCGTCACCTCCATTATGTCGATCGCAAATGTGAGACTTCGGAACAGAATGAACTTTGCGACGAGCAACACTGCGATCATTGTGTTCATACTCTCCCGCGAGGCGTACCTCTCCAGCAAATTGTCGGTCATTTGGAAGAGCTGCCGACGAGATCGATTGGATCCGCGGAGAAAGAAGAGAGTCAGAGCACTGATGCACACTATCAGAATGTTCGGACCGACGGAGACGAGCATCATTCTGGAGACGAGTCTGTAGACGGTGTAGTTGGAGTTGGTCCGCAGCCAAGTCGGCACCAGCATGATCGTGGTGATGTTGGTGTCGGTGTTGAAGCACGGAACGCACTGGATCTCGAAGAACGCCGGGAAGTTGAGGACCATTGCGGCGAACGAGAGGAAGAGGGGCATGCGGAAGAGACGGCGGTACGTGGCGCAGTAGATGAACGAGATGCGTCGTTCGCTGCGGAACGACTGCACGATGACGGTGGATCGGGAGGTTCGGAACGGATCACGCGTCGCCATGAATCTCTGCATTGTGATGGCCACCACGCACCATATCTGAAACAAGAATTATTGAAGAATAGAGACAAATTCAAACGTACAGATGCCGTGTTCGCTATTTGCGAGAGTGCGTGGAACCAGGGAGTGAGCAGATTGAGCGACTCCACCTGGATGCTCTTCGGAAGGTTCAGCCGCTTCACTCCGTAATAGAAGAACGCACTCCAAAGCAGTACGGTATCCCAGAAAGCGAGGGCGAGCATGGAGACTGCGAGCACGACTCCCCGGTTCTTATCGAGTGATGTGACGTGTACACTCTTCACTCCATTCAGATTTCCAATTGTGCCCAGAATCACAACTGCAGTCGTCACGTAACCGTTCGTGAGCACTGAGAATTGTCTGAAAACTTCGAATGGTCTTTTGAGCTGGAGATGTAAAGAGTAATGTATTTGCATAATGCGGAAACGGAAGGTGGCAACTGCGAGGGTAAAGTTTAGAAATCTAAAGGAGAACTCACTGATAGGCTGGGGCATGACTGGCTCGAAAACAGGCGGGCAGTGTGAGGTTTTCGTATAGATCTTCGAATATCTCGGCGGGAAGCATCGGCTGAATCGTCGTTGTCGTCATTGCCATTTCGGTCGTCATCATTGACGCGTGGTCATGCTAGAATGGAAGAAATGTTCGGAAAGTTATACAAAAAGAAGAGAGAGAGAGATAGAGAGAGAGAGAGAGAGAGAGAGAGAGAGAGAGAGAGAGAGAGAGAGCGGAGGCACTTTGTCCCAGCGAAAATTGGGAAGACCGAAAGGATTGAATTAGAAAGATTGGAAAGAGAGCTGAAGGGCTCAGCTCGGAATGAAAACGGAATAGAGGAGCTGGTGTCCAGGGTGCTCGGAAGAGCTCGCGATGCACTTTTGCAGACGGCGGAGCAACCGGAAATGAAACCTGAGGGCGAAGGAAGCAACTCTTTTCCAGAAAAATGCGCGGAATTTGAGCCGATTTAGAAGTCAGGGCGGAGAAGTGCCCGAACACTGGTGATCAATGTATTTCGGCGGAAGGAAGCGCTTGATTATGGGTCAATATGCGGGTCACTCGGAATATAAATAAGTGAGGGAGGAGAAAGACCCAATGGCAATTTGTTTTGTTTCGTATGCAAATTACCACAAAAAAGGATGTGAAAAGGGCATTGGTGGCGGGGCGCTAAACAAAGGCAAACGGCAGAATCCTGGGGTACATGTTGCACTGAGAACCCATTCTCCCCACGGAAATAGAAGTTATGCTCAGAGACGAATATGAAATGTGTTGTATGTGTGAGCAATGCCTGAATAATTGGATGGACTTGGCACTGCTTCCGAAGATCTTCAAACACTGATTTGAATTATTCAAGTAGTCGGGAGAGTTTCCAAAGAACTGCAAAACAGATCTCACTATTACACAAGTGTAGAGCCAGGACCAACGAAGCCAGCAGCCGCCACAAAAGATGGTTTATGGGCGCTTTTCGCGTCGAGTCCGCGGTCGACTTGATTCAATTGGATTGGCGGGAAGAGGAGGTGCACGGCAGGAGCAAGACGGCCACGTGAAGAGCGACCGACCGACCCGACGGTACTGCGGAAGGTGACGATGGATGGATGCGAGATCCGGATGAAGGGACGTCAGGAAATGGAATGCTGCGGGCGGGCGGGGAGACACGGGGAGCACATGGCGATGAATGATGCCTTCATTTCCTGGCCATCATCTTTTGTCATGTCAACACCAACAACAGAAGGGAGAGCATGTGTGTGTGTGAGTGTGTGTGCTCTTTCGGGACGCCGATGCTCACGTTGCGACACGGCCATGGAGAGCAAGATTGAGTGAGAAACGTACCAAACCAAATTGACCGAGGCTCCCGGACTATTCAATTAGAGACCACTGACTGCCATTTCAGCTCTGTATGAAACTGCCTCCTACAGCGCAAGCTTGACACCCGACAACATAGAAACACGGTGGGAAACAGCGAAAAGCTGTACCAACAACACTCTGAACACCCTCCGTTTGTTGCCACCGACCCCCTAATCATTTCGAGAAAAAACTGAGAGTCTAATGAGATGAGAATTGTTTGGTTTTTACAACTTTCTCGACCCGGTCGCTCTTGAGAAGAAGAGCTACTCGAGAACTTATTTGCGGACCCATGTTCGACCGAAGAGGCCGTTTTTCTTGCCGCTTTCCAGATAAGAAATGTCAAGAAAGCGGAAATATAGAGAAAACTGGCAAATGAAATATTTTCAGTCATCCGGCCAATTTCGGCTGTTTGCGACGGATATGAAAGGAAAGGACGAGCGAGAGAGAGGGAGAGAGGGAGTCCTGGTCAGTCAGTCCGTCAGAATTTCCCCCCGTTTCATACATAAATAAATGAAACGGAATGTCCTCAAAAAACGGAAGGAACAAACTCTTCCAGAAGCGGCGAATCCGTAGTCTTTCGAAGAGAGAGGAGCGACGAATTCAGGCAAATGACACAAAGTGCAGTGAGAAGGGAGGCGAAGAAGAAGGTGGAATTGACAGGTCTTGCACGCAAGAAGAAGCCTCGAGATGTCGTTTTGCGTTGACTCCTTCCTGAGCATCTCATGAGAGCTCATAATTGTAGGGGATGAGAGGATGTTATTATCAAAAGTCTTCCGATACCAGTGCCAGGTACAAAGGGCACAAAGTAACTGATATTTTGTGAAGACTTGGCTCAGAACAGAACAACAGCCGGACTACGGTAGTCTGTGGAGAAGCGGCATTATCGCCGAAAGAGCCAAGCTAAACGAACATGTTTTGGTGGCATCCGACATCATCCAAACTTTGACCTTTCTATCCTCTCTCCCTCTCCCTCCCAAAAAGCCTATCCGATTAAAGCAGACAGCGTGTCACAGGGAGAAGCGGAAAGGATAAAACTGGAGGGGAAGCGGGAGGCCTGGAATGAGGTACGAGTCAATAAGAGAACCATCGATCATCTCTCTCCGCCGATGACGTGCGCGTCATATCGAAACTTGTCAGTGAAATTCGACTGACGAAGAACGGATACGGATACGGACTGCGTGGGCCCTGGCCAGACTTCCCGTTAATTAGGAATTTCGAGGGATCTCGGTTGATCCGAAGATCCGAGGTGTCGGGTAATAATGTAATAGGAAACAGTAATTACTTTTTGTTTCGCTCAAATCTGTGTTTTGTGTCGTCGGATGAAAATGAAAACCATCGAGACGAGGAGATGAGAATGAGGTGAAAGAAAAGGAAAAGAAAAAACAATGAAATTGGAGACGGTGCCAAAGTGAAGAAGAGCAGCATGCGACGGACGGAGACGCGCCCCGTTTTGGGAAAATGCAATAAAAGTTGACAATTGAGTGGGAAGATTCGAGAAGTTTGGGAGGCGCGAAGGGCAAACTTCAAACGGAGAGTGACGCCTTAACACTTTTCAAGGGAGGTGCCAGAAAAAGGCGGGTGGATGAATGAGGCAGCCGAGAAAAAGCGAACAACAATGCGCGGAGCAGTCTGTTTTGCAGAAAGAACGGATAGAAATGGGAAGTGGAGGACGGACGTTTAATTTTTGGACGTTCCTTCTCAGATCTTGACGTCAAATAATGATTGAAGAGGGATCAAGTTGTGCTGGGAACTGTTGAGCAGAGTCATAGCTCATTGTCTTACACGTATCGGAAGTGACATCATAAGATCATCCGATGCCACATGATACGTTTCGAGAGGCTTTCGAACAAGCCGAACTTTAGAAAAGAACGACCGACAGAAAGAAAAAGAAAAAGAAAAAAAGAACAGCTCAGATTCAGATGTCAGTTCCACAACTCCGCAGATTCTCGAAACGCCGCCGGCACAAAATGAGTCAGAGAGCCCCTTGGCCCCGCTTCAACAAGTCAGGCGGCAAAAGAGAGACTGTGTTTACAGTTCGATACAACACATTTATATCCATCACTCTGTACCAAAAGCCGCCAAGAGCCACAGACAGGAGCCCGCTCCTCCGGTGGATTTGAGCACACACACACACAGAGACGACACATTACTCGCTCGGCGTGTTTGCCTTGTCAATGTACTTGGAGTGAGAAAATCCGTGAAGAATATATTTCGAAGCGCGCGGCGAAACAGAGGAAAGAGAAGCTCTTCCGCCCTCTCCAGGGTGACGTCCTCCTGGCTCACGGCGGCTAGACACTAGTGAATGAAATAAGAAATAGTTGGTCGACGGCTTGGAAAAAGTCACAATTGCCGGAGGCAATCAAAAACCCGTAGAGAGTCTGTGGAGGAGCAGTTTCCACTGGCCATTGTGTCCGAGTAGGTGCTGAACACGATGGACTTTGTTCCGGAGGGTCTTCGGTGTCTCTCCGTTTGCAAAATTGTGGAGAAATAAATTTGGTTTGCACTTCATTTCGGTAACCAACTTTCGCGCCTTCCCCGGTCCCGCCGGTCGACCGACCTTCGCCACCGCCAAAAAGATGGACACGGAAATTGGATGCAAATTCAATGCTGGAACTTTTGCACAAAAGCACTTGAAAACGGATGAGGAGGGGAAAAGTTGGTCTTGGTTTGAGAATGAAGAGCACTCGGAGGGAAAGTTCCCATGTTATTACTGGAAAATAATTGGGGATGGGATGGGAGGAGTGGGGGAAGTCCGGAAGCGAGAATGTAGGAAATTAGAATAAAAATTGAAACAAACAAGTTCTGGGAACACAACTCTTCGGTACACGAGTTCAGAAGGTCACAAGTGATTGTGAAACTCGAGTTGTTCGCCCCTTTTCTCCTCCCCGGCGCCTTCGTTTCGTGTGTATCCGCGACAGTTGGCGGCACAAAAGTGTTTGCAGCGGGTCATCCCGGGGCACCGCAGTCGATCATGCATCGCGATGTTTATTGGTGATAGATGTAGATCGAAAGAGAACAGATGGCGGCTGCCGAATTTCAAAGTGTTTTGGTGGTCTTGGTTCTCTGTTTTCGCATCCGGAAGTTCCCGGATTGGGGACTTGGTTGTTGCCGGATTTGGAAATGTGTTAAGAGCTAGAACATAGAAGATACAAGATAGAAGACGTGCCTAAAACGGGAGAGAGAAGGTTTGGACCATCTCAAGTTTCGAGTAGTGTCATCAATAACAGCTCCTCACGAAACTTGAGAAGATGTCAGATCCGTGGAAGGACGGATGACGTGACCCAGATCAAGTTATGAAGTTCACGTGGAGCAAATGTTTCGAAAACGGCCCGATTTGTGAGCCTCTCCTCTCCGCCTCGACGTCTTCAGTGCGGCACCTACGTCGGGGCTCATCTTTCAATCGAAAGTTGATTTAAATTAACGTTGGTGGTTTGACGTGACGCATGCGGCCCCATGAAAAGAAGGGAGCAGAACTTTTCGTATGTGTGTGTGTGTGTGTGCGCTCCATCTTCTTTACCGTGGTGGTGGCTGACGACGACGACGACGACGGCGATGATGATGATGGCGGTGAGAATTAATTGAAAATCGCAAATCGAGTCGCAAAACACTTTGGGAACGTGTGAATGATCGATTGGAAGAAGAAGGCAGGTTTTAGACGTGGATGCTCGTCCGAGTATCAGATGTCCGACGTCTTCTGGCGACACATACTTGCGCCAATTAGTAACTCAATATTGTCCGGCAATTGCATCTTCAATTATTCATCCGTTTTTCTTTCCTTTTTCTGTCCTCAGAGTCCTCGCCGCGGGGGTGGCTCCTGAGAATCAATTGGAAAAGAAGGCGACGACGGCAAAATTGAATACGGATTCGGATTTGTTTGCCGTTTCGTTTCGTTTCGTTTCGTTTCGTTTCGGAATGTGCCCACGTGGTTCGGGCAGATGATGACGACCTCGTTGAACCAACCGCTGCAGAAGGCTCCGGAAATAATTGCATTTTCTTTGGTTGCGGAATGCACCGGGTCATGTGAAAAGAACAGCATTTTGTGGCGATTGGATTGCGGTTTCGCATCTTGTTGTGACTGCCCTTTGGTCACGAATTCAATTGTGTTGGGTGGGAGTCAGATGAGCAATTAGGGTGGTAAACAAACGAATATCGGACAGAAGACATCAAGGAGTCGACGGCTGGTAGGAGGAGGCGGAGGTCAAGATCGGGCAGAGATCAGAAGTGCGCCGCTTCTTGCTCTCCGGAATTAGCGACTGGAAACTCCTGTTTCCTGGTTGTCAGAAGGAATAAAGGAGATGGATACTTCGGTTTCATAGAGAGTTATGCATAAAAGTTTATCAAAGTGGACTTGGTAGTCACTCAATCTTTCTGTTTCACTGGTGTTTCTTGCTCATCCGCAATCCCCAGGGTATATCATTAGAGGAAGACAAGTCTGGACGTAAAGAGCCCTTCACTGCTCCCAAAATCGCATTGCCGGTCTCGAATTGGACTTGGTGTCGGTGTTACAAAGTAGAAGCAGAGATCAGAAAAAGTGGAGAGAACTGTTAACTGTTAGATTGTCGAAATGGGTCGAAACTCTTGAGTATCTCTTCAAATAGACAGGGGGCTTTTCCCGTGTTTGCACTGTGAAACGGCTCGAGAACAAGGGCTCTCATGTGAACGAGTTTCAGAGAATGACCACCGAGGACTTCAATGTGCTCATTCGGAGCATGGAGGGACAGTTCCAGATCATCCTGCCGCGGCCGTGGGCAAGAGAAAGCGACCTCGGAGGAGTGCAGAGGATGCTAGCCGACGATCCGATCACAGTAAGAAATCGGAAGCTGGAGGCGGTCAGAGAAGGAAGAGTGAATTCGAACTCGAAAAATGAGGTGAGCAGAAGGGTTAGGGAAATGGTCTCCACTTGAATAATGAAAACACTTACGGCTCTTCTTCGTTGTTTTTTGCCTTGTGGCCTCTTCTTTACATGAAGAAGAAGCACACTAAACCCACAAAAAAACCAAATAATCTTTGGACCTGGGAGGAGGAGGGAGACAGTGATACGAGGACATGGAATACAGACTCTTTGTCGAGAGGTGGCTGTACCCGAATCCGCAGTTTGTTTATCCACTTGACATCGAAAAATCGGTTCAAATTTTGATGTATTTAGCGGTAGAAACGGTGGCGGGAGAAGGGGGAAAATGTGATCTTTTGAGGCTAACAATCGACACGTATTGAGATGAATCGGACGGAAGAAAGAGAGTCTAGTGTGCTCCTGACAGAGAGAGAGAGAGAGAGAGAGAGAGAAAAAGAGTATCAGTTTCGTATCACGGCCAAAGTTTGTGTCTTACAGACCCTCTCGGCAATCTGTGCGTACACGAAATGCACCCCAGCCGGGGACCTTCCCTGTGTCCAATCGTTCGTTCCTTTCGGCCATTGCTGTCCAGTTTGCGGAGCCAGAATCGAACTGATTGCATTTCAAATGGACTACGAGCTGGCAAAACGGAAGATTGACAATGTTTTGGAAGATATGAAAGTGAAACAGACCGTTCATGCGACTTTGGAAAGGGCAAATCTGGATGTTATGACTACAAAATACGAAGTACCGAAATCAGTTCCCTACCAACAAGAGTTCTTTCATTCAGGTTTCTCTTGTCACGATGGCAAACGCATCTTTCGATGAAGATTTCTACGATCTCGCCTCCAGAAGAATCGTCACTGACTTGGCTCTTTCGCTGATCACCCACCATCAGAAATCCATTCTCGATTTCACCATTCATCTCTCGAAAGTCGACAGAACTATCAGGACAGTGTCCAAGATTGTTGCGTGCGTCATTTACTTCACAATCCTTATCGTCTTGGTCGGAGCATATGCATACCAAAACTTGGAACTAAGAGTATCACGGTGAGCGAACCAGAAAAATTGATATTATGTGTTTGTTAGTTATAGACGAACCATGTTTTCACCAGTCATAAAGTACAAGAGGCAGACTGATCAAATTACGATTGAATTGGAAGACGTATCAGAGATGGAAGTAGAAACTGTTCACGACGACGTCGACGATCAGAGGAATGTCAATCCTAACTTTGAAGAAGAGCCGACTGACGAAGGTCCTGTGACGATTTTTGGTGCAAATGCGGAAGAGATTGAAATGATTCCCTGGAAAAATTTTCCGGAAGCGAAAAAAGATGAAGAAGATTTTGAAGTTGAAAAGGAAATCAACGATGACAAAAAGTCTGAAGAGGCAGCTGTTCAATCCGTTGATTCTCACGTTGATCTAGTAGATGTGGAAGATCAACTGAATATCAATCCAAACTTCGAAAAATTCTCTTCTCAATCAATTAAAGAAGGTGCTGAAGAGGCAATATTTGAGGAGCCGAAAGAAGAGACTTCTGAACAAGAACCTGCCGAACAAAAGTGCGATACAATCATCGAAGAACGAGAAGACGTGACTTCTGAAGACGACAAACTAATTGACCTGTGATATATTGAAATTTACTTCTTTCATTTCATTCTTCATAAATACATACAAAGCTGGTAAGATCTGAGAAGTTGGAGAGTAATATCAGCGATCAGCGGAGTGAGAGCGTCTGGCATTTCAACATGAAATGAGCGGAAGTAAGAGACATCTAACCAGGATCTATGGAGTGACAACCGGTTTCGGATCACAGAGAATCATTTGGGAACGAGGAGAACGGGGCAGAAGTAGGTACATAGGCAAAGAATCGGGCAATCATTTTTTGGCTTTTGGCATGTTCTTGTAGGCCTCGGGAACTTCTGACAGGAGACTGTGCCATTGGCCGACCGGCTTGCTCTTCTGAAATGTTCACATTCTCATCAGAAGAAGACCAGGAAATCCCGAAACCTGCTGTCCCTCTTCTGGCACCGCATTCAAACAATTATCCCATTGGGTTCTCCCGTCGGCAGTCGGACTGTCCTTACCGAGAATACAGCACCCGAGAAGATCATCCTTGCCAATTCTGAAATGATTTTACAAGTTTCCATAGATGTTTGTTCAAATGTACCTATCCCAGTCCATGACTTGAATCAGAATATTAGTCTCCGCAATTTGACTGGCCGGGATATCAAATTGCAGGGTTTCGTGGAACACCGGGTTCAGGTTGGCCCGCTTCGTACTCGATTTCTTCGATTTGAATCGCTTCCCGTTGTATGTTTGCTCAATTTTCACGTATGGATCTAGAAAGAAGACACTTGCAACAATCATCAGATGGCAGAGGTACCTGATGCTCCAGTGATGTCCATCGGACGCAGATTGTACGCCTTCGACACGTTGATCGACAGCTTCTCGTCTTCCTTCGAGTAAGTCAGGTAGAGCAGCAAGTCGCCATAGTCATTCTTGTTCTGACTTCCCACAATGTGCATTGTGTACTCGGTCCACGTGTACAAATCTGACTTTTCGAACAGATCCCTCATGATTATGTTGCCGATGAGACCGTGACGAGTGAATCGATCGAAGTCATAGACTGTGAACTGAAAATCAGTAAAATGAAGAGAAGCATTGTGAACGAGTGAACCTGAAGCATGCGATTCGCAAGGTTATTGAATGAAACATCAAAAGAGAACATTTCATTAAACTCCGGATCATTGTTCTTTTTGCATATTCTCGTCTTGCAGTGTCCCCTCCTCTCCGGCAACAAGTACATTTTCACGTACGGGTCAACTGTCGTGCCTTTGTCCTCCACAGGAAGATTGTTGGCACGGATCACATGGAGCATCAATACCCTTAAAGCACACATCCTATAATGAAACATGAATAATATCTACCTGTGAATGAAATCATATCTCAGCGCGAACGTGAGCGTTCCCCGAATGCATCCTCCGTCGGATTTATCGTAGAATCCGAGCTCGTAGTGCATCACAGACCGCTCGTCAATGTCTTCCATCTGAAACGGAAGCGGAAACCAATATGGAATGAAAACCAAAAAGAGCTCTTTTGTTTGCCTGCTACGTGCCAATCCCTCTTCATCTAATTCAGTATAAAGATCGGATTACACGGTAATTGGTCCCTTTCTCTGTCGCTCGCTTACCTCATCGATGACTTCGTGGTTTCCGTCCACGTTGAAGAGGAACATTGAGTTGCGCATTGACGCGGACCTTGGCTCATCGCCCAGCAGCTCGCAGCTGTCGGAGCTGAAACAGTTAAACATTTGATGGAACTGAAAGAAGAAGGCGGCAAGGGGGCGGCGGGTACTAATTAGCTGCTCGCTCTAATCTTTTCCCTCCCCATTTTTAGTTCCGGTCTCGAAATGAATAGGAAACGAGTAAAATGAAATCAATCAGTGCGCTTTTCATTTCATTGTTTCCGAATGGAACTCACATTGGCAGCGAGTCTGTCGCATGGAGCATCATCTGAAGTTTGAACAATGAAAACGGGAGAGAGACGAAAGAGAATTGATAAAAGATTGATGGGAATATGTACAACGGGTGTTTGGTCTGGGCGAGTGAGAGTGAGAAAAGAAAACCGCCACTATAGTTGCATGAGTGATTTGCTCTTAAGAAAACTGAGGTTAGTGCTGCTCGAGTTGAGTTCAATGGCCAACAGGTCCGGGTAAAAAATGCATTGAATAGCCGGGTTGCTCTCAGCTCACTCGGCACGTTGCACTGATCACTGAGCCCGAGCCCGCTCGGATTAATTATGAAACTTGACTCTTCTGTTGTGGGCGGAACGGGCGGTGAACAGGTGTTCACGTTGCATCATGATTCTTGGAAGAATCTCAGATGACACCGAAGACAATGAAGACAAATGGACGAGCAGCAGGAGCATGTTAAAGTGCAGGCGAAACGCGGAGGTCAGGAAAGCCGCCTAATCACGTGATTAAACGGGTAACTTGGCTCGCGGAGCACCTGATAAAAGTGTGTGTTGTTGTCGATGAAAACATGGGAATGAATAGTTTCGTGGAATTACTCTCTCGCAGAGACTAAGGACAACTGATCTTTCTGAACCGATGATCAGTACCACATTATAATATTAATAATCCGGAGAGTAAAAAGAAAAGTACATTGGGAATTGGGGATGCGGATCGATTTTCAGCAATTCGTGTGGGTGATTGGGGCTGGTTTTACGACGATGTTTGGCTAGATCCGCCGAAGAATCCGGAGAGCGCCAGGGAAAAGAGCTGAGCTCCTCAAAAATGTATGAAAAATTTAGTGTTATTTGGGCGCTGGGAGTCGAGGAAAAGAGGGGAGGATCTCTTGTGCTCATGCTCTGCTAACGAAATATGATATACACCTAGAATCTCTCTGAGAATTTTCATTTTTATCGTGTCATATTCTCTCTCTCTCTTCTTTCTTCGTTTGGCGTCATCTAACCGGATAATCCAGGAGCTGACCGGGGCCGGACAGACACGGGAGGAACCAAAAACCCATTAGTGATGAAAAGAGAAGAAGAAGAAAAAGAAGAATATGGAGAAGAGAAACCTCAAAAGACACTCGACTACCATGCATATTCATGAGTAAAACGAGATATCGAAGGGGGCCGAAATGGCTTATTTCAAAAGACAAAACAATGCGGTTCCTTCCTTTCCCCCGATCACCCAGGACCAATTTCTGATGCGATAATCTCTCTACCATAACAAAATTCCCCTTTAATATCACCCTTGTACTACGTTTTCCATGAATACCTCAATAGTCTTCAAAAGTCTCTGGAGAGTGTCCGAATCGAACAATAACAGTTACAGAGAGGATAGAGAGTTGCGATGTGGGCAGTGCGTGAGAAACGTGTTGCAGGAGGATACGTGGGAGAATGTGCGCGTGTGACTAATTCTGATCTTGAGCAACAATCGGAATGAACTTTAGAAGAACGAAGCTCGTTTTAAATGACAAACTAGATCAATGGAAAACGACTGTTTGTCGCGCGGCGCGAATTAATCGTGAATGAATGTGAGCTCGACGAGGCGGAGATGCGCTACCGTGTTCCTTCCTGCTCTCGCAGCTTCTTTTTCCTGTTTTCTCGCTTTTCAGATTTTCAGATTAGAGCTCTAATCCTCGCAAAGAGCCGAGCCGAGCCGAGCCGAGCAGAATAAGCGCCTTTTGACCTTATTTGTAAGCGACTTACGTGGACGCCATGGCGGGCGATGTGCACGGAGAGCTCCGCGCCGACGCCTCGTACGTTCGGTCCATCCACGGCGGCGAGCATCCGTTCCTACTCAGCACCCGCGCCCGATACGATCCATTCATTTCTGGAAGAAGCGGAGAAGAGTTTTGAGATGTATTGTCACTTTCGAAGACAAAATTCATTTTGAAGGCACAAAAAAACAGAATGGCGTTGCGTTGCTGGCATTTTAGCCAAGTGCAAAAACACATTTCAGACACTTCTTATCCTTCTCCCTCTCCTTCTCATTCCTCGCTCTTCTCGTTTTTCGTCGTCGTCGCCCGCCACGACGGCGCCATCAGAAGGGCGCCGATCAACACGTTCAGAAGGCGCGGCGACGATGAAATTGAGAAGGCGATGAAGGAGAATAAGAAGATGAAGAAGAAGAAGAAGAAGAAGATGAAGAAGGACAGGGCCGAGATGAGAAGAAGGCCGGCTAATGAGCTGAGCGGCACAGCTTTTGCGCGGCCAGCCAGCGAGAGTGTGAGCCGCCGCAAAATATATAAGAATGGCTCTCAAACTTGACGCTCCTAATGATATGTTAGAAGCGAAGAAGCCGGGGCCGAGAAGAAATGTATGCGTGGAGGCGCAGACGTGCTCCCCCGCTCAATTTATTCAGGAAACTGCTGAAACTGAAGAAAGAAAACGAACTCACTGCTGATCGAGAGTGTAGAAGTGCTCTGCGGGACGCTCACTTTGATCTCCGGAACCGACGTCGGCACTTCTGAAATGTTTTCAAGTTTTCGAGAGACACGATTACGAATCTTTGGCCGCCTAATGCCCTTCTCCCCCGAGCACCTGGTTTGCTAATTCTTCGCCAGTAACGAGACATTTTCGTCGCGGATTCTGTCTGATTCTGCGCGGATCCACACGATGCTGTAACTCTTCTACGACAGGTGTGCTGGTGCTTGTTTTCCGAATCAAAGTGTCATCATGTAAGAGTAGTAGTAGTAGTAGTAGGACGCCAGAAGAAAACACGTGTTGATATGAGAAGAAAGAGGAAGAAGCACAATAAAAGTTGACTTTTTGCTCTGGCAATGGATTGGGGCTCAAGGGTCGGACAGGTCAAGTTTCCGAGGAGGGCAAGTGAAAATGGAGATGTATGAAAAGCCAATCCAAACTGGACTTGGGTTACCAACAGGTGACGTGGTCGGCCCGGAACGTTCAAGCTGATCAAAAGCAAGGCTACTCAATCTTGAGGTACAAGTGATTAAAGCTTAACATCCAAAATTTTCAGCTGTCAGATTGCACCCGCCCAAAAAGACGAGAAAGTGTATGAATTTGTGTGTGAAGATTCAAAACTGCGTCTATTTCTCTCTTTCACAACTTTTCCTGATTTGTTTAGATTTCAAATTTCCGAGCTCAATTGGAAGAAAACGTGAATGTGGACAAACAATTCGAGCAATAAATAATCAAAAAGGATCATTATTTGAAAGTAATTTGCAAAATCACAAAGCGGAAGGACGGGAGGAGAAGTGCGAGATACCCGCATGTCTTCCACTTTCATTGCACTGATTTATGACAGTCAATTTCTATAAAATGCGAAATAATGAGAGAGCGGGGACGAGCCGGCTGCTCGGCGGCGTATCGAGGGGCTCTTCTGATAAATAACATGCTCCGCGATGTGCTCCGGGAGCTCTCCCTCCAATTAGCGCCCATTCAACTCTCAGTTTCCGGCTGCCGTGGCGCTTTTTTCCAGTTTGTGTGTGCTTCACTCGTCCCTTTTTTGTCACTACTGTAGGGTTCCATGGCAAGAGTTCATCTGGCTAATTGTTGTCTGTTGAAAAGAGGCGGGAGGAGGAGAGGAAGAAGAAGAAGAAGAAGGCTTTCACTGAGATTAGAGTTCGAAGTGTAATAATAATAAGAAAGCGCAAAGTTAGAAGTGAATATTTCATGGAATGGTGCGAGAAGGCAGAGCAATATGTATGTTGGGCGAGGATTAGACGACGGATTTTGGTGGCGCGGATCCGCAGATTTTGTAGCTCTGAGAGCAGAAAAGAGCCGTGTGACGACCGAAGGCATCAAAGCGATTGGCGAGAGAATGAGAACGAGAATGCCACGTCACAAAACAATCGGAAAAAGTTGGGAATTTAGGGTTTCCCATTGTTTGGAAGCCTCTCAAGGTACATAATATTTTCATTTTCCGTTTCCTTATTCATCAAGTCCGCCCAGCCAACGGAACGTCACTCTTATCAGTCAGCATCCGGTCGGTTTGCAAAAGAGAGATATCGGCAAACTCGAGCGCTTGTTGGCCACCTCACGTGGCGTCGGACGTCTCACGTCTTCTTCTCTGTTGTGGTTCTCACGTCACTCGGTCAACACAAATGGAATTGATTTGAGCGCCACGAGAAAGAGCGGTAACAACAAACGAAGACGAACCTGTGTATTTGACCTTGCGTTTGAACTGGCGCACACATATCCGAGCTCCGAAGAAGATGGCGCACACGCTGAGCACGACGGCGCAGAGGGCCAGAACCGCCACGAGGACCCACCACCACCATTCGTCCATTCGGGTGTTTCGAAGGAGGCGAAAGTTCTCTTTGACTAAGTAGTTCAACAATTTTGCCTGCAAAAAACCACCTGATTAGTGAGCGAGGGATTAAGAAAAGAGGAGGAGGGAGAAAGAGAGGATCAACGGGCGGTAAAGGTTCGGGGACAAGTAGAAGACGAACGGAAGTTCCTAGAAGTTATTGACCGACAGCTGTGAGAGCGGGCCCGAAATTAACGGAATTGAGGGCAGTCGAGTTATTCTATAACTGGAAGCACTTATGCTTATTCTCAGAACTCTACCAGTTCGACCCAGGACTTAAACAAAGAGAAAATGTCCTCGAAGTTGGCGTCATTCGTCTTTACTCCCCAGGCGCCCTCCTTCACGCTCATCCCCCAAAAAACTTGACGATTGAGCGAAAAAATGAAGAATCTGCTGGTTTCGACGCTCTTTTTTTATTGAGCTGTCGGCTTGGAGTCCGAAAAAGGATTGTCTTCTTCAAAGAAAAACGATTTGGACGGGCACTGACTGACGGACGGGCGGGCTCCGAGAGCTACTAAAAGAGCGGTGCCGAGCGTCGATAAATCACTGAAAAACTGCGGAGAAGTTGGCAGATTTCGACTTGGCTTTCCCCATAAATCTACCGTCTGTTTCAGGCACTTTTTGGGCGTGAAGGAGCCGAGGGGCACATGGATAAAGTATTATCATACCTGATCATTCAGTACAACCTCGAGAGTGAGGAAGCGTAGGTGGCGGTGGCGCTCAAGAAATATAATGATTTGCTTCCGAACAAAACAACGGAATTCGGAATTGAGGATGGACGAGGCGGGGGGAAAGTTGGTGGGGGCGAGAGAGGGCGCGGCTTGAGGAGGTATAATATAAAAATTTTATTGGAGGGGGCCATGACACAGACGAGTGGATCCGTGGCGAGCGTACCGGGGGCCAGAACGCTGAAAAACAAACAGAGAGACGAGGGGGGCGCAGAGAGGAATGCAATTTGAACGAAGCCCTCTCTGGGGAGGTGTCCCGATGATAGGCACGTACTTTCCGGAAGAAGGTGCGAAGCGATGAGGATGAAGAAAATGGAAAAAAAGGGAAGAGGTACGTTGGCGGTGAAACGGCGCGCAAATTAAAAGCGGTATATATTCATGTCATTAAGCGAGGCGTTTCGCATCTCCGCCGGAAATGTGCGTTAGGAATCTTTATCAGTGAGTGAGCAGCACTCCAAGAAGACGTCGAGCAGCTCTCTTGGAGGAGCACACGAATATAAAGAGCAAATAATTGAGAGCAAAGAGGGGGGCACAACCCAAAACACTCGACTTTTTCCTGCTGCAATCCACCACAGCTAATACGATTATCGGGGCTGAAACTAAACTGATTGACTGAAAACAGGTCGAGATAAGAAGAGAAGGGAGAGAAAGAGGAGGAGACTGGCATTGTTCGAACTTTGAAGGCACGAAAATGAAGGCATGAAAGACGAGCATGGAGAGGAATATGAGCTTAGGGCACAAGACGGACGGCCGAGACCAAGAATCGGGTAATAACAGAAAGAAAGAAAGAAAGAAAGAAAGTACGGGAGGGCCAAATCAACAAAACATTTGATGATGCGAAGAAGACAGAAAACGAAGCAAAGACCTACTGGTGAGCGCCACAGATTGTTGCCGAAATTGACATGTGTATGCAGAGCACTCGAGACCCCCCGAGAAATTGTTTAATTTTGTGTCAGCGGCCTTCGAAGGGGGGACGAGCTCCATGGAGAAATAGGTGAAGAGGTACGGTAAGTAGAAAAAAAGGGAATCTGAAGGCGAAAAAGGAGGAGGGAGGCGGAGAGCAAGAAGAATGAAGATTCGAGCAGCGAGATAAAGGGAGGAAATGAGAAAATGGATGAGGTGGCAAAAAGACAGATGGAGATCTCGGAAAAAGAGGCTCATTCTGATGCATTCTGAATCACCAGATGGATTTCAATTCGGACCAGCGACAGCGAAGGAGAAACGACAAGAATGGAATGCAAAAAGTTTTCGGGTCGCTAGGAGACGTTCAGAGAACCAAAGAAAGGGAAGCTCTGGAAAGAAGTTAGAGAAGGAGGTCGTAAAATGGAAAAGAGGGCTTTGCGAAAAGGTTAAAGTAGGACATGAACGGCTTCCGAAGCAGACAAAAAGGCGCCAGACTGGAAGACGCCGAGTACGGTAGCTGGGAAACTGTTGTGGAGGAACAGATCAGAGAGCAAAGGGAAGACGGAAGAGATCAAGAGCCCAAAGGTGTACAACTTGGAGGCTAAGCGTGTTGTAGTGTTTCCTTCCCATACTTTCTTAAACCGAGCATTTGTTCTAGACGCTCTATACTGTTGCTCCCCGCGTCTACCGTGACCTCCTTGAGCCTAGACATCGTTCCGCTGAACCGGAAATTGTCAGCACATTGTCACTAATAAAAAGTAAACGACTGAAATTAGTCACGGCTCAATTCGATCACGTGCGAATATAAACTATGAGCCGCTCGTTCTCTTCTCTCGGTTACAAAAAATCGGATGGTTGCGTGCAGAAAACGGGTGGCAACGAAACGGAGAAGCCGGCGACGACAAGTGGAAAATTGGGCAAATTAGGGTCGAGCAAAAGCATCCAATTATCGGCTAACTACACGTCGCTCGTCTCTGTGCAGGAAGAGTGAAAGAAAAACTGGAATATTAGCGTCGTTTCAGCGCTGAAAATGAATAGACTGAGGAGGGGAATGACCAGTCCGAAAGGAGATTCATTTCGAGATGAGACATCGAGGGGTCTTGATTATTTATATTATTAGTTTTTTTGGTCGGCTGGTCTGTCTTACTGGTCAACACGAGCAGAAAAAGAGCGGAAGAAGCTTCGATGAGAATGAATGAAACGGAAGGGATGACCTTTCGGCTCATCGCCAGATGTGCTGCTCCATCAAGTTGGACGAGTTTCAGCGAAGCGACGGGGCGGAAGGAACGAGATGAGATCAAGAGTGTGCGTGTGTGTGAATGGAATGGAACTCGCCACCAGGAAACACGTGCCCGCCTTTCTTAGTCAGGAAATTGTGATGGGCGTGTTTATGGATGAGCAGCACAAGGATCTCGGATGTCAAACGAGTCGGAAGTGGTTGAAACAAAGGGCTCATTGAGAGCACAAACCGGGAGAGGAGAATGAAGTTCGGACAGAAGACTTTTGAAAAGAAAGGGACAGAAATCGGAGAGCGGGAATTTCCAGATTATAACCGAGAATCAAAGTTCATTCGGAATTTGTCTGAACAGTACTCAAATTCAACAAACGAAATGTGGCATGAAAGTGTCGAAATGAAGGATCATCTCCGAGTAGAAACAAATTGGAAAACGAACAAAACGAACAAGGTCGTTCCCTCCGTTCGCAACTATTTCAATGATAGTTTGAGGTCAAGTAAGACCCTGGGACGCACCTCAAAACTGCAAACATTTGGGGAAGAAAAGGAAAAGAGGATCAAGCTGAATGGGGGTAGTGATAAGAAGAAGAAGAAAAAGAAGAAGAAGAAGGAGGCAAACAGTGTGACGACGAGGCGAGCACGAATTGGGAAATGGAAAGAAATGCCTTGGCAACGCGAAATGATATTACTTCAAGTCGGTTTTTGTGTTTTTTGTTTTGTTTTGCAGTGAGAAGAAGACGGAGGTCAGGGAGTCAGTGAGTCCCTCGAGGAGGCTGCTTATCCATTAGAAGTGAATTAGGCACACCTCAACGAGCCGGAAGGAGCCGTCCGTGTTCATTGTCCGATTGTGACATGTTTCATTCCTTTATTTACACGTCATCGGTCCTTCTCGATGACAGACGCACGGAACGAAACGAATTAATTGAAACTGGAAGGCAAATGAGAAAAGGAAAAAGGGTCTCGCGATCGGTGGGGACGAGGGCAATGGGCCGTACTTTTCTCGAGGACGCCTTCCTTCTTCTTCGCCTTCTTATTGTTTTAACAGAAAAAAAACGGCTGTGGAGATGCCATTCACAACGCAAACGATGACGATTTAAACGAGAGAAACCAGAAGGACTCACGAAAACACAATTATGACAAGGAGCGGCGCATTTTCAGAAGGGCTGTTTCCAGCCATCTCGCTGCCTCAATGTTGTCAACTCAGAAGATGTTTGATGGCCGACGGATACGTCCATTAGAGCCCGTGGAGGAGAGCCGCAGCAAAGGGCTCTTAGTATTAGGAGAAAAGATTTTGGAGGAGGAGGCCGAAAAGGTGTTTGGGTAACCAATTGGACCCGGCTTTTTGCACGGTCGGAAGAGTCGAATCGGCGGAGCCAGGATACATAAATGAACAACATTCTGTGCCTCTTCATCAGCTTTTCCGCACTCGGCGCGTCTGCTTCTCCTCATTTTGCACGCGTTTCGCAACAATTGAATTTGTGCGTGTGTGTCTTCTTCTTCGACGACGACGACGTCTTCTGGAGGAGCCATCATCACCTTCTTTTCTCTTTCTTTCTTCTCTTCCTGGACACCACATAAAAGACAACGATTTTTTCTTATTCTGCTGGTTATGCATTCTAGACTCTGTTTGAAACGCTTCAACCCTGAACACAAGTCTTCCAGATGCTCTTAAATTTTTAATTTCTCTGTCACGTCCGTTTTACAAATGAAAAAGTGGCCGGACAAACGGAGAAAAAAAACAGAAAAAAAGAAAGAAAGTGACGGACAGACCCCGTAAGCTTTTTATTAAATAAGAATGATGATTTACTAAATTAGTTGGTCGGAAGGGAGGGAGAGGATGTCGACGAGTGGGGGGGCGGCTCCGCGTGAGCATCGGTTCAAGGAAAAGCTGACCTTTTACTCAGCTTTTCAGAAAACCAACTTGCTCTCACAGAGAATATTGAATCATATGTTTTGAAGTGGGGGAGAGATTGAAGGCAAATGATGGCGAAACATATAGAAATTTTTTAGGGAAATTAGTTAAATGTCTAGTATTGGTAGCAGATTTTGTATCCGCAGCTGGTCATACAACACGACGGCTGAGCCTGAAATCTCATTACTCATCACTTCAAGATTGAGACTATTTGGTTACCGTATTCTCGCGTCCGAGGCAGTCGCTGTCGCTGTTGCAGGCGTCGGCGTGAGCGAAAAGGCAGTTGAGTCCGGCGTTGGCGTCGGCTGGACAGGCCGGAGTTCCGGTCACTCCGCTCTGGCCGCACGTGGCTTGGCAGGATGCCAGCGACTGGAAGTTGTTCGCGTTCCCACCGCAGCCGCTGAACATGAACTGGTTGCAACGGCCGGAAGAGGCGTCGTAGTAGAAACGGACGGCCGGAGCGGTGCACGAGCCGACAGCGAGGGGCAGCGAGCAGATCGAAGTGCCTGAAGAGAAATGACTTTTGAGCAATTCAGCCGATGCTTACTTTTCTTACTGGCAATTCCGACCGGATCTCTGCAAATTCTGGTGGCCGAGTTGGTCACCGGGTTCGGCTCGACGCAGCACTTCTGGATGCCGGGGCAGTTCGAGTCCATCCAGCATCCGATGGTGGTGTCCTGGAGGACGGAGATGCCGAGCGGACGCGGGCAGGATCCAGACTTTGAGTTGATTTCCGAGGCCGGGATTCCTGAAACATGGCTCTTTGCTGCTTGCCTGTTTGCCGAGTGTCGCCCGGCGCCGCGCAAAAAGTGTCATAATCCGGGGCGGCACGCCTGTTTGCGTAGGCATGTTTTGATGTGATCTTTCGCGCCCCCATGCCTTTTCCTATTTGACCGCGTTTGCTTTGCTAACATGCAACACAAATAATATGATTTGATGATCATGAACCCTCCTTTTGAGACAAATACTCATGAATTCGCTTCTTTGCAGCTGATGGGCTCTTCAGCTCAACAACTACTTTGGTGTGATGAAAAGCATTGAAGTGGGCCAGAACTCACCAGCAGTCACAATCTGGCAACACTTGTTCCCGTCGGATTGGATGCAAACTTGGCCGGACAGGGGACAGGTTTGGGCGTCAGCAGTACATTGGATGAGAGCAGCAGAACTGAAAAAAGGCACTTGACGGGGGAGCTGGAAGCGTACGAGCTCTTGCCTGGAACAAAACCCGATTCTGGGAGCAGCGGTTGTGGGCGAAGGAGTTGGAAACTGACGGGCACACTCAGGGTGCTCGTGCAGTTTTCCAATGAGTTTGTAGTATTCACAGATGTCAATGGAGCCGAACACGCTGACAAGTGTCTGCAAAAGTACAAAAAGGTATTGGGAGGCTACACTAAGACTGTGATTACCAGCGAAGTGAACACGATGGTTCTAATCATAGTGTTGCACTAAGGATATTTGCGGGAATAATATCAGAGGGCTATCAGCGAATGCGAATGAGCTTGTTTGACCGGACAGCAGAGTGCGGACGACGGACGACGGCGGAGGGCGGAGGAAGGGCGGTTTCCGCCGGCGCCACCTCCCGAAATGCTCTTTATAACCGTGCGGAAGGCAAGGAAGCGCGCGGAAAGCGGAGGGCGTGCAGAGAAGAGCACCGGAAGAGGAGAGCATGTGTCCAATTAGGAGATTAGGCGCTTCTTAGGTGTGGTAAGCAGGTTTTCGCAAATATTTGGTGCAGATATCCTCACATTTTGGAGAGGATGAGAGTGTGGCATTGGGAGAACGGCCAACTGGCATCCGGAGAGTTTTTTGAGCGACGATGGTCTCGGAGATCAACAGATGTTCGAGATGGCACGCTGTTGTTGTGTTTGACCAATTCACACTTTCAATGTCTGGCTGGAGTTAGCCATGTTCTGCTCACTCAATACTGTTCAGATTGTGAACATTACGACTGTCGTAGAATCTGTAACAGAAGATCACCCCAAAATGCTCATTCCAAACAAAAATATTGATGTTTTTTAAATACATCGATGCAGAATCCGACATTCAGAGCACTGCACTCTAGACCGAAACAATCACCTGTCTGTGCATGTACAAGGTGACGTCACCGGACGGTCAGTGCCCCACGTAGCTCGGCAACTCGTGTCGCCGGCGCCCTCTTCTCTAATCTTTCGGTACGCGAGGCTTTGTCCACTTCCGGCCGACACTTTTGCCGTGTGCTTCCATGTTTGCTTGCGTCTCTCGGCACAAATAGAGCCGGCGGTGAATAGGTGGTTGGAGAAGGATAGCCGGCGGGGCAAGAAGTGTTTGTACAGGAAAAATGACAAGATAAATGACAGCGCGCATGCGGGCAAGCATGGGCACGCAGGCGAGAACGGATACGAAGGCTGATTGAATAATTTATGTAACAATATTGACAATCTACAGTTCATCTTTGTGAGCGGACCAGGATTCGCTGGAAGTCGGGTCGATCAGATCGAATCCTTCTCTGTCTCGGAGACCGTTCCAGAATTCAACTGGCTCTTGGAAAAGCCCACTCTTCAGTGAGACTCCATTCGAGGTAATGTCCAGGAAGTTGATATCGTCCGGATCACTAACTGGTCTCCACTCCAAATCTTGAACATTCGGTTGTCTGTAAATGAAAATGATTCAAATTTGAGAGTTCATGAGCTCATACCCATTCTTGGCGAAGGAAACCACCAAGTTAATTAGATCATGTTGAATCCAACTGTCCGGCTCCTTTTTCAAGTCAATTTGAGCAAGAACTGGCATTTCGAACAGATAATGGTACTCGTTGGCGTGCGGCGATCCTGAATTTGGACTCTTGGGCTGTTGATTCATGGAAACAAACCTTTCACTTGCTGCGGAATGTACTTCTTCCAGATTTTATCATTGTAATGCTCGAATAGATAGGTCCAAACTGGAGTTTTCCTTTCGACCCTGCTCACAATTTCACGGACAATCGGCACGTTGAATGAGATATCAGACAGCATCTGAAAGGAAATGGAATGCTGGTCTTGCTGGAAAGTAGTTCCAACCTCAGAATACTGATTGATGTAGAATCCGTTCCGATCCTTTTCTTCCTCGGGAACATCATGCTTTGTGTAGAAATCAAGAATCTCTTCCCACACCTTCTGTCTGTTCTCTCCGTATCTGTTTTCGTACAGCAGTTTTCTGCCAATGATCTCCGAGATGAACTCTTCGTCGACCTTCGGAAGAGTATCCTGCGGCAACCCGAAATCGGCAATTACTCTTCCCATGTTCGCAGCAGCTGAAAACTAAGAACTTCTACATTTGGGCAATACAACTAACCAAAGTAGGATCCTTCCTTGTTGCTAAGCCCAATAATCGTTGGCTTGACAGGCGCTTCTTTGACCAGCTCTTCAGGATTTTTCGGCAGGAAATCACCGTCAATAACCGGGGACCAACGGAGAATATCAATGGTCCCAGTGGTCCATCCCTGCACCTCGACTGCATCGAATATCTCGTGAAGCGGCTTCTTCTTCATGCATTCCCTCGAGTTCGGCCATGGACATCCCAAGATCTCGGCCAACTGCTTCGAGTGATCAACCACTTTGGAGCCAGTCGCCCATCCGGCAAAAGAACTAGCCGACATGATGATCGATTGAGAGTAGAGATCTCTCGAGTAAGGACTGAGCGTCAGCTGGGAGACACTCGCGGCTCCCGCACTGTATCCCCAGATTGTGATCCGACCGGCGTCTCCTCCGAAGTGCCCGATGTTCTCTTTCACAAACTTCAGAGCGGCAGCTTGGTCGAACAGTCCCCAGTTTCCTTGGACATCTGATGTTCCTTCCGTGAAGAACCCTGAGGCTCTCAAATTAGAAGATTTCCAAAGTTCAGAACAAACCGAGGAATCCGAGTCGATACTGGATGGTGACCACAATGACTCCCTGCGGAGCGTACTTCTTCGCGAACACCTCGTATCCGTGCTGACTGCCCGATCCGATCTCGTATCCTCCGCCGTGCACCCACAGAAGAACCGGCAGTTTCTCGGCCTTCTTTGGCTTGATGACGTTCAAAGTGAGACAGTCTTCTCCGGAATAACTGGAAAACTGTGCGACGAGACGGTAGTGGGGAGTGCAGTCATTTCGGAATTGAGTCGCCTGATAGACGTCTTCCCACGGCTCCGGAGCCACTGGCTTCTAAAGAAACACCGACGGTGAAAGGTAAACAATCACTTGCTTACTTCAAATCGGAGATCATCGACTGGCGGCTTCGCGAACGGAATCGCAAGGAACACTTCAGCGTCCTCGTACTCGAATCCCTCTACTTTTCCGTAATTTGTGTCTACAATAGGTCCGGCGAGACATGCACCAAAGAGAAGAGAAGCCAGTAGGACCCGCATCTGAAAAAACCATGGTGGGAAGATGAAAGAAACGAAAAGGGGGCAAATAAGACAAAGAAGAAGAAGAAGAAGAAGAGTGAGTACACAGAAAAGTGAAGTTATCAATAGTTTCACGTGTGGAGCGAGAGAGAGAGAGAGAGAGAGATCAAAGACGCAGAACGAATTATCAGACACAAACCACATCAATTTTTGATCGGAGAGTTTTAGAAAAATGAAGAGTATTGCCATACTGTATTGGTATGCATCTTATGAGGCATGTTGTATGATGAAGTTAGAATGTGCTAAAGTTGGAATCTAAAACGTATAGTAAAACGTATAATGAGATCTAACCTATTCATATGAAATGTTGGCAGACCGAAGTCACAATGTACAAAGAAAACTTGAATGTTCTGAGTGGACTCAACTCGCTTATCAGTTCTCTTTCAAATTCTTCAAGCACTTGTTTGTGGTTTCCAGTTCACGTTGAACTGCGTTTTCTTGTGGAGGGGATTTTAGAAGTGACAGTGCTTTTCGTTCAACGTGAAGGTGATTGAAGGGGTAGAATGATATGTACTGACGGATAATCAACCCAGGTGAGGGTGAAGTTGAGCGGAAACGAGGTGTACACGGAATACACGTTTATTATTCAATAAATTGTAGAAGAATCAGAAGCTGAGAAGCCAGAACGGGAGCGTTTTGAGTGTGTGCGCGTAGAGACACAGAGAAAATGGGAAAACGGGAGAGAGAAGAAGCTTGAATGATTTGTGTGTGTAGAAACCAAAAGGTACACAACATAGAATTTCAAAAGTATTCCTCCTTTTACATAGATCGATGCAGAATCCGACGGTGAAGAGAAAATCCTCTTGGTCATGAGTCTGAAAGTTGTTCCTAAGACCAGTACAGTCGTTTGAATGGTCGAGAAGAGTTGCACAAGTTGAAAAAACACGCAAAACGTGAGTAAAAACGAATATATTACCTGTTACTCCAAGAGCCTTAATTTAGGGTCTTTTGAAAGACTAAATCATTTATCAGGGAGTTTCCAAGCGCGAGTTTGCTCACTTGTCTCTTCAAAAAAATGTGTACGTTGGTGGCGTCGGCGTCTTTCTAAAAACTGAAGTTGAAGATTGAACATCATTGAACATGAACAGCATACAGCTTTAGAAAACGCCGGCGCCACCAACGTACACAATTTTTTAGAGAAAAAAAAGAAAAACTCGATCAAAGGATAGTCTCAACAGATCGCAGAAGGCACTACTCTACAAGACACCTTGGTACTCAAATGGTCTAGGTTTAGCGACCCGACATTGGACCAGAGACTACGACGCCGGCTCTCGTGATTCCACGAGATGGAAATGTTTTTGCGGCTGTAAAACTGACTACAGCCATGTTTTAACATTTGCAATAACCAGTACTGAATGCCAACACCAATACTGGTTTTGCTCTATGCGTCCGCAACCGCATTGAGAGCATTCGGTTCGGCATTTCGTTTCCAGGTTTATATCTGACTCATTCTCGGAACTTAATCAACAATCACCATGTCCTTTCTCTACAGTTCTTCAACATTCCGGGCCGCTAATCCATTGAATTAGCGCATCAATTCGCATAAATCGATGCGCGCACGAAACTGTCTGTCTTTCGAAGATACGTGAACTTTTGTCCATGATACATTGATTATCACATCGGATCCAATCACAAACTTGTTCGATGATTCTCCAAACAGTCGGATCACGTGTCTCCGAATACACTGGAGCTGCCCCGATTCTTCTGCAAAACGGGGGGAAAAGTGACGACGACGACAAATCGGTCGAAGTTCTTGAAACGGATCCGTGCGCGCACTAATCGAATCAGTGTTCGTGTCGATCACCGTCCCCCGACTGCTCCCGTCCCATTCCCTTCCTCCTTCGCAACCAGTCATCCGTCATCAGAAGAACGGCGCATCGTTACAGCGAAACGGGGCGACAATAACAATGTGAACCTGCCCGCATTTCAGTCCTTCTCACTTTCCCCCATACAATTTTTCGTGTGAACTGAACCGATTTCAAAACGGGAATTCGTTGATTTTGCATAAGGCGACCTCATCGGGGAATCCTTTCACGTGGTGGCCTGAAATGAGACACGATCTACATGACGCCCGATGTCTTTGATTTATAACCGCCTGCTGATGGGGCCCTCCCACCTCCTCCTCTTCCTCCTCCGACGACGACGACGACGACTTCGACCGTCAGTCGAACCCCGTCCGTCCGCCCTCCTCTTCCCCGTTTCATTTTCCTTCTCTCACCTGCCCATTTTACTTCTTTTCAGACAGAAACACTTCTATACAAACACTTTCTTCTCTCCTATTTTTCGCTTATGAGCATCGCCAACAAAAATGATCAGTTAGTCAACAAAAACTGGACTGATAATACTTTGTTGTTGCAAAAGCTCATTTCAGAGCCAATCAAGTGGAGGAAGACGGTATGAAGACTGCCGCGTCTTCAGCAGACAAGAATCACCATCATCTGCCAGATGTAAGTCTGTCAACGAAGAACTGATAATATTGAAAGGTTTAGGAAAAATGGACACCTTATCTTTTCTTTTGTATCTCTTCAATTGCGCTAGCTTCATTCCAAGACGGGTTTCAAATCGGATGTATAAATGCTCCGGGTCCTTTGATCATTGAATGGATCAAACAGTCACACTTCGACCTCTTCGGGGAGACTCTTTCAAAGTACAAGGCTGATTTCATCTGGTAACCAACACTCTCTGTTTATCACGTCACAAAACCAGTCTTCCAGGTCTGTCGCCGTTTCCATGTTTTCCGTCGGAGGAATGTTCGGAAGTCTTTCATCCGGATTTCTGGCTGACAGGGTATGCATTTGAATCTTTTCACGGTCTCGGATCACACGTTTCCATTCCAGATAGGTCGTAAACGTACTCTATTCCACAATAACATACTTGCTCTGCTGGCTGCCACGTGTCTTTCCGCTGCCAAATTCGTCAACTTCTACCCGATGATCGTCCTCGGCCGGTTTCTGGTCGGACTGAACTGCGGAATCACTTCCGGACTCGTCCCGATGTATTTGACCGAACTGGCACCGGCGAACCTTCGCGGAAAGAGCGGCTCGTTCCATCAGCTGAACATTTCCGTCGCCATCGTACTCTCACAAGCTCTCGGACTTCCGTTTATCTTCGGATCACCGGAAGGCTGGCCATGGATCTTTTCGTGCGTGGCAATTCCGACCTTCCTACAGCTGAGCACAATTCCGTTCTGTGCAGAATCCCCCAAATACCTCATTTCCAAACTGAACGATCGGGAAGGGGCACGACAGGCTCTCATCAAACTCAGAAACCACGACAAAGTGGAGGAGGAACTGGAGCACATGGTGCAAGAGGCGATGGAAGCGGCCGAGACCCACGAGCCGGGCTATCTGACTCTTTTCAAGGGCGAGAATCAGTGGCCGATGATTGTTTCGATACTCATGATGTTCAGTCAACAGTTCTCAGGTGAGACTAATCAGAATCGGTGAGATCAGAAAGAAAGAAAGAAAGATCAATTGGTTTAGGAATCAGTGCGGTCACCTTCTACTCGACCCTCATCTTCAAACGGAACGGACTCTCCGGCAATGATCCGCTGTACGCAACCCTCGGATTCGGATGCGTTAAACTGGTGGCCACTGTCTTCTGTCTCTTCCTCATTGACCATCCGAAGTTCGGCAGGAAACGGCTGCACATTGGCGGACTCTCTGGAATGTGCATTTCTTCCATTCTCATCGTCATCACTCTCACTCTCTCCAATGCCGGTTACCAGTGGGCTAGCTACATCAACATCCTTTTCATCCTTTCGTTCGTCGTCGCGTTTGCCTTCGGACCCGGCCCGATTCCATGGTTCTTCACTTCGGAACTCTTCGATTCGGCGTCTCGTGGACGGGCGGCGGCGGTCTCCGCGAGCAGTAACTGGATCGCCAACTGGCTCGTCGGACTCACTTTCCTTCCAATCAACGTAAGTTGTCTGGATGACCGGAGGATCAATAAACTCTCGATCTGTTCAGAATGTGATTCATCAGTTTGCATTCTTCATGTTCACATTCTTCACTTTCATCTTTATCATTTTCACCTGGAAATTCGTCCCGGAAACAAAAGGGAAGAGCCCGACGGCAATACGAAAAGAGCTGACAGTCATGAGAAAACGAGTGTGCTAGAAAATTATTGTATAAAGTGTGTTTATTATTTTTTGTGTACATAAACTAGTAATACTTCCTGGTTGTATCAAACTGCAAACTATCGTTCTTTGAAAGGGAAACCTGTATTTAACGATGTAAATATCAGACGATCAGAAGGCGGAATCAATGTTACCGTGATGAATGAATACAAGCTCAATGTGAACTACAAAAGACTATCCGATCCGCTTCATACTGTTGTTTATTGTAAACAACATTGGAAACTGAACTCATCAAATATTCAGTTCCTTTTCAAACCATGTCCGCGACCAGAATTCATTGTGCTAATTCTTTTTTTTTCTCAAAAAATGTGAGTGACCCGATCTGAAACGTTTTCAGTAACAAAAGTTGCAGAAATTCAGTGAAAGATGGCAGGAAATGGATAGTTTTTTCACCCAAAAAGAAAACAGACTCAATCACCGTCGCAATTGCTCATCTGCTCAGAATTCTCTGGAAAATGACGCTCTGGTATTTCGGCGGACCGATAGCTTCAATCTTACGCGGAACGGCATCTGAAAAAAGACAGAGTCAAAACATTAAAACACAAATAATGTGACTGATTCGACAGACAAATCTCGAGACAGGCGACCGTCCACATGACTGACTTAGTGACCAGCGCGATGCGAACAAAAACCGAATCAGAGTTGATAGCCCGATCGATGACGTCATCTGCAGTTCGTCAAATCACTGCCCAGATCTACATCGTTTTCCTCCGTATATAAGCCGACGGATCTCGCCTCATCAGACACATTCGAACCCAAAAAATGATTCGCTCTGTTCTTATTCTTCTCGCTCTTTTCGCTGTTACTTTTGCTCAATGGGGTAAGTTCCATAACTTCTTTTCCATTCTGTGCATTACTTTTTATCGTGTTCCTTCAGGATATGGTGGTGGTCCGATGATGGGCGGCATGGGACCCGGAATGATGGGCGGCATGGGACCCGGAATGATGGGAGGAGGCTACGGAATGGGAATGCCGTCTCCGATGATGGGCGGATACGGTGGATACGGAGGAATGGGAATGTACCGTCCCGGACTTCTCGGAATGCTCCTGGGCTGAATATGGAGCAACAACGGACTCACTTAGTGATTATTAGATCTCACTCCTTCCGGCCTTATTCATTTATCACTCTTTTTTTCTGCGAATGAACCTTGTTTCTTAAAGTATGTTGCGTTTATTACTTCAAACTCAAAACTACAATGGTGTTGGTTCAAAAGTTTCTGCCTTGTGTCCGTGGTTATCATTCGGCCAAGCAGATATCTTATCCTTATCGATCACTTGGAAAAACAAGGAAGGTGTGTCACGTAACTATGATCAACGATTTTAAACTATTTTTATTACCAACACACTTTTATTATAAGAAACATTTCTAAATATTAAAAAAAAACGTTTCTTTAGTGATCGATCATCTGTGAAGTGTTATCAGTCGGCGCTCGCCCAGCATACTACACGCAGACGTGCCAACTTGCCGTTTGCCCTACCAACTCCGGCGCGTGAACTTTCCGAAAATGCGGCCGTGCGCTTGTTGTTGGTCCGTTGAGCGGTCAGATTGCTCCGTCGGTTCCAGATGATCTCCTTGTTCCTCGCACTTCTTTTTCCCCTGGTTAGTTATACTTCCGCTTAATTTTGTCACTAATTCTTTCGTTTCCAATTTCTCTTTTTCAGTGCTTCTCCGTCGATCCCGCAAAACTAGTATGGCAGCCAAATTTGGTGACGAAAGAATCGATTCTGGCGGACTACTTGAAGCTTGATACGCAACCGGCGATTAACACGACGAAGACTCTCGCCTACGTGACCACGGTTCACTTCGAACATCCTCTTCACCATCCTAAATTCTGCGCTTTCAGTGGAATGCACGTGGATTCATGTTGGCCCGCAAGACCGCTCGCCGTCTCTCGTTTCTCAGTCCCGCGTGGTTCCAAGTGGCGCCGGTCTACGAGGCCGGAATACTGGTGAACATGGAGATTCTGCGGAAGATCAGCTGAACGGCGATTTCATAAAAACGATTCGAAGGCGAATCCCGACTGTCTAATTGTTCCGCGCTTCCAATTTACGCGAATGCCCGACGCCGACATGGCGAAATGTTGCTGAACGAGTGGATAATGCGGAATGTGGGTCAGACACTGGCGGATTTCGTTCACGGGGCGGGGCTCGACGGACTCGTGCTCGAGGTCAACGACGCATTCTCGCTCGGAAGTGATTACACGGACCTCCGGCCGTACGTTTGTGAAGATTTGTGCCTCTTTGTCATCCTAATTTGAAATTCTTCCAGTTACACTTTCGAAATGGTCAATCAAATCGGACAGACGGTTCGGAAATACAAGCTGCTCGCAATCCTCTCCATTGCGCCCGCGATCGGACTGAAAGCGGACATGAGAGAGTGAGAGTTGCTGTGAAATATTTCCAAAATATGTCTTCTTCAGGAATGTGAGTAAACTTTATGGGAGAAAAGAAGCGGACGGTCTTCTCGCCTCGTTCGATTATCTTCAATTGTGGACGTACAGTTCGGGAGAAAAGAATCGAAGATATCTGAACAGTGACTATTTCTTCGAGCAAAATGCTGAATTCTTCAAAAACTCATCCCAAGTTATGTTTGGCCTCAATTTTTACGGATTCGAGTACAATTTGAACGACTTCCAAACGAAAGAGGAGCCTCCGTTCAAAGTTACCACCAGGGACCGCTATCTGAGTTTGCTGAAAGAGAATGACTCTGTGTTCACTTTCAATTACAACACGATGGAACACGAACTGTATTCCGAGTAGGTGCATGCACTCACTCACCCGTACACATCAGTTTCAGAAGGAACAACACCTTCATCAGGTATCCATCGTTGACGTCGTTGGAATACCGTCTACGGCTGATTCGCGAGAAGAAAATGCCGGTGGCCATCTGGGATTACGGCCAGGGACTCGACTACTTTACCAACCTTTTATGATGATCGACCCTTTCCTGTACCAAATTATTATCTGAGTTTCATTACGATCGTTTGAATAATTCGAAAAGAATGATCACGCAAACAGAGTGCAGGCGAAAAGTGGTGCGATCACCCCATCGACCGACCTACCGTAACCGGCGGGAACACGTGAACAGACTGTGCTTTGGGTGCTCTCTGCAGGGCGGTCGGCCACTTATCACCGGCCGCACCGGCCTCGTATTGGTAAATGAGTGTGACCAGAAATTGAGCCAATCGGTGATGATGTTGGTGTGGAGGTTCTTTGGTGTGAAATGTTATTGGGTGCATGGAGAGGATCAGAAGATCGGAGCAGAATCGAGTCGCCATACCTATTCCGGACGTGAGTGAGCGGCGCGCGCACGGAATCAGAATCAGACCATAACTTGCGAGAGCGGAGTTGGTTGGAATTTATCAGTTGCCATGTGCGATCAGACCATTTCAATGAGAAGAGCGCCGCGAGTTCTGGGTGTTCTTTGCCGGCCGAACGATTACTGTAGCACGTGAATCGGACGGATCTTTGTCGGAGAAGGACGAGATGACGTGGTGGATCATGGAAAACAGAAAGTTCGTGGAAGGTTCTCGAGTTTGGTCCATCGAAACAGACACCAATGAGCCCAATAATCTTTGCCGTCTTTCACGAGAATTGTGGCCAATTTTCAGATGAATTCGGACAACAGTTTTGGACTATTAGAAACCATCCAAACAGTGGCACAAACTGAGAAATATAGTATAGTTTTGAAACAATTTCACTATAATAGCAAGTGTCAGAATCGTTGCCAATTTGTGCAAACGTAATGTTTTTGTGCATTGCACATACACACCAGCTGAATTCTCAGAAGTCAACAACCGTATAGCTGTGGCGCCGCCCCGCCCATCCATGTCTCCGGATTCCCAGTCTCCAATCCACCCAGCATCTTTTCCTTATCAGCCCATTTCTGCTCGCTTATCGGCTCCTCCGGTCAGCCCACTCTCCTGTTCACATGCTTTGGATTGTGTATAAAAACCCGAGTAGTCTCAAATATTCCACAATCGCTTTCGTTCGCCGCTTTTGCCAGCCATCCAATCGCTCGTTTGTTTCAGAAATGGTTTTGTGCGCCGAAGAGAACCGCAAGCCGTTGGTGGCCGTATTCGGAGCCGGAATGATGGGAAGTGGCATTGCTCAAGTGTGCATTCAGGCCGGATACTCGGTCAATTTGTACGGAAGAAGCGAAAAGAAGCTGCTGGAGGCCAGAGAGACCATCAAGAAGAATCTGATTCGCGTGGCGAGCAAGAAGAAGACCGAGGCGCCGATGGAGCCGGAAGCGCTCGAGCAGATTGCTCAAGTGCAGCTCGAGTTGCTTCATATCCACACCGACGTGAGTTTCGAGCGCATTTATCTTTTTCAGTATCATTTTCGAATTCAGATTGCCTCGGCCGTCGAGGAAGCCGCAATGGCAATCGAAGCAGTCGCCGAGAACCTCGATCTGAAGCTCGACATCTTCCAAACCATCCAGAAGAGCTGTCCAGAGTGAGTGCTCAACACAAGCTCAGTGATCTATCATTCCCTTTTCCAGAAACTGCATTCTGATCACCAACACGTCCTCCCTGAAGCTCGCCCAAATGCTGCCAGTCATCAAAAACCCCGCCCTCTTTGCCGGACTCCATTTCTTCAACCCGGTTCCGGTTATGAAACTGGTAGAAGTGGTGTCGACGGAGGAAACTTCGCAAGAGACGACAGACTACCTCTTCGAGTTCTGCAAGGAAATCAAAAAGTTGCCGGTGGCGGCGAAAGACACTCCCGGATTCATTGTCAATCGCCTTCTGATTCCGTACCTGATGGACAGCATCCGCATGCTCGAGCGAGGAGACGCCACGAAGGAGGACATCGACACTGCGATGCGATTCGGAACCTCATACCCGATGGGCCCGATCGAGTTGTGCGACTACGTCGGGCTCGATGTTCTGCAGAGCACTCTCAAAAGTGAGCTAATTTAAGGGGGCCGAACAATTTCATTCAAATTTGTTCAGTTTTCCGTGAAACTCTTCCTGGCGACACCCGTTTCAATCCTATTCCGCTCATGGACAAACTCGTGTCCGAGGGCAAGCTCGGCAGGAAAACGAAGCAGGGATTCTACACCTATTAACTTATTCTTTGGCTGTACATACTACGCTTCCCTTGCATTGCCCTAATGTACATTTTCCGCTTACAGGTTTTAATTAGCAATAAAAATTATTCATTCTCAACACACTTCAAAGTGTCATTCAAATAGTTCTTCTTGAAAAACTGCTCAATTTTCTCGCACGGAATCGGTTTCAGATCGTACAAATACTTGACTTTCGCAACAACCGCTATCTTCAACGTTTCAGCAAACTGTGGGTTTAAGGGGAAATGAAACGAGGTGTTGAATTGGTTCAGCCAGTTACTTCCGAGGCCTCGTTTGTTGACAAAACGGTAATGTCGGACATAGCCGACCCAGTATGGAATCGAAGTTATCCGACATCCGGGGTGCTGCTTCCAGGACCAGTGCGTGTAGATGTTGTGCACCTGAATCGGTTTTTCGTCAGCAAACAAACGCATCAGTTCACTCGCCTTATCAGGTCGGAAAACGATCTTCGGGGCAGGCCACAGTGCTTCAGTTGTGTTCTGATACCGAATGAATTCCATGTCTTTCAGAAGTCTCTCTTCGCTTTCAAACGCCTCTGGATCTTTCTCAAACTTGGCTACTCGTCGGCTGGAAAAAATTAACTCACAAATGGAAGGGTTAAGTTTCCTGAAATAAACAACTATTTGAAGTCGAAAGAAAGATACTTGAATCACCTGAGAAACGATGGAAAAAGCGATGGTTCGGTGAGAGTCAATCTCTCGTCAATATCCACGTTGATCACCCACTTCGAGTGAAATTTACTGCGGAAAAAGCATTCGTGAAGTTGAATTTGATGAAACAAAATGTTGATTGTTCGGTATCCGGTATTCACAAAAGATGCTTCTGCCAGGCCGAGCCTCTCATACTCCTCAATCACTTTCTTCGTGTACCCATCCATTTCATAGACGGTAAAATAGAATATGGACGCTCCGATGAGTCTGTGATGCTCCACAAACTCGATTATCTCCAGCCACTTCCTCTCTTCTCCATATATCTGCCCAACACAGACTCCAATCTCATGCGGTGCTCCTGATCACTACTCTAATAGTATCATAAGTTTTCTCGTAACTTACTTGAATACATTCTCTTGATAATTGGTATCGGTTCTTGAGGTTCATCGTGCTTTCCAAAGGTGATTGACATGAACTCGGCTCCGGCTCGTCGAACACAGTGAACTGCGGTCATCGGAAAGAAAAAAGAGGCGTAGGCGGAATTTTGAATTTCCCGACGGTGACAGTCAAAGTAGCGGCAGAAGACTTTTTTTCTGGAAAGTTAGGATTGTGTAATAAAGTGGGCACTCAAATATTGTTTTTTCAAGACAATATATCTTCGTTGTTAATGGAGATATCAAATAGTTGCCAACTAATAAATTGTTCCTTAACACATTGTCTACATTATATTAGTTGATCACTTTTTGATTTCTCTATGGGCAGATGAGAGATAAATCGTTTAGAAGCAGTACCCGACACGAGTTTTGTCCTGTTGCGTAGTTGTGACCACAATGTAATCATCATAAACAAAGGCCGATATGAGACGGAGTTCTCTGTCAGAAATGCTTTCGACCGCTGTTATTCCAATCATTGACCAGTATTTATACTTTTCTTGAAACGGAAACGTATATGTCTCTTTCTGATTCCACGATTCCACGTAACATTCTTCCATTGTCATACCTGACGGATCAATGTCCGCTTTGAGATACAAAAGCGAAGCGAAAGACATTAAAGTTAAGGTGGTGAACAATAAGAACTTTCTGGACAGTTTTGGATGAATGACGTCAAAAGAGGGAACGTTTTCGTCTTCCTGAATGACGATGAATTAGTTTTCAAGAAGGTAATATGAGCTTACCTCCTCTAACAACGGACATAACTCTTTATTCATATTAAAGGCAAAAAAGTGGAACAATTAGAAGAGAATTGGATTTAAATCTATCTCCGAAGTGGATCTATGCTGTTCACGGTCAACTTGTCAACGAAAGTTGGAGAACCTTACCGCTTAAATGTTATTGTAAAACATAACAATACACGTTTTCAAATGTTTCAAATTCTGGAACTACTCAAAACCATAAGTGTGCCTTCCCTCGCCTGAACCGAAGCGTGCTTCACTGACTCTTTGACTGAACACGGAAAGCCGAGTATGCTGAGACAGACCTTCCGGTAGGGTTTGTGGATGGCGAGCATGACGAGACTCGAAATGAGACCATGAAAAGACATCATGTTGAGAAAGACGTTGTTGAGTGCTGAAATGAAATTGTGTCTGAAGAAGGCTGAAGTCTGACGAGAACTGCTTGCCTTGATCAAAGTATGAACTGGAAAATGCGAACACAATGTAACCCACGGGAACAATGACGACCATCAGAGGGATGGAGATCTGGACGGAGAGAGCGATGAAGAATTGCAGTTGGAGAGTGTAGGTTCGTTGCGATTTCGCTTTTGTACTCGACAAATGAATGAGGATTCGAACAAAGAAATAGACAACTTCTGAGGTTATTGTGATTGTGGCGAAGCCAATGAGACCGGTGAGAAGCGTGATGTCAATGGCGTAAACGAAGAAATTCGGATGGTCGAGCACGTATTGCGGAACGCACGGAAGCTTCTGAAACTTGAAGGAACTTCGTTTACTACATATTCTCTAGTCTCACCTCGCGAACATAGGCTTTTCCGTATTCCTGCTCTGGCGGAGTGAACGTTATCGGGAGAATGAAATGAACGCGAACAGGTAATGCCCTCCAATGTACGTCAACCGCTTCTTCTCCTGTAGCAACCCGGTGCCTTTCCCCCGCACGACTGCGTTGAAACGGCTCTCGAAGAAGCCGAGAATAGCGACGCCGGCTAAACAGATTGCGGATATAAACATGTATGCCTGCCATTTCACCGGAATGCCGATGAAAGTATAAAGACCAGATGCATGGCCAGCTGCTGCGGGAAGGAGGTAATATTGAGTTGAAAGAGCGCTCAGGAACAGGTCCAGGTAGGCACCGCTAAAAATCACGGCCTTGCTCGTTTTAATGCTCAGTGACTCACCAAATGTGCATAACAAGCATCGTCCATTTCACTGACGCCATTCTGGACGGAGTCTTGCGCACAATAACATACGTAGCCAGCGAATGAATCGGAAGTTCAATGACAGCAAGACTGTGAAGAATCGAGGGTGCAAACGTATCGAGTTCCAAAGAAGAGTTCCTCCAAATACACATGGAGTTGAGCTCTTTGGTTGCTCCGGTGATCGATAACGTCGGAGCGCAAAACTAAAGTGGAATTCAGCTGCTGTCGGGTTACTGCTCTTTAACTTTCCGGCATTTTCGTAACACAAAAACATGTGGAGGCTGCGTCATAATTCAAGGTTTTTTTGGTGTCTATCCATTTTTCAATCGGATTCAGACTATCTTGACTTCAATCTGTTTATGATGGAAATCTTTCCTCAAAACTGCATTTGTTCCTTTCTGGTAACTTCAGTCAATGATGTCGGAATCTGAACCTTTTTTACAGGTCCGTCCTTTCTAATCTTTGATAACACCCCAGATTGTCATTGCTTCCAGAAAAGTTTAAGGTCTTCACGATTGAGACTATGCGATTATGTGTTCTATTTGGTACTTGTGGTTCCTCTTTTTGTCGTGTTTATAGTCGCACAGTATCTCATTGCCGGCCACAATCCCAATCAAATCCCTATTCCCTTGAACAATCAACCATTCGGATTTCCCATTACAACTAGGGTAATCATGCTCTTCAATACAGTTCAATGCAATTCAATTCAAACTTCAGGATGCCCGTCAGCCGTACGTCTACAGCACTCTTCCCTCTTGCGACGAGCTCACAGTCGATCCACAGTTGAATTTGACGATGGAATGGAGGAAAATGAAAGAGTGCCAATTCTCGCTTCTTCAGCGATTCTTCGGAAATCCCGAAAGTGTCCTCCCGAACTTTGTATCAGTTTTGTACGTTTGTGATGACGTTTCTGAAGTGAGTAGGATTATAATTAAAGAGTTTTTAACTGCCAGAAGGCCATACTATGCGGCGCTGCCCAAATGTGTAAGTGACAAAGAGCCATCAAAGATTTTGAGTTGATTTTCAGCGAGCAGAAACTGTACTTCTGAATCTGGGAATTGAGGAAGACGATTCTGTTGCGCAGAAAATGAAAGAAGCTGTCGAGAATCTGAAACTCTACGGAACAAGTCCAAATGGAAGAACTAGCAACATTTACGACAAAGTGTTCCCAATCGCGATTGCCCAAAATGATAGTGATGTGAGTGTGATCACCGAGAATGGGGAGATTGGAAGAGAGTCGATGAAAGCAACCGGACTCGAGAAGTTTCTGAAAACAGAGTTGAACAATATGAAGTTCATCGATATTCTGTGGATCAACTTCGAGAATGGTCCATTCGAATACTGGAAGTTTGTCAATCCGGATGAACTTTTCGACAAACTCGGACTAACTTTGTGTCAAATCGGAGTGGAAATGAGATCAGATCAGCACCAGAACTTCTACGCGTTCATGCTCTCCGTGCTCAACAAGCGCCGGTACATTTTCCTGAAACCGACGACGAACTCAGACGAATCTGTGGTGAGGGTCATACTGGTTAACATTGTGAATAAGGAGTGCTATCGAAAGTACGTTTTGTAACTTTTTTCAAATAATAAATAATGGTTTTATGACTTGAATGTGTTTATTCTCAGAGTCTATCATTGTTTCTCACGAGCGTAGTGATTCTAGCGAGTGTTGACGTCATCAGGCTTCTGGAGACGTTGCGTTTTCAGCGGGAATCGTGTGAAGCTGAATGAATGGAATCGGGAACACTTGAGGGAAGATCCCTACGTTCAACTGTTGAACAGAATCTTCCGAAGGTCTTGGCGGCGGCGGTGAGGAGATGTGCTGGTGTTCACCAGAAACGAGAGGCTCTGGAGAGATAGAGTTCTGGAAATTATACTCCTTTGAAATGAAGCTTTTATCTTCTTACGATTGGATTCTCAATCGGCGCTTCGGATGTCGGTGGCGGAGGAGAAGAAGCCGCTGTGGAAGGACGCGGCGGCGGCGGCGAAGGCGGCGAAGGCGTTTTCTTGGTAGGCGGAGGCGGCGGCGTTTTCTTTGGGGCCGCTGAGATTCCCACGACGAGAAGGCCGATGAATAACAGTAATGACGTAGTCTTGAGCATAATGAGAATGAATGCGGCCGAGTTGTTTTTGACTGACATTTTATACTAGTTAACATCACACAGATAACAATGTTTTGCTGTACGATAAACGCTGTTTTTGTGGCATTTGCTGACGTACATATTGCCGGAACCTAAGAGTGCAGGAGGAAGTGAGTGACTCAGGAAACCATTAGTTCATAGATCAGGATCGATTCTTGCTACAGGTATTTAGATTTTATGTTGCTTTTTCTACATATCTGCGCAGGTAATCAAATCGCGGCGACGACGGCTGTTGGAGCCGTCGGCGGGTCCAAACGGCCAGCTTCCGCCCACTTCTTATTTGTTACCTGCGCGACGACGGCATGTGCGTGTTTGACGACAACGGCTTCGGCTCCGAATATGTATACTATGTTGTGATGCGCACGATAAGTGCAGTAGAACTACCGATTCACCTATTCGGAGGATACGTGATCCTGTTTCACTCTCCTCCCAAAATGACGTCAATAAAATGGAGTTTGTTCATATTGCATTTCTGGTAAGTATCGCCCGTTTCAATCTGACCAATACTGCTTCAGGAGTTCATGTCTCGATGTCATGTGCACTTTCCTTGTTGCCCCCTACACAGTATTCCCGTTGGCAGCCGGCATCCCTATCGGATTTCTGTCTTCCGTGGGCGTTCCCGCAATCTTCCAGGCATTCGCCCTTGTGATAGTGGGCGCAATCACCGGAATGTCTATTGTCGGCTTCTTTGCCAACCGAGCGAATTCTATGACATACGGACCTTACTCTCAAAGCATCGGAACTCGAGTCCGACGATATTTACACCTCGCCATCAACTATATCTCTGCTTTTCTGTTTATGATTCCTGTATATTGCCAGTTGCCATCTCAACAAGAATCGGTCAATCATACTTTGAACGTGAGAAGCATCAGTCAGTACACATTTAAGCCATCATGTTGCAGGTGTTGCCGTGTCTGCCCGAACAAATCTGGAGCCATCCGAACTATTTCCTGGTCTCCACCAACAATCTCTTCTTTTCCTGGTGATTGGCGGCATTACTCTCTGGGTTTGCGCACAAATAGCAATTTTCGTGATTTACTCGATCTTTGCTCTCCGAAAACGAACGCGGAAACAGTCGCGAGTGACTTCTCTGCTCCAGAAGCGGTTCTTCGTGGCACTTTACGTACAAGTCGCCATTCCCATGTTTGTGTACCTTTTCCCGGTCACATACGTCTTTCTCACGTGGACTTTCGGCTTTCTGAGCCAAGTGTGCAACAACCTCGTCTTCATCTGCATATCCCTTCACGGATTACTTTCCACCGTCGTCATGATTGTCATTCACAAGCCCTATCGGATTGCCCTCAAACTGCTGATTCCCCAGTGTGCTCACATTCGGAAACGCTCTCGGGTTGCGAGCGTTCGAGAACTTCACCTGTCTTCTATATTATGAGTGATATTTTCATTGAGTTGTACATCGAAAAAAATATAATTCAAAATAAATTAGATTACTTCCGAACGTTGTTTGACAGATCTAATGACTCCAACTTTTTCTCAACGGCGGCGACGACAGTGTCGATCTCCCTCCTGATCCTTCCGATGCACTCCTTTAGGCCATTCTGTTCGTCTCCTTCCAGAAGATCCATCAGCTCCTTTCTGTTCTCCATCATGCTTTCCAGTGTCATCTTCACGTTCCGATCGTATTGATTGGTCACGTACATCCAGGCGGTCACATTCTCTACCAGATACGTAATAGTTCCGAACAGATTCTCCACGGTTTCCTTCTCCAGAATGTTCTTCCGAATCAGATTGTGTTCTCTGTTCACTGCTCGGTTCCGGGAGTTCAAATCGTATCGAACATCCCTCGCAGCTCCACACGTTTCCATCACTGATGCTCTGATTCCGGGGATCTTAGCTAGACTCGTGTAGACTTTTGCACGTGGCACGTATGTAGTCTGGTCGTAGTCATGTCCAACATTGTAGTGTCCCTGCTCGACCAACTTCCGGAATCGAGGGTAGTAGGGAAAGAAGTAATGTCTCCAGACTGTGTTCATCGTGTTCATGTTCACGTGTGTTTTGCACTTCGGACATTGCGCAAAGTCGAGGGGAAGAAGGACGTTGTAGACGGATTTAGCACACGAGCAAGTCATTTGGAGGAGAGTCTCGGTGCCAGTTCCCTGCGCGTGCATGATTGAATCTGAAAACGGAGCATGAGCCGGTGAAGTGGTCGTGTTGTTCACTCACATCTGAGGAACCATTTCTCCTCCCACTCGGAAAAGTCCCCGCATTCCATCGGCCAGTGAGGAACTCTTTCACAGTGGCGACACCAGGAATATCCACAAGGACACGACCTGTTCTGAGTCTTCTTCTCCTTCTCTCCGGGCACGTCTTCAAAGTAGACGGCAGATTTGCACGACGGACACTTCTCGAAGTCGCCAACGGCTCCGAGATCTTTGTAGATCTGCTCCGACACCATCTGAAGATGAAATGAGTAAGCAAGGAAAACATTGGAAAAACTGAAAGGGACTCACTCTGATGTAAAGATTGAGAACTGTGAGCGGAATGAAAGTGGGCAGGTACTCGAGTTCATCGGCAGTGTCCGTCTGCAGGTCGATCGGAACTCTCCTCGCCCTCAGTTCTCGGTAGAATTCCTCGCGCAGACAGTCCTTGCACTTCACTCTCGACTCGTTCTCCACCAGAAACAGCTCGTGGTCCCTCTTCACCCGACTGCACACTCCGCACGGCTCTCCAGAAGTGTAGCACGTCTTCGCTCGGCTCTCCTTCCTCACCATCGCACACAGATCATCCCACTCCAGTCTCCCGCCGACTGTGCTCAGTTCTTGAGAGTTTGCCCACGTGGCATGATGGTGACGGTTCGGCCACTGCATTTCCAACATTTGATTTTCCCATTCGTAACTGTCATTGATCTGTTCGGTGAGAGACTTCCGGTCGTAGAACAAAGAAGAGAATTTCATCGCTCTGAAAATGTTCATTCCTGATAGTGAGATGGTTTTCCGTGACAAAACTCACTCAACGACTTTTCTTCTCGTCATCATTTCAGTGGTAATTCGAGAGATTGCTTCACACATGGTCATGGCACTCGATATCTGATTCCTCAGATAATCGGCGCCTCTTTTAGACGGATGGCACGGGATTGTCGAGTTCAGAATGACGCTGAAAAGCGATGATTTGAGGCATAATAGATGTTGGTGATGATTTCCAACTCACTTGTACTGGTTCTTCTCCAAATGAGTGAAGATGATCACAGCCGTCGTCTCTCCGTCCTTCTCCGCATTCAAACGACACCATTTGGAAATGTCAACCAGGAACTGACGCTCTCTCAGATCCTTCACTTCCAGCCCTTTCTCTTCTTTCAGCAGTCTCATCTGATGCTCGAGGCTGTCCTTCTGATTGTGGAAAGTGATGTCGGCTTCCTCAAATGTATATCCTTCTCTTTTCAGAAAGGTATGAATATCCAGAAGATCCGTGTATTCAGGTTCCGGTCTGAGAGTTTCGGCATCAATGATTTCAAACGACATCTCGCTCTCCTTTCGTTTGCTTCTATGAGCTTGCTTCTCCCGATTCTCCACAAAGAAGTCGCTCAACTCAACAGGCGATCCACCTCGTCTTCCGAAAGAATTCTCGCACTCATACTCATCATCTTCTTCGTCGAATTCTTCGTCCTCTGCCTCGTATACATCAATGTCAACCTTCTTGTTTCCACGATGTTTCCCCGACTTCGAGACGACTTTCGCTTTGAACATCTGACCTCCGACGGCGTCTTGACTCGGGTGCGTTTTGTAAATATTGTAGGAAACTGTCGGCTGTTCTTCCTTCTTCACTTCTTCTTCTCCCGAATCGTCATCATTCGTGCATTCGCCTTCTTACTGAACTCCCGAGTTGCGGGCAGGAAGTTCGAGTAGTCTTGTCCTTTTCCAGATGACGTGACACTTCTGACTTCGAACTCTCCTGGCGCATCGTCCAAATTCACTTTCTTGGTGTGAACTGCGAATGTGGACTTGTTCGGGTACAGGAATCCGTACTGTTCTAGTGCGTTCTTCTCCACCACTTCCGCTCTCACGTCTTCTGGTGCTGCTCCCAACAGTGTGATTGTGTTCGCATCTTTCCATCGGTTTTTCTTGTCCAATGAATACACTACATTCAATTCCAGCTCATCTTTCGTGGAATCTCCAACTTTTTGGGTCGCTTTCTGAAAAATACCCAGTTTTGTTGAAAAACTCTAGTGCTCACCTTGCTGAGTGGCTCCGCCGAGCTCACAGTCTTCTCTATGAACGTGCGGTCCTTGACTGCATTGTGAAGTTGCTCCTTTCCTCGGTGATGTTCCCTTCCGAGCCACCGTCTCTCGCCACGTGGCTTCTCGAACATGACGTCTTCGTACAATTCTTCGTAATCTGACATGATTGCTTTCGCGTTCTCTTGGTTACAAATAGACGTTTCCAGGGATGACGATATTTTGAAAGCTTTGGAAAACTCTGAAGTGATTCATTGAGGCATTGATTAGATTCGCAAAATAAGGTAAACAAGGGGGAATGAGCAGAAAAGACCAAGAACTCAAACATGTTCCGCTCTCCCGCTCTCCCGCTCTTTTATACGCCCCGCTGACTGTTCTCTGTCCTTGTGTAGTATTGCACAACACTGCGCCATGTGTCTCTTCTCCATCCCTCTCCCAGTCTGCGTCTCCCGGCCGAGGAGCGTTTCGCAACCAGCGCTTGTTTCTGTGGTTCACTCAAAGCAAAGTTTGTAGTTTATTATCAAAAGTTCACAAATTGACATCATTATTCATCATTCATGCATTCGCGTGGGCTCCGCTTACTTTCCCCAGAAGCCGTACGGGCGGTAGTAGGGCATTCCGTACATTGGGTACGGGCGGTACATCATGTACGGATTGTAGCCGTAGCCATACGAGTAGGGCATTCCCATTCCAATTCCGTACGGGTAGCCGAGGTATTGACGCTTTTGACGGATTCTGGAAACCAGATGAGAGTGCGCGGTCCCACGTGGCAACACTTACATGGCGTTCGAGCCTTTCTTTCGGCTGTCTCCGGCTCCGAAAGCCACGTCGCTCAAGAGTAAAACGACGAGGAAAAGTCCAAGAATGGATAGTCGAGTCATCGGTTCCAGAAGATTCGATTCGGCACGTCAACAATGGAGTCGACCTTGCCACTCGGCATTTTATACCCGCTCCCGTGATTACCGGCAACAAACAGGCGGGTCATGCTTTGGTGGCCATGCCATCAACAAGGTGACCTTTGCCTCGGGAATTTGAATTCGCCCGAGACACGTAATTCCTCCGAATTCGACCAACAAGGCTATTTTCTGCGCCGTATTAAGCTGTAATTGTCGAGGGAAAAAATTGGGAGCAGAGTTTATGAATCGGAAGAAAACGAAGAAGATCACATGAAAGTGTAGTCGGCAAAGAGGGCGAAATGATCGGACGGATAGTCGTTCTTCTCGTGGAACGGTATTCTTTGCGGCTTCTCACATCCACTGTACATCAGAATTTGATATGGAACTACCGGACCTGAAATGAAAATGTATAGTAATAGAGTGAATGCAACCCTTACCTTTATAAAAAAGGAAGTCAATCCTATCCTGTGGCTCTGGTATCGTATAGTTCCACTCAGGATTGAACTTGTTCACAGTTGACCAAGTCAATCCTAAATTCAAAGTTCTATCGGAATATCCTTTAGTTCAGCTTTCAGCTCACCTGGATCCGTCTCGACGTTCGGATAGATCTCTCTGAAAGTGTCCGTGAATCCGGCATCGGCGAGTTCCTTCGTGGCCGGCCATCGTACCACCCAGTCCCCATGGATCTTCTTCGTTTGTTCGGTCCAATCCAGATGAGACGGTCCGTTGAAATCTCCGGCCACAAAGATCGGAATGTCTTCCGCTTTCTCCATCCATGTCTTAATTATCGGCAGCTTGAGAATGTCGTATATTTGGAGTCCCCTGCCTGCAATTGTATTCTAATCCTCCTCCGCTTCTCCTTCTTTCCACCCCACCAATGTTCTCTCCGGCCATAATCTGCTCGATCCGATTGACCAGCTTGTTGTTGGCCGCGTATGGTCCGTAGGATGTGTAGTCGAGGTGCAGAGCCAGCACATTGATTTTATACCCGTTTCTGAGCATGATCTCAACTCCTACGCCTCCAGATGCCGAGAGATTCGTGTTGGGAATTACGACGTGTCGGGTGAGGATGGCAGTGTCCGGGTATTCGGGATGATTGTGCTCGACGGCCACCCATGGATGGCCGAGCATCAGTGTCAGGTTTCTGGTCACATTCGCGTACACTTCCTGCAACGTTTAGTTGTGTTGTCCGACAATAGCGATAAAAGAGGACCTGCAGGGCGACGACGTCCGGATTGACCATCAGAATGTGCTTGGCAATCTTCTGCTGTCCGTTCTCGACATTGACACCGGACTGCCAAATGTTGAAGGTCATGAGTCGAACTGCGCTTCCAGAAGAGTGGGTCGAATGAATAAGAAGGAAGAAGAATAGGGCGAAGGGCAGGAGCATCGTCATCTGGAGGTGTCAAATGGATGGAACGGACAGATGGGGGGCAAGAGGGACTACTCGAGTGGCATTCAGAACGAACACAATGAGGAAGGTGAACAAGAAGACGGAGGAGAGTGGTCCTCGAATGAGCCACATGTCGAGAACAGGGGGCGAGGAGGGGGCAAAAAACGAGCAGATAGAGAGAGAGAGAGAAAGGTTTCGGTTGTGTTTCATCAGTTTCCTCTAGCTGATTGCCTTTGTCATTTTGTTTGATCGAAGCAAATGTTGATGGGAGAAGGGCGGTCGGAAGGTCACACCCGATTTTATTACAGCTTAAAGCTTCGGACAAGGGGAACAAGTAAGCGATACAGTTCCTTATTTGTAAAAAAGTGTCAATAAGCTTGATTTCCACTTTTTTTTGCTAGGATTCCTAACAGTCCCGTTCCTGGTGCCTAGTTTTACGATTCCCATTTTCCAGTGATTCGATTAGGAATCGTACTGAAAAAAATCAACGGAAACTATCTACAAGCGGTTTTTGGTTAGATACAGTACTCAAAATAACAAAAGAAAGAAATAATGTGACACTAGAACAAATTAACGGAGCTCGTAGGTGTATTGAGAAGGTCGTCGTCGACGAACGAAACGAAAAGGAAGGTGAAGAGACCGGCAACAGCTCCGAAAATATGCCAGAGATCGTGCGCTCCGAAGAAATCAAGCAGAAGGCACGGTTTGTTGAGAGCTCGACTCGCTGCTGCTGATTTCTGGAAATTACAAAATTGAATCAAGTATCGACGAAAATAGAGGTTTACCGTCCAGTCAGTTCCATCTTGGAAGAAGAAGAACGCAGCGAGGACCCATCCGATGACTGCGAGTGCTCCGTACAACTTGGCAACACGAGCGATCATTTCCTGACACGCCGCTTTCATCATCGCATAGTAGACGAGGTACCCGATACAGTTGAGAATGAAGCAGTAGGTGGAGATCTGGTTGAGATGAATAACGGAGGAGGTGAGGTAGAACATCATAGTGGCAATGTTGACGCTGGATAAGACGATCGCGAACACGAGGAAGACGCTCTTCGAAATGTTCGCGTTTTGGCTGAGCACTCTTCGTTTGGCAGAGCACAAACTGGCGAGGACCACCATATGGATCACGGCGAGCAGATATCGGACGTAGAACGTCTTAGAGAATGCGGAGACGAAGAAATTTAATGAAACGATTCCGACGAGCAGAATGTTGGAGTACGCCGCCGACGGAGATTCGGAACGGACGAGCCATTGACGGATGATGAGGAGACCGCAGATGACCTGGATGCACGGAGTATCTAAAAGTAGAGGAAGGCTTAAAGAAAAACATCAAAAAGGATTACCGAATTGGAAGGCGACATCGCTCGGACAAATATGATACGTGGCACTGGCAATCGACTGGAGAATCATAAAGACGCCGATGGTCACATCAAGGAGAGTGCACTCGAAAGTTCCGAATTCCTTGAGACACAGAAGCCGCCACCTTCTTTTCAAAGTGATGGCTATGAAAGTTAATCCGTAGAAGGCGTATCCGATGTTGCTGATCACGTTGTTCCAGGCGCGGAGTTCTCCGTAAGGACGGGCGCACGCGTGATTGTGGAAGCACATCTCATCGCGATTCGCCATTGTTGAAGTCGTCCATTTGTGATACTCGACGGCAGTGTGCATGAGAACGGGAAGTATTATGGCGACTGGATAGCGGAGCATTTCGCCATTCAAGGACAGCGAATCAACGGGTGTTTTCGGAGCCATAATCTGCTCGTCGATGGATTCCTCTCCCGGAATGATAAGCGAATCCGGAGATGGTTCTAGCTGTTCAGCAGAATCACTTTCAAGTGAAATTAGATTGACCTCCGGCTGGAGAGCACTTACTCCCTTGTAGGCATTCCACAAAAGAGACGGAACGAAACCGAGCGTCGGGATGGCAAAGAAGGCAATCATAACCATTACCGGGAAGAAGTATGACTGCGACTCGATTTTCACGAACTCAAACGTGATGACTTTGTTCTCATTCACACTTTTTCTTGATGTGCTTGAAGAACACGCACTGTCGTCCGGGTTGATGAAGGCGAAGATCCGGAACTGTTTGAACGTGCTGATCTCGGTCTCAGAGAAGAAGACGTCGGCTCTTTTCGTGAACGTCATGCTTCTTCTATTGTCCACTTCGTTCGAGTCTCCGCTCCGTTCATAGATTGATTCCTGCAAGAGATATTATATTCAAAGACGTAAAAACGCAGTTGTACTTACATTCGCTGGAATAGTGACAAGACTAGCACAAATATCGTCATCGCTTTTGAGAGTAATGTGGAATGACTTCACGTTTTGTTCCTCGCCGTCCAGAAGGAATCCGATAGGCTTTGAGTATGTCAGATGTTGATTTGACAACACTTTCGTCGTTTCCTCGGGCTTGAACCTCAAAAAGTATTGCGATTTGTCAAACGTATTGATTTGCAGTCTGTATTCGATGTCCACGTGTAACCTCGACTGCACAGTCACAACCAAATTCTGCTTCAGTTCGTTCCTTTCTAAAACTTTTCGAGAGCTACAAGTCATCGTTTTTCTCAAACTCACTGTTTTTCTTGGTTCTCTTCAACATCCCAAAGTCTTCGGGCAGCAACGGATTCAGCATTTTGCCAGCAGTGAACAAAGTCAGATTGGAATAGACGACGGGCAGTTTCAGCGGAAAACTGTCTCGTCCGTTGGCGGCGGTGACGTCGAGAATGGCGCCGTCTTGGTTGGCGTACTGCTGTGGATCCAGAATTTCGACCGAAATACGCAACAAGTCGTTGATATCGCTTTTATTCAGCTCTTTGTAGAACACATCTACAGTGTCTTTTTGCAACGTTGCTTTTGTGACTTTTCCGGTGATATTCTTCACTTTTACAGCGTCCGAAACGCGTCCAACAGAAGATAGAGTGTCATTCTTTTCGGCTGAACTGAAAATAGACCAATCGGTTGGATAAAGGCAAGTTTTGATCACCTTACTCCAAGAAGGACGACAAGCGTGTACAAGAAACGCATTGAGTCTGAAAAAATGAAAACGTGTGGGGGCGGTCGGAAGGATAGTAGAGAGTGTGATAGAAAGAGAAGAGCAAATTGAAGTTGATAAGCAAAAGAGCAAAGTGTAAACACATTCACGGGACACGGTCTCCAGAGCTGACAATGGGCGCAAGTGCGCCTCGCCCAATTGGAGTATTCTTCGAACAGCACGCATCAGAAGATTTGGCGCGCGGAGAAAGGCTTGGGGAGCGTGCCGCCGGCCGGCGAAATCAGCAGCCGATAGTTCACGGGACGACGGCCGAACTTTCTTCCTCTCTCCACTGCACCCCGAGAAAAAATCACCGTGCCATTAAGAGAGCAAAAGCGTCAACAAATTCAAATTGCCAGGGGCCGCGGCCTAGGTTTTCCGCCAAGGCCGCGCACTTTGGAGGCGTTGCTAATGTCGGAAACTGCACGAAAAAAAACTACGAAACTGAATGAAGGCTGTTCACCGCTGTCTACAATGCAACAGAAACTTTACCTGTTTGTCAAAACTCCGTCGCCACTCGGAAACGCACATGGTAAGTGTCAATGAATGCGAAAACGCGAATTACACAAGTTCTTTTCACAGATAACCGGTGATTGGATGTGTGGGTTATGCAATATACTCTGCAGTCGACTCTCCTCTCTGACCATGCACTGGCGGAACTCTTGTCCCGAGCTGAAGGCCATTTTCTCTGCCGACGAGCTGAAGGTAAGTGAAGATTCGACCAGCGTCCCTCTTATCCGACTCGTTCGTAGAACATGCCGTCCGAGGATCTTCAAGAAGTCGCTTTCCGATATACTCTCGATAAAACGGCCGTGGACCAGAAAACAAAACCAGCGCAAGACGTTTTACGAAATGTACGTTTTCGTTCGAATAGCATCAGACGCATTTTCTCTTTTATCTTTCCAGGACACCGATTTGTTCTGTATTTGCTCTTTCTGTCACGTGAATCTTCCACGTGGAGCCATTAAGCATCATTTTGGTGTTCACACGTCACGAAGGTACCCAGGTCAGAAGATCCGCAGCTCGTTCGTTCCCTTCATTTGCGATCTCTGCGGATTCGGTTTCAAGTGAGTGTTCAATTTGATTCGAATATCTATTTTTTGTGCTCCAGATTCAAGAAATCTTTATTAGCTCATTGGCGACAACATTGCGTGGAACTGCTTGTTAGGATCTCGAAAGAAGAGCAAGAAGTAGACGATAATCAGCTGCCCGAAATTGTCGGCTCGCTTTTGAAACAGGCAGAAATCGTCGCGCCTGTTCAGAATTCAGAAGAACGCGTAAAAGAGGAGAGCGATGACGATGAGGAAGAGGTAAAAGAAGAAGATTCTGAGGAAGTAGAAGAGGTCAGTTTTCAAAAAATAACGTCATCAAATTGAAAATTGTTCCAACAGAAACCGACAACGTCCAGTTCCAGTTCCGAACCACCCACAATTTCACTCGATCGGCAAATGTGGAATGCGGACAATAATCAGCTGAAACCGCAGTGTTCCGATTGCAAACTGGAGTTCTTCTCGCTCGGACGACTCCGACGTCACCAAGATTCGTATCACGCGAATCCAAAACCTATCCACGAATGTACTCTTTGTCAAATGAAATTCAAACAGAATCGCATTTTGATGCACCATTTGCGTGACGGATGTCGAGCGATGAGAGTAGAAGAGCCGGATGCGATAAAGCGGAAGACTATGCCGAGAGAAGAACTGATGAAAGTGATTGAGAATGGACAAGAGAGGTGGGAAGAGTTGTTCGAGAAGAAGAAAGCGGCCAATCTGAAATTCATTGAACAGTTTCTGAGTACTTGTGACAAACGAAAGCCCAAGGAGGAAGCGACCGAACGGCCGTTCCTTCAGGTTCCTCCCGGGAACGCTCTGCACTTTCTGGGGCCGGGCCAACGAGTGAATATCTGTGATGTCTGCAGTTAGTGTACCTCTTCTATGTCACCTCAAAAGTTTCATTTCCAGAAGCGGCCTTCAATAACCCCCGCCTTCTCCAACAGCACATCCAGCTGGCACATTCTGACGAGCGAACCCGGAATCAGATGACGATAACGGCGATGTCTCTGCTTCCCTACTTCAAACTTCCCGAAGCGGTGTTCTATGATATCAGTGGAAATGAGTACAAGTTCGGGAAGTACCTGGAAAAGGAGACCGAGCTGGCGAAACACTTCAAAGTGATCGAGCCCGGATCGAAAGTGACTGTGGAAGGCAATAATTGCTTTATTGTGGAGTTGCACGGTGAACGCAATTCTCTTCTTGTGCTCAATGATCAGGAATACGTGAAAGTTTGCGATTCCCATGGGAAACTGAAAACTTTGTTCAATGCCAATCCGAAGGACATGGAGGACATTCCGAAGCTCGAGAAGGAGACGCAATCTATTCATTAATTTATTTTTGAACTGCTGTCAGCTGGACCAACTATAAATTAGACTATTTTGAATGCGAAAATGAAAGAATCAGATTAGAACATCATAAGAGAAAGAGATACTAATCATCAATCAATCATCGTCGATAACGACGACCAATACAGAATACATTTTGCAGACGATTCTACACAGTACGTATTTCGTAGTGTAGTCTTTCGGACCCCTCCCTATATAACAGAACGATGGACGAAAACAGGAAGATGCCCGCCGAATGCATTCTATTCACGTGATATTCCCCTTTATTCTTCTCCTTCTACCGTATGCCTCGCCGGCCCGAGTTCTCTTGACAGTTATGGATCAGGGAAGATCGCACGCCACCTCGCTCAACACTTTCATGCATAGACTGCAGCGGGACAACCACACGACCGCTCTGCATTTCGCCCAATTCAGTCCGGAAATTGACTTCGGGATGGAAGAGCGATTCATTGATATGAAAGGGTTTCAGAATCCGTTCGCGTCGCCGGACTTTGACAAAATCGCATTCGACGTTGAGTACAGTTTCATTCATCAGGTGGAAAAAGGGAAATGACGAGTTGGAACGGAAGTGTTCAGGCGGTCGCGTACGGATTCGGATCGGAGACCTGCGATAACATTCTGAAACATCGCAGGGATCGGTTTTTCGGAATTGTTGCCGAGGACTGGGACCTGTACTTTTCCGATTCTCTTTTTGCCGTCTGCGGTTATGGAATGGCGCAAGTGAGCGGGAAGCCGCACGTGATGGTGCACTCCACGGATCTCGAGTCCGCGCAAGGATCTTTCAAAGCCTTTTCAAGGTGGACATGTCGAAACTACTCAAAAATTTGACCGAAATTGCAGAAATTACGCGATGTTCGTGCCGAGCAACCTGCCGTTCACAATGCTCGACTTCACGGTTTCCAAGTATTCTCACCGTCTCTGGGCGGCCTACGACTGGTTCGGAAGCTTCTTCTTCACCGCATTCGTGGGAAACTTTGCTCAGAAATGGGTGAGCTCGTCTCTTTGTGCTCTTTTTCAAATCATCTTTCAGGCTCTTCGGAGCATTGTCGGTTTTCCGTACTTCTCCTTCGCCGAGTACAATCGGAAGAGCTCATTCTCGTTCACCGACATGCCCGACTCGCTGTTTCCTCCGGCCTCTAGAACCAATGACTTTTTCTCATTCGGAGCATACTGTAAAGAGACTTCGAAGCCTCTCGATCCGGAATTCAAATCGTTCATCGAAGATTCCAAGTCGAAAGGGACCATTTTGATAGCATTCGGCACGTTTATTGACTGGCGAAAAGCACCCGATCATTATTTCGAAACGTTTTCGGAGGTCATGAACAAATTGAGCGATTACCGAATAATTTGGAGCATGAAAGGAAAAAGACCGTCCGGATTGGGGAAACACGTGAAGACGTCCGCGTGGGTGCCGCAGAATCAGATCCTGCATCACAACAAAACAGTGCTCTTTCTGAGCCATGGAGGTTTGAAAAGGCACGATCTGTTGAGGAATCAAAATAATCAGAAAAGAAACGTTTCAGCACGAAAGAAGCGATTTGCTCGGCAACGCCCACAATTTTTGTGCCTCTGTTCGCTGAGCAGACGCGGAATTCGTGGCTAATCAAAGAAAAAGGCTTCGGGCGAATAGTGAGCAAGTTCAATATTCGGGTGGAAGAGCTCGGAACTCATGTGCGCGAAGTGCTCGAGCATCCGGATTATCAGAAGAATGCCGACAAGTTTCTGACGCACTACATGGATCAGCCGATCTCCACTCTCGATGAGGCCGCTTTCAAATTCAATCGATTGGTGAAGTACGGCGGGAAAATGCCAGCGCATTTTTATCCGAAAGCACTCGATCTCACATACACAAATTCACTCAATTTGGATGTTCTCATTTTAATACCGGTTTTGTGCATTATTTTGTTAACGAATTGATGAATTTTTCGACTTTTATTCAAATTCTTTGTTTGCATTTCTTGCAAAACAGCGAGAACTCTCGGCGGCTCCCACTCGTCTCGTCTCTCGTTTTCGTTCGCTCTACTGAGAATGCTAAACTTGGCGCCAAAAAACGGGATTTTGAACAATTTGCATGTTTGCGGCGCATTCGTTTCCGTTAGCCCCTCCCGTTTTTCGCTTTTCCAACTTTCTCCTTGAAAAACACGTTAATTTTTTTCAGAGTATTGGGCGAAAGGAGTCAGCGTCTGGCGGAACGAGCAGAACTTCGAGAATGAGTGCTAATCGTAACGACGATGACTTGTACGACTTTCTCCACTATGTCCTCAATAACTTCCAGTTAGTCTTTCCTTCTCTTTTGCGCATTCCTACAACTTATGCTTTTCAGAATTGTTATCGACTTCTTCATTTCCTACGGTCAAAACGTGTCGCTTCGCGTTTTCATCCAATTCATCGCTGGTCAATCTCCGATCCCTGAAGCAGCGTTGCGAGGTCTCCTGTTGCTGCCGTTCGACAACTGGCGATGCCAGTCTGTGAACAAGATCGTCGGAAGTCTGATCCATTTCAGTACTCAGCGGATATTCACCAACATCGAACGTGTCGATCTGCTGCGCTGGAAGAAAGAAGCTCTTTCAGGAAGGCCGCCCTACGACGTTCAGCTCCTCCTGAATCACGCACGGAAAGTATTGAAGTTTGAGTTCGATAAATTCCTAGACGGAAGACGAGAAAACAATAACGAGTGGCCAGAATTCGATCAAATAATGGATATCCATTCGAACGAAAGAGCTAGGAAAATCTGTCCAAAGTAATAATGATTTGTTGGATTGGCACATTCAAATTATCCGTTTTCAGATCACAGATGAAATTTTTCGATGAAACGGTGCGGCTGACACTTAACGATTCCCCGCCAGTTCGACCGGACGAATTTCCTTCTCAAAAGTCTGAAGTCAACGTGTCATTCGAAGGACAGCCTCCTAGCCAACAAACAGCTTGGCAGAATCCACGGCCACAAAAGAGCGCTCAAAGCACTACTCTCGACGTCATTCCATCTATCCCGCAAAACAACTCTGTTTCGCTGTCGGGAACGGCTCGCCATGGTGACCGAACAGACGGTTCTTATTATAATGCGCACAGCGAGAGCTCACGAAGAGAATCAACAGAGAATCTCGGGAAGACGTCAGAGAATTCTTTAGTCGAACTCGAATCATGTGGCCTGCGCGAAATACAAGATAGATTCATTCGGCGCGACAAAAAGAGGGGAACGGCTCCGGATCAGAAGTACTGTAACGGAATTTTTTTCGAAATCTCGGCTTCAATCACTTTGGCCTGTCTTGTTAATAACAGCCTCTTCATATTTGTTTCCTTTTCAGTGATCGTGTCCTTTCCGCGGGTTTCCGGCGGTTGAATCTGCACGCTGTGCTCAACACGCCACCCAAACGAAGCGCTCCTCGAACAAATGCACATATTGTTCAAAGGGGAATGGAGATCTTGGTGAACTGGTCGAAAACATGTCAGGAGAGTCCTCTATGGGATAAGAGCTATGAAAACGGCACTGAACCAACGGAAAAGAAGTGAAAACTTGGGGAGACGAGGACGACGGCACGCTGACAACTTTCACCCAATCTCTCGAATACGATTAATAATAATAATTAATAATATGATCTCTATGAAAATATCTCAATTTAATGCAATATGATTGTTTCAGTGAGAATAATTTAATGTGTGATTATCGACTTTAGGGTGATTTATCTAAGTTCCTTTCTCTGTGGCATAACTATCTGTGATGAAGTCTGATCAATATTTTCATTGAAATAGCGTCTCAATAAAATTCCCCACCCTTTTTTCTCATTGCAGAGCGCGTCAGTCATTGGGTTTTGTACGCAATGCGATACCTGAACTTTTCATTTCTATTGCTATTTAAATATATTTTGCAAAAAAAAACTTGAAAATGCCATATTTTGTTTGTTAAATTAATTTTGATCAGATGCTTTCTTTCTGAATTAAAAATGCTTTCAAAACCCGTTCTGTCATCCTCAAAGTTAGTGTTTTCCGTTAATTCGATCAGTTTTCAGGATGTTGCCAAGCGCTCGTCAGCTCGGAGGCTCCCAAAGAAGGAGCGACTCTTCAAAAAGAATCGACGCTGGAATATGGTAAGAGATTGTGAAAATCGTTAAAAGTTTGCTGAGAACAGCCTACGTAAAGATGTAATCATCCAACCTTTTCGTTTGTTCCCAAAATCGTGTCCGAATCATTCAGTGTTTCGTAACATTTCAATTTTCGAGCGAATGGTGTTTGAAATCGGAATATTGTGCATTGAAAAGTGTTTTGACAGGACCAAATCAAAACGTTCTCCGTTTTGATACGCCTCCAAGATCATTCATTTCACGTTTTCCGCTCTCGCTGCCCGCTACATTGTAACTTTTCCAGGATAGAAGACGAAAAGTGCAATGAACGGACCGTCGACCTCCGAAATCGAAGTACCGAAAAAGTTCCTGCCGATTCTCCCGGGTCGCAAATTCATTCAGCGAGCCACACTGCCGTACGAGCTCCGTGCCGTCGATCAAATGTCTCTGCGTAGTTATCAGAAGTACGCGTCCAGATATTACGCACACAAGCAAATCACGGAACGATACGAGGGAAAGCCGCTTGGCGTAAGCTAACGAAACTTCAGGAAATACGTAAAAACTGTCTTCTTTTCAGAAGTGCTCGATATGCAATCTGGAACGCTTCTGGTTCTATAGAACAATCAGCTGCCCCAGATGTCGCGTGGATTCCCACGAACAGGTAGTCATAACGGAAGAAGTTCTTCTCAATTCGTTCGTTTTCAGTGCCACAACAACGTCACCGGCAGTTCACCCTTCTGCGCCGTCTGCCTACAACAACACTTCGGACCGAGGGATCCACGAATGTAGAGAGGAAGGTGACCATACTAGTAATTTGTGTGCAAAATTGTTTGGGCTACTAATAAAAGTTTTACGCTTAACTGCTCCGTTCCGCCCTTCCGATCTTTTGGTTCCTCACCGCTTAACCATACAGTATGGTCTATACTTAACTGTTTCGAGGAAATCAGTAAACATCTGTTCGTCAGATGAGCACCACCGGAAGCGACGCGTGCCAGAAATGTGCGCGAACTCATGCACGACTCGAGAACAGTCTGAAAAGAGCAGTCGACTTGGAGCAGTAAGCCTCAACTGGAAGTGGAAGGCAATATGACACTTTTCTCTTCCAGAGAGCTCGCAACGTACGAACAATTTATGCAAAGACATATGGATCGGAAGAAAGAAGATGCAAATCGGAACGAAACGGAGAAAAAAGAGCTTAAGGAGCAACTCGCCGTGTTAGTTGTCATTTAAAATTTCAATAAAGTATAAATCTTCTATTTTCAGCTCAAAAAGCCATTTCGAATCTGCGTTGACGGCGAACAACGAACAGACTCGGCGAGTTTTGCAGCAGGTGGAATCGAAATGCCGACGTCTGGAAAGTGATCTGGAAGAATACAAACACATGGAAGGCAGTTACCTTAAGAGAATAATGGAATTGGAGAAGGAGAATCAAGGGCTGAAAGCGGCTTGCAGAAAGTCGGCAGACACGAAAATGTTTGAAACCCTCTTGGAAAGAATGAAGATTCTCGAAGAAACGCACTCACAAAACTCGTCTTTTCTTACCAATTCTTCCACGTTCCAAAGCACGTCCACCACAAATTCGGCATCGGAAGAGAAGCTGATCGAGATGAACGAAAGGAAATATCAGTTGGAACTGGCCGATCCCATTGCACAGGCGCAGCAATTGATACAAAGATTCATGACTTTGACCGACGACCGCGTTCGGATCTTGAAGCTCGAGATGTTTTTGGATGATTTTGCCTACGAATACACGCTCTACGTAACTGCCTTGGAGAGCAACATTGATATGCTAATGGTGAGAATTGAGAAACAATTAAAGATCCTGACTTATCTTTGTTCTCCAGAAGTCGGCTGAACTGTCCGATTTGGAGCCGCTGCCCGACTTTCCCAATCCGCTAACTCCAGAGTTGATGGCCCAGTTCGAAGCAGCTCTCAAAAAAGACAACTCGCCGAGAGAAAACCGATTCACGATGAACACTTCGAATTGTCAAATTTGCGAGCGTTCCATAGAAAAGCACCACGAAATAGAGGCGTGTGACTCGTGTGGACAGCATTTTCATAGAGAGGTAACCGAAACTAATGTTTTCTTTGGTAATCCTCGTTTTTTCAGTGCGGACGGGTGTTTTCTGAAAGACAGCTCAACTGTGTGACTCCAGGGTGCACATCGAAATTCGGAGGTGCCAACTGGAGATAGTAATTGTTTTTATTCTTTTTCTTTTTGTTCGATTTGCTTATTTGCTTTACTGCATTCATTTCATGACCTCTATTTTCTGGTATACTTATACACTCGATCTTGAATTAAAACTTCTGCTTTACTTGTCTATTTAGTCTTCTGAAACAGCACTCGTTCTTTCACGATGAATACTTCCATCGCTACGGCGATTCAATAAATTCTGTTCATTTTAGAATGCCCGGTTGCCCAAAAGCGGCTCGAAAAGCAAAGGAAACAGAAGCTGCGAAAGCGGCGATTCGTGAGATTCTCTCGAAGTTGGAGTACGATCAAGTAACAGATGTGAAGGGATGGTTCGACAAGTACATCAACGAGAGCCCGCCCGAAAGAGTGACATTCAACTATGAGCGGGAGCAGCAGAAGAAACTGCTCGAGCGAGGAGCCGACAAACTCGACCGAATAGCCACGTACCTCAAGGACAAAGCGGTGGATGTTCCGTCGAAAGCGGCGAGCAAACTGAGATATCCCACGGAAGGGTACGACAGTGATTGCACAGAGCTGAACACGTGCGAAATCGACGCTTTCCTGTACGAAGACGACGACATAGAAGACCTCGTGCAACGTGGATCTCTCAGTCGCACGTACTGCCCGACGTGCAACTCTCGCGATACCGTTCATCTGAACTTCATCAGCCACAGCTTGAGCCGCCTGCAGGTGAGATTCCTGTTCGATCAGCTGATGCCGGCCAGCTGCGAACACGTGCTCGATATCGGAAGTCGCATCGGAGCCATCGTTTACGGAGCGTCTATTTTCACGTGGGAAGCTGCGAATTCGGCTGATATTCTGAGTCTTATTTTTTAGAAAAGAGAACGTGAAAACAGTGGGAGTCGAAATAAGCGCCGACTACGCGGCCCTTTCGATGCGGACCATTCAACAGTTTGGATTGAAGGTTCGTTCTCGTTTCATTTCACAAAAAAACAACAACAACAACAAACATTTGTAGAACGTGGAAATCATCCGAGAAGACATCCGTCACCTACCGCACATCTTCAAAGAGAATCAGTTTATCGTCATGAACAACGTCTTCTCGTTCTTTCTCTCCAAAACCGAACAGGAGGAGTGCTGGGAGTTTTTGCACAAGCACATGGTCCCCGGAACGGTGCTAGCCCATCATCCGTCCATTGACAAAGTCCTAGAGACACTGAATCTCTCGTTCAACTGGGAAGACTGGCTGGAAGCGGTGGACACGACGAGCGAGTGCCTCGAGTACGGCGGACACAGTTCGGAGATTTACGAGGAAATGGAGTCGATATGCAAGTACATTGTCAAGAATCCGGCGGCGGGGGACCACTAGTCTATTTTCTAATAGTTTATTGTTTCGTTCTTGTTGTCTTTTGCTGGCTCATTGTTGAATATGAATGATCGCTTTCTGACCTAAAAATACGGGAAATGGAGAGCGGTGGAGCGCGATAAAAGGAAATCGAAAAAAGATGCTGATCTCATTGAACATATTATTGTTTTTACTAACAAAAATAACGCCTACACCGGAACTCTCAACCACAGAATCTGCTCACTATTGTCCAGTTTCCGTTATTCCATTTCTGTTGTCCTATTTAAAAGTGCGTGATTCTTCCTCTCGATAATTAGGTCGGCACATCGACTCACGCGCCAGAGTATTGTGAAGGTATCAGAAGCCGCTCGACTGCATTCGCCCCAGTTGAGATGCTCACCGAGCACGACTGCCAACTCATGGCTCAAGTCGCCACAAACACTCTGCTCAGGTACTCCCCCTCAATTGTTTCAGTGACTTTTGTAACCGTTTCAGAATCGTACTCTCCTTCACCACAATCTGCTGTGTTCTTTGTCTGCCTTGTTGCCTGTACTCGCTGTGGCGCGTTCAGAAATCCGTAAAACTGCACTTCAACAGCAAATGCATCTTCCTCACCCACAACTTCAGCATGCTCATTCACATCATTGTCCGCATAGTCCTGCACGGAAAAGACCTCACCAACTATTTCGGCTCCTGGGAAAGCGGTTGCGAAATACTCCCGTCGCGGAGCCGTTGCGAGCTCAGATTCGTCTATAAACTGTCTCAATATGCCATCGAAATCAGTCCGTTCATTCTGACGGCCGAGCGATTCGTGGCCACATTCCGCGCGCATCGCTACGAGAATCGTTGCAAATGGTGCGGAATCTGCCTGATGTGCATTCATCTAACTCTCGCCATTTCGATGGTCACTCTTCGAAATGCGGAGAAGACGGGCGAAGAGGTGATCTACTATTGTTGGGTAAGAAAACACCGGAAATTAGGCCATTCCGTATTACTCTACTCAGCTCGCATCAACCGGAAATAGATATTTTCTGAACATTCCCATCTTTTTCATTTTCTCGACTCAACTGGCGACTATCCCCGGGCTTTTGTATTTGCTGAAGAAAAACGAGGTATCCGCACTGCTTACGGAATGTTCGGTTATCGTTTCCTAGATGTTCTTGCAGCGTTACGGAGAGACGTCACTTCATAATTCGACGCTGACGGAGAGATATCAGCTATTCGAGAACCTTCGCACTCTGAGCAAGTTCCGGATAATGAGCATTGTCACTTGGATTTATGTGACTTACAATGCCGCGAGCTCACTTGGCGTTAATTACATCCTTCCGGATTTGGAACTCGGAAATCAGTTCGCAAGTGTTGAAAGTAAGAATGCAAAGGGCTTTAGTGAAAAACAAATAGAAAGTTGCAGTAATGCATTGTGTGCCTCTTTACTTTCTCATACTAACCTTTTTGATCCTACGAGAAGACAAGCGACCACGCAGTCAGTTCGAGATCAGAGTGAACAACTATCAACCTCACTATTTCGATGAACTTCAAAAGTTTTTCGACGAAGCGTTCGAAAAGATTAATCTACGACGAAACACCAAAACGAGGCCGTTACAGAAGACGAGATTCTAATTCAGACTGTGATTCGAAGTCCGATTCTAATTTTGTCGCTCCACAAAAAACGTGGAGGCATTGGTACCTAATAAATAGTTATGTGTAAGCAGAAAAGAAGGGCCGTCGGGCAAACATGCATCAAAAGAGCTTAAAAGTGTGCTCATTCCGGGTCCCTCCAGCACCCCTCTTCCGCACGGAATTATTTGTTCTTCGTCGCCTCAAGAGCGTCTTCCCCACCCCTCATTCGCACCCATCCCAGTTCCCATGCGGTTTTCCCTTTTGTCGTGCTCATTAATACTCTTAATTCCGAATTGTTCTGCCGCTTCTGAAACCAGCTTCATTCACGATAATCATACGATCGGACTGGAAAAGGAGAACGGAGATGTGTGCATGAGTGTGTCGTTCGAGGTGAAAATATTGAATCAACAGAACAATAACACTGCTCCGATTGAGGTGAGTTACTTTTTGATGCCAAACACTCGACGATGGGTTCAGTTCCATTTGGCGTCCGGAAAGATCAAAGGGAAATGCGCGGAGGATCGGAAAAGCGAAGCCACGATATCGTCGACAGTTGACGAGAGGGATGGAAGACAGAAGACTCTCAAGTTTATATTTAGAACTGTACTTGTCCCTTTTCCCTTTCGACTTCTCTCACAATCCAGTCTTTAGGACGAAATGCGTGTGAAACGTGTTGACGAACTGAGATGGCAGCTGCAGAAAGTGATCTACGTCGAAAAGTTCGCAGGTTCCCACACTTTTCTTTCGGTTTTCAATACTCTTTTGCAGGTAGCTCCGCGGTTTTCGAGTCGGACAACTCATCCGTCATTTTTTCGGCGCCGTTGACTCAGAAGTACGTGTGTGAGGACAGAATCAATGTGACTTTGCACAGCGAGAACTTTGAGTGAGTTTATGATGTCCGAACATTCATATTGTTCAGTTGTTCAGCTTCCCAATTCTGGTAATGTTCTCTCCTGAAATCGACGTTCAGCCATACGGTCCAAAGAGCAATTGTAAGTTTTACGGAAAAGTCTAGTGAAAAATAAGTTGCTGAAAAGTGACTTCACATCATTCAGTGGTTTTCCGAGCAAGCTGAAAATTGGCAGTGTCCTCGATGGCGTAGCTGTTTGAAAACATATTTTCGTTCCAGTTTACCTCTGCGAACGTACCCGGAAACGAACGCTCTCCGACTCTCTCCAGCACCGCTCCACCGTCTTCTGCGGCGTCGTTCTCGCGCTCTCCTCGATTGCTCACATCGTCGGACACATGCTTCGCCGCCATTTCATGCCCCATCGCAAAGAGCTCTATGAGAATTTGGACAGAGTTCCCATGAACAACTAGTTTGCTGCTTCCTCGACACTTTCTTCGCTAATAAATATTTATAGTTGAGTTGTGCCCGCCGAATTGAGTTACATTTTGTTTCCGGAGCGACCGCTTTGATTCATGAGAAACGTTGTGCTTTCCTTCGCGTTCTGCCCCGCTGGGAAAGAGAAACGAGCCAGCAGAGTCTTCTCCCCCCACACCAGGGGTGTGCGGAAAATTTTTTTCGGAAAATTTCGGAAAATCGGTTTTTCCGAAATTTTTTTTTCGGAAAATTTCGGAAAAATCGGAAAAATCGGAAAACTCACTTGTTCATTGGTTCAATAAAGTGTTTAAACAACGTTCTAATACAAAAAAATGCTTATTATGATTTGAAATCACTTGAGTGGGCGGAAGCCAAGCAATGGAATATTTTTTTGCAAAAAAATTAGCCGAGAGAAGCTCTCCGGGTCCAGTGTTTTCCGATTGTCAGTGAGAATCAGGGGTGTGCGGAAAATATTTCGATTTTCCGAAATTTTCCGAGAAATTTTCGGAAAAAAGACGCTCGCTGCTAGACCCTTCCAAAAATTTTGTGATGCGCCTTTAAAAAGCATACGGTGGTTTCGGACAAATTGACCTTGAATCCACACTAATTTTCCGAACATTTTGCCGAACATTTTCGGAAAATTTCTCGGAAAATCGGAAAATTTCGGAAAATCGAAATATTTTCCGCACACCCCTGCCCCACACCAACCTTTTTCCCCTTCTCTTTCTTGTTGAGAGTAAGAATTCTTTTTCGTTTTCAGTTCACTTCAGTTATTTATTTCACGACATCGAACCGATTTTTGATCTTTTAAGTTAGTCATCGGCTGTCCCCTGAGAAAAGCCCGCGATGTTCAAATGGGGCCCGCCCTTTCAGCGCTCAATTCTTGCAAGTGGCGCGTGCAATTTTCGCAACGCTGCCGCACGCATTTTGCTCTTCAGTTCGACAGTGAAAAAACAAGTGAAAAAACATTCGTTGTCGGTTTTTAGTGTTTTTTTTTCTGAAAAGAAGATGCAACAAGGCGAAAGATATCTATTAAGTTGCCCTGATAAGCGCTAAAAAGTATTCAAAGCATTCTCATGTTGTTCTCAAAAACACCTACACCTTTCTGTAAACATGTCTCATCATTCTTACTAGGAGCCAACTTTTCTTATTTTGTTTTTAGCGAACCTCAATAATATGACGTGCACTGTACATCGTCCACTTCTCCCAACTCGCACTGTTATCAGTGTATAAAACGGTTATCATCCAACTGGAAATGCAGTCAGTCGGAGAGCGGTTTTGATGTAAATGATGACTTCCCAAGTGACGAACCGGCTCGGTACTCTTTCAAAAACAAACATATTTTTGTACTGCGCTTACATTTCAACATGTCTAGTAAGTTCTTGAGTTCTATAATATCGGTTGATTGATTTTTGTTTTCAGGAAGACAGAGCATGGTCCTTTTGTGTCTCCCTTTGCATGGACCTCATGGGTGGAATGCGCGTTGTTTCCATTGAGCAGTTATTCGAAGGCCTTCTCCAGATGATACTCAGCGGGTACTTGGGCAAGCATTTCGACGGTTTGTCCAGAAAAAGAGGTGAGCACAAACTCGGTACGTGAAAAAGAGTGAATTCTTTTTCAGCTATCATGACTGTTGTCCCACTCAACAATCTGAGTATTTGTGCGGCAGCTGCTCTTATTATCAGTTGGTTCTTGCGAAGTCTGATGCGTGAGAATCGAAATGTTCTTTCAGCATGTCTCTCTAGTGATGCTTCGTCCCCCGTCTACATCGTCTGCCTGGCCCTTGCCATGTGCATGTGTGCAGTCAATCGTCTTTTCCTGAACGCGGAAAAGTTCATTACCAGCAGGGATTGGGTGATGGTTCTTGGGGACGAAAGCTCGCTTTCCAGTCTCAATGCGACTCTTCTGACTCTCGATCAGTTCACGAATGTCATTGCTCCGCTTGTCACTGGAGTAAGAAGCCGTAGACTGGCAGGCTTGAAGATGAGCTTTTGCAGGCGTTGGTCACTTGGCTTGGTCTCCGTCCTACTGTCGGCATCTTTGGAATCGCTTCTTTGGTCTCCATGACTTCCAAATCCATCTTTCTTCGTCTCATATGGAGATCCAACCCACTTCTTCAAGTGAAAAAAGAGAAGAAGGATGATGTGGTTACGGATCCATTTGCCAACTCAAGACTCAAAGAGAGTGTAGTCTACACATATTGGCGACAAGCTTCCTTCTCCGCCGCCTTTGGAATGTCCCTTCTTTTCATGACCGTGATGGGTTTCGACGGTTTGGCAGTCGGATATGGTTCATCTGCAGGACTGCCCGAGTTCGTTATCGGAGCATTCCGATCATACGGATCAGTGACCGCAATCCTTGGAGCATTTTCGTACGCATTCTTCGAGAAACGATATAGTGTGGCCACGTCAGGACTACTGGGACTGGTTGTCCAACAGGCATTCGTGGTGCTCGCAGTATCTTCCGTCTTCTTCCCCGGATCTCCAATGAACCTCGGAGGCTACTTCGGCAACTTCACAATCGACAGTTGGTGGCATGATATGGTGCATTCGTTCGACGGAAACAATGCGACCAACTTGGATCCGCACGTCGACTGGAAGCACTTCTCATCGGACGGCGTCAGTTTGGCCAGCATCTTCGTGTTCCTCATCGCAATCGCTTCGGCCAGATATGGTTTGTCACTGTGAAAGGGACTATTCTTGATTGTTATTGTAGGACTCTGGTGTCTGGACCTCGCAATCACCCACATAATGCAAGTTACAATCGCCGAAAGAGAACGGAACACAGTGTTCGGAGTGCACAACGCCCTGTGCCAGTCGTTTTCGGTGCTGAAAGATGTGCTCGTCATCATCCTCCCACTTCCGGCTACATTCGCCATTTGTATATTCATTTCGTACGGTTTCGTAACCGCGGGTCATCTGTTTTTCGTGTATTACCTCGTCAAATCGAATAGTTTATCCACTGTTGGGAGGAGATTATCCCAGATTCAAGACAAAGAAGAAAAGGTTGAATTTGCCAGACTCTGATCACGGATTCTTCTTCAATAAACACGTTATTTTTCGTTTTATTTAGGTTAACAGAAACAAAGACCTCCCTCAAAGGAAAAATGACTCTTCCGGGTCACTCATTCCTGCAATTGAGACTGAAGAACACTAAAAGACTATACCTCTCTAGGGAACGTGGTACCTCTCGGGACTCGCAAAAATACTTACTTTGCAAATGAGTGTCAACAACGAAAAGGTCCTATTTCTCGATTAACGAAGACGCCTCTGCCTACAGAATTCGAGCTTTTCCGCCCTTCCTTTTTTCCGAAACCCCTTCATTTTCGTTGTTATTCCCAATTCTTGACCGCTGCATGGTCACGCTCATCAAAAAAGGATGGCTCCGGTCCTATCGCTTCTATATTTATTTTCTCGCCCCCCGCTCATCTATTTGTATCCTTCTTCACCGCTCATGACGTCTTCTGCGACACCATCTTCGTAGCAGTGTAAATATTGGTTTCAGCTCCGGGATTTGGGCAGAGCCCAAACTGCTCCACGAGCGCCATCCCCTAGACTCATTTACCTAAAGCCGCCCTCCAAAATCCACAAAAACAACCGCTGGCGCAAGCGAAGGCAAGAAAAAGAAGAGTCTTCTGTGTTTTATTTGATTTGTTTCACACATATCCCCCTCCTCTCCCTCCAACTATCAAGATTCTGCTCGGCTCCGGCCCTGACTGGTTTCCAATCAGATTGTTGAACTAATTGAGCGAGAGCTCCTGCCGATACGGGACAAACCGTGAGAGATGGAAAAGAGGATGAGCAGGAGGAGCAGGGGGAAGCGGAGGAAGGCGTCAGAGATTTGCGCGAGCCGTCCATCCCGCCCGCCCGAAAATGTTGCTATTTTTGTGAGGGCGCCAGCCATACTCCGTGTGCTTCACGACTTTTCGCTCCCTCATTTCCTACTTCATTTAATTTGTATTCGACCGCCTGACTCCCGCCATCGAGTTGGACTTGTCGCACTTGTTATCATACTTATACTTGCTAGGAAACATAACACTCGTGCTGGTTTAGGCTACAGTATAAAAACAGATCATCCACTTGATCCTTGTTATCCGGAATCAAAGTCTCTACGTCAAACCCGTCAACTCAACGAGCCCAAAAACCTTTTCCGTCAATTGAAAACCCGGACGTTGTAACCTGATTCGCCCATCAAAGTAACTATTTTGCTGTTTGGCACTCGAATTCACTCTGGCCCGGCCAACTTGTTATTTTTCATTCGCCTCCAAACTAACTCAGTTCATCCGGGAACCAACCCGAAACTCCCTGGAGACGTTGTGTCTTCTGGAATGAGAAGCCGTCGTCGTCGTCGTCGTCGTCAATGTGTCCGTCCCCTAATAAGCCTCATTTACGATCGGGCGACTCTCCTCTCGCAATGATGGGCCGCCGAAACTCGAGTTGTTTGAGCACTCTTCTCCCCGTTTTTTGGTCGTTTTCCGTAATGGGCCGAAAGAGGCAACCGAAAAGGTGTCTGTACGATCACTTCCATTTTTGCTCGAAGAAACTGCGCCAAATTCGATTTGAAAGCAGCGAAAATCGGCGGCGGGGCAACTCAAAGGTCAGCTTCTGCCGCTCTGTGTCTTCCTCCCGTTTACTAATCGAAATCGTGCCGTGAAATCTGATAAAATTGCGTAAATATTTAATTGGATGGCGTGTGATGTCACGAGGCGGCGTGCACTAGAAATACGATTAGCGGCGCCGCGGATTCGGATTCGTTGCCGCCCATCAGAGGCCAACCTGCGGCGGATCCAGATGCATTTGCAACGAGGTTCATATAGTGCGTGACATTCGGAATGAACTCCGATGCTTCGGCACGTCACCCCCTCAATTAGACACGTCTTCTGCCCCTTCTCCTCCTCCGTTTTTGCCGGCCATGTGACAAGATGAAGGCACCAATTACAAGTGTTTTACGTGAATTGCAAAGCATCTCGTGTTCTCCTTTCCCTCCGTCAGTGCAATCATTTTCCCACGTCTTATTCTCGGCTCCGCCGCTTTCATCATCAATTCCTGCTCACTTTTTCTTCGAAAAAAGGAAGCGAAAATGAATGAGCGAATTCTATGAATAATTGATGTTCTTTCGCAGTTCGGTCATACGCTATTGCCGCCCTCTTCCTCCCTCTCGTTTTGTTTTTGAAAACTATAATTACGTTCATTTGCAGACTCTTTTCTGTTGATTATCTTCATTGAAAATGGGCCACGCCCACTCTTCGTCTTCAACCGGTAGCTCCACGGCGGCGAGCCATCCGAACGACGAGAAGACCAAAGAGAAAGTGGGGAAAAACGCGAGAGAATTCGGGAATTTAGGGTGTATTCAGGTGGAGAAGCTGTTCCGTCAGAATAATCGAACGAACAGGAGTCGAAGTCTGGACAACCGAACGCAAGAAAAGCTTCCGAACAGGCCGGTCGGCTCGAGTCACTCTGCCAGATTCCCGAAAACCCGTCACATTCCTGTTCCGATGCCGGGTCCGCGGAAGTCGGAAGACGGACGTGAGTGATTCGCAAAAACAGTCCGAGTGACGTCATATTCTGTTTCCAGCGAATGGCTCAATTTCCGGTTTGTCGCGCGACGACAAGAGAATCATCGAGACGTGCTGGTTCAAGTGCTCGCAGAAACAATTGAGAAAGTGCTCTTGTGACATGTTCTGGGACATTCTGCACACGGACGAGGACATTCTGCGGCTGTTCCGGTTGGACCACGTGTCGCCGAATCGGCTTAAAGAGAACGATTACTTCAAATCGCACGCCTCCAATCTGGCATTAGTCCTGAATCTTGTGGTCACGAATCTTCAGGATAACTTTGAACAGGCACAAGATGCTCTCCAAGTGAGATCAGTCACTGCTCGTCGTCAACAATACCATCATGTTACAGGCTCTCGGCTATCAGCATCTTCATCTAATCGACCGAACTAACTTCCAGACAATGTACTGGGACATATTTACAGATTGCTTCGAAAGGAACCCTCCACCGTCTTTTAGAAAAGGAGCGGAACGAGATGTGAGTCTTTCTGTGATCATTAGAAACCCCGCGAGACCATTACAGGTGTGGAGCAGGATGATACTGTTTATAATGGCTCAAATGAAGACGGGTTATCAACGAGCGATACAAGAGGAGAAGTGTGAACGTCTCAGTGTTCCTCTTCTCATGTGATCCACATTAAAAAGGAAAAACATTTCTCATTTAAAATATACTTGAATCTCGGCAAATCATAAAACGTATCATGAAGCTGTTTTCACACTAGGAATCGAGTTTTGACACAACATCGGACAAAGAATGAACTTCAAACTATTCATCAATTTATTTTAATAACTCAAAAAACGTATCATGGATGAAATCAATCTGGTAGAACTGTGACACTTCATGGCTTTCGTACAACATGTTCACGGTTCGCTGAAAACATTTTCAGATTACCTTTCCTTCTGAATTCTTTTTTACCTGCATTCCCTGTGGAAGCATCACAATTCTGCCGACTCTGATGGAGCTGTGAGCTCTTCCGAGCGTTCTCTGTACTTTTCATATTGTAAAGTTCTTCCATTATTCTCGATTTCTGCTCCACACATGTTGTAATCAAACCTTCTTTACATTCGTGATAATCTGCATCGGTATTTACCTGATGTTATACGTCCAGAAGCTTCTTACCAATGCCCCAAAGCATTAGCGATATCAGAAAGAGAAACTTGTTCTCCACCAGGAACACTTCATCCAGTCCCGATCTAATGATCCTGTGTTGAAGATCCCAGTACGGTTTGAAGACTCTGCAATCGAGGATTCGCATGATAAATTAATTTTCCTTTTTGGCTCACAGCCCGACGGAAAAACGCTGCACAGGCTCTGAAAAAGGTCACTCAAGTCTTTTCACCCGTTTGATTCACTGATCTACTTTTGTACTCATCTTGCCAATCTTGTGTGTTCTGGAATTTACTCTGCAACGTTTCAGGAGACGAAAAGGATCAATCATTTCACTTTTGACACTTGTACCCACGCGTAACTCTATCAATTGTGTCCGCCAAATGTGTCAAGTAGGTCGTGTCCCGCCCGCCGCCTCAAGCAACAAGTGAAGTGGTAATCGAATGTGATCGTCGTCTCCTTCTCCCTCCGTTCCACCCCTTTTCCGTCCTTGACCACCTTCTCCCCTTCATATCTTCCTTATCTCTCAGATCCTTCATCCACAAACAATCATGAACGTCTTTCCGAACTTCCTCCCGTTTCTCATCCTTCTGCTCTCCGCTCTCGCTGTCTTTTCATCAGCTGATCTTTCGATCGACGGCGATTCGGTGAGTGCTCTCTGTCTTCATCGAAAGATTAATGATACCTTTCAGTTGGTGCTCTCGGTGAACGACGACGGTCCGATCAAAGTGCGAAGGGCCCGTGAGACTGGCGAACATTAAAAGATCGCGAAGAGAAGAACGTCATACTGCGAACGCTTTACAACAAAATTGATGGCTGTCTCATGTCTTATTGATACCTGATAAATTTATTCTTTCCCCTCTTTTTTACAAAAATGGAAATCATTCCAGAACTGTCGTTACCCAAATATCGAAAAGCGACTATAGCAGTTCTAATAAAGTTTGAATAAAGAGGTCACGTCGGGAATCCAATCAGAACCTTCCCGATCGTTCGTTCAAACCGTACAATTAGTTTGGTAAAAAGAAACTGGAACACTAACTTTCGATTGAATTAATTCGATTCGTTCTCCCGCCCATTCATCTTGCACGCAGGTCAAACAATAACAAGAAAAAATAAACAATAGGTTCGTCTCTCGGGGCGCGTCGAGTTTGATTGCTCTCTTTCGAAGGACCCATCACGAGTATTGATGAGAAACGTACAACAACGACTAGATGCTGCCACGTCTTTATTACATCGAGAAATGTCTCGTCTATCACTTTGATTCTCCCCCATCTTTCTTCGTTTTCCCACAGAAACATTATTTTCCGATCTCTCTCTCTCTCTTCGTTCCCATTTCCGTTTCCGTTTCCGTTTAGGCAATCAGATAAACCGTTAAGTCGTTGCTTGATTTACTTGTTCTACAAAAACGATCTGCAAACCGGTTCGGGTTCTCTTCTCCCACCCAACGCCATCTCCCCCCTCTCCTTCTTCTTGTTCTTCAGATGCATACATTGTACACTTCTTGTACACCTTTCCCTTTATTCTCACACTTTCATTGATTCCAGAATGGATCACTCGCATCATCACGTCCACAAAGGAACCATCGGTGAGAACGTTCCCCCATGTTTTGGCACGTTTGGAGTTTTCCACTTCACAGATTATCCGTTCGACGAAAAAACGAAAAAAATTGTGTTGACAGGTAACACTGCGGTGGCGAACGCTCAACCGCAACATGATCACATGATGGTGCACCACGCGATGTCGTTCCACTTCGGCACCGAGGAGACTATTCTGTTCAACTTCTGGAAGACTGAAACTGCAGTTGGTATGCGATCATTTCCTCTGAACACGACTGGAACCTATCATTTCAGGAATCGCCGCCTCATGCTTCATCACTGTCCTTCTAGCCTTCCTCATGGAGACAATTCGTTTCTTCCGTGACTATCGTAAAGCTCAAAGCGAGGTCCATCGGGCGCCAATTGCTCAAGAGAACCGTCTCAAGTATCCGTTCTTTTTGTGAATCCATCTGAACTTTACTTTTCCAGATTGTCCCCTCAACTGGACATCATCGACCCTCTCCTCCAACTCTTCCAGCTCACTATCGCCTACTTCCTCATGCTCATTTTCATGACTTTCAATGTCTATCTCTGCTTTTTCACTGTCATCGGCGAAATCTTCTCGCACCTTCTCTACCGTACTCTTTTCCCCAATCTGAACTCCTCCTCTGCCGGTCACTGCTAATTTCATTGCCAAATTGTTTGTAAATACCAAAACGCATTCTAAAATATTGTATTTTCTGCTGTATGTGTCGAGTCTGTCTGTGATCGTCTTGTGTGATTGAGATAAAATTCTGTGATTGGAAAACGCGGAAATTCCAAATTCGAGCACGCTCCGCTGAAACTGATAACAAAATGGGTGTGCTCGTTGCTTATCAACGCCGCCATTGCCTTCCTTCGCCCCGTCGGTCGACCGGTCCGTCGTTTTTCATTATGTGAGCCCATTTCGCTGCCGGAAGAAGTTTGCTCATGATTTCTGACGCTTCTCCAACTTTTTCTTCACACTATGAATTAAAATGAATTCAAGCAAAGTCGGTCAGAAAATGTTTGCACGACCTTAAGGAGCACTACCAATTATCATTTCTCGTGAACTAGTTGGTCTCGCTCGCTTTCCGAGCACGTTGTTTGAAAGCGAATATCGCAAGTATGCAAATGTTTTGTCTCTCGCCGTTCCAATGTTTATTCAACTGATGTCATCCATAGCTGCTCCTCCTCCAGGGCTTGCCCAGGGAAGGAATTTGTTGTTACTTACATGATGTATATAGGCAAAATGATATGATATGATATGTATACGACTACTCCTAACGCCTAGATCAACTGCGAAGTGAGCACAAAGACTGATGGCTTGAAATGAAAGTGAAAGAGTAAGTAGAAACTACGGAGCAACAGGTTCTAAGTGTGAGAGGCAAAAGTGAGAACGGATTGCCAGACGGCTGCGGGATCGGCATGTGTCCTACTAAATGTCAGACAATGCAACCCGCAGTTGCGGATGGAACTAGACGCAGACGCCCGAAGGCGCCCTTCTCTCGCTCGCTCTGCCCGTCCCTAGCCACGATAGTGCGCACGTCTCGGAGGTTTTCTCTGTCCCGTCCCTCTCTGCGCCTCCATTTTTATTCACTCCGTGCCATGTGTATACGTTAGACATGTCTCTCCTCGCTCTCTCTCACCGATATTTTTGCGCATTTCCACACCACCCCACCATCAACCCCTTTCATTTCTGTCCCCTCTTCTCACTACGCGTGCACTCCTAGCCATACCGGGGCGCCCTGAATGGACCTACATCACGGCTTCTTCTCTCGTCGTCTCGCTTCTCCTTCGGGTTGGAGTGGTGCCCAAAAAAGAAGTGGGAGAACACGTCGAAACGTTCCGCCGCTTTTCCTTCTTCTTCTTCTTCTTCTTCTTCTTCATCTTCTTCTTCTTCTCCTTCTAATCGCGCTTGCTCCTCGAGCAAATCAATCCTCTTCAATCATTTGAATGCATTTCAGATACGAGTAGCCTCACGGGATCAGAATGGAACAGCATGCGTTCCCGCCGTACGTCAACGTGCCACCAATAGCCAAGAGTAAGCTTTATAAGTTTCAAGTAAACAGAAGCCAGCAAAATGCCATTGAAATTTGATTCCTAGATTCATGTGATAAACTGACAATATCATATGACCACTTAGAGAGAGTATAAACAACCAATCATTATCCTTTCCAGCACGAAGCACAAGCCATCTAGCACCGACGCCCGAGCATCACAGATCAGTTAGTTACGAGGAAACGACGACGGCATCGACGAGCACTGATTCCGGTAGCGAAACGCACGGTCCCGTTGGCTTCCTCTCACCTTCAGTTCCAGTCGTTCGCATTCGATCAGAGAGCTCTCAGGTCTCGTGCGAATCCGAAATTCCCGTTCCTGCTCCTAGAGTGCGTTGACGCTTCTCTCTTAGAATGACCTTATTCCCTTCTGTTTCAGATGTACGTGGCTGCATACGAGTACACAGCACAGAAAGACGACGAATTGGACCTTCCGCTCGGATCTATCGTCAAACTGGTCACCGCTGAAACGTGAGTTTTTATATCTTTAGCCACTAATGGGCTCCGCATTCCCTTGTGCGGGTAGCGGATAGATCAAAAAACCAAATCCACTTTACGTCGGTTTATTTGCAAAGAATTGAAGGCAAGAAGATGGTTGGTTCCGAGGTGAACTCGAGGGAAAAGTGGGATTATTCCCATCCAACTACGCAAGATTACTGCCCGAGAAGGACAGCCTCGTGGAGTACGGCGCCAACGAAATCCAAGCGCCGGATGGAGGAAAGGATCTGGAGAACTTTCGAATCGGACACGGAGCCACCGCCACCGTCTACAAAGTGGACATTAGGACGTACTTACAAGTGAGCAATTAGGGTTGTAAATCGAGTTCCAAGATCAATATTCAGGGTGGTCATATGGGGGAAGGATTGGATCATCGGAAGGCGGCGCTGAAACGATTCAACAAGTACGCATTCAATACTCGAGGAGACGCGTCGCATGCGAACCAACGTGAGATCTCAACATTTCCAAGGGATGCAATCTTAAGCCCTTGTTTACAGTAGATCACCTGAAACGAGAGGCTAATCTGGTCAATGGACTTTCGCATAACAACATTGTTCGTCTTCTCGGAATCTGCCTCGACGACATCTATTTTGGGCTGTTGTTGGAGCTCTGCGAAGGTTCGATTTCACCTGACATTCAACCTCCTCAACTTGTGTTTTGATAGGGGGCTCACTGAGAACTGTGTGTCACAACATGGAAACTACGAAGGCGATTCCGTTGGGAGTGCTGGTGGACTGGGGAGGGCAAGTGGCGGACGGGATGCAGTACCTGATTAAGGAGGGATACGTGCACAGAGACTTGAAGGCTGACAATGGTAATCACGTTGAAAACAGATTAAAAATATCAATGATGTTTGCAGTGCTCGTCAAAGAAGAAGTGTGCCTTTGCATCGACGAAGAGACAATGAAGTATGACTGGTGCACCAAATGCGGTCGAAGACCTCTTGACAAGCTGCAGCTGAAGATCACAGACTTTGGAGTGACGAGGAAAATGAACACCGATGCGAATCGAGTCAGTACAGTTGGAACTTACGCCTGGCTCGCTCCAGAAGCGTTCAAGAACAACACGTGGTCCGAGTCTTCCGACGTCTGGTCGTTTGGAGTCGTGCTTTGGGAACTGCTCTCGCGCGAAGAACCCTATCAGGGACAAATTCCGGCCGCCATCGCATTCCAAATTGCAATGCGGGGACAAAGTCTTGCTATTGACGAGAAATGTCCTGAAAAATGGAAGAATATCATGCAGAAGTGCTGGGCTATCGAGCCGAGGGACCGGCCGACGTTCCGCCAGCTGGTGCAGCACTTTGCAGACTACAAAAGAGAATTGGAGGAGAAGTACGTGCACGTGCGGAGAGCACCGTCCATCATGGCCGTCAAGGGTTCTTCAATCTACACGGAATGTCATGTGGATCCGAGAAAAGAGTGAGTTTCAATCAAATGTCATGAAATCTCTATAATAACACGTTCAGAATCGAGAAAATGTTCAACGAGTTGTACGCGGACACCGGTATTAGGGACCGGAAGGACCGTTTGTCGATTGCTCCGGAGACCAAGGCCAGAAACTTTAAGAGTCCGAAAGGGAAAAAGCTGGAGATTACCGGACCGATGGGAGACGTGAAGCACATTCTGTCTGTGCAAAGGGACAAAGCGAACGGGGACAACTTCAGGATCAAGTGTATGTTTTTTTGTTTTTGCACGAGAAAAGCACGAGCCGTACCTCTATTGTGTTGTGAGACGTTGGTGAAATTCAGATGGCGACGGCAACTCGACGGGCGGCACGCTTCCGCGGCTGAACGGCCGGCAGTCGACCCTGTCGATCAGCAGTCCGGACCTCTTCCAACTGTCCGACATCTTCAGCGAAGGAAGCAGCACCATCGGACTGAGTGCTTCTCGGATCTCGCGACAGAAAGCGATCCGGAAGAAGAAGAATCATAACAACATGTCGGGAATCGATTCACCTATCGTTTCACCCACCATTGAATCGGACTCTTTCGCACGAAGTAGGTGTTGTGATTGTCATTGTGGCAAATTACTGAAATTTGTAAACATTAGATGTGCTTTCAGTAGACAATGCGTACGAAGTGGAGCCGAGCGCTTCGAAGGAAATAAAGAACGGAACTCTCTCGAAGGTCTGGTCTAAACTGCGATTTCACAAAAGGGACTCGAAGGAGGAGGACGACAAGGCCGGAAACATTTCGAGCCGCTCGAGCTCGACCACTTCCAACCATAGGATAATAGCTGGACCGGCGAGCCGATCGGCAGTTGCTCCGCCCTTCCTGGAGACTGGATCTCGGTCACGAGCACAGTCAGCTGCGGACTGTTGGGACGATCCGAGTGTGTCAAGGTAATAGTATGAGCCAAAGGTTGAAAAGAAGAAAATGAGAGATGAGTTTTCAGAAGGAACAAGGTGTCGCCATCCGACAGACGGCCAGTAAAACAGACGAATATGACAGAGTAAGTTGAAGTGATAAAGGCGGGATACAGACATGTGAGTCAGCAGACAAACAGAAACCGGTTTCCGGTTTTCAGTTTTCAGTTATGAATCATGTCTCTCCCGTCAATAAGAAATACCATCATGACTCACGTTGTTTTCAGACGTTTCGTAAAAGAATCCGACAAAGATTCAGTGCTCCGTCCATCGCATTTGCCGACGTATCACCGGAAGAGTGCTCTCGATCAGACGATTCCGGCGAGTCCGAACTCACCCGACTCGACCACCAACTTCCCTCCGTTGCAATTGAGTTCTCGCAGAACCACGGCCGCTTCTTCGACGGACGGCGCGCCGAGTTATGAAATGCTCGTGACTAATATCTCGCAGGGGGTCGGCCACGGCCATAGAAATCAGATAATCCAGCCTGTAAGTCTGTGGTCAGCAAGGATTTCATTAAAAGTGCGGGGGTTTCAGAGTCTGTCGGATTATGTTCCGATTGCTGCCGAGCAGCCGACCCATTACCTATTGAAAAATGGAATCATTTACGATGGAAATGGACATGCGCATGGGAGTCACATGGGAGGAATCGGACACGGAAAGCCCACCTACTACCCGGTTGGCGGAGGCTGCGACGACTACTACCAAGTGCCCGGCTCGGGACACGTGAAGCCGACGGTCGGAGAAGTGCACAACTCACCGTACTCCGAGATGGCCAGCCACATTTACAGCCGAAACGTGCAGAATCCCAATACGTTCATTGCAAAGTGAGTGAGGAGATCATTGCGCTCACGCCAATCTCATCTATTCAGGCTCAGAAACCAGCGGTGAAACTTCCGACGGTGCCGATCAAAATTCATTCGGAAAGCAATTTGGCTGGCATAGAACGGCTAAACGGAATCGGGTGAGCGGGGGAAAATGACACTTTTATACTGCCGAGGGGGCGGGGTGACTCATTCGAGAATCGACGGTCTCGCTGCAGCGGTATGTGTCAAGGGGGTGAGAACGAAAGTAAGGGAAAAGAGAAAGAGAACGAATGAAAAAAACGAGATGAAATGTCTGAAAGTATGACAACTCACGATGAGTAAAGCTTGTAAGAGAGGGCATCTTGATACAGTTTATTCAAGACGGTGTAACTCATCTGCCGGTGGAAATATCAAGAAGGTGTCAACTAATAAATTGCTCATTGAAACATTTTACACATTTCATCAGTTGAACACTTTTTGATATCTCTACAAATAGCTGAGATACATAGCTTTGAAATATTGGTATTGAGGTGATGTTCTGGCAATTCTATCCAGAAATGCGTAATTTCCAGAAACTGTGCAAGTTCGTACTCTCTGAATGAGCCGCCCGACATGATTGCACCGCAGCTCCCTCGAATTTCAATGTCTCCGCCGACGCGATTGGCTCCCGCTCTTCCTCCGCCGCGAGACGAATCCGTCTCTCCCAACCCGATGGGCATTATGGACAAGGAGATTCTGAAGGCCAACGTCATCAACGAGACGAGCATCTTCTGACGCCAGATTCCTGCGGCTCCGCCCTCGCCGACGGCCGTGTTTGTACATTTATGATCGCTTTTCTCTCAGTCTCTCTCGCTCTCTTTGTTCATTCCTTTTTGTGCCACACGTAAGTCATGTTTGTAGTTCTCTCTTCTCTTAAACACGTCATTTCTTTTCTCTCTCTCTCTCTCGCTGCCACGTCACAAAAGGCTCCAAACGACATGACTCCAAGCCTGAGTGTTGTAATTTTTCCCCCTGAGTACATTCCGCTAGTGATTTTTAGATGTTTTACTTTTTCGTTGTTTTCTTTTTATTGTTCAAAACGTGTATCACCTCAAACCGTCGTCAGCGCGATAGTAATCCGTCCCCTTCAACTCGATTAGTAACATTTATTCCCATAAACACAAACAAACAAATAAAGTATTCTAAATGAATGAATCCGCTCGGTTAGTACGGAACACTCGGCGGCAATCCAACAGTGAACGGCGTCACTGACGGCGCCTCGATCGGAGCTGGAGGCAGCTCCGGAGGCGACGGCGAAGAGTAGAGTGGCGGCGGAGAGGGCGGCTTTGCGGCGACGGTCGCGGGGCCGATGAAGCAGCAGGTGAGGCAGGCGATCAGCGAGAGCACGATCGATGCTCCGAACAGGCAGGCGGCCACGATTATCGGCCAGCGCCACTTGTGCCACCAACCTGGAAGAAAGGCTTTTTGCTCTGACGCCGGAATGCACAAGTGTCCTTTTCATTCGAAATGCACAACTTCCCGGCACAAACCACACACCAAACTACACGCACCTTTGCCATCGTCGTCGTCGTCGTCGGTCGGAGGCGTTCCCGACGGATCTCCATCTTCATCAATCGTCGTTGTATCCGAACTGACAGTCGTCGTCGTGATGTTGCTCGCAGTGGTTGTTCCATTTACAGATGACGTCGTGGTCGTGGTATTCGTTGGAGATGTAGTCGTTGTTTCATTCGCAGAGATCGTCGTCGTCGTCGTCGTTTCGTTCACAGGAGTCGTGGTGGTAGTTTCATTAGTGGCTACTGTAGTTGTGGTGCTATTCGCAGAGCTTGTAGTCGTCGTTGTTGTCGTTGTGGTCGTTGTGGTGGTGGACACCCAAAGGTAGCAGAGCGGAAGTCCCATCATCGACACCGAGTACGTGGCATTCATGCTGCTCTGCTGTTCCACGTCGGCGTAGTAGTCGTCGTAAGTGGAGGAGTAGAACTGATAAAGAGGTTCGGTGGCTCCGCAACTTCCGGAAACGGTGGCACACATGAAAGAGGGAAGGCCCATGCTCGTGTAGTTCGGATAAACGGATTCGTCAGAGGGGCGGAGCATTATGAGGGTCACTGGAAGTTGCGAGAAATTTGCGTTAGCCTAATGAGCACTGACAGTTATCCGAATCAGTTTTGTAGTACGCTGAAACAGAAGTGAGGCAGGACGAGGTGCAGTTTGTGGTGGCCGCGGATATACCGTACGCACTCTGAACCCGGAATATGTGAACTTTGACACTTTGCGTATAACTGACAAGTTCATAAAGAGCAGTCGCCGACGCATTTCCATAAGTGAACGTCGCGTCGCCAATGACCAAAAAATGGCTGTAATACGCTGAAACCATTCAGTTATTCTAATATCTGATTCCCAGCCCCAGTTTCTCCTAACCTTCTCCCTGCGATCCTACTTGATATTGCGTCAAAGTTGAAAGTGCGTCAGCTGAAAGATAATGTTATCACGAAAATGCCATCAGATCATTCCACATACGAATGTCGGAAGTGCATTGAGAAGCCGCCCGGGTAACCCACAAAAACCAGAGGAAGAATGAGATTTCTCTCATTCGAATCAAATGCGAAATTCAGAATCGGAAGAAAATGAGAGGGAGAAAGAAGGTCTCTGGCGGCGAAATGCCGACGGAGCCGAGCCAGTCTCCATGCGACGCTCATCCCGTTTCCAGGAGTCGAATGAATAATTTCAAAACGTTTTTTGTCCGTGAACATTTGAGAGGAAAGCAAGAAAGACATCTGAATCAGAAATGAAATTCATCAGAGAAATGCGCCGAATTCGTAGGGAATAGCGAGACGGTCCACTGATTGCTCAGCCTGCCGCCGCATTTCTTCCACGTCATTCTGCTGAATTGCGAGCCGATTCGATCGAGCCTCCTGCTTCCGTTCTTCGTCTTCGTGCATTCGGATGTGTGCCTGAGCGAAAAAGCGAATTCATAGAGTGAGTGCAAAAAGCAAAATACCGCAAAGTACGGCGCCTTCTGATATTTCCGCTGACAAACGGGACACTGATAGAGTATGGGTTTCGGGAGACACGATTCTTCGTGTCGTTCAAGGTTGAACTTGCGGGTAAATCTCTTGAAGCACGTCTGAAATAACAATAATTTGCACGGCGTTTCGATGGCATAGACCACTTTCAATTATCCGATCGGACCCTAACTTTTTATGGTATCCGATGGGAAAACTGAGGTGTTTTTGTCCAGCCGTGCTCACTCGACAACAGTAATCTTCTTTTTCTCCGAGTAACTGGGCCGCCGTTCGGATCCTCTTCGTTTTGCCTTCTGAAGACGTCGACGGTGTTCGCTCTTCGTATCGCAACGCAATCACCCGTCTTTTCCGCGGCTGGAAATGAATAGTTCAGAAGGCATTCTAAGAGATCGTTCGCACCGACCAACGAAACACTGTATCGGACGTCTTCACTGCCTTCGGAATGGTCGCCCGGCAACTCGACGATGTACGGCGTCTCGTAGATCTCCCGGTGCATCAGCTCCCGATTCACCCGCGACTTCTGGCCGAGCACGCCTCGAAGAAGACGTCCTTCTCTGGAAAATCAATGAATGTATGCAATGAAACTGCTAGTGTTTTACCTGGAAACTGCAGTGATCTGAAGCTGGAACCTTTCTAAGGGTCGTGCCGCCACAACTTGCCCTCCGTCCGACAGAAACTTTCGAACAGCCTCTTCCTTCAGCCCCGACACTACTTCCATCCTGTCTGAAAATCTGGCTCCAGCGCAAAAGTAACTTTAGAAAGTAACAAACGGTGTCAGATAGAACTTCATCCAGTAAAAAAAATAGTGATCGAACAGAGCTGATAGTACATTTATAAAAGAAATGTGTAATAAAGGAGGGCCGGGGAGAACAGGATGGACAGAAGCAATGGAAGAGCATGAAAAAAGTTACTAATAGGACGATTTGGAGAAGCAGAATGAAAATAAAAGACGTTCATTTCACAGTTTCAGATTCTGCTGGATGCAGTGTGTAAGAATCATAGGAGACAGGATGGGGAATCATTGATCGGGGAAAACTGGGAAATCAAATCACAGTGCGTTAAAGACACTCTAGTTGTTCGAATCCTGGACTAGCGGGACATGAAAGTATTTGGATGACTGATGACTGGAGCCGCTTTTTCACCATTCGGCTTCTCCGCTGCACTTCTGGAAGCAGTAATCCTTTTTGTCAATGTGCATGATTCCGTCCTTCAGCTGGAACTTCCACTTGGTACGTGCTCGGTTTACCTATAAATAAGAAAGGTTATTATCAGACTGGTTGCGACCGCTTACCTTCTCAAACTGACACATGACAACGTTATCGGCGTCAAAGAGCAAGGTCATGTCCTCATCGTCGGACTGGTCATCTTCCGAGTTGAGAGGCTCTTCTTCGGCCACTTGATCTCCGTCCTCAACTTCTCCGTTGCCCATGCGGTCGGCGATTCTTCTCAATGGGTCGTCCTCGTCCTCTTGCTCTTCGTCACTGGAAGAGTCCGACATTCCACCGCCTCCTCCATCAAGTTGAATCTCCTTGAGCAGCGAACCGAGCACTTTCAACGCATCTTTCTTGCTGGCTCCGCTTCCACGAACTTTTATAGACGACGAATGTTTCTTCACAACTTTTCTCGGTTCACTCGAGCCTTCTCCATCCGATTCAATGCCTCCGTTGCCGTCCATTTGCAAATGGCTCAACGGATTGCTCTGACCCGGCTGCTGTTGTTGAGGTTGTCCCTGATGGAACCTCTGTCCTATCATGGACACCGGAAGGTTCTGTCCATTCGGCTGCTGCATGAGGAACACCGGGGCTCCAACTTGTCCTGGAAACTGCAATCCTCCAGTGAACTGCTGTGGAAACTGCACACGGATTTGTTGAGGGGCCTGCTGAAATTGATTGGTTTTAAAAATAGATTTTTTTCCTCAGAGTACAAACCCCTGGTTGATGAGTATATGCCATTCGGAGAGGAGCTTCTCCCATCTGAGCTGCTTGGAGAGTTCCAATGTTCGCTGGACGATTGTGTTGCGGATGCATCATTCTCTGCGGCGGAATGGGATTCGGACGAATCGGGTTAACCGGAGCATGTTGACGTGGCGCCGGCGGTCCAGCGTTGCTATCCAAGTCGACACATCCACTTGAGTTCACTTTGTCTTCCCACTCTTTTTTCAGTTGCGAGAGCACGTCGACGTCTATATTCTCGTCGAGGAACGCTTCTCTCATGTTGCTGATGACATCAGCAATCACCGACTTGTATATGTCGGCGATGCAGTTGCCGTGCGACATTGCGAGCTTCTATCGCTTCCGTTTCCTATAAAACAAAAGCTGGTTTTTGTGACTTCCATATACAGGCTGTTGTTCATAACCCCGAAGCGAACACGAGAAACCGGTTCTAAACCGGACACTTCCCGACTTTCCAAACTATCGATTTTCTTTGCGTTGATTTTGTGATGAGAAATGTTTCGAGAGCAGAACAACCCTTCCACTTTCAACTTCGTCATTAATGATCACGTTATCGACACGTTTTCTGGTGAAGGAATGTACAACATTTCGCAACAAGCTAAAAATAAGCTGAAAATACACTCACGACTCCCTCTAGGTCCACTTCCAAAAGTCCCACTTTCTAGTACCTCAAACATGCGCGAAAACAGCATCACGTACATGCAGCAACACAACGAGAGCGTTAAAACAACTCACCAATCTGGCAGCAGGCAGCGACGACCGACTGAGTATATATACGCCGCAGCGGGACGGGTGACGTCAGTCTCGCCGAATTATGATGTGCAGGTTGTTGTCGGCGAGCGCCAATTCAAACAGCCACACAGTATTTTGTCGATTTCTTCGTCTCGACGCTCTCGGGCCGAACGATAGCGGTTGTTTGTGCGGGACGAGACAAGAATTGGGCCGAGAGAAAAAGAGTGTCGCCAAGCGCCGTCGACGACCGTTTCGAATTATGCCGTAAACAACGCACTAGACGCGCAATTGCAGACATGCGGCAGGGGCTCGGGTTGCGTCATTTTGAGCAGAGCTCAGGCTAGAAAAAACAATATTTCAAGAACAGATAGGGACATGTTTTCGGAATATTTATCGCAATTGTTATGTAAACAATCTTTCGAAAATTGGGTATCTTGCTGAAGGCGAAAGCAAAATATTGGTCAGCGAGCATAGAAAAAAGACAGTAATGGGGCTATTCAGCGTATGTTTGTTTTCCGTTTTTTTCATTTTTTTTTACATCGCTGAATTGGGTTTTTTGACGTAAAAAAACGGAAAAAAAAAACGGAAAAATGCATTTTTTCACAGCCTGAATAACCCCATAAGCAATGATCCTAAGTAATTGGGAAAGGGCAAAACTTAACTTAAAGGAGAACGATATAGATTAGTACTGAGAGGTGAAATGAGAAAAAATATCTTTGTGAAACGGGAAAAAACAAGTAAATAAGATGAGGTGCCGTTGTAGAAAAATGTTATTCTTTTTCGTTAATAGATGAAAGTTGGCGGCTGCGAGCTGTCCCGAAATGTTTTCGAGCATTTTCTCGTTCGAGTCTGAAAGTGAATTCCGCTTTGGCTTCCACCGCCCGTCTCTTCTTCGCTTTCTCCATCTGTCTCTTCAACGCCTTCGCATTCGGAACGTCCTTCGTCGCCATCTTCTCCGCATCCACACACATTTCACAAGTGAATCCCAGTACGCGATGGCATGTATTCGGGTGATGAAGGAACTCCCCCAACTGCAAGGTACATTCGATGAGTCGCATGAGAACGTTACCTTGCTTTATCTATCGGATTGGTACCAATCCGAACCCTCGGCGCCGTTCCTTTTTGTAGCGCTCGTGAAACGATGCCTGTGATACAACTTGACGTACTAAACAGTAATCGGATTGGCGTCGAAACCCATGCATAAATTTTTGTGGTCGGCACTCTTCATGCCACTTCTTCCCCCCTCACTCTTCCGTGCTTTCAGTTTTTATTATTTGTTTGCTCAATGTGCAACTTAGTCTGATAACACCTGTTCCTTCAGAGTTTTGTACTTTTTTCTGTTTGATCTTGGCTTTTTCGTATTGACTCTTTGCGCCTTTTTTGTTGCCTGCTCTCAAGAATATGAATAAAGCATTTCATTTTAAAGGTAATCATTGCCTAGGATCTATTCGTCTTTCCTCCGACTCGGATATGTCGGACTTTTCTATAAATGTAAGTGAAACAGGAAAAAGGAGTACAGAGAATGAACTTATGGTCAGGACCAAATAAAGTTGGCATCTGAATGGGGCTACAACCAGGATGAGATAATGGCGGCGCTGAAAACAAATTCAAGAGATGGATCCAAAGAATTCGAACGATTCGAGAACTTTGACGTCATGTTGGACATTCTGAACAAAGTGTCCGGGAAGAGTGGGTCCGGCAAAAAACATTGCACTCCCGGGTACTTGAGGACATGAGAATGAACCCATTGATCCCGTACTTTCAGAGATTTGATGTCCACTTCTGTGACAACTCTTCACCCGCACAGCTCCAATCCACGTAGAAGTCTTTCCGTTGCAAGATCTTCTTCCTTCCATCTTTCCACTCCGAAGTGAGTCTTGAATTCATAATTAATTAAACTCAATTGCTCTTCCAGAAGTACCCGAGATTCCCACGACATGGTACGTCTTTTAGCCACTTTGGAAAGAGAAAAAGAGCGTGACCGGAAAGAGGTCGACAGTCAGTTCACCATTCTCAAGGTGACTCTCACTTTTGGAACGCGTCAAACTGGTTTCGATTTTAGAACCGAATAAACCATTTGGAGAGCGAGAAAGAGGCGCTGCTGCAGGACATTCAAGACATGAAAAGAGTGTTGGAGGAGACAGAGAACGAGTTGAGGGACAATCAGGAGGAGAAGCATCGGCTCATGGAGGAGAGCATCGTGGCGGCGGACCGACTGGACAAGTTGGTAAGGATCCTGTTCACTCTGGATCTCAGGATTGACTTTACCATTCAGACCATCCAAAACTACCGTCAACAACAAGAGATTCATGACCAAAAAGAGCTGTCTGAGCACCGAAAAAAGATTTATTCGGAGGAGAAATCGCGGCGGGACGAGGAGATTTTGAACCTTCAAAAGCAGAAGACCGACGTCGAAATGGAGCTGGAACGGAAAAGTGCTTTGCTGGACGCTCAGACCGGGGTGACAAAGCGACTCGCGGAACAGAACTATCAACTGGTGAGTAAGTCATTCTGAAGATCACTCCAAACCCACTGGCTTCCAGAAACCTATGATTCTACTCGATGAACTGACCAAGAAGCACACTCAACTCGTCGACCTTTCCACAGAACTTTTACCCAATGTGAACGCGGTCAAAGCACTGTACAAGCAACTGGTACGCGTCTTACCGACTCCATCCGAATGATCCTCTTTTCAGTTCGACAGTTTTCCTCAACTAGAGCAAAATGTGCAAGAGTCAAAGTCCCAAATGGAGCAACGAGTGGCCGAAGTCGAGGAGCAGCTGAGCAGCCGCAACCGCGACTTCCAACGTCTCCAGGAGAAGCTCGTCGCCGAGTGCTGCATCTGTCTCGCCACGAAGCCGTCGATCGTTTTCATGCCGTGCCGCCATCTGATCACGTGCTCCGGCTGCTACGACTCCAGCGACTTCCGCGAGTGCCCCACGTGCCGTTCCACCATCGACAACTCGATTACTGTTTTCATGTGAACCGCAATGAATATCGATACCCCCGTGTGTACACATCCGTTTCTCTTCCGACCAAAAAGGCGCTTTCTCTTCTTCTTCTTCTCTTCTCTCCGTCCCATCGCATAAAAAAATAACGGTTGCGCTCCGTTTTGCGACGGAAAGACGGAAAGCAACGGAATAATCGAATAGAACGGGAGGACCGAAACCATTATCACCGTGCAGTCCGTGCGTCCGTCGCCCTCTCGCTCTCTTCCCGGCCGTTGTCAAAACATGGCACACGACGGCAAAACAATGTAATGCCTCGTACTATCACCCTATCACTTTCAGATGACTGCCCGGTTGCGGTCGAAACGCAGCATGCTCTACGCCACTTTTTACTCCAAGTTTCAAGACGCCGCGAGCATCACGAGCACCGTTAACCCCAACCCGGTCTTGGCGCCAGATCCGTTCAATTTGGATCATATCGGTGATGGATACGGTAGGACGACAACATTCAGAACATTCGAGAACCAATAACTCATTCAGATGTCTGGACACGTGGCGAAACTCAACTTCTCGTCTTGGCCGTCATTCTTGTCATTATGACACTGTTGTTTGTGGCTATTGTGGCACTGGACTGCGGACGCAACTCTCCGATGATTCTGCGGTCCGGAACTCTTCGAGACGTCGTCAGACACGGAGCAACAAACAGACAACGGAGCACTGGAGGGCACACGAACAACGTCTCGATGGATGAATTCAAAGGTAGGCTTTTACAGTAAGCAGTCGGGGGAGTTTCAGGAAGTAAAACTTTTACTTCCTGAAACTCCCCCGACTATTACAAAGTATCTCGAGCCGAACCGAAAAAAAGTGTTATGCCAATCGGCCGGCAAGTGTTGTAAGAAACAACGCGGAAGCAACGGGAAGAGAGCACATGTTCTCGCCGTCCGCTTCCTCCATTTTTCTTCTCCTCCTCCACCATCATTGTTTCATTTTACAGCCCCGCCGCTCAGCTTCTTGGCCCCTCCACCATACGTCGATCGCCGTTATCCCACTTCCTCAATTCCGCTTCCCATTTGACTTTCCACCAACTATTCATTTTTCTTTGATTGAAAAAGCTAATTCTCATGATAGAATCTATCACAACTTTGTGTGAGATCAACCTAGAGAATCGTGCGGCCCTGCAAGATCAGATGTTATTGTTCGCCCTCCGGCCTTCGTTCTCTCTGTCCGTCTCCATCTCTTCCGTCCATCATTCTTATCTATATGTCAACGACCATTATCCAACGGGAGTGTACCTTTCTTCTCCAATCCTCTTTGTTCTGATCAAAACATTCGCATAAATGATATTTTGAAACGAAGAACCTTTTCCAGCTAATTGTCACTTTCAGGTAGCATTTGTTTTGGTGGGAAGTTGAATCAAAGAATTAGAAGATGTGGGCACGCGTCTCCCTTCTTCTTGCCGCATCGATTTGCATTGGCTTAGGTACTTTTGTTACTTTTTACCAAAACTACAAACTCACCGAACTAAAAACTAACTCAAGCTCATTCAAACTCACCGACGACCCTATAACTAGCCCGATAATTGTTCCAGTGCTTTTCAAAGGTATATTAGACTAAATTGACATAGACAATGAGACATTTTCTGTTCTTGTGAAATAAGTTCCATTCAGGAGAGAAAGGATATTTGCTCCCGTCCTGCCAATTGCCACTGCATCACGGAGTTCAAAAGTGCACAAATAGTTCGTCGTTGCGAGTGAGTTCGTTTGTCAAATACGGGTAAATAATGAAAAAATGTCTTCAGTTCTACATGGACGCTGATCTGGAAACGTGTTTGGCATTCAAGTACTCCGGCTGCGGCGGCAACTCGAACAATTTTGAGACGTACGGCGAATGTGTTCGCTGCTTTGCCAGTCAGTTTTCTTTTTATTCGGCTCTAATTGCAATTGAAATTTTCTACTTCCAGTGGACTACAATGGATGTGCGGTTGGATCGAAATCTGTTCCGAACACTGACAACTCCACGACGTGCGCCACAATGGAAAATGAGAAGTGCACTGGGCCTAACACGTATTGCGATCGTGGCGCATGGTTCGGAATTTGTTGCGACAAGACCATCAGAGGTACGTGCCACGTCATGTTGTCATCGGACAATAACAATATTTCGCCGGGAAAACAGACAACAGAAACTGCTTCTGTTTAGTTTCGTTTTGTTCGCATTCACCCTCAACCAGTCAGTGTTCTTTCAGATAAGGCGAACGCTGATCACAACAAGAAAGAGGGATGTGGACCGGGTTTGAAGAAGGTCGAATACCCAACCGGAAGCTACAATGTCTCTCTGCTCGGAAAATCTTGCGGCTCGAACTTTTGCCCGCAAAAGTCCACGTGCCATCAGGGCAACTATTTCGCTTACTGCTGCTCCGCATAAGATCCTTGTCACGAAAGGACACCGGTGATAATCGACATGACATTTATGAAGCATTACTTATTGTATTTTCTGGTTAGAGTATTTGTTGCTGAAGATGTATTAGTCATCATCATTTTTATCTTTTTCAAAGTTACTTCAGGTACGGTACGGTACAGTTAGTTTCCATAACAGGGTTCTGAAAATGCTGAAGTTCATCTTGCCCTTCCTCTGTGCTCTGAGCGTTTCTGCTCAGTTCCGTGGCGAATGTGAGCAGCCCCTTCATCACGGAGTTCAACAGTGCACCAACACTTCTTCCATCAGAGTAAGTCGTCTCCCAGCCACTATTTATTGTCATTTCTTCCAGTTCCATCTGGACTCTGCCACCAAACGCTGCCTCGCCTTCAAATATTCTGGCTGCGGCGGAAATGCCAACAACTTTGCCAGTTACCAAGAGTGCCAGAGCTTCTGCTTCCCAATGGACTACTTCACCTGCCCGGCTGGAAGTAAGGCTGTGCCGAACAAGAACGGAAAGGTCAACTGCGGAGGATTCGAGCAATTGAAGTGCGACGGACCCAACGCCTACTGTATCAACGGTCCCTTCACCGGACTTTGCTGTGATTCTTCGATTAGAGGTATTCGGAAAGGAGAGTACTCATCTTTTCTCGATTTCAGATAAGGTCAATGACGATTACGAGAAGGAGTGCGGACCAGGAAAGCAGAAGCATCAAATTGACATTGGAGGAATCGAGATTCCGTTGTTCGGAAAGTCGTGCGATTCCACGTTCTGCCCATCCAACACCACGTGTCATCAGGGCAACTACTTTGCCTACTGTTGCGTCTAATTACTTCAAATTTAAAAATCATGTTTGCTAAAGTGTTTATAAACAAAAAATATGACTCAAATGAAACTGATGTTAGCTAACATAAAACGGAGTGTGTATCGTTAACGGATCCCATCATAAACTGTTAACGGTGATGGGAATTTGAGGAGAACATAAAAGGAACTTTTCCCTCCGTTTTCCGTCGTTCCCAATGATTCTCTTCTTCCTTCTTCTCACTGGCTTCGCCGCTTCTCAGGACGTTTGCCAAGCGAAAGTGGACTCAGGAACCGCTAAGTGCTCCAATGCGTCTTCCCTTCGATTCTTCCACGACCACGACACGAAAAGATGCCTAGCGTTCCAATTCTCGGGCTGCGGAGGCAACGGGAACAACTTCGAATCGGTGGCTCTCTGCCGGCAGAGATGCATTCCGATGGATCACATCACTTGCCCCGCCAACACCCCGGCCACTCTCAACAACAAAGGAACGAACAACTGTGGGAAGGGTACTGGCGAGCCGGTTTGCAAGGATTCCACCTCTTTCTGCCATTACGGACCGAATGCAATAGGTCTTTGCTGCTCTAAAGATTCTAAAGGTTTGTTACCCGGTGGACAATGATTCACTCCTCTTTACATTTTAGAAAAAAGCCACCAAGATCACTCGAAAACGTGTTCCAATGGAGCTGAAAAGTATCAATTCGAAGACGGAGGCCACAAGAAAGTGCTGCTCGGAAAGTCCTGCAGCCACAATTTCTGCCCCGCCCAGTTCAAGTGCAAATGGGAAACTTCTATGCGTACTGCTGCAAAATATAATCGTTCATTCTTTTGAAATAAATGTGTTATTCAGTCTTGGCAACAATACGCGAAAAAGTTGCCCGTCTCGCAGGAGTATCCGCTCGGACACGTCACGTCGGCGCACACCTTCGCGAGCACAGTGTTCCCGTCGATTTGATAGCGGGCCTTGCCGGATGGACACGTCGCAGACTTGTCGGCCGCGAGGCCCACTTCCACCGTTTTGTTGCAGCACAGACCGATCGTGTAGAAGTTGACGCACAAGGCTGTGTCCTTGCACCCTTCAGAGGTCTCCGAATCGGCCACCGGACACTGCGGACTGCCGTTGTCGTTGAAGATCGGCTTCTTTCCGAGAGAACATTGAAAGTATTTTCCTGAAGAATTTCACCGAAATCAGAAGAATGAACGACGATGAGCCCACTCCAATCTCCAATGCATTTATCGATGCAATCTCCAGGCGTCTCGTAGTTGTTCGCGTTTCCTCCGCATCCGTTGTAAGGGAAGGCGTGACATTCATTCACATATGGGTCAAAATGGTACTGAAATTCATCGAATTGCTGGAATAAGACCTTGCTGAGTGAGACATACTCTAATGGATGAAGAGTTGGTGCAGTTGACAGAAGTACCTGGAACGACAGGCAAGTAGCAGCCGGGACCGTGTCCGCGGACCAAAGCAATGAGAAGAATTGGAAGAAGTATGAGTTTCAGCATTCTGCACAGGCTGGACCTTCACCCAGCCTTTTATAGTTTTTGAGGAGAACGTGCAAGAAACCATTCTCTTTTTGCTTTGTTTTTCTTTTCTTTGCATGATATGATTCATGTCACATCTTTCGATCTGTTTCGTTGAATGCGAACCTGAAAGGGAAGGAAATTGTTCATCTGAAGAAATGAAATAATGAATTGACTTTTGTGTAGACTTCTTAAGCTAAAGTTGAAGTATTTTGGGCGCAAGTTTCGAAACAAAAGTTCAGGCCTAAACAAGCGTGGACCGGTCAGTTGCCCGGTCCTGGCTTTGATGATCACAGGTTCAACGAGACTTATCACGCCTAAACCATGTTGACATAAACCGATCTAATCCGCGGGCTCCTCAATTCGATTCTCCGTCTCCAGCACGTGAATCCTTTCGTTCGTCGGTTTCTCGTTCTGTCTGCCGTCTCCCGCGTCCACACGCTTCCTCGTTTTCATTTCTCCTTCGTTTCCACCAACACTAACACACAAACCATGTCGCTGCCAGCGGTCATCCACCCGCCCCATCGTTGCGCAATCGTCGTGGTTTGTGGTGGTCGCTTATCTTCTGAATGCATATAAATAAGCGTTGTCTACAACCTGAAATCACTTTTTCCGTGCATTTATCGTTCCTTTGTTTCCACAATATAACCTTTTCGTTTGAACTCTGATCCGAATGAGGTTAAATATTGACACATTCCTCTCATTTCCATCAATCCTTCACCTGATAGTTCTCCACTGATAACTCTCGATCTCTCTCTCTCTCTCTCTCTCTCTCTCTCTCTCGTACTTCCAATTCGCTTGTTTTTGAATACTCCGACACCACATCCTACACTTAATCGGTCGGTCACAAACTACGACCGGCACAAAATGGGTTTCCTCTCTGACTTCTCGCCACTATGCAACGTTTCATGGTTTTGTAATCATCGAATTCTGTGACTGCCTTCTACATCGGCGTCACTTTAATCCACATATTAGGCCTATTTTCTCTTCAGTATCAGCCAATATCTAGTATATTTCCGTTTAAAATTTCAAGGTCCGCCCTCTCAACATTCTTTCGTCTCGTCAAATTAGTACTAATTGGAGTCCTTCGGCCATTCTTTCCCATTTTACCCCATTCTTTTGCATTCCTTCCAATTCAATTCTCTCTTTCAGCAATGTTCCTCGAAATCTTCACAGTCTGGCTCGGCCTCTTCTCTATCGCTTTCACGTTTCTGCCCATGTTCATGGTGCTCGACTGGCGCAAACGTGGAAGTGCCGAAGGATTCAGCTCGGTGAACTTTGTGCTCCCGATGCTTGTGTTAGTGCCGCGTGGCAATGATGCAAACCGAACTCTCCGATCTTTTAGACAATCCTTCTGGCTCCGTCACGGATTCATGACTAACGATCAGACAAACATCATCATCAACTCTGTCAACCTCGTTTTCTTTGTGTTTTACATCTCCGCATTCGGCTACTATCAGCCAAAGAGGGTGAGTCTCTTTTTTGTGACCTGTCAAAAAGTGCTCTTTCCAGAAGTACCTGATTGGCCAACTCGTTTTTGCCGCCGTCGTCATCAAGCTGGCCTTTGCCTACGTGGATACTCACGATGCGGACAAATCAACGACGTGATGGGCTCGATGGCCGCCGGAGCACAGATTTTCAGTTTGGCGGGTGGAATCTACGAGATTGTGAGCGAACATCATTCATTCGTAAACCCTTTCGAATCTGTCCATTTCTAGAAGAGAGCCGTTTCGATGGGCACCACCGAGTACATCCCGGCCGGCTTCCAATTCGCCATTTTCACGCTCATCGTCCAATGGCTTCTCTTCGGAATCCTGCACGGAAACCAGTTCATTGCGGTGAGCATAGCCACCCGTCATTTTGTGCATTCAACAAAGCGCTTTCAGATTTCCAACGCCGCCGGTCTCCTCGTGAACATCGCCACCATCTCCCTGTACTTTTTCTATCCGCCACTCACCTGGACTGTCCCGATTTTCAACATTCCCCCACAGAAGCAAGACGCTAAGAAAGAGTAGTGTCCATCCCGAATCGCTCCAATTGTTTGTTCTTGCCCCAATCAGTGCCTTTTTGCTTTTTTTGTCTTCCAGTAGCTCTTCTTCCATTTCTAAACGTGTCCAATAAATGTGAATCAACACTTTTAGAGTTCCACGTGAACCTTCCCCAATCTAATCATCATCTGTCCAGGAAAATTGCAAAAGTAAACCAGGGTGTCATGACGATGAAAACTGTCTACAAAAAGGCGAAAAATTGCAAAAAGACTCATAAATTTCTCTTCTCGAAGTCTACAAACCACGTGTGAGGTTCGCATCGGAAAGCTAAAGCTCAATCGGAGATGGCGAAAAAAGATGAGAAGGATAGCGAGAACTTCGTGCTCAAGCTCGACTGCGACAAGGCGAGCCGAATTGCGTGGGAGTCATTCTCTGAATGAGCATTTTCCAGGTGGTTTTCTCGAACCCGAAACTCGGCGACGAACTCACCCACTTCGTGCTGAAAATCACGAATCCGGCGAAGGAAAAGTATGCGTTCAAGATCAAGTGCACTTCGAACGAAATGTTCAAGATTAAGACGCCGGTCGGAGTAATCGATTCGCAAGGTTCCGTCGATATCACGGTAGGAAATTGAGATGCGTTTCAAAGGCAAACTTATAGAATTTTTGAATTTCAGCTGGTGCACAACCCAGGGAAGGTTATTCCTGATAACGGAAAACAATACTTTGCAATCTACTACGTGAAAGTGGGAAGCACCGAATTAAACGAGAAGTTCACTGTTCGCGACTTGTGGAAGGGCGTCAAAGGACCGTCGGAGGGCATCAAACGTGTCTTCATCGACTTTGACAAGAAGGCCGGAGCCAAGAAGGAAGAGAAGAAGGATGGAAAGAAGGAAGAGAAAAAGGAGGAAAAGAAGGAAGAAAAGGAAGAGAAGAAGGAGGAAAAAGCGGAAAAGAAGGACAAGGAAGAGAAGAAAGAAGAGAAGAAGGAAGAGAAGAAGGAAGAGAAGAAGGAAGAGAAGAAGGAAGAGAAAAAGGAAGAGAAAAAGGAGGAAAAGAAGGAAGAGAAAAAGGAGGAAAAGAAGGAAGAGAAGGAGGAGAAGAAGGAGGAAAAAGCGGAGAAGAAGGATAAGGAAGAGAAGAAGGAAGAGAAGAAGTAGACTCCCTGTTCAACTAGTTGCCAGCCAATTCATTGAGAATAAATATTTATTCAAATTGGCCAATCTTTTGTTGTTATTAAAGGTATCACAGGTAAAACTAGTGGTCCCGTGTCATTGCGTATTCCGAAACTTCTTGTTCACAATTCAGTGTTTCTGTTCCAATTTCCCGAAGCACCGTTCGAAATCCGTTTGCATGTGCTTCAATAGGATGCATATAGTGTACACACAAATCGATGCCACTTTTGCATATTTGCCCCCGTCCCTCCCGTCCGTTCTCATCGCCCCCTGAGAACTATTCCCTCTCTTTCCCAGTCCATTCCTCCCTTTTCCTGCAAAGGCCGCATGCATCGACTCAACTTTTCACACGCATCCACCACGCGACAGCGTCTCTTATCAGTTATCATCGCCGAAACCCTATCAAGTATTTTCTTTCGTTTCTCCGTAGTACAAGTGCGCCCCAATTATACTTTGCCCTGCCATCACTATAAAAGAGGCCATTGTATCACCGAGTGGCGACCAATTGTTCAATTCACCAACAAAGTTTCCCGTTTTCAGCATGCCACCAGTCAACAGTAAACCTGAGTGGCCTTATCCGGAATCCAGCTGTTTCCCTGGAAGAATTGAGAGATTCTCCTACAGAACTTATGTAAGTTGAAGATAGCACTTTGGTGAAACAAAAACAAACACACTTAACTTCCTGTTTAGAATTGGTTTGAGAACCGCCTGTGGCCGGTCAGACCTCTTCCGTTTCTCGCGGCAACCGCTGCAGTAACCGCCTATCAAGTCAAGGATTTCGGGATTCAAGACATTCAGGATGATGTGCAAACGGTTAACTTGTTCTACGTGGTATCCATACAATTACTGTAATCTTCAGCTCCTCAAACCGCTCGCCATATCCGTCAGCTTCGTGTACACTTCAACCTTTCTGCTCCGTCACTTCCTCAAATATTTCTACTTCGGCTACAAGGGATACCTGTTCGAAAATCCCAAAAAGCCCTCTTTCTGCACTATCCTCTGGGGTGTCGTTCGGAAGATTCTTCTGAAGGTGGCTCCGCCGCAACTCTCTTCCTGTGACCGACTTCTGCCGAATCTTCCGCTTCCTGCTCTCAAAGATACTGTCGAACGATACGTGGACTCGATGAAGCACTTCATGCCCGAGGTAAAATATTAGTTTACGAAGTGACGCACGCGCCCATTTTATACTTTGCCCTGCTGATAACCCGTCTCGTTGTAGGGCACCATTCCTGTCACATAATGCCTATTAATGTTTTCGTTTTATCAGGAGGAATACGTCCAAATGGTCGAGATGTCACGGCAGTTTGTGGCAGGAGAAGGGCGCAGTCTGCAGCGATATGCGTGGTTCCTTCACAAGATCACTGACAATTACGTGACGTCGTTGTGGGAGAAGTACATCTACATGGCCGGCAGATATCCTTTGCTCATCAACAGCAGTGTCGCTCAGTGCACAATGTACGGAGAGAGTGATTTGATTCAGGCTTACCAGGTGGCCAGACTGATTTACATTGAGACGGTTGCCAACTTGGCACTGGATAAGCAACAGTACTTGGCGGTGAGAGAAATAGTTATTTTTCAAAGAGAGGAGCCTTGGTTTCAGGTTGGAGATGGAGTAATGTCAACTAGACACTACAAGAACATATACAATGGATGTAGGATCCCTGGAAAAGAGTACGATCACTTCCAGTGGAACCAACCGGCCAGACACGTCGTTCTGGTCCACGAGGGCACCTGGTACAAATTGGACATTTGCGACGGAAAAGGAAATCTTTACACTGTCGATCAACTAGCCAAGTTTGAGATAACCCCTTTCCTTTCATTTCTTTTTGTTCAGAATCGTCGCCGAAGTGATGGATAGAGATGATAAGGCAAGCGGCTACCTCGCCCGAATTGCCAGTCTCACAACCGACCGAAGAACCGAATGGAGCGCAAATCGGCAGAAGTTCTTCTTGGAGAACAGACACAACCGACAGCTTCTCGAAGTTATCGAGACGGCGCAGTTTGTGATGTCCGTGGACGGAGACTTGAACTGGGGAGTGGAGTCAGCAGAGCAGTTATCCAAGTACATGAAGGACATGCTCGGAGGGAACGGAGCCAACCGATGGGTCGACAAGACGATGAACTATGCGGTGGATGCGAGCGGACGGGCGGGGGCCACCGGAGAGCATTCGCCGTGTGATGGAGCCGAACTGGACCACCTGTGCGAGAATGTGCTGAACGTGGACAAGCAGATCCTTGTATCTCCGAGCAAAGAAAAGCAGTTGGAGATTATACAGTTGAGCGAGACAGACAGGAAAACAGTGAAACTGGCGGAGAAATTAGACTTTGCTGTTGTCGACGGGGTTGCTTATCGCACAAAATTATTCTCGCATGATGATAGTTCTTTCAGATGGAATCAGAAATCGAAAGATGCTTCGAACAACACCAAGAGGCCAGAGATGACCTTCATTTGCACTCTCTCGCTTTCATGGATTTCGGAAAAGGACGAGTGAAGAAGTGTGGAATCTCTCCGGACGGATTTGTCCAATTGGCTATTCAACTCGCTAATTACAATGTAGGAGAGCTATCCAACCATTTAGACAATAAAATAATTCAGGATCAAGGAAAGTTTGTGCTCACATACGAGCCGGGATCAGTCAGATTCTACGCGAACACAAGGACGGAAACTCTGCGACCAGTGACCAACGCTTCTTGTGCGTTTGTGAAAGCGATGACGAATGAAGAGACTACGGTAACTGAATGGAAGCGAATTTTTAATATAAATAGGTCATTTACAGCAAAATGAACGGCGGAAACTTCTCAAAGAAGCATGCAAAGTTCACGTGGAGAACTGTAAGGAAGTGATGACCGGGAAAGGAGTCGACAGACATCTGTTCGTGCTCTGCGTGCTCGCGAAGGGACTCGGATACTCTAGCCCGTTCCTCGAACACTACGCCAGTCAAAAGTGGCTTCTGAGCACCAGCAACGTAACAGATTAACTTCTCAGACCCAGACCAACTTCCAGAGCTTTCAGATTCCCAATATGACAAACTCTGTGGATGAAGACGCCACCGAGAAGAACATCATGATCGGGGCGAGTTTCGGCGCGGTGGCACAAGACGGATACGGAATCTGCTACCGATTCGCCGGAAACCGTGCGATCATGGTCCACATTACTTCGTACCACTCTTCGCCGGCTACAGACTCGGACCGATTTGCTCAGCATCTGCGAGAGGCCTTCCACACTTTGGCGGACCTATTCGATACTGAGCCAATCAACAACAATGTGTCAAAATGAACTGGTTTCCAGTTTTGTGCTTGTATTTTTGAATAAATTTTGCAATTTCAATTTAAATTTAAATTTCTCATTCACAAAATGATCGACATATCACATGTCACGTTGCCAATCTCTTCGATCTCTGCCCCTCGTCCTGAACTACGATGGTACGGGGCCGGAAGTTTTATCAGTTTTTAAGAAAGTTGATATCAGTCATCATAATCAGCGTTAATCAGTCGTAAAAAGTGTTCAGTCGGCTATACGCCACTTCCCCCAAAGGTGCTCAAACAGCTGTTATACGATGAGTCAAGATGTCTCGCGAAAGGTCCGACCTGGCGCTCAGAAATAAACGGTCCGCATGCGTCGTCGCTCAAATTGTTTTGCATTGTGTTATTGTGGTTTCTGGTTCATCTGGTTCGACTTTAAATTTGGTCTACGATGCACATGTTTGACCAACTTTAAAGTCGGTACCTGCATGTTTGACCAAAAGTTGATATCAGTCACCATCAGCGTTAATCAGTCATAAAAAGTGGTAATCAGTCTTATTCAGTAGTTATCGCATTTTCTGAACTTTTTTCGTTTCATTTTCATGTATCACACATGGAAGCAAAGCTCAGTTTATAGTTAAAGCTGTAGAGTTTATTATTGGAAGTATTATGGCGTGGAATACAGTTTTCAATGGATTCATTCGATTATGACACTCCATGCGATTCGAGAAGCTTCCTGAGCATCATAAGGAGAGGTCCCAAGTTGGGAATGACGAACATGGCCACGTTAAAGTTGACTGAGTTGATTCCGAACGCGTTGACAACAAAGATCCGGGTCTCACTCTTCAGAGATCGGTCGACCATCACTCGGTAAGTCTGGTAGACTTTCGGCTCTTCGGCACTCTCGAATTCGTCGGTTTCCATCAGAATCTTTGCCGTTGCGGTCAGTTGATCCTGTACTCGGCAGGCGGGCAAAAAGGTAAAGATCAGCATTCCGATGATGTTGAGCATCAGGAAGAAGAGAGCGAACGCGTAAATGAGTGGAACTGTGAAGAAGAAACTAAGCGAGTAGATGGCGTTGATGATGGAGAAGAAGCAGAAGAGAGGCGCCACGGTCGCGTAGCTTTTCAGGGATTCGTTCGCTTTGTTGACCAGCTTGCACAGCTCTCTTTGACGGTAACTGAACTCGGAGACGACGGACACCTCCTAGAAGACAACATAGTTGCTGAGAAATGTATCATTCTTCACTCACCTTGAGCTTCTTCTCTTCACTGGCCTTCTTCAGTTCCTTGTTGAAATATTCAATTTCACGGGCCATCGCGAACTGAACGAGAGCGTAGAAAGTGACACAAGTGGAGGAAATGATCCACGAGAGGAAGGTGAGAGCCGGGAAGATGGAGTATTTGTAGACAGGTACGGCGGCTCTGAAAAAGTTATTGGCTCGAAAATTAACATGATTGCAACACTGACCCTGAGTACAAAACCTTCTCATTGATGGCGTTGAACAAAGAAGTGAACATGAGAACCAGAAGCCAAGGGACTGAGAAGAAGAAAGCTTTCTTGCGGAGGCCCCGGTAGTCGTCGATCTCGTCGTTCGGTTCAATCCGCAGCACCCTGATCTGAGCCAATTGACTCTGGAAGTTGGGCACAAAGGCGTGGGCAGTCCATCCCATTATGCAGAAACAACAGACGACCGAGTGGAGTCCCATGAATCCGAACGAGTTGGATTCGGACCAGTTGAAAGACAGAAGCTTTCCCTCTTCTCCGAGAAAAGTGGACGAGCGGAAGATCATGAGAAAGATCACGGCGATCGCGAGAGCTCTGCTGAGGTACCCCAGAATCTTTGAGCTTCCATTGTTGGCGCCCGCACACGCAGAGCAATCCAGTCCGGTCAACCTGAGAGAAGAGCCTTTATGAATGGCATGGATAGGCTCATCGACTTACTTGGCAGTGTGTTTGAAAGCTCCGAGAAGGTCGACATGGTTTGATTTTTCTGCAAATGAAAAGTCTTTTTCAGCAGGAGCCACCATTTTGCCCGGAACCTGTCGATTCGCATTCTTTTTATAACAAATCTTGAGGGGCACAAAATAGTGGAGAGGCGTGGACGGCAACACATCATTATTGATAAGAAAGTGAACAAGGTGGGGAAGACTCGTCCTTTTTGTTTTTAGCCATTTTTAAGTCACAAAAATAACAAAAGATGGACCAGCTGACAAGTGAAATTTAGCAAAAACAAAGTACGATTTATATTATTTCATCTACAATAATGCTCCAATGTTTCCAAGAATTAGGTCGACGGAGCCTCAGATCCGCACACAAACTAATCTGACTCATCGCACACTTTTCCGAACTCGTAATTGTCGTTGATCATTGGGTTAGTCACTTGGTTTTATAGACTCAAAACTGTTTCAATAGTGCTGCTCCGGTGAACTTACGGCTGATAGACGATGAGGGGGCGAAGCCGGCGACCGAAAGTTTCGTCATTTCCGAGACCGAATGATAAAAGGCTCGGAGAGCGGTCGGGTAGGGGCAGGCGACTATTAAAATGATTGAATGGATGGCCGGGGGCTGCTACTTCTGTTCTTCTTGTTTTGGCGCCGAACTTTACAGAAAGAATGAGTCAGGACGCACAAACAACGGTCCGACGACCGGATAAAGTGAGAGAGCAAACTCACGCGCCGCCCGGGTACTTTGAAGGTATGATCAATGTTTTTGTCGTTTTTGTGTGAACTCGCGAGCTTTTGCTCTTCTTTTCACACGAATTCTGCTGAATCGGTTCAGCACAATCTGGTTTTGCAACTGAACTATATGATTCGCTCGGTGGACGGGCTTTTCTAGTACGTAAATGTGTATATAACCACTGTTGAATGTTCAAACTTTGCCTGTTTCTTATCAAAAGTTAAATTATTTAAAGTGAGTTTGAAAAGTTTTCTGTGACTTTTAGAGGCCTGAACTTTTGACCCATTGCAGGTTTCTTAGACTTCTTAGAGCCGCTATATTTTCAGAGTTCTTCACAAAGCATGGTGACTTCACAAAGAGACCACAGAGTTATCAACAATGATAATAGTCATAAAACATAGAACGCTCTCAACGTGTTTTCAAAAATGTTTTGGTTTTCACAGCTGTTCGGTAGAACTTTTGGTTAAACTTACGATTGGACCCATCGACGAGCTCTTCCATCTGTTGAACTTCCGACGATTTCATTCCGTTCGTGAAAGGCGGCTGAAATGCTGGAAATGTAAACGAAAGAATAAACTGAAACAGAAAGGAAAAGAGAAGGTGATCTAGGTTTATAAACGGAATATGGAAATGTGACACCCAGCGTGTTTTGTGCCTTGTGCCTTCGGAATGAGTCATTGGAGGGTGAAGAGGATGGAAGTGAACAGAATATGCGCGTAGTAGTCGGTCACTCGTTTCAATGGGTTTTGCAATGAATGGCGAGAGAAATGAATTTGTCATCACAGGTCGGACACCTATTCAGGTGATGAAATGACAGATATTCTCGCCTCAAAGATTGAGAAATGATGTCAGAGAAGAGCGTGGATGTACAAGTGGACAAAGTACGAAAGCGGAATGAATACGTACGAGTGATCGCGCAAGAACTAAATGATGTCTGGCCTCGAGCGATACACGGAAACCAGTTGTTCAGGTGTGAAAGCCGGCCAAAAAGACACAAAACACATTTTGATACCGCCTTGGAGGTTTATATTTTTAGGTCTCCTCTGATATTTATATATATATTCAAACCTAGATAAGGCTGATGACGAGTGATGTACTCCAAAAGCACAATAACTAGAAACTATGGACTACTGCAAAAGAAGTGGAGCTTGTAGTTGAACAAACATCGCTAAATTCAACTTTCTAAACTTTTTGACTTTGTGTCACGTCGTTCCCATCAATTTCGACAGACTTTCCAAAAGAAAATGGAAATGATCATTTGACATGCGAACTTGAGGTTTGCATTCGAGATGAATGCACATGAAAATTTAATATCAAGTTTGGAGAGTGAAGGTGTCATGCACCAACAGCTGATACTAGAGCTCAAACAACTGACATGAGAAAACAATACTGGTTGTTTTCCGACCTGGTCCCTTTTTTTCGATTAACTTATCTTATCGAAAACAATTGTATTCAAGAACTTGAGAAAACCGATGATTTCTGACATCGGAGCTGTCTCTTGAATCAGACTGTCGAATGTCATTTGCCTATTCAAATCACTAGGTATCATCCAAACCAAAAAGAGAGAAAAATGTGAAAAAGTGGAGGTCGACGCAAAGAGTGACAAACTATAAAGGATTGTGTGCCTGCCAAAGTCAAATAGTTGAAAAGGGAGGGCAAACACACTGACTACTGCTCTCAGCCTATTCTTTATAACGAGCGACTTTTATTCCGGGAAAGGAAAGCGTTACCCTGGTAACTCCGTAAAACGAATAAGAAGTTTGATGCCAAACTGGTGATTGTGAGCAACGGAGCAAAAGGGGCGGAATTACGTATTTGGGATATTGCCAAGTCACAGAATTTTGTGCTTTTGGTCCGGCTCGATGCCGAGAGAGTATGACTGAAGTAATAGAATATGTGTTTCGAATGAAGTGTTCGTGTAGATTGCATAGAAGATTGACGATGTGCGAGTAGGTCGATGGTATCTCCGATCGGACATTATAATGCTTTGGACGTGTCAGGTCGCCATGCCTTTAGGCTCACGGCTTCAATAACAATATTGGCGAGCACAATATCAGTTTAAGGCGGACAACGGAGACAGGGGTTTGCGGATGTGACGCCCGAAGAAACGAGATAATGGGCATTCGTTTTTAACGAAAAAGGAAATGGAAAAAGAAAAATAAAAAAGGTGATGACTGATAACACATATTCATTCAGATTTTTGATTGTTAGTTGCAGAAGCCTTTGTTATTGTACTTTACCAGGTAATGGGTGAAAAAAATAATTTTTTTTCCGTTTTTTTCTTTTTTGACGTCAAAAAATCCAAATCGGCGATGTAAAAAAACGGAAAACAAACATACGCTGAAATAGCCCCATATTCATTTATTCAGAGTTCATCATAAAGCTGTAGTTTTTTATATACAACGCAAGAGATCAATTTGGGCAGTTTAGTTGACATGTCCTCCGTTGGCAATGATAACTTTTTTGGCCATCAAAAGAAGGAAACCCAAGTTGGGAACAATAAATAAGGAAGCGGCAAGAGTGCTTTTGGTGATCGGAATGGCGCTGATCACGTAGATCCTCGTGTCCACCTTGTGGAGCCGATCGACCATGACCCGGTAGGTCTGGTAGACGATCGGATCCTTCGAGCACTCGAACTCATCGTTGTTTATCAGAATACAAGTGGTGGCGGCGAGCTTTTCTTGAAGAGCAACAGCCGGAGCAACGGTGATGAGGTTGAAGATGATGATGGAAGCGAGGATCACGCAAAGGATCACGAAGTAGACCAGAGGGACTGCATCCATGAATCTGAAATTGAGAGTATATTGTTCCTGGTTTATGAGAGAGATCAAGAGATGAACGAGCAAGGCATACTTTGTGTGCTCTGTCAAACAACGCGCACACATTCTATGACGCCGAGCCGAGCACACATTCTGATTTATCAAGACTTCTTACTCACCCCGTCAAGTAGACTCCGTTCCCGAGACCGTAGAACATAAATAGCGGCGTATAGCTGCCGAAGCTCCAGAGAGAATCGTTGGCGAGGACGATCATTTCGAGGATCTCGTTCTGACGGAAATCAAACTTCTCGAGCACTCCAATGTTTTTCAGCGTCTTGTGCTTTTTCGCATTTTCGAATTCTTTGTTAAAATGCTCGACCTCTCGATTCACAGAAGAGAAGATGATGAAGTAGAAGGTCAGGCAAATGGAAGAGATGAACCAGACGTAGAAGTTGGAAACGCAGATGATGATGCAAAAGATGATGTTCGTCTCATTTCTAAAAAAAAACTGTTTGAGAATTGAAATAGAAAAATATTGACGAACCCTCCGAAGAGGATCTTCCTATGAAAAGTGTTGTAGATGATCCACGACATCATTGCAAACAGCCAGGGAAGAGAGAAAAGAAGAGCGAGCACTTGGATCAACCGGTAGTTGTCCATCTTTTCATTCGAGCTCAACCGGAGGGTCCGAACTTTGCCCAGCTTATGTGCGTATTTCGGAACCAATCCGTTTTTGGTCCATTCGAATAGACAGAGGGCACTGACGGCGGCGTGGATGGATACGAATCCGAAGTAGTTGGATTCCGCCCACGCAAATGAGAGGGACTGAAAATACACGATTCTATGTTACATTAAGTTTAGGTTTAACTTGCATTTCCATCAGTTTGAAACAAAATGCCAATTCGCAAAAACAGTAACAAAACTATTGCCAGGGCGAGGATGCGGGTGAGAAAAGCGAGGCATTTCGACTTTGCGGAGCAGTCTAACAGAGTGAACTTCACAAGATAACAGAAAGGACCGAGAAGTTCGGAAACAATGTCATCTGAAGTTTCCATAATAGAAGTGCAGTCTGAAGTGGAAGAGTAACCATCAAAAGAAGACGATATAGTGACTGGAAGAACTGACATTTTTGAATGTCAAATTTGGATGGAATTCAAAAATTGGCTCGTCTTTATATCGTTTTGCTTGTTTCCGTTTATAAGGTGGGCCCTCGAGGGTGCACACAAATCACACTTGGCGGAGCGGACGAACGATCGGGAACGGAGAGACGCAGATACGGGGCCGACCCCTTGTGCTACCAAAATATTGCCGATTCGGGAAGAGTTCATTGATAAAAGTGACGACAGGGTGGTACATTTTGTGTGACTCGTCTGGAAATCGTTCTGAGTCATCGGAAGAAGATTGAAATGGTAGACGGACATTTTCATTGAAACTTGTATCCTAGGCGTGGGAGTGTTCTATGATAGGTGTACTTCACTTTGGACGGGGTTCATCTGGAATATCATGAATCTGTTTCTGTTTGCAAGGTGTTCCTTTGGTAACAAGCTATCAAGTAATCAGATTAAAATTATCGGCTGGTTGTATGTCTGAAGATTCAGATAATCAAGGATACTGCTCCTGCTACTGCTCTTTGTTCTTTTGAAGATTTGAAAAGAGCTGACAGTGAGAAAGCTCAAACTTCCGGGAGCCCGACCTCAAAGTACACTTTCTGTGAATGGCATGAGTCACCGAATCTTGCAAGAGCCGATCGAAAAGTGTCCTCCCCGTGTAGATGCAAACAGTGGTTCTTTGCCTTCTTATCTCTTGACCCTGATCACAATTACACGTGTGATAAGACCGATGTCCTCCTCAACTTTTCTTCTCTTCCACTCGTCATGCGTCTCTCGTTGTTCGTACTTTCCGTTCTTTTTTCGCACGTCAACGCCTTCAAGTACCTCGTCATTTCGCCCGTCTACAGTTACAGTCATGTCAAGTTTATGAGTAGTATCGCCGATGTTCTCGTCGACCACGGACACGATGTTGTTGTTTTTCAGCCGCAAATTATTGAATCGCTCAGAGAAAAGAAGGTGATAAGAAATGCAAAAGTGAAGGTTGGTAGTGCTTGGGTATCTTTATCTTGTGTCCAGCGTCATCTCAGATTGTCAACTATGAGGCTGACGAAAATGGAAAAGAGTTCTACCGTACTCGTCCTAAAAGTACGGTCACAAAGTACTGGACCACAAACCAGGCGGCCACTCCATCCGCAGCTGATCAGTTCGCAGTGACTATGAGCAAAGATTTGGAGCACATGTGCTTACGTAGGCTATAATCATTATTGTGGGGATAAGTAGTGAGTGTAATTTTCAGAAATGTTCCGCGACAAATCTCTCCACGAGCAACTAAAATCGGAAAATTTCGACGTCATCATTGCAGAGCCATTTGACCCATGTGGACTTTGTAACTCTTATAATACTTCCAATGCTGGATGCACTCCAATGTCTTTCAGATCTCGGCGACTTTCTTCAAATTCCGTCGACCATCGTGGCGATGGCTTCGTCCAGAATTGACCCAGTTCAATGGGCAGTCGGACAACCGTCCGGCCTTAATTTCATTCCGGGCCCTGGAAGCAGATACGGCCCCAAGTCGACTATCTGGGACCGTGTGAACAACATTTGGATGTTCATGATGAGGACTCGAATGTTCCGAACTGTTTACTGGAACCTTCTCGACACTCTTCGTGCTGATACCGGACTGCAAATCAAACATATTGACGTTGGTTTTGATGCTGGAGTAGTTTTCAATGGTATCGACACTTTTTAGGCAATCGTGGCGGACAGTGCATACTTGTTTTTCAACTCGAATCCATATCTCGATTTCCCATTTCCCTCTCTTACCAAATGCGTTCCAATAGGAGGATTCTCAATGAATTTGACCAGATGGAAGAGTGAGAAACTGCCAGAGTACTTGGAGAAAGTACTGGAAACACGACAGAAAACTGTGTACATTTCGTTTGGTTCGGTAATCCGATCAGCCGATATGCCTGAAGATTACAAGTGAGTTAGGACCGTTTCACGTCTTTATTCAAATGTTTGAAGGAATGGATTGATTGAGACGTTCAAATCGCTGCCTGAAGTTTCGTTCGTTTGGAAATACGAAGAAGATGACGAGGAATTCAAGAAGCGACTTCCCGAAAACGTTTACTTGGGAAAGTGGCTTCCACAGCCGGCGCTACTCGGTTAGTTGTTGACCAAAGTTAATGTTGAGCACTTTTGAAGAACACCCTGTAATTTCAGCTGACAATCGAGTGAACCTGTTCGTCACTCATGGTGGATTGGGAAGTATCATGGAAGTTGCCTATTCCGGAAAGCCATCTATTGTAGTCCCACTGTTTTTCGATCAACCAATGAACGGAGAAATGTTGGCAAGGCATGGAGGCGCGGAAGTCTATTCGAAGTTCGACCTTCTTGACTCTGTGAAGATTACGGAAGTGCTGAAAAGAATATTGTACAGCTCTGAATACCAAGTGAATGCTGAGAGACTATCAGAACTGCTACGAAAGCAACCGATCGACCCGATTGAACGTCTTGTAAAGCACGCGGAGTTCGCGTCCGAGTTCAAGAAGCTCCCGGAGCTGGATCCGTACTCCCGTCACCTTTCTTTCGCCCAGTACTTCTTCCTAGACATCCTGGCAGTTTTCCTGATTCTCGTGCTCATTTTTGTTGTTTGTTCTAGGCTTCTTTTCTCTGGTTTCTCACGTTTGCCACACAGTTCTAAGCCGAAAAATGAGTAGAAAATGAAAATACACTCTCAAAAATAAGCTGCATTTGTGTACCTATTTTTCAAAGAACAGTTGGTGCAAGAGTTCAAAGTATGTCGCGTGGGAGAGAAAGTCTCAAGAGTCCACGAGGTTCTTCAGAAAAGTGATATCATTTGTGTAAAAGTAAAGTGAACAGATGTTGATATACAGTTTCTTTGACAAACAAACAAACAAATGGACTGCAGTGTTTTCCAACTATTTATGTGCTCGGCGACTGTCTCGGCTCACCGCCGCAAAACAACGTTGAATTTGTACCAGTTAGTAAAGAGGAAGTTTATTTGAGATTCAATAAGGTTAACAAAGATTATATCGTTAATGCTGAGTTGGTGTTCTGATGAATTTCAATCACATTGGATGTGCCGGTGAACTGTTCCTCAACTGATCTCCTCTATTGTTATCATCTTGAGTGAGTCACATCGCAATCAAGAGTCCGTGGCCAGTCCACTCTCCGGAACTCCCCCATCCGAGACCCCTGGCCGATCGTCCCCTGTACTTGTACATTTACATAACTCCCACTCACCTGACCCGCTTAAGAGCAAGTGCGACTTTTTCCAGAAACAACATTTACCGAAAACCCGTCGACTTGAATCCGCCACTAGGTGGTTATTGTTTGGTTATTCGAAGACACATTTCTCTATTCGTTTCCTTGAGGCTCCTCCCTCGCTCCGTATAAATAGAGAACAGGACAAATAACCACTACTTACTCGTTCCCTATTCACTTCGATCATCGGGAAACCAAAAAGTCATCGACTAATGGGCAAACTCCTTATTTTAGCCGCTTTACTTGTAATATTCATTCCATTCGGAAGAGCTGAACTGACGAACGACAGTTATTATGACTATTTGGATGTTCTCGGAAGTACAAATGTATCTTTGTACGAGGGAATGCCTTTTGACGAAGAATTATGTGGTGCCGAGGAGTGTTTGATCAATAAAACATGGACTTCTGATGGTACCGTGTATCACATAGCCTTCCAATCCAATATTATCCACTTCCAGAAAAGTGTGCGTACATCAAGTGTAACCCAGATTCTTGCGAAGGAGGCGGATATCTGCAGTGGTCCCAGTACGTCAAGTGTCAGTACAACATCGGAGTCAGGGTTGTGCTCATCATTCTTGGCATAATCTACCTGATCATCCTCTTCATTATCATGTCCTCAATTGCCGACGACTTTTTCTGTCCGGCAATCTCTGGAATAGTTAAGCATCTGCGAATGAGCGAATCCATTGCTGTTAGTCTGAAACTTCTCCATCTTTATCACTTTTTTGTCTTCAGGGAGTAACATTCCTCGCGTTCGGAAACGGCGCCCCGGACGTTTTCAGTTCCATCTCGTCCGTTTTGACCAGTCCCACCCCGAAAGCAGATCTAGCTCTTGGCGATCTCTTCGGTACCAGCATCTTTGTGACTACCGTAGTCCTGGCTATCATAATTCTCACAAAATCTTTCCGAGTTGCGGTTAGTTCACCTATAGCGGCAAACTAAAAAGTTGAAAAGTTCAGATAATACCAACACTTCGCGACTTGATTTTCTATATGATAACTCTGGCGTTTATCGTTTTCTGTTTCATCAAGTTCGATAAAATCGAGGTTTGGATGCCTGCAAGTGAGCGAATTGAAATTTTTCCAGCCATAAGACCAAGGTTTCAGCGTTTCTGGGGATCTACGGTGTCTACGTAGGCACAGTTATTCTGCTCAGTATTCTGCGAACCAGACGGAAGAAGAAAAGGAATCCGAAGAAGCAGAGGAAAGAAGAAGAAGAAGAAGAAGAAGGAGAGAACAGCTCCCGTCCTTCGAGTTCTGCTTCCACTTCTTCGATCTATGGAGCCATGCGGCTCAAGGAAGAACGAATATCGCTTTCGGCTCTTTTCCACTTCATGATCGGATATTCACAATTCATCAGAAACTTGAACACGGCCAACCGGAGAAAACAGAAAATAGAAGAGAACAACGAGAACGGAGGGTACGTGAACAGAGGATTCACTGCCGAACTGGAAGCACCTGATAGCGTTGAAATGAGCGACGAAGAGAGTGGAGACGAAGGAAGAGAAGAGGAATTCGTTTACGCGCACGGAACAGTCTACACTTCTCACGATCAAGCGAGCATTGCAGCCACCGAACTCGAGACGGTCGAGGTGAAGACGTGGAAGTCGTGGGATTGGGTGTGGGATCTTCTGAAGCATCTCAAGTCTTGGCCGAGTTGCGAGGAGTTTCGCGAAATGAACGTTTTGGTGAAAATTGTGGCGATTGTGAAGGTGAGGTATTCTTCCAACAGTTCCAAATATTATCTGTTTTTAGATAGTTCCAATGTTTTTCATGAAGATGACGATTCCTTCGAATGAAATGAGCTGGTGCAAGCCACTCTTCATCCTCCAATCGTTCACTTCCATTCAATTCGCTCTTTTCTCAATTCAAAGTAACGATAATCCGCCGCCGATCTTCTGCTATTATCCTTTTTGCAGTCATCAGCAATGTTCCGTTCAAGGGAAGTCCCGGTCTCTGGCTTTACGGTCTCGCCTTTTCGGTCATCCTGGCGCTCATCGGAATGTATTTTCTTCCGCTGCACAAAGATCAAAAGTACTACAAGGAAGCGTACTCCTACCTCGGCTTCCTCATGTCAATAGCATGGATTTACGCGACGTCGAACGAAATTGTGGGAGTGGTGACCATGATCGGAGTGGTGACGGGGCTCTCGATGGAACTGCTCGGACTCACGATCATGGCGTGGAGCAATTGCATCGGAGACATTGTCGCCGACATCGCCGTCGTTAAACAAGGCTTCCCGAAGATGGCCATGGCTGCAGCGATCGGAGGACCTCTTTTCAGTTGGCCCATCGTCCTCGCCTTACAAACTTGATCCGTTTCAGATCTTCTCATAGGGTTCGGCCTTCCCTTCACCATCGCAGCTGCTCAGGGCAAGGAAATAGAGCTGCAGATCAACCCGGTCTACCGTCTTCTGATGCTCTTTTTGGCCATCTCACTCGTCACCACCTTCGTCGCCCTTTTCATCGAACGGTTCACGGTCCGATGGCCGCACGCAGTCGCTCTCATCTTCATTTTTGCCACTTTCCTGATCTTCATCTGTCTCGCCGAGTTCCATGTTCTTGAGTGGAAGTAGAGAAGTCTTCGACACGTGGAAGTACATTCTGATCACTTTGCCCGGTCCCGTGGTTGCTGGAAGTGTGTTCGCGGTCTGGGGATTCAGTGACTTGGACGACAAAAAAATTTACTTTTGCAATCCCACTTCTTGTCCGGAGAAGATCTTCATTGTCTCATAAACAATCAGGTGCTACCGACTTTAAAAATAGTGTTAATCGATTTGTTTATTTGGTCATTCTTCATCTCACTTTTCTTCTCTCAATCCTTTTATATGGTTATTTACAAGTCAATGGAATATCGAAAGGTATTAAAGTTCACAGTGATCTAATAGTCTAACAATATCCCGCTTCTTTTCAAGTCTTCCACAGTTTGCTGCACATCCGTGAAATCTCTTGGAACAACACAAAAGTCCCGTTTGGCGGTGCTCCGGAATCCGATCCTTCTCTGACTCACTGGGAACGCCATGCGTGAGAGCCCGTGCTTTCCGCGCTAACGAGTCGCATTCGCCTTCATTCGAGCCGAAATGTACGGAGCTCTTGTCAGAGCGAATCAACTGATCATCGTCTCCTACAAAATATGTTTCTTCTTTGTCGGCATTTTCGGAAACGCCTGTTTCATTTTCCTTGTTGCCAGCAAGCGCCAGCTTCAATCGAAATCGTGTGAGAACTTTTCTTGGAATTTTTATTTTCGGTTTTCTTATTTTCTCATTTCAGCCATCCTCCAGGCGACACAATGTTTTTCCCACATTTTTTGCCTGATCGGTACACAAGTGGACACGATTCTCACTATTCTCGGTTTGCAGAATCGGGCCACTCGATCAAGTTATCTCTAATTTCAGACGTCCAACTGCCCCGCTCACAATGTTACCCTCTTGTGTCGGGTTACGTGTTCTTTGAGACCGCTCAAGCGATGATCATGCTCATGTTGGTCATTGACATTCTTGTGATTGTCAAGTTGCCAAAATTGTGAGTTCTGATTCTCAACCTGGTCTTCATGATCATGTTTCCATGCAGTTATCACAAGTTCTCCACTGCCAAGTACGTGTTCGTCATGCTTATTCCTGCAGTCATCTATGGCACTGCCTTCTTCCTCTGGGGATTCACGGATCTCGACGACGAAATCATCATTTTCTGTAATCCTCCTTTAGGTTTTTCACTTTTAATCCCAGCTACCTCTGAACATCACTATCTATTCAGCACTTCATCTGGAAGCGGGGAAATGGTTTGCGAGAACTATTGTTCTTCTCAACATACTGACGCTCGCCGTTTTCATTTCGTTGATCAGAATATTCTATATCAAAGGTGACCAACATTGGTTTCTGATTCAAAATCCACTATCTATCCTCAGGTCTAACTCAACGGGGCGATTCTGCGAAGGTGATGCGACGTCTCCAACTGTCAGTCGTCATCTTTCTGTGCTCCTGGTTCATCAGTCAGTCAGCTGCGTCCTTCTTTTTTTGGCTTGGTCTAAAAGGAGAGACTCTCAACTTTATGGTTGCCAACGTGGTTGGGACTTCTGTGTTATCTCTAAAAGTGTGTTCACTTTCAGTCGTTCTTCGTTCTTCTCTCGTTCAGTCAATCGTTCTACGTCATCATCTGGAAATCGAAAGAATATCGACAGCAGTTCGTGTCCCTCTGGTGCGCCAGATCAATTGCTTCGCGAGATATCACCGCAGTCGGCTCGACCAGCAAAACACCTCATCAGACAGTTATTTCAAAGACAATTTTTGTGCATGTATGCTTTTGCTCTAACTCTTGAAAGTGATAAATGTTCTTCACGCTTCAATTAGTACCCAATGGAATGAAAAGGTCCATGATTGAAGATATGACGGAAAAAGTGCATTTCCCTAGAAGTCGTTAAAGCCAGACTCAATTTAACAGGTGCCTGTTCTGCAACCCTAGTTGGATGAGAAGCAAGCGCCTCGAAATGGATTTTGACAGAAATGGCCGTGGCCTAAGTGGAAACCTAGGCCATCCGAGAAGCGTTTCTCGCTCGCTTTACGCTATTTTCCGCAAAGGCGCCTCGGATACCGAGACGCGTACTTGATGGAAAGGCGGTTAGTTGGATAGAATGGCAAATACTTCTCCGCAATCCATTTTTCAGATTCTCTTCCTCTTCTGCGACAACTCACTGAATGCTTACTGAATATCAACGTTTCTCCCACATCATCTGTCTTCTGTTCGAACTTCCGAATGCTGGGCTTCTCTTCACGGGAATCGAAATGAAGAGGAACGAATGTTTCCCCGCCATATCCACCTAGATTTTCTTCATCTGTGCCCAGGCAGTCATCAACTTCATGATGACTCTTGATATCTTCATAATAGTATTCCTCCCTACTTCCTTCGTCGTCGCATGGGTTTTCCCTCTGATGGACGACGAAATGGTCATGTTCTGCAATCCCTTTCAAGGCCTTCATCCCATCGTCACTCGCTTCTGGACGTTCTCGAATGTAATCATAAACACAATTCCCAATTCTTCTACGTCGTCGTCTGGAGATCTCCGGAATACCGGAATGCCTTTCTGGAGGCGTGGAGCTGCATTGCTTGCTGCTCACGACACAAAGACAAGTTCGCCAAGTCTTCGAAGGTGTCGGTGGCAGTGCATTCTATTCAAGGACTCGCAATGATTTGCTCCAATGCGTAACAAATAAACTTTTTAATCTTTCTTATTTTCATAAAGTCAACAAACGTCGGGCAAATAACCCGTAATCATATCAATCTTTTTGCGTTCCGAAGTCTTCTATATAGTTTGGAAGTCTACATAACCCGTAATATGAATTAGAGAAGTAAAATGAAACGGTCAATTCCATTCGAGAACGTGCGTTTCTGAGAGCAGAACAAAGACGAGGAACGCCACGAAAACG